TAGGCAGTAATAGTCAATTTTGGTGTTTTGGTGGGCCACTCGTTCGGGTGGGCCACTCGTACGGGAAATACGTTACCACTTTTTCAAATCGCGATTTTCGAGCTGCTGCTGTTGCTGCTGCATGATAAGCCCGAGTGACCCAACCTGTTGTCCTCTTCTATCCTGTTTCTATTCGGTTTTCTGTTGCAAGCAAGATGGTGTTCGCTCCAACCGTGATACTGCGGCCTCTTGGTTTCATTATGTGGCGATGCTCCATCGTTCTTAGGTGTATGTTTATATACTATTTGAGCGGATACGGCCAGCCGCACTGTGTTTGGCGCGACCTGACGCTCTGGTTGACTTGACGCCAAAGCGATATTAGAAAGGCAAGGCAAGGCAAAGGGTTTCTACAGCTCTCATCACCTCGTCTACACCGTCACCGCCTAAAACAACATCCCCATTTTCAGCTGAAAACCCAGCACGCCCAAAAACAAACCCCGTCTTCAGCTGAAAACCCAATCTTTTCGCAATATACCTTCTGTATCGAGTCTCCTAGTCACCCCGCAGCGGCCACGAGCCGTCGCCACCTCGGAGATGATTGTTTCGGCCTCTGTCACTGGTCTCCTGCTGTTACCGTGCGGGGGTTTTCTTGTCACTGATATCTGTCACCGCCGTGCGCTTTTATTCTCAGGGGCATCGCCACGCCATGAAACGCCTTCTTCGCATGGATATGTGCCCGATGTCTCACTGACGTTTTCTCAGGCATCACTTGGTCCATCGTTGTTGATAAGTTACATCTGCTACAGCCTACTGTACAGTTGATAAATGAGATTGCCTGATGGTAGAGTTTCAACCATCCTAAAAGCGAGCTGTAATTCAGAATGTGCTGTGATATTGCGATGTGATATTTGAGACGAGAGTTATGGTATATTTGCATATCTTGACCCCCCACCGACATCGTATCCAAATGTAGCTCATCGCTTCCAAATATTGCCAAGAGTAGATGCCAGAACCTATACCTTACTAGTTCTGTTAACTAACATTTCTGCCTCTCCGCCGCTGATCAGAGAGCCTTGATCCTTGTGGGCCCCTGGCGCGCCTTGCGTTACACGTACCGCAAGCATTGTAGCGACAAGGGCGGCCTTGAGCCACTTATGCAAGCTGCCTACAATCCTAGCGTCTGGTTATGGTGGGGGATGAGATAGGAGAGATGTTAGAGAAGTAAGAGGTGAGACATAGGGCCCTAGAGGCGTTCGACGCATGGCCTTATTGACTACAACAGTAACAGAGATGGTTAATCTAGGCATGTTTTGAGAACTTTTACAAAGGAATCAGAATAGTTTAGCGAGGGAAATAACGTCACTGACGGGTTTACCGTTCTTAACTTGCTAAGATAACAAAGAGTGTGTGAGCATCCACCAAAATATCAAGCTCTAAGAGTTCACAAGCTCGTTTCTTATCCTCCAAAGCCGCCTCTTTCTCAAGATCGCAAGTAATCCTTGCAGTCCCGCATACTTGAAGATGGACCTCATCGCCGCTACCAAAGCCTACACGCACGAGTACAGCCTGTTTGACACCAGGAATCCAGCATACCAAATCTCCCGGTTCTGCCTGACTTGAGGCAATTCCTGTCTTGTAGGGCGTCTTTACGCTACTTAAACAATTCAACTGGAACAAGTATCGATCATTATCATCCCTTAGCTTCGATGCGGCTGTAAATTTAGGCAAGGATTTCTTCTCCTGCATCTGCCTGATACGTGGTAATTTATATGCTATACGTCTGAACTGATTATTGAAATCATCCGTTTGCGGACGCCAACACAGACAGCTCATATGGTTGTGACACGATTTTGCTAAGCTGGCTTCATCTGCGTCTAATATTTTGCGCATCAGATTGTCACTCTCCCAGTGCGCATGGCTAAGGTCTTCGGGGAAGTTGGCCTGAAGCGCCATGGCCCACTCATCCGCTAGTTGCAGGCTGGAAACGACGTCGGTGGTAGTTGGGCCCAGGTATTGAATGTACCCGTAAATATAGGCACGGAGAGTGAAAACATCTGTGTTTCGTGACACTTGCCCGTCGAGGACTAATCTGGTGCTATCCCAGGGGCTTGGGTGCGCTACACTGTGCACCGGCTCCATTCCAGGACCTAGGAGGAGGCCTCTAACCATCCTCCCAAATTCCACAAGGTCTGAACTTTGGAGTAACCCGTGGTCGTTCATAAATCGCATCGTATCTGTCCAGACGTCGATCTCGCGTTTTCCGTAGTCCATAGGGAATCCTCGAGCATCCGCTGCTAGTCCAACCAGTCCATAGACCTTGTCTCTTTGGTCGGTGCATAAGGCATCACGGTGATTCTCGAGAAGATTTCGTAGACTATGGCCACCCTTGTATTTCTGCTTGCGTAGTTCATCGAGATGGTAAGGCCCTCCAAAACGCTCTTTAGGGGCCTTATATGCAATCAGTTTGATAAATGATTCCCAGTCCATAATGCGGCGATGGCCAAAGCAGACCTGAATACGATAAGCCCTTCCAATTTCTTGAATGATCCAAACCCTGTCCCAGTACCTGTCAGTTCGCACCTCTTCTGCAAACGCTGCCTCGCCACCCGCACGTCCGTCGCCGGCAGGAATTGGCGAGCAGTCAGCGTCTACAGTCGAGCTCGTCGGGGGCCTAATGGCTTCGTCGGATGTATTTTTCCTGGCAGGCTCAGGACCAGCCTCTACACATTCCTTTGAGTCGGCAGACTCATACTTAGCATACTTCTTCCCAAGCCATACTAGAACTGTGTGCGCGCGAACGTAGATGTATGGCATCATCTGGAGCTGCCGGTTTCGCTCAGGGATGTTCGCTTGGTTTATGGATATCGCGTCAATCCAGACCGGCCCACGTTTAGGCTCCCTACGCAGGAACTGGAGAGCATCGAAGAGATTCTGCGTCACACGAAACTCAGTGCCATTGAGGAGGATCTTCAGCTTGCTGGTCTCGTCGCCCCACATATACGATAGTGCCTGGTATTTCGGCCTGTCGCCAAAAACAACATCGATGAGAATGCATGAAATAGGATCATCGTTATTTCCCGCAGGTTCAACGCGAACTAACCGCGTGCAGTCTTTGTCTTGCGGAAGCGCTGAGTAGGTGAAAGTTTCAACGTAGTGCTGTGAGGAGGCTGTGCTAGTTCCGGAGACTGGTCGTGAAACCAAGTCTGTGCCGCGCCGTCGCGCCTGATTAGCGTCCATAGCGGCTCTTGCCCTGATCGTATAGGGACATGTAAATAGAGTATCGGGAATTGAGGTTGGTATCGTAGATAAGGTTCTTTTTTTCGTTGCAAAAACTACAATTCACGCGACTGGACTCGGCTAATGCATAAGCCACATAGCACAGCCATTCACCTGATCTGGCAATACCGGTGGGTTACCCGTCTGCTAATCCTCAATATGGTCGCCAAATGAGGGGTGATATAGTGTCAAAGATAGACTAAATATAGTTACAAATCGGCACAGTATAGGCTCTTAACTAAAGCTCCGGAACGAATACCCTCTACGCCAAAGCAGCGCCAAAAGTGGATCTGTGGTCCGTATTCTACCGTGTGTGGGGTAAAGCGCGTTGCTAAACGTCAAAGGACTCTTTCCGCTGTTTTTGGTTGTTTATGACTGAGCCTTGTCAAGGCAAGTTTATTCCATTCCAGTTCTCAACCCTGAGCTAGACCAAGAATGGGCAGAACCCTGCTTACACTGCCTACCTCAGGCATGCTCGACCAACGTCTACGAAGAGCCCCCTAATGCCGGTTTACCATTTCCTGATTTCTTCTTTCTGAAGTCTGGGAAAAGCAGCGACATTTTGACGCTCAGTTGCCTAGAAAAAAGTTGTATGTCAACATAGGTACGCGTGATTTAAGACTAGTAATTAGTTCAGAGCATTCAGCTCCCTTACTGTAGCTTGTAGGTGCACAGGTAATGTACGCGCTTTACTACCCGCCTAAAGGCATCCATCCTTGTATATTGTGGATGTAGTATAATAGCAACTCGCAACTGTCACCCTAGGTTCATAATGGTAACATCTTTGTTAGCCCCCTACCTCAAAATTAGAGCAAGTTAATTTTTTTAACAGTTTAGGCCTTTTAGTCTTTTGTCCTCGGGTTTTGATTTCAAGGCTTTAGGTTTTAGCGTTAACGGTTTTTATTTTTCGATTTAATAGACCGTTGTTGTGTCCCAAGCTTGGATTCTTGGCTTAATCGACTCTTTAGAATTAATATGGCAACTTGTGTTCTTGGCCAATTCTGTGACTTCTCGAAAGGGCACATCTAATGTCTGCGATCACAACAGCAGAAACGGGGAATGGTTGGTCGATTTCCCAAACCTGCCTCGAGCCTTTCCAAAGGCCGCATCACGACGGCGACTTCACGAAAGCAGAGGATGGTTGGTCAATTGTGATATCTGCCTCGGGCCTCTCGAACGGCCGCATCCTATGTCTTCGATCACGACGGCGGCTTCATGGAAACGGGAGATAGTTAGCTGGCTTCGGTGCTTTTACCTGTACTGCCTCTTCTCGTTCGGAAATCTGCCATAAGGCCCGGAGTTCACGTAACCCCTGGCCTGCCACTGGAACCTCGCAACCAACAGCAACCTAAGAAGCGTGAAAACAGTTGACTGGTTCCCTGAATACTGTTGTGCTATCGACTCAGCATAGTCTCACCCCAAGTTCTCTGAACAACTTCATCAGTTTTACCGCGATTATACAACAATCTACATTGCACTTCTAAATCCTGAACAGGCAGCTGAGATTCTACACTCTCGACAAAACTCGTTGGACTGTCTCGAAGGAAGGACTAAGTGTGACAACAACATGCCAGATATCTCGGTATCAAATACAGGCGACGATCGGCCTTGTCTCGAGGTAGCTGCAAAACTCAAGAGGCCATACTATGATTCTCGAGGTAAAAATATCAATATTTGCATACTGGGCCGTGCTAACAGTTCATAGAAACCCCTATTTGGGATGACAAATTGCCGTGAAAGAAGCAACGCCTTCCCTCACACACCCCAGGCCCTGTTAATTTGTCCCAATTACCTGCCGAATTAAGTTCACAATTTTTTTCAGAAATCTCAGACCGTAAAACGCTATTGAGTTTTTCCCTAGTGTCTAAGACTTTCAGGGACGTCTTGACAGAAAGTTCCCACGTATCCACTGCCACAACTGCGCCCACACCATTTAGAATTGCCCATGTCCTGCTTTCTGTGTCCTAATATGATGAGCAACCGTTTATTTCTCACAATTACAGAAGAATCCATGGAAGTATGAGGAAGCATAATAATTTTGAAAGAGTTGGAGAAGGTCTGTTGTTGGGATGCTAAACCTTCCGTAAAGAGGGCACAGCACATGCAGGGCAACAAAAGTGGCGCACGCCAACATGACTAAGGAATATACTGTCCTGCCAAACTATTATCACTAAATCTGGCACTCTTCATCCCACTTTTCCCCCATACTGATCGTATATACTGGAAAAATAGTCATACGAGCGCCCTTTAAGTTTTTAATTCGTCTACTTACAAGAGCTACAATAATGTAGTTAGTAGTCCGGAAATCACGCACTTTGCCTCCTCAAAGAAGTCTCATAAACTGTAGCATAAATAGAGATATATTCTAATTCATTATCTCCCCACACGCCTAAAATGAGCTACCAGATGGGGGGTTATATTATATCTAAAACTCAACACAGGACTCTAATGCGTGAGCTCAGGATTCAAGCCATGCCAACCCCCCACCACATGAATATTCTCCCTCCCAGCAAACCTCAACAGATCCTCCCAATCCCCATCATGGTGCCAGATCATCAACAACGTCTGGACCGGGAAATGAATCGAATCAGTCTCCACATCGACATACACCTTCTTCTCGGCAGCCGCATGTGCTCCCAAGCTTAACATCCACCGCTCCTGCGCCAGCAGCCGCGAGAGGTGACATGCGTGTAGGACGGCGGGGATTGGCGTGCTGGAGGTGATCTCGGTTCGTGGAAGGACGTCGGGGATGGGTAGGGGGATGTAGGGGAGGGGCCTGTGGTGGATGATTACGTCGCGGCCTGGGACGGCGTGGATGGCGAATCTCCAGATCATGATTTTGATCTCGACGGGGAGGTCGCGGAAGCTGGGAGAGGAGGTTAGCTATGTGGAAGGCATGGTTGCGGGGAGGAGATGGGATGAGGATATCTCGAAAAGAGGAGTTTTGAGAAGCTGCGAGGGTTTTTGAGGATGCTTTTTTTTCTTTTAGATTGGATTGCGATTTTGTTGGCGAGCTGTGTTGGTGTGTTTCTGGTTTAGGGAGGAGATGGGAGGGAGGTTCGCACTGTCTTATATAGAACCGGTCGTATTGTTTATTGTGGCGCGAGTATGAGATGAAACCAGGAAGACGGGGTTGTTCATTTCAAATCATTCGTCCTTGGTGGGCGAACTAGTCTCCATCTTTGTTCTTGGACATCCTTTGTCGAACAACAAATGATCCACGGCTGCATATGGATTCTATCAAAGCAACCCTCCCTCTTTCAGAACTCTCAAAGTTTCCAAGTCCGAATCGACCTTGATAGTCTTTCATGCTCTCCCCCTTCCCATCCCCCACCTTATCAAAACGGCCCTCCCTCTTTGAAAAACCCTTAAAATTCCCAAAACCTAATCGGCCTTGGAAGTCTTTCATGCACTTCTCCCTTCCCTCACCCTCTCATCCTATCCCATCCCAGGACTGCAGCGGCACATTCAGATAACTCTACATAAACGCGAAGCCATTCATCCCCTTTAGCCTCTCGCGCCCCAATCCCCAACCCTATAGGGAATGGGCAAGAAGGTATCGGCCACAAGGAGACGGGGATCGTGGAGGAGAACGAGGATACTGCTTTCCCGAAAAAGCAAGCAGTTTCTCGAGCTATTTACATGAGATGTCCAATCTTAACACCAACTAATCCTAATACCAACTACACCACAACACCGTCATCCACACTAGCAGGGTCAATGGAGACACGGCTCAAAGTAAAAAAGGGGATGGGTACATGATCATGGTATAGGGGCGAACTATCCAAAAGACTAACCCTGCCGCAGTTGTTATAGAATGCTGGGATATGGTATATATTAAAGACCGCTGAGTTAAGCTGATGAAAGACCCACTTGTTATGACCTACCTATTATTTTCTATCACTGATTTTGCTACCACCTCCATTATCCTGCTATATCGCCTTCGCAGCCGCTCTAGTATGCTAATATGTATATATATAAAGACCACCATCTCAAGCCTCTAAGCGACTTACCTACTATCATCATGCTGCGGAGGACCAAAGTAGAAGATTGCATCCCTCCCAACATCAATATACACCTTCTTGTTAACAGTAGCATCATTAGGTATGCCTAGCGTCCAACGCTCCTGTGCCAGCAGGCGCGAGAGATAACATGCTTGCAGGACCGCCGCAGGTAAGAACCTCGGCCGATAGCCTGTCCGGTCTGTAGCATAGTAGTATGCCACTTGGGACAGAATGGATAGCATACTGCCAGATCATAACTTGGATCTCGACGGGGAGCTTTGGGAATCTAGTGAAGGAGGTTAGTTGTGTGGAAGGCATGGTTGCGGAGAGGAGGTGGGATGGGTGTCTTGAAGGAGGTTGGAGAAGCCGAGAGGGTTTTTGATGATGTTCCTGCTTTAGATTGTCTTTTGATTGTGCTGGAAAGTGTGTTGCTCTGTTTCTGGTTAGCGGAAGAGATGAGAGGGAGGTTCATGTCGTCTTATATAGACCTGGTAATCTTGTGAATATGAGATGAAACTTAGGAGAAGGGGGTTGTTCGTTCGAATCATTCGACTATTGTGAACCCACCCCCGTCTTTGTCTATGGTGAATTAGAAAACAAGACAATGAATGAACAGATGTTGTGCTTTGTGCTTTGTACTTTGATATAGGGGTTATTGTACTCCAGATAATTACCTTGTTCTCGGACATCCTTTGTCGAAGAAGCAGATAATCCACCGCTATGTATGAACACACCAAAACGGCCCTCCGTCTCTCAGAACCCCTTGAACTTACCAAGATACATCAGTCTTCATGCCGTCATTCTCACCGCCACGTGCTGTTGTTACCGCTCTTCTCTTGTTGTCGACAATCCCCCGTTGCCGCTGCCGCTGCCGCTGCCGCTGCCGCTGTTGGTCTTCGGTCTAGATGCAAACACCCCAGCTCTTTACTTGGGATTTCGTGGCCATTTCGCAAAGCATCGCTAACAAAACGGGAAAAGGGCCACATGTTCCACAGCCAACGTATATGATTGGCCTGGCATCTATCTGACTTCTCCATAACGATGACACATATACTCATTATCGGACAGTCACCGCAGGAAGACCCCGAAAGAACTCGATCAGATGATGCGGAGCCTATTGAATGGCCTCAAAGAGGCTGTAGCGGAAGTACAAAAAAAATGGGAGGTCGCAAAGATCATCTCGGACATGGCAGCTTCACTCCGAAGGATCTACTCAAAGAGAGTTCTAAAGCAGGGAGGGTGAGGATACTCAGTTATGGATACGTTAAGTAGAGTTGAGGATGGGACAAGGTTTGATCAGAGGATTGTCTACGTACAGCAAAGCAAAGGACATTGTGACGGGCCCTTTCCCAACGCCGAACCTGTAGCCGGCTCTACACGAAGCCGGGGGAGAATGTGTGGAGAAGATATTGAGAATGGTGGAAGTGGGTTGCATTGTCGCTGTGTGGTGTTGCTGTCGTGTTATTCTCCTGTCATTCTCACTGCCATTCTCGCCGCCATGCGCTGTTGTCACTGCCTTTATTTTGCTGTTGACAACCCCTGGCTTTACATGGTCACTGTTCAGATAGGGTAAGGGAATATGCGGAGCGCAGGTTCTAATTCTTCTTCGATTGCTGGTCTCTACGAAACACTTCTTGATCCCCATCATACCAAATGGTAATTGTATTTTCACAGTGGGGGGTATAATATCATTTCATTTAACATATTGTATAGTAACAATCTCGCCCTGTAGTCTCAAACACCCAAGACTTCCTCAATCAAACAACCACCCCTCTTCCACCACATCAAGCTAAATCCTATCCCTCCACTCCTCCCCTCCAATCGGCGTCGCCTTCGGCGCCCCAGTCACCTCCGCATCACTATCATCCTCATCATGCAAGATCCTCGCCAACTCATCCGGATCCCTCATCCTGGCATCCGCCGCAATCGGGCTCCCTTCACCCCTCTCCGCCGCCAGCACATCATCATCAGCACTAACACTGATGCCCCTCCTCCCCCAACCCCCCGCTCGTCCCCTCGACCCCTCCCTCCCGGACACGTTCTGCTCATACTCCCCATCATCTCCCAGCGCTGGTCTCGCTTCTTCATCATTCTCCTCGCTGTCCCGGCCGCGGCGAAGAACTCGCCGTAACATCCAAGACTTGCTCAGGTCATCGGCGTCTACGATTCCGCCGCTGCGCAGCTTCACGCGTTGGCGTGAGTAGTACACCCATGCGAAGTCGACGTATAGTAGTGTTTGTATGACGCCAAAGATAACCGCCACAGCCTCTGGCTTCACCGGGTCCGCAGACGCGTAACGCTGGATCCAGTTACAGATATACAGCGCACGATACGCGCCCAGCGCGAGGAGGTAGTACGAGTCGATGACCGTCGGGACCGTAGTCTGGCGCAGTAAGAGCAGTTGCGGCAAAACGCAGACACTCTCGAGGATGAGGGAGAAGTTGATAACGATATAGGAAAATGACGGACCCCACGCCTTCTCGGCGATCATGGTGATGAAGGGGGAGAGGACGAGGGCGCCGAGAAGACTGTATGCGCCGAGGCGGTAGGAGACTTCGCGCTCGCGGGTGCGGGCGAAGATGCGGGTCATGAGGAGGAGGATGTAGAGCGAGGAGACGATGTAGAAGATTTTGAAGATGAAGTTCCAGTAGTTGTCCTTGGGGTTCTTCCAGAAGAGGTCGATGTAGCGGGTGCAGAAGACGAGGGCGTAGAGGGCTTGGGAGATGACGGAGACGCCTGGGGGGGTGTTAGAGTTTGTTCTATACCGAGATCTGGACTGCGATGGGGGGGAGAAGGGGGGGGAGACAGACCTTCAGAGCTCCGGTTGCGGTGGATGGCGAAGATAAGGATGCATTTCGACAGTGAGTGCGTGAGGTCGGCTAGGATCCGCCATATATTCATATAATACAGGGCCTCGAAGCCATCGATAACGGTAGGCATGGCTGCTTCAGAGGCTCTCGACGTGAGGCTCTCGGTATATGCTCGAGGTTCGGGACGGTATGTCGTGCTTTGATTACGACTGTGGCGAGGCTGGAACGCCTATGACATCGCAAGGCTGAGTAACGACGATCCGGGGTAGCTCGACAGGAGCTTGATGCGACGATGGGATGTGTTGGTGATGCTGCGCGATGCAACGATATAGAGGATTAACTCAGCTGGTGGTGAGTTGGAGCTGGAAGCTGGACAGAGACATGCGTTGTATTCTGAGACAATTGGGATGTGCTACTACGAAGTGCTGCCTTGGACCCCAAGTTGTAGTCGAGTACGATGGGCCAGGGTGGCACGTACTAATGTTGCGGGTGGTTATGGGGTTACGCGTTATCGTCAATAGTGCGTACGCTATAAATACATTGATTATCAACAATGACGATTTTATAGGCAGGCAAAGCTGGTATTTACAATCATATCTAGCTATATAGCTTAAAAGTCGTTGATTATAGAAGAAGATAAATTATGTGATTAGCATCAACTTCTATCCTTTGGTTGTGGTAGATATGTTACAAGTCCCCAGTTCCTCAGTAACACAGTCCCGATGCAGGTGATCGGACAGAGGACGGCCCGTTGAAGTAGATTGACAGGAATACGAGTTGGTTAAGTTTTTATGGCCTGGCCTAGATGCTCTCATCTCCTGCCAATGGTAATAGGGTAATAGATGTCGGGGTCCGAATCACTTCAGATAATAGTTCATGCCTTGTCGTGCACATATCTGATTGAATCCCATCAAAGCCAGATCTATTCAAGTTGGTTTCCATTGCAAAACTTGGTGCAGATATTAACAAAATATGCCATTACCCAAAAACGAATCTTCTTACATGCCCCTTTTACTATTCCAAATATGCATACAAAAATCCCACGCTGTCTATACAAGCGGATACATAATCACGCAAACGCACCTACCATTGCCATCAACGTAGCTCCCAAAATCACCGCCGTAAAAGCCTGAACCCTCTTCTTCCCTTGTAGTACACCATAACTCCCCTCACTGAGGAAGTCCTCCGCAAGCAACTGCACCAGCCCCGCGAACAACAGCAAGCCGCTGCTAATCGCATTCATCACCCCCACCATGAGGAGCCCAGCCTGGCTCTTCGGGTCATAAAGCGTGTGAACGGCCAGACCGATAGCCTGTCCGATAGGCGTCGTAACGCCGTAGGCAAGAACCATAAGCCAGGGCTTGAAGGAGCCCTTGGGGAATTTAATGGCCGCTATACGGGAGCCTAATGCCATGCCCTCAAACGTCTGGTGGAAGGAGATGGCGATGAGGAAAACGACGAATGGGGGCCCGGTCGCGACGGATACGGCCATGCCGATGAAGACGGAGTGGAAGATGATCCCGGCTTCGAGGAGCATACACTGAACCATGAGTTTCTTCTGTAATTCCTCCGGGCTAAGAGTTTGAGCATGCGGCCGCGAGCCGGTACCACCATTTGTCCCCGTCGCGGGGTCCAATTCATCCAAATCGAGATCCGAGTCCTCCGCATCTCCGCGGTAGTCCGATGTCGTCTTGTTTCCATTTTCCTTTGGGCTCGGCTCACCATTCCACGACCTCGCGCCCATCAGTCCAACGGTCGATTCCTCATACTCGCGATCCTGGTCCGCCTGGCCCTGTTCGGGGATGGCGGTAGTCTCGGGTTCCCACGTTTCGAGGTGGGAATGGGTGTGCGCGACGCCTCGCGTGCGGAGGAACATCTCGAGCCCGACGACGATGAGGGCGGATATCATGGCTATTACGCCGGCCAGTGGCCGGTATCCCTGGTTGAAGAACCATGGGAGACAGGGGTTGGTGAGGGAGACGAATGCGGTGGGGAGGAGATGCACGAAGGCGGTTGCAATCAGCACTCCTGTGCCGAAGTGTTGTGAGTAGAAGACGAGGTCGTTTGGCCCTTTATGTTTGTTCGCACGTTGGGAGATGAGGGGGAAGCCACAGCCTGATAATTGTTAGTAGCGCCCTGGAAATTGTGTATCGGGTGTCAATCGTACCAGCAATACTCAGGACGAGGATGAGAACCAAGGCTCCAACGTGAGCTGGTGTACTATAATCCCCCCCTTGCGCAGAACCACAAGCCGGCCGTTCTCCCTCCTCCTGTCGTCGTGCCAGCTCGGCGAGCAAGACAGCCGTAGATTCCGTCGACCATAATGGCGCTGGTGAACGTGTTAGCAGTGGTACGTCACCCTCATCTCGCAAAGTCCTTACTTGTGCCTGCTAAATCATGCTCGATCATAGTTTACGATGAGCAAACCTGTTGCCTAATAACATCGCTGGTGTCGTGGTGGTGCTGCTGGATCGCGCGGGTCGACTTTCACTCCTTATCGTCAAATGAGTGGGCGGGTTCGTAGGTGGTTTCTTGGGACCTTTCTCAGCCTTGCTCGGCGAGGTTGACCAACGGACCATTAATTTGCCGGGTTACAATTCATGTACTGTCCCCTCGACCCATGGGATGATATTTCTGTGATAGGTACGATCGAATAAACTCACTAAAATGCCAGGTGTACTTTCAGGAACTCGTCTTGCAATATTTTATTATATTGATTTAAACTCGTATTTACTTTATTAGAAATTCATCTTTAGCCTCACGTGCCTCGGTATTAGTTGACATAATATGCCACCCTACTACACTGAATTTAAAGCCACATCACATCGCGATTCCCGTGCTACTCATGCTCCTACTACTACTATTCTTCCCAACCTTCCTTTCCTAGATACCCATTTGCTTAATTTGTCGCGCGAGCAGCCATCAGAGCTGTTGTTGATTTGCGCCTAGCTCCCATGCCGTTATTATTCCCATAGCGGCGATGCCATTGCGATGGCTGAGGCCGTCCCTGCGTACCTCATATAAGAGCAGGCCACCTTCTCACACACGACCATGGCTATATATATTTCTAGTTGCTGCCTTCGTCGCAGTGGCCAATGCTATGCCCCCGCGGCGCATTGCCGAGTTGCGTCAAGAGGCAGTTGACATGTTCTACCATGGATACGACAACTACATGAACATTGCATTTCCGGACGATGAGGTACGTTCTTTCCCCACTGAGAGTTTCTATAGTTACTAATATTCTGCGCAGCTTAGACCAGTCTCCTGCAAACCCTTGACACGAAGCAATAATCCGAGAAACATAGACCTCAACGATGCGCTTGGAAACTACTCGCTCACACTCATTGACAGCTTGTCGACGCTGGCCATTCTGGCTTCGGCACCCCCGGATAATGAACGAACCGGTCTCAACGCGCTCCACGACTTTCAAGACGGCATTGCATCGCTCATTATCCACTATGGCGACGGCACAGAAGGGTCGTCCGGGCAGGGTCTCAAGGCGCGGGGCTTCGATTTAGACAGCAAGGTCCAGGTCTTCGAGACAGTGATTCGCGGTGTAGGAGGACTCCTTAGCGCTCACCTTTTTGCAATCGGTGAGCTGCCTATAAGAAACTACAAACCGCGAAGAGCTTCAAGTTGGCCTTGGAAGGCAGACGTGCCAGGCGAAGAAGCCCCAATACTGTGGTCGAATGGATTCAAATACGACGGGCAGTTACTACGCCTTGCCTTGGACTTGGCGCAACGAATGCTCCCGGCATTTTATACCAATACTGGAATGCCGTATCCCAGGGTCAACTTGCGACACGGCATACCATTTTATCATAGGTCCCCGTTGCACAAGGGCTCCGGGGCACGGGAGGGCGGCGCTGGTTCCAATGAGGTCACCGAAACGTGCAGTGCTGGCGCAGGAAGCTTGGTCCTCGAGTTTACTGTGCTTAGCCGGTTAACTGGCGACCCTCGGTTCGAACAACTTGCTAAACGGGCGTTTTGGGCTGTGTGGTCTCATCGGAGTCAGCTCAGCCTTCTCGGTGCGGGTATTGACGCCGAGAATGGAAAGTGGATAGGACCATATGCTGGTATTGGTGCAGGCACTGATAGCTTCTTTGAATATGCATTTAAGACTCACATACTCACATCTGGTCTTGCGCCACCAAATACCACGGTTCCAGCTGGCAAGAGGTCGGATACTTGGCTCGACCCGAATACAATTTTCAAACCTCTAACTTCTGAGGAGAATGCCTCGGACAGTTTTCTGGAGGCCTGGAAAGAGGCGCACAGCGCTATCAAGAGGCATTTATACAGCAGTACTCACCACCCTCACTATGTTGTTGCACACCTTGCTACAGGGTCGCCGCAGACTTATTGGATAGATAGTCTTGGTGCCTATTACCCAGGCCTGTTGGCCATAGCTGGTGAGATAGACGAAGCTATCGAAACCCATTTACTTTACACGGCATTGTGGACCAGATACTCGGCGTTACCGGAGAGATGGTCAGTGAGGGACGGAACCGTTGAGGGCGGGCTAGGTTGGTGGCCTGGCCGCCCGGAATTTATTGAGTCGAATTACCATATATTCCGTGCAACCCAAGATCCGTGGTACCTTCATGTTGGGGAGATGGTATTGAAAGATATCCAGCGACGCTGCTGGGCAGAGTGCGGATGGTCTGGCTTGCAAGATGTTCGCACTGGTGAGATGAGTGATAGGATGGAAAGCTTCTTTCTGGGAGAGACAGCGAAGTATCTTTACCTCCTCTTTGATCCGGATCATCCTTTGAATTCTCTCGACGCCCCCTACGTCTTCACCACAGAAGGCCATCCTTTAATCATTCCACGAAAATCAAGTCAGCAAAAGAACACACCAAAAGCGCCTAGGAGTTCTTCGGTAGAGTCTTATACCTCGCCCGAGAATGCCGAAGTTTGTCCTGTTCCGCCAACAATGCAACCACTTACGGGGTCACCCACTGCTGCACGGCCAGATATCTTCCATGCTGCGAGCTTAGTCGGGCTTCACCGTGTTCCGAATTACAATGCCATGGATGAAATTGCTTTGGATACTACAAAGGCGGTGGAGAATCAATGGTCACAACCAGCAAATCATTCAATCTACCCCTGGACTCTGCCTTCAAGTCTCGTGCCTCCCAACGCGATTTGCGCACGCTTACCTATTCGAGACACGTTTTGGATAGAATTCCCATCCAGCTCACAACTTGCAAGTCAGGGGTTCAATATAGCTGTGGGTTCTCAGCCCGTTGTCAGAGTGAACAACGAGGGCGTCCTCATTCAGAACCTTGCTGGCCTTACGGTGGCGATGATCGAGGAAGAAAGTTCAGCACAATTCATCTACGATGAAGGACCCGTTTCCAAGTCCTGGCGAATCCTCAATATCGGCACAACCCCACTGGGTCGGGATGAGAAGGTCTTCATCTCTCGAGAAACGATAGGGCCCATCGTTGACCCATCATTTACCCGAGTCCGTGACCCTCTCACCGTCGACCTCGTCATCCAGGTTGAGAACTCTCAGGTCAACAAAACAGACGGAATGCCATCATCAAGGCTCCCCACAAGCGGCAAGATCGAAGAAGCTCTTCACTCCGAAGCAGCACCCGAATCCCTGCACCTCGAGGCGCTAGCAGACTTACCCTCAGACTACCGCACCATGTTCTCCTCCCTCCTTCAACAAGTCACATCAGCGCTCCGCGACCCCGTCGCAACGCTCCTACCCCAGCCTAATGAGGAACCAAAATATCAACTCCTCTCCCTCCGCGCACAGTGTGCGGTTGGCACGGGCGCGGCACCAATTCCCGCCGCGCCTGAAGCGCCCGACTCCAACGCCGTCTCCAACGACCCCCTATCCTGGACGAGCATCTACTTCGCCTCTCACAACTGCGACGGCAAGCTGCCTGACCGCGTGGTGCGCGCGTACAATGTGATCGTGATGCGGCGAGGCGGGTGCAGTTTCAGTGAGAAGCTGGCGAATGTGCCGGCCTTCTACCCTACCGCTGCGGGGCTACAGATGGTGGTTATGGTGAGCGATGATGATGATAATGAGCTCATCCGGCCGCTGCTGGAGGTGGTGCAGAAGACGCCAGCGGGGATGAGGCGCGCGCATGAGGTGCCGATGGTGATGGTTGGGGGAGGGGAGGCGACGTGGGGGGCGCTGAGGAGGGCGAGGAGTTTAGGGATCAGGAGGAGATATTGGGTTGAGAGTGCGAAGGGGCTACGGGTGAAGAACCTGATTGTGGTGTAGATGAGGGATGATGCATGTAAATGTCACGGCAGCAACTATGATATCTGTAGAAGAAGCGGGGGTTTGTAGATACAGCACGATTAACGGGCAAAATGAAGCCGATGGCCGGCGTTTTCGGCGATAGTGTCGTATAACGTATATATGGAATGAAATAGACTATGATGGCGCAAATGCCGATCTCCGACTTTTAATCGTAAATACTTCCCCTCTATTCCATGATCTTGGCACAAGCAAGGCGGGGCGCGGACCGTGGGGTTGAAGCTATACCTATGGCGAAACAGTGCTACTTCGTACAACAGCGACGAAGAATACGTATTTTTGATTTCAAATCGCGACATCTGCACATAGCCATCCAACGCGCATTCTTTTTGTCGGCATCTCTTAAATTATTGGGCCGTCTTATGGCTTAATAATTACCTTTTTTTGTGCAATGGCGATAGATAGAACACCCGCTTAAAGACAAAGGCGGTGCTGGTGCATATGACAAAGCAGGGAGAGCTAATGACGTGCCGGGTGTTGGTCCCGCTGTGGTGGTGGTGTGATTAATCATTAATGTTACGGGACTGATTGAGAGCTCACAAAGGAAAGAGCTATTGGTGTATCGTGACGTCGATTGAGAAATGTATATAATGCGCTCTTTCCTCGCTGCTTCTTCTTCGCTTTCTTCAACTTCACTCTGTGCACATATACCCCGACGACTTGTACGCTTCTCACTTACACCACTCCAACCTCAGCTTCGGCACTTCACTTCTAAGAAAACTATACATAAACAAACACATCCTACCCGACAGCCTTCAAAAAAGGGAAAGGGAATCAACATGTCTCAATCAATCTACATCGATGAGACACCTGCTGATGTCAAGAATGCAAAGGTAGAGCTTCACTGTGTTTTATCACTTCTCGCTTCCTGTGGTTATGTTATGAGACTGACTGTAACTCACGGAATAGGGCCTCCACTTGGTGACCCAAAGCACCCCCAACGGCCAAAAGGTCCAGATCTTGCTTGAGGAGCTCAAGGACAAATATGGTCTCCAATTCACCACTACTGTGATGTCCGTTTGCCCCCCGTTCCCAAACTTCCAGCTCATCAGAACAACACACTGACATCACCGCAGCGACATCTCCACCAACGAGCAGAAGAAGGAGTGGTTCCTCCGTCTCAACCCCAACGGCCGCATCCCCGTCCTCATCGACAACAACCAATCCCCCCCCTTCCCCGTCTTCGAGACCTCCGCCATCCTTCTCTACCTCGTCCGTAACTACGACCCGGACCACCACTTCCGCTTCAAGGACGAGCTCCAGACCAGCCAGGCCGAGCAATGGCTTATTTTCTGGCACGGCAGCGGAGCTCCGTACCAAGGCAACACCAACTTCTTCCGCAGACAAGCCGAGCAGATTCCGTGAGTAGTCCCCACAGTCCCCACACTCTTTCCCCGCACCGTCCCACTAACACCAATTACTAGCTTCGCAATTAACCGTTTCCGCAACGAGACTCTCCGCGTTTATGAGGTGCTTGAGATCCAATTGTCGGGTAGATATACCGGTGTCGAGCGCGAGTACCTTGCTGGTAACGGAAAGGGCAGATACAGTGTTGCCGAGCTTGGCACCTGGCCTTGGGTCAAGGGCTGGAAGAACACCGGGTTCACTGATGAGGAGCTCGCGAAGTTCCCGCACTTGCTCCGCTGGATCGATAGGGTTGCGGCGAGGGAGGCCGTCCAGCGCGGAATCGGCGAGGCGTATCAGAAGAAGTAAAGGATACGAGTAATAGGGCTTAGGTGCTCTGGGGAAACGTAACACTATTGCATGAGCTTAGGCGTAAAATATGATATTATTTGAACTACACAGCCGTAGTCTGTCCTCTCGTGGTGATACACCGTAAATAGTACTTATACACCCCGTCTTCCACGCGCATGCTGCTCCGCAGCCGCCCCCGGGTATCCCAAAATCGCAACAACATAACCAATCCGTCACCTTGACGGCCGCCACAAGAACCGAAAGCACAAAACGCGCCTAGTAAACACACATCCCCATCCCCGTCCCAACTACCTATTCGTCAAAATCCGGCATCTCATTCTCCTCGTAAACCTCCGACCCCTCCTCATCCCTCTCCTCACTCGCGCTCCCGCTGTCGCTGCTACTCCCATTCCCATCCACGAACCCCACCTTCTTCTCCCTCCCCACCCTCACAGGCTTCTCCTCAATCACATCCCCCCCCCACGCCCAACACTCCTGCATCACCTCTCCACAGCGCAGACACACCCATCCCTCCCCTGCCTCGCCCTCAAGCCTGCCTGCTAGACAGACGAAGCAGTACACGCACCCGCACGGCCCGCAGTACGGATTCGTCACATCCGTCATCCCGCCAGCCACGCCCCCCTGCCCCGCCGCGCTCGCAGCGACGATCTCAGCTTCTGATTTCGCCTTATTCTGGTCTTCGTAGCAGATCGCGCATGTGCGCTCGGGGAGATGTGCAAGAGGACCTTGTTTGACTTCTGCAGGCCCGTCGGATGGGGAGGAGAGAGAGGATACCCTGCGCCATGTGCGCGAGAGCCAGCGCCGCCAGCGCGCGATGCCGAGGAGTGGGAGGAGGAAGAGGAGAAACTCGGTGAATGCGTGCCAGACGAGTTGGCGATTAAGGTACTCGAAGGAAATATCCCTTGCGAGCTGGTTCGTGCGCGGTGCGAGGCGCAGGCGGAGCGCGCGGTCGAGGAGGGTGCGGTAGCGCCCGTTGAGGAGGAAGGCGCTGAAGGAGGCGAGGGAGGCGAGGGAGTAGACGGTTGTGAGGCGCGAGGTGATGGTGTTGAGGCGCGAGGAGAGCGAGAAGGAGGGCGAGGAGAGGTAGCGCTCCCAGCGTGTCCAGGCGTAGGGGCCGAAGACGGTGAGGAGCCCGTAGAGCGCTTTTTGGGAGCGAGAGGGGGGGAGGGGGACTAGGCCGGTGTGGCGCGCGTCGGTGAAGCGGAGGTTTTGGAGGGCGGCGCCGTAGGTCGCGTCTGGGACGGTGGTTAGTAGTGGTCCTCATAGTGTGGAATAGGGAGGGGGGTCGTACCATGATCCCAGACGGAGACTTTGAAGAGTATGCCGCGCAGCGCGAGCCCGACTTCTTCGCCCCATTCTTCTTGTATGTCGCCGAAGTATTTCAGGCCCGAGGTGATCTGGCCGCGGAGGAGGGAGAGGAGCTCTTCGTCTAGGAGCTCGGCATCAGCCTGCCCGACGCGGAAGGCAGGGCTGGTGCCAGAGCGCCCGCGTATGGTATCCCATGCTGTGATACCGGCGGCGCCGAGACGGTTGAGGGACGGCGGGAGGTTGGCGAGGTGCTTGTGGAGGGGTGACGAGGCGGGGGGGTGTGGTTGAGAAGCAACGGACGCGGCGTGCGCTGCTCGGCGGGCGGCGATGCGCTGTTGCGCGGCTTGGAAGTCGGCGGAGGACATTATGAGCGCATGGTATGAGGTCGTGTGCTGATTCTTGAGATCTGGCGAGGGGATATCGGGGGTTTGCTAAAGCTGCTGTCGGCCCGTACTTGCTTGTGAGGGAAGCTGTGAGGTGCTGAGCCGAGGTCGTTGGGGGCTCGTTCTGATGGAAGGCCCGGAGCGGATTAACGTTTATCGCGAGGCTGTTGATTGTGGATGGTGGGGAACATAATTTCTAGGGTCCATGAAGCTTAATTCCTGGGAGGAACCATCACAGATTTGAGCGCAGAGAGAAGCACTGTGACTTAACAAGGAGGATAAAATATTGACTGATAGCGTCCTCCTCATATTTCTATTTATCCATCTCTGTCTCCTCCATTTCTTCTGCTGCCACGTCAGCCATGGAGGGAGCTATCGAGCTTCCTGGGGAGGCTGCCCCGCTAACCCCACAGGAGGTGCTTATGGCCTTGAAGTCAGCCAGTTCTCACCAGCAGAACCTGATACAATCGGGGACACAGCAAATGCAGACATGGGAGGGTCGGCCCGGTTATTACTCTTTGCTCCAGGTAAGCACACCACCACAGGAGACTGGCTATCATCCTCGTCCCATACTGTAGACGCGGCGGCTAATCATATCTCAGTCTGCATTCTTGGACACTTCACTGCCCACAGAAATACGATACCTCGCCGTCATACAACTTAAAAATGGAATGGACAAGTATTGGAGGAAGGGCGTGGCGAAATGCATACAGAAGGCCGAAAAGGAGGAGATGAGATCGAAGCTACTGGAGGGCGGTATGGCAGAGGCAAACGCGCAGCTCGCGTTGCAAAACGCCCTTGTGATATCCAAGATTGCGCGTATTGAGTACCCCAATGACTGGCCCGATGTCCTCACGTCCTTAATTGCACTTATGCGGGTTGCAAGCGAATCGAACCAGCTTCGTTTACAGAGGGGCTTGTTGATTCTGCTCCAGGTCGTGAAGGAGCTGGCTTCCGCTCGTTTAAGGAAGTCGCAGACGGCCCTGCAGTCAGTTACGCCAGAAATTGTTTTCTTTTTGAGCAATATCTACACGCAGAAAGTTAACCAGTGGTATGGTTTTCTCACCGCCGGCGGAGACGACGAGGGAGGTGCTATGGACGCCATGGACAGCAGTCTCCTGGCCCTGAAGATTCTTCGGCGCCTGCTGATAGCTGGTTACAAATATCCCGGCCAAGATAAAGATGTCCAAGAGTTGTGGGGTCACTCACAACTCCAGTTCGGACAATTATTCGGGATGATTTCTCACGAGCCACCGCTAATCTCGTCGCCTGCCAAGGACCTGGTGGAAAAGCATCTGCTTCAGTTATCCAAGTTACACCTCGAAATGGCAAAAACCCATGCATCTTCATTTGCCTCCCTTCCTAATTCAGTCGAGCTGGCTCGCGGATATTGGAGTCTCATTGAGAAATATGGGGAGGCATATGGCTCTTCGACATTTACCTCCAAAACCGATGCAGATGCTGACGACGCAGATGGCCGTCATGTATTGGAGAAGTTGGCACTAAAGGGGCTTTCGCTATTGAGATCATGCCTGCAAATGGTGTTCAGGCCAAAGCTGTCGTTCGTGTACCGCAGCGCCGAAATAAAAGAGGCAGAAAAGGGCCTGATGGATGTCATCAAGTTCCAACTTCTCACAGACGAACTGGTTTCTCAGATGGCAAGTGTTATTGTCACAAAGTTCTTCATTTTCCGCCAAGCAGACCTGGAAGCATGGAACGAGGATCCATATGAGTGGGAGATACGGGAAGATGCAGGAGGCGATGGTTGGGAGTTTGAAGTCCGGCCATGCTCGGAAAAGCTCTTCATGGACCTTGTCATCAATTACAAGCATCTACTCGCGCAACCGTTACTTAGCTTCTTCCAATCTGTAACAGGAACAGACAATGGGGACATTGTTGCAAAAGACTCTGTTTACACGGCTATGGGTATCGCCGCACCGGTTCTATCTGATAGTTTCGACTTTGACTCCTTCTTGGCTTCGACACTGGTCAATGATGTTCACAAAACCAGCCCAGAATACAAGGTCTTGCGCCGAAGAATCGCAATACTCATTGGGCAATGGGTAACTATCAAAATATCGGTGGCAAATAGACCTCTCGTCTACGAGATATTCAAGCACCTCCTTAACCCAGCGGACCCAGTCAACGATCAAGTCGTTCGCGTGACTGCTGCACGCCACCTTAAGTCTGCAGTAGATGATTTCAGCTTCGAAGTTGAGCAATTCTTGCCATTTGCAGAGGAGTTTCTCCATCGCCTCATGGCTCTTATTCGAGAGCTCAGCCATGCTGAGACCCAACTGGCGGTCCTCGAGACCATCCGTGTCATCTTCATACGCCTCGAATTACAAGCCGCGCCATTTGCCGACGAAATTGTCTCTTTACTTCCGGATCTCTGGACTGCGTCAGGTGAAGAGCATCTCATGAAACAGGCCATTCTTACCCTCCTCACAAATATCGTCATGGCCACGAAGGTGCACTCCGTGCGCTACCACCCTCTTATCGTACCACTGATTCAACGAGCTGTTGAACATGGCTCGGAGATGGCAGTGTACCTCCTCGAAGAGGCGTTAGATCTCTGGTCCAGTATGCTGGAGCAGACACCTGAAGCTGAATCTGGGCCCGTCATACCGCTTGTCGACTCCGTTTTCCCTCTTTTGGAAATTGGCAGCGACACTCTAAGTGTGGTGCTGGGGATATTGGAATCATATGTACTCCTCGCGCCTGAGGTCATGCTTGCCGACACTACTCGCCTTCGGGTCCTCAGTTATATGACTAGCGCTCTCGAGATCTCGAAGCGCGATCTAGTCGGCAAAGTTATTAGTATCGTAGAGAACATGATTCGCCAGGCCGAGATCTTAGGTGGCACCAACGGCGTAGTTGCCGTGGCGAAGGACCTCGTCGAGAGTGGCTTCATGGAGAAAATCTTGACAGAGCTGCACGAGGCATGGGAAGCACACCAAACCACCGGCCCAAATCGCCGCTACCCCAAAATCAGCGACGTTGTTGAAACAGACTACTTCACCATCATTGCTAGGCTTGCGATTACCGACCCTGCGACATTCGTGGGTACCATTTCGAGCATTGGGCCTCTGGAATCGGTGTGGGGATGGTTGAGCACGGAGTGGTTCCTTCACTTCGATAGCATGGCGAATCCGCATCGTCAGAAGTTGTCGTGTCTAGCGCTGACACGTTTCTTGGAACTACCACCGCCGATGACGGGGCTGGTGCTGCAGAAGCTTCAGGATTACTTCGCCATGTGGTCGAGTGTGATAGCTGAGCTTTTGGATGGCTGGGGAGAGGGTCGAGAGGCCCTGGTATGGTCGGAGGACACTCCACAGGAGCCAAAGGAGTGGGATAGTATGGAGGATGGGCGAAAGAAGGCTCTAGAGAGGAATGACCCGGTGCATACTATTCACGCGCATCAGTTCACGAAGGAGAGATTGGGGGGATTGGTGCAAAATGCTGGTGGTGAAGAGGCATTCCAGAGGGATTGGTTGGTCAATGTTGATGGTGATATAGTGAAGGCGTTTCAGAAGCTAGGACAGACCCAAGTGGAGACGGACTGAGCTACAGTAGAGGAAGATATTGTGTCTGGGAGGGAAGTTAAATATTCGCCGAGAGCATGGCGTACTGGTGACGGAGTAGATTGGGAACTACCTTGATGAAGACAAAGCCAATATCGTGCGAATGAGATATTGGGATGGATGTCCATAAATGTTCATAGACGATTGCTAACTGATATGAATCACGAAAAATAAATACGCAGAGATTCGTACATAACAATGGCTTATGAGGTTTCGAAATTTATGTTATAAATTTGGGTATTATTACACTAACATATCTTCAATGGGACCTATAGCAACATGCCTCAACCGCAGTCACTCATCTCTCATTCCGCATCCTCCACCCCCGAAGTCCCCACAGGCGTATTCCCAAAACTCTCCAATCCCCGATTCCTGCTCGTAGCCTCCCTAAACCCATCCCCAACCGACGGGAACGCCATCGGATCCGCCGTGTCAACGGGAGGTAAATTCGAATCGCCCCTCAGCGCCGAATACCTCTCCCCCGCCTCTCGCAGCAACCTCTGAACTTCCTGCTCCCTAGCAACAATCTCCGCCTTCTCCCTCACCAGCTCGCCCATCCTCCAGCTCCGCTTTGTGGACTCTTGCTCTGCCTCGCTCAATGACGTCCGCAGTCGCGCCAAACACTCTGATAGGCTCGGTATGGGCGTGACCTTTGGCGGAATCAGCGCTGCCGTCTGCGTCGCGTCGAGTTTCTTGAGCCCGTCCATCCCTGCGCGAGTCTGCGCGGCTTCGTACTCCGCGCGCCGTTCGGCTTCCGAGTCATCAGACTCCTCAGACGAGCTACCCTCCGCCTCCTGGATGGCCTGGGCAATTATCTTCTTCTGCTGCCGCTGCGCCTTGCGCTGCGCTTTCTTGTCGAGGGAAATGCGGCCATCGTCAACGAAGTCTTCAAACCCCTCCATAACGTCCTCATCGTCTCGAACTAACCGCGTCTCCTTCTTTCGGCTCGGTAGCAGCGAGATCTGTCCTATTTGACTCATATCCCCTCCATCGTCGAGTGATATGAAATCTTGCTCCTGCGCAAGCCTTGCTCTCCGTTGCTTCTTCTCTGCGATCTCGGCTTCGGTGGGGATATACGCTTTATCCTCGTCGCGCCGCGATATCAGCTCGCCACTGGGTTCTACCACCGTCGCGCCCTCAAGCTCGCTAGCATCCAGTCCCCCTTCATCAGCATCCTGAGCGGGAAACTTTTGTAGATCCTTTGGCGTGCTCTTCGTGCTCATCTTCAGCTCCTCCAAGTAATCTTTGCTATACGTCGGCCGCTCCTCCTCCTCCCCTTCTCGTCCTCGCTGGTAAGCCGGTAAACTCAGCCGCACATTATTCCCTTCGATGCCTCGTCTCGGGGCTGCTTTCTTGGGCGTAAACGACTCGTCTTCTTCCAATGCTGCCGCATCATCGCCAGATATTATTTCTCCCGGCCCAAAGGATAACCGCGAAGCTGCGGGTTTCTTCTTGGTCTGTCCTGCCCGTTTGCCACTTGATCGTGACGGCCCAAAGTCAACCTCACGGATTGGCTTGGGTTCACTGCCTCCATCTGTGCCGGAGGTGTCTTGCGACTGTTCGTCATCGAAGGCGATACTGTGGCGCAAGGCTGATTTCTTGAAGGGTTTAGATCGGGCGTGCGAGGTTGTAGTTGGTTTTTCTAGGAGAAGGTGTCAGCTATGTGATTTGGATCAGCAGAGGACGCAGGGAGGGAACAATAAGGACGTACGTTCAACTGTGGCCTTGGGTTCAACAGGTGCTGGTGATGTTGTTGTCTCGTCGTCGTCGTCGTTGACCAGGATTTTGCGCGCCTTGCGCTTTCCGCCGAAGGAAGACATGGCGCAAGTAATGTTTCTATAGCGCCAACTATGCCCCTCAACAGTTACAATTTATGGCAGCGCAATGTTCACAAAAAGTAGGTTGATGTTGAGACACGGAAGTCCAAGGCTGATAAAAATGGTCGTTCCCAAGGCTACCTCACGTCTTTATCGGCACGTGACCTAGAAGACTCTAAATCCACAACCCACTCCAGCTCTTGTGCCGCCGCGTCTCAAGGTTCAGCAGCATATACACAACCCCGCCTCTCACAATGCCTCAAGCTCAGCCCGAGCTTAAGAAGGTACGCTTCTGTTCTTAAAGCCCGGTCTCTACAATGAATTCGCCGTGTCGGCGCATGCGACACGCGACCATGGCTGCGGGGAGTCAAATGATGGACTAGGCTAACTGAATATAGTACCTCGACAAGAGGCTCTTCGTCCAGCTCAATGGAAGCCGAAAAGTTATCGGAGTTCTTCGCGGATACGATGTTAGTCAATATACTCTGGTTCCACACGCCCGAAGCTTGTGCTGATACTATGCGTCTAGGTGTTCTTGAATATCGTGCTCGACGACGCAGTTGAGGAGAAGGAGGGCGGAGAGAAGGTCAGAATAGGGATGGTGGTATGTCGCACTCTACATGGCAAGAATATTCACGGACAGGAACTGATCGGTGTCTAGGTTATTCGTGGCAACTCGGTCGTCATGCTGGAGGCGCTGGAGAGGATAGGCGGCGATCGTCAGGACCGCGGATGAGCATGCGGTAGGGCTGGTTGGGATAATATGCAATTTGCTACGGAGGTGCGGCGTGAGCGGTGTCAAAAGGTTCGCACTGGACCTACACATACGGTGGGGTTGGACAGTGACGCATTGGGCGGAGGCGTAAAGGCTGTTATAAGCTTATAGGCAACAACATACGAATACCATGGGAAGACATCGCGCCCACCTGCAACTCGCTTTGAATTCTTACGTATAGTGCAGTGACATGGTGAATTGTGGAAGAAAATCGGTTGAGACGTTGACGGCACACCGACATTTCGAATGAGCTGCAGGTACCGCAACACAATAGCACCAACAGAATCGTATCATATTCACATATGCGGCTTTTGGGGGTGCCTGGAAACAGAAGTATGTTGAGCAGCATAGCCACAATTACGCGGCCTGCGGGTTCTATGTGGTATTAACCCGGTCAAGTTGTGTTTATTAATCATTAAATTTGAATACTGCTTCTAATTGTGCGCTACTTTTGAAACATACTCAACCTCCTGACATGCATCTAGGCAAGCTTGCGCGTCGCCAACCTCTTTTTGAGTCTGACAAAGCTCCATTTAAACGAGCTCGATGACCATTGCGGATGCTCCGCCACCACCATTGCAGATGCCAACAACGCCGATCTTGCCCTTCTGCTCCTTGAGAACATGGATGAGGGTGGTGACGATTCTTGCTCCGGAGCATCCCAATGGGTGTCCAATAGCAACGGATCCACCGTTGATGTTAACCTTGGCGGCGTCGAGTCCGAGAATCTTCATGTTGGCAAGGGCGACAACAGAGAAGGCCTCGTTGATCTCATAAGCATCAACCTGGGATGCGTCGATGCCAGCGTGCTTGATGGCCTTTGGAATAGCGAGAGCTGGAGCAGTGGTGAACTTGCTTGGCTTTTGCGCTGCGTCGGCCCAGCCAAGAATCTTTGCCAGGGGCTTAAGTCCCAGCTCCTTAACCTTGGCCTCGCTCATAAGCACAAGTGCGGATGCACCATCGTTGATTGGTGCCGCGTTAGGGGCAGTGATGGTTCCGCCGTTTGGCTGGAAAGCCGGGCGCATGGCCTTCAGCTTCTCGATGTTGAGGTTCTTGACCTCGTCATCCTTGTCAACAACCACGTTTGGCTTTCCACGGCCTCCGCTAACCTCCACTGGGACAATCTCGGCCTTGAAGAGACCGGCCTCGGTGGCCTTCTGTGCCTTTTGGTAAGAGTTGATGGCATACTCGTCTTGCTGCTCGCGAGTAATGGAGTGGTCCTGCGCACACTCCTCTCCCTGCATGCCCATGTGTTCTTGCTTGCCGTATGCATCGGTCAGACCATCCTTCAACACACCGTCGACAAGGGTCTGGTTTCCGTACTTGGCACCGTTGCGGAGGACTGGGAGGTAGTGAGGAGCGTTTGACATGGACTCGGTACCACCAGCAACGACGATATCGGCGTTTCCAGTCATGATTGTCTGCGCACCAAGGATGATGGCCTTGGTTCCTGAAGCACACACCTTGTTGACGGTGGTGGCAACAGTGGCCTCTGAGAGGCCGGCACCAATGGCGCATTGCCTGGCTGGGTTCTGACCAAGGTTTGCGGACAGGACATTTCCAACGAACACCTCCTCAACATCCTCTGGCTTGATTTCTGGGACACGCTCGACAGCGGCTGTAGTTGCTATTAGCATGAAATATTATAGGAAGGTAAGACTGCATTCGTAGCGTACCCTTGATGGCAAGACTTCCGAGTTGAATTGCGCTCAAGCTCGAAAGAGATCTGTCGATACGAAGTTAGAAATAGGTTCCTCATGCACGCGGGCAGAAAATGGTTGACATTGAGGGGTTGAGAACTTACCCCAGGAATGATCCGACAGGAGTCCTGACGGCAGACACAATGTAGACTGGAGGGAATTGAGACATGACTGCAATATAATATCTGAAAGTTTACAGATTTGAGGTTGGGAGTGTAGAGTTATGGTGGAGAAGTTGGAGAAAGGGAGAGAGGGTGGGGGGATAAAGGAGGATTTATCAATTATGGTGAGGGGCAGCGACAGTCGGGGACTCAACCGGAGCGGTTTAGCTCCAGCATTTGGCGGTGTACCGTTGTATGGGTTCCTGAAATCTTGGCATCAGCCCACAATCACACCAGAAGCTCAACCCAGTGGCTCGATCACTAATCGGCCCTAGCGTCTGGGCCAGAGCTCAAAACCCCAGCGAAGGTTGAATGAGATCACGTGCGGACGACGCGACCTTTCAAGATTCGCGAACATTTTAACAAGGCAGCAAGAGGGAAGGAAGCCAGCCTCACGTTTCCTATTCTACACACTCCAATACCGCAGCCATGGACGACCTCTATGATGAGTATGTTACCTTCCAATCTAGCCCCAGCTACAAGAACAAGAATATGCGCTAACTGTCAACTAGGTTCGGTAACTTCATTGGTGAAGCAGAAGAATCAGAAGATGATTCTCAACATGGCATTGATGCTAGCGCATATGTCTACGATCAGGAATACCCCGAGGAGGAGGAGGCGCCAGAGGTTACAGGGCAGGAGTTAATGGAAATAGACGAAGATGGGCCATCCAATGCAGTCATACTACACGAAGATAAGCAATACTATCCGACTGCGCAACAGGTTTATGGCGAAGATGTCGAGACAATGGTCCAGGAAGAGGATGCGCAGCCGCTCACACAGCCAATTATTGCGCCCGTCGAGGTGAAGAAGTTCCTGCTTGAGGAGGCAGACCTACCACCAGTTCACTTCGACAGACCGTTCATGGCAGACCTTATGAACTTTCCCGACCAAGTACGAAACGTTGCTTTTGCTGGACATTTGCACCACGGAAAGACAGCGTTGATGGACATGCTCGTTCTGGAGACTCACGATATCGCAGATAGACTCGAGAACAGGGTGGGAAAGGCACGGGACGAGCAATTACGATATACGGATACTTCTATAATGGAGCGAGACCGAGGGCTTTCTATCAAGGCTGCGCCAATGAGCTTAGTTCTCCAAAACACCAAAGGCAAATCGCATCTCCTTAATATTATAGATACCCCTGGACATGTCAACTTCGTCGACGAGGTGGCAGCCTCCCTGCGACTTGTCGATGGTGTTGTCTTGGTGGTGGATGTGGTCGAGGGCGTGCAGGTCAATACGGAGCAGATTATCAAGTACGCCGTACTAGAGGGTCTGCCTCTTGTATTGGTTGTGAATAAGCTAGATCGACTGATCTTGGAGCTGAAGCTTCCCCCTACGGACGCCTACTTCAAGCTGAAGCATGTTATCGAAGAAGTTAATACGGCCATTGAGAACGCTTTACCGGGCCAGGGCGAAACGAGAAGACTGAGCCCCGAGAAAGGAAATGTCCTGTTTGCCTGCAGTGGCATGCAATGGTGCTTCACTTTACAATCCTTTGCGAGGATGTATGCAGACACATATCCAGGAGTTAGCGCCACAGAATTTGCGCGCCGGTTATGGGGCGATGTATTCTTCAACCCAACGAAGAGATCTTTCACAAGGAAAGGGGTCGAGGAGCGTTCAAAGCGGTCGTTTGTTAACTTCATTCTGGAGCCCATTTACAAGCTCTATTCACATACTATCAGTGAGAGCCCAGAGGATCTCAAGGAAACACTGGCTACACTGAACATACACTTGAAGCCGTCACAATACAAGGCGGACGCGAAAGTTTTATTAAATTTGGTCTGTGCACAGTTCTTTGGGCCGGCTAATGGCTTCGTCGATATGGTTGTTGAACATATTCCATCCCCCGTGGAGGGCGCACAAAAGAAGCTCCAGCAATATTACACGGGTCCGTTAGACACAAAGGTGGCAGAGTCAATGGCAAAGTGCGACCAAGACGGTCCATTAGTGGTCCAGATCTCCAAGTTATTCAACACTAGTGACGCTTCAGGCTTCAATGCTTTTGGAAGAGTACTGAGTGGAACTGCTAAGCCTGGACAGCAGGTTCGGGTTCTTGGAGAGGGCTACTCTGTGCATGACGAAGAAGATATGGCGATTGCCACTATATCTGATGTGTGGATTGCTGAGACCAGGTACAATATTCCCACAGATGGTATTCCGGCGGGTAATTGGTGCCTTTTGGGCGGGGTCGATAATTCGATTGTGAAGTCCTCAACGTTGGTGCCGCTCAAGCTTGAAGACGACGAAGAGGCGTACATTTTCAAGCCAATCAAGCAGCTTACAGAGTCTGTTTTCAAGGTCGCCGTTGAGCCAATTAACCCGTCGGAGCTTCCAAAGATGCTTGACGGATTAAGGAAGATCAATAAAAGCTATCCTCTGATTACAACTAAAGTTGAAGAATCAGGAGAGCATGTCATTCTTGGCACGGGAGAGCTTTATATGGATTGCGTCTTGTACGATCTCCGTCGTCTCTACGCTGAAATGGAAATCAAGGTTTCAGATCCGGTCACGAGGTTCTGTGAGACGGTTGTTGAGACGTCGGCGATCAAGTGCTACGCGCTATCGCCAAACAAGAAGGTCAAAATAACGATGGTTGCTGAACCCCTTGACTCAGGAATCGCAGAGGACATTGAGAGCGGGAAAGTCAGCATCAGAGACCCAGTCAGGAAGACTGGTAAATTCTTCGAGGAGAACTACGGCTGGGACTTGTTAGCATCGCGCAGCATCTGGGCCTTCGGTCCAGATGATATCGGCCCAAATATCCTACAGGATGATACTCTCCCCTCTGAAGTAAGTTTTTACCCCAACTAGATATCAACGTGCATGATAACTAATATTTGCGCAGGTTGACAAGAAATTACTTGCCACTGTCCGCGATACTATCCGTCAAGGCTTCAGCTGGGGTACCAGAGAAGGGCCTCTGTGCGAGGAGCCAATCCGCAACACGAAATTTAAAATCACCGATGCAACTCTCGCTGCTTCACCAATCTTCCGTGGTGGCGGTCAAATAATCCCTACTTCTCGCCGTGCAGTTTACTCTTCTTTCCTTATGGCATCGCCACGCCTAATGGAGCCTGTGTATAGTGTTGCTATGACGGGACCTGCGGACTCTGTCTCGGCATTGTACACTGTTCTTGCAAGGCGACGTGGTCATGTCCTCAGCGATGGCCCAATTGCCGGAACTCCACTCTACAGGTGCCAGGGTTTAATACCTGTCATTGACTCGTTCGGATTCGAGACAGATTTGAGGATTCACACACAGGGTCAGGCGGCCGTCAGTCTTGTCTTTGAGCGCTGGAGTATTGTGCCTGGTGATCCTCTGGATAGGGAAGTGACGCTCCGACCCCTAGAGCCGGCGAGCGTGCAAGGAACGGCGCGAGACTTTGTACTCAAGACGAGGAGGAGAAAGGGATTGAGCGAGGATGTTAGCGTGGCCAAATTCCTCGAGCCGGAGCTATTCTCCAGCTTAAAGGAGAGCGGGCTTTTGGACGGCTGATAAGGCGGTTGGCTATAAAAGGGAAATCGGCGTTGCGAGCGGTCATTATAGGGCGTTGTGAGGCTGTAATATATGTATGTGGCGGACTTTATTATGAGTACATGTCCTCAAATATCTAAGCCAAAGGGGCTTGTTATTGTAGCCAAGATACAGATGAAATAAACTAATACCATTTCATCATTATTTGCACCTGATTTCATATTATTTGCGAGCCAAATCTAAGTGTCTAATATTCGAATACATCAACATGGCCACCAGAACACGATGTGTTACTTTCAGTAAATATCACCATAACTCTCTTCATCCGACTACTTAAATAGGAGAGCTAGAAGTCGTTATAACCAATTAACCACGTTTTGTTGTTGTCAGTCTGTGTCAGATTCATGACGTGTAGACTTAGCTTCTATCTCAACTCTGACGTCGATTCTCACAACATGACAACCACGACGTGGAAACCCCAACCGGCTTGGTCGTAATTAATATTAAACAATTATTCAATTAGAAATCGAGAATTGGAATTTCAACCAAGTAATAATCGCAGCATCACAGGCTGCTTTCAAGGTGGAGCAAGCCGTTGGGCACGATGGCAGCGCCACCACGCAACAGGATGTGAGCAACCCAGCACTAGATAGATCAAAATACGCCGATCCGAGCGGCGAGAAGATGAAAGCTTTGATATGGATGGGAAAGAACCATGTGGAAGTTCGTAAGTTGCACAATGCTTTTTTTAATTTCAGCCGGAATAAATGTGGTGCGGATTTATCACTTCAAGATATATTTGGACTGTGCCATCCACCATTCCCGACGGATACTCAATTATTTCCATCTGTGTACAAAACTCCAACTAATACACAACACAGAAGAAGTTCCAAAACCACATGTAGTGGAACCTAGAGACGTTGTCTTGCGCGTTACTGGTTCTACTATCTGTGGTTCCGACTTGCATCTCCTGCACGGGACCATTTTGGAGCTGCAGAAAGGCGACATCCTGGGCCACGAGTTCTGCGGCATCGTGGAGTCTGTCGGCCCGCAAGTCAAGAATGTCAAGCCTGGCCAGCGTGTGGTGGCCAGCTTCCAGATTGCATGCGGGGAATGCGGACCTTGCAAGAAGAAGCAGAGTAGCCAGTGTGAGAAGACGAATGAAAATTCGCTGGCAGCTGCTATGTATGGGACTCAGACTGCGTGGGTTATTAGCCCCGTCGAATCCTAAGGTTATTGGAGAAGACAAGGCTGATTGTCCTGATATAGTGGCCTTTTTGGATACTCTCACTTCACGGGTGGCTTTGCAGGCGGACAGGCAGAATACGTCCGTGTTCCGTTCGGGGACGTCAACCTCCTGAAACTACCAGATAGTGTCCCAGACGAGAAAGGTGCGTTTAAAACTTCCTTCTTAAAAGTCTGCCACTAACATGCGAAGGCCTCTACCTCTCCGATGTCATCTGCACAGCTTGGAATGCCATCGTAGACACTGGCGTCGAAAAGGGCGACGTCGTTGCTATTTGGGGAGCAGGTCCTATCGGCCAGATGGCTGCCGATTTCAGTCTTCACAACGGTGCTGCCCGCGTTATTCTCATAGACAACAACTGGCGCCTCGCCTACGCGAAGTCCAAGTGCCTCCGGGTCGAAACGCTAAACTACACCGCACTCAAGCGTGGTACGACAGTGACCTCTAAGCTGCGGGAGATGGTTCCTGGCGGCCGGATGTGTGCATTGAGTGCGCGGCAGGAGAGTACGCGAAGGGCTGGGCGCATTACTTTGAGTTGATGCTGGGAATGGAGACGGATACATCTGAGCTCGTGAACGAGATGCTAACGTCGGTGAAATCATATGGGCGCTGCGGTATCACGGGTGTATACACAGGCTTCACGAACCACTTTAACATCGGGGCGCTTATGGAGCGCGGGATTAGGTTGATTGGAAATGGACAGGCGCCTGTGCATATGTATTGGGAGAAGTTGCTGGGGATGGTTGAGAAGGGGGAGATTGACCCATTGAAGATGGTGACGCATCGGGTCTCCTTGGATGAGATGGACACGGTGTATATGAAGTTTGACAAGAAGGAGGATGGGATGCAGAAGGTGTTTGTGCAGACCAAATTTAGTGCCCCGCCTGCGAAGGGGAGCCCTGTGTTGACGACGTGGAAAGAGTAGAGGACAGTTGTAAATAGCGGGAAGAGTTAATTAATAAAAGAGTATAAATCACGAATACTGCAGTGCCTCTAATGCTATAGTGAACGTATGGGTAACGTGTAACTCATAGTAGAATGGTTGTTTTGTTCCAAATTTCATGTAAGCATTTAATATACACCAAATATATTCTATAAATATTTAACTCCAAATTCTTATTCCTTTAGAACAAACCCAACCTCATCCCGGTAGTCATCAACAATCCTCCCCCATTCAAGCAGTAGCCTGAAGAGATATACTTCTGCATCGGCCTCTCTAACCATACTCTCTGCCCTCGCTTTCCCTTGCTCGGCAATCAACTTTGCTTCCCTCACTTGGGCGTCCATACTGACCTGCTCCCCTTTCACCGTCCCAGAAAGCCCCATAAAATATGCCATCGTACTGTGCAGGCCCTGCCAGCGCATGTCGAGTGGTATATAATGTATCCAAGGCGTAAGACGTTTTTCGTACCAACTCTTGAAGATCCCAGACCGTACGGCAACTGAGCCAGAGACAACGTTCTTTAAAAACTCTTTTGGCTCAGAGACATCGGTCGTGAGTATGTATCGACTGGAATACCTATCTTCGTCGCTATCACTAAGCGTCGCATTGGTACCAAAATGTTTGCGCTGTTCCTGGCACTCTTCTTCCCGGTGACAGTTCTTCTCTGGAACTCCGGTAAAACCAGCGTCGACTTGTATTTGGTCAGAGATCGCCGCCAGTCTGACATACCCGTACTCATGTTTTTTGCCCTCAGTGTCAAAAGGTACTAGAATCGGGATCTTATAGTTGGACGGCGCTTGGTGGGCTAGTGTAACGAGGCGCTGCTCGCTGACCCCTTGCCAACTATGCGCTCCTAACCCAGACGGCGGAGCCTCGCCGCGCCAATATAGCACATCCCGCAGTTCGGCGAAAGGTTTTTGACCTGGGACGGAAAGTGAGAGATCTGGGTTAGAGGCTGGGCCAGAGGGAACATATGTCCCTGGAAGCGGAAATAGAATATCGTTGTACCCTTCAATTTTCCGCGAGCTGAATATGGGTATGAGTTTGTCGGCAGGGTAGCCCGTGTTAGGAACTGTGGCTGGCGAGGAAAGAAAGGAGGAAACCGTGCGAAGGTCAGACTGCAAGCAAGGGTCGAGTGAGTGAGATATATCGCGTATAAATTGTCCGGCGGAATAAGATGCGAAGCATGAGGTACAGAGGGTACGAGATGAGTGCGGATGTGAGCGCGCGGGCGAGTTCGAGGAGCACGTGGGTGCCATATAAGCGTCCCATCGAGAAATATGTCTAGCCATTGGCGGGACTGGTAGTCCGCTTTCAACGGCCGTCAAAGGGCCCCATTTTGATAGGGTGGCCCATGTAGTGATAATTGTCTCCCTTTCTTCAATATGCTCAGATCGATGCCCAGCAGATTCGAGCTTTGCTAGAGAAGAACGAGGCAATGCAATCTGTGGCGACGGGCTGGGGTTTAGGACAATTTGCATTTGAGGGAGCCAAGTAGCAAAAGATTTGATCATGTTGATGATAGGATCGTCCAGGTGCGAGTATTCCTCCGAAACGTGCACTGTGTTCACTTTCCCCATATCGATTTGGATGCTGATAAAGCTACTATTTTTGCGCTTAATGGTAGACTGTTTTCTAATCAAAGCAGGCTTCACACCCCAGAATGGGAGAAGGTCTTCATAGATCTGGTCGTAGTCGTCAATGGTGGTGCAATTCCGATCTTTAGCATACTCAAACCATTTATCAAAGTTTGGAGGTGGAAGTCGATGGTATCGAGATTTGTACTCGTCAACGGCCGCTGTGAGATTTTTGCTCGAAGAGGCTTGTTTGGACCAGGCATTAGCATTAACTTGGCCTTGGTACACAAGCAGGCGGACAGGGTGGAAGCCTATCGGATGTGTTAGCTAAGGTATTAATGATCGACGCGAAGCCAAAATGCCGCAAGCTTTCGTGGACTTACCAGCCTTATTACTTCGCCAAATAAAGACTGTTTCCGTGTAGATAAACGCTACAGCCAGTAGGATATAAAAAATAGCATGAACTCGGTTCAAGATATTCTGGGGTTGTTTGGCAGCCTCCCCGTATTTATATATTATAATAAAACTCATGTATCCAAAAACAAGTGAGGCAACCCCTAGAATCCTGGAAGTATCTGACTGCGGCGGAAACGGGCGCTTCTCGGACCAAGCATTAGCCACTAATGGGGCCATGACTGTCGTGAAAACAATGGTCATGACAACTGCGAAAGGCCTTAGGTCCGAATTGAGATAGGCGACACAGAATATAAGTGCTGTAAGTGCCATTCCATCGATGAAAATGCTGTATTTAAATGATGATGGCGTAGAAAGTATTGCCGTGATTTGAAAGGGGTGAACAATTAGATATAAAAACGCTGCGGCTGAGAGTAAAGCAGCAGATGCCATCATGATATATCCAAGCATACTTGTTCTCCGTTTGTCGTCATTGCAGCCAGCCAACAACTGCGACAATACGACAATGATAATGCAATCTAAACCAATACCCACAACTTGGAGACAAATAGTGTAGCTGCGCTGATTCAATGCTTGGGAACATACAAAAGCAGACGGTAATCGCGAAGAGGTGAGATATATTCCCAGAGTTAACAGGATCGTAGGAACGATGTAGCGGACCCGTGACCATCTTATTGTATCGAATAGGTCCTCTAACGCGCTGTTTGATATAGAATCTCTTATATCATCCGCATTATAATTCGGCGGACTAGTGACGAAATCATATATGGCGAATATAATAGGGAGAGATATAACCTGCTGAAATTAGTAAATGTATCAAAATACATATTGCTAACCTTTATGTTTATGAGGTATTGGCTACTCCGAATTGAAAATAAGAAGACAAGGCCATTCTGGAATAATGTGCAGAAAAGAGCTCCCAGTCAAGAAAATATTGAATAAGGGACAAGAACGATTGGAATGCGTGCATACCTCAAGATCCCTTGCTGAGCATTGAGCTGCTTCGGATATTTTTCTCAACGTCCCCACACGGATAACAGTACAGAAAACAAGAAGGCTGAAGACTAGTCTCCGCCTTTGGGGAGTGAGTTGTGCTGGGGCAATAGCAATTCGAGCTGGCGTAGCTGATATGCCGCCGCCATGACTCCTATACTCTCTACCAGCTCCTCCACGTCCTCTCCCTAAACGGGTAGGAATATTGGTTCTACTAATTGCCAGTAGGACAATGCCAGCAATGAAAAAAGCAGTGATAGCGGCATGAACGGGATGAACTAGCAACCGATTAGTAGCTGCCCGCGGCATTATTGGATTGTCGTACGCACTGAAAGAAGGATGCTCTTGCCACGTGATAGGCAGCCATGTGATAATTATACAAAAACTGTATACTGTGTTAACTTGAGGCCGAGAAAGGGAGTGACCGGACACGACGGATATCGGTACGTACCATAGTCCAATGGCTCCCATAAAGGGGCCATTTGCCATTGCGAAAGCCAAAAAAAATACAACTATACAAACGGACTAGTATGTCCAATTCATCGCGTTATCCCAGCAAAGTATGGGGGGAGGGGTGCTATATAAGCTTTCAGGGGCGTTGAGTTCCAGGATGGACTTGGTCATCCTTCGTATCTGGTCACGTGAAAATCTCTTTGGATTTCTGTTAATCCGGGGTAGGATAAGCTAGGCCGAATATAGCATGGTCGTGTTGTATCCCTGCAAAAAAGTTCTCGAGGGACGACTTTATCGCAAGGCTCGTCTAGCTTAATCATTTCGCAGCCTTTCGAACTCTCTGTTTCCAGTCGCTTCAACCCAGGTTCATATTGCCCTCCACAGGCAATTAGAGCACTGATAACGTCGAAGATATGGTTCGCAAAGCAGTGTATGTCCCAAGCTTCTCCTGTATGCAAAAAATATGCTCAACTGACACTTTCAAAGGGATTCGCGCATCCCCGCGCTCATTCGCAATGGAGTCCAAGAAAAGAAGAGAAGCTTTATCGTCGTCGTTGGCGACCGGTCCAAGGATGTCATCGTCCATCTTCACTATATTATGTCAAGTATGGATGTAAAGCAGAACAAGTCGGTGTTGTGGGCATACAAGAACAAGCTGTTGGGCTTCACCAGGTTAGCACACCCAATTTTTGCGGCAAGCGCGAGTCGGAATTGACCTTTAGATTTGCAGTCATCGGAAGAAGCGCGAGCTGAAGATTAAGAAAGATATTAAACGAGGAATCCGCGAAGCCAATAACGAAGACCCGTTTGAACTTTTTGTATCATTACACGACATCCGCTATGTTTACTATAAAGAGACGGAGAAGATCCTGGGAAACACCTACGGCATGTGCATCTTGCAGGATTTCGAAGCGATTACCCCCAATCTCCTCGCTAGAACAATCGAGACTGTGGAAGGTGGCGGACTTGTGGTGCTATTATTGAAGGGAATGAGCAGTTTGAAGCAGCTGTACACGCTGTCGATGGACGTCCATTCGAGATACCGGACAGAGGCCCACGACGATGTTACCGCACGATTTAACGAGAGATTTATCCTGTCCCTGGGAAGCTGCGAGTCGTGTCTGGTTATCGATGACGAACTCAACGTGCTTCCCATTTCGGGAGGCAAAAACGTGAAGGCGCTACCACCGCCAGACCTTGATGAGCCCAAAACCGAGAAGCAGAAAGAACTTGACACCATGAAAGATACACTACAAGACACTCAACCCGTAGGATCGTTGATAACCTTGGCTAAGACCGTGGACCAAGCCAAGGCTCTCTTGACCTTCGTGGATGCTATTGCAGAGAAGACATTGAAGAGCACAGTCACATTGACGGCGGCTAGAGGTCGTGGTAAATCGGCAGCACTAGGTGTTGCGGTGGCGGCTGCCGTTGCACATGGTTACAGCAACATTTTCATCACTTCTCCAAGCCCAGAGAATTTGAAGACGCTCTTCGAGTTCATCTTCAAAGGATTCGACTCATTGGGTTATATGGACCATGTCGACTACTCCATCATTCAGTCTACAAACCCTGATTTCAACAAAGCTATTGTCCGTGTTAACGTACATCGCCAGCATCGCCAAACTATCCAATATATCAGACCCCAGGATGCACATGTTTTAGGCCAGGCCGAGTTACTTGTTATCGATGAGGCAGCAGCTATCCCTCTGCCCCTTGTCAGAAAACTCATGGGCCCTTATCTGGTCTTCATGGCATCAACAATTAACGGTTACGAGGGAACTGGACGTTCGCTATCTTTGAAACTGATTAAGCAGCTCCGTGAGCAATCGCGTGGAACTACTAAATCTACAGGAGAGGACGCAGAGATGGATCGAACAAGCGGCAAGGCCATTAAATCCGACAACAGCTTCACAGGCGGCCGTTCACTACGTGAAATCACTTTGTCAGAGCCCATTCGTTATACCCAGGGCGACCTAGTTGAGAAGTGGCTCAACAACCTCCTCTGTCTCGATGCTACCCTCCCTCGCTCAAAACTTAACACCCAAGGCTGCCCTCACCCATCCCAGTGCCAACTCCTCAACGTCAACCGCGACACTCTTTTCTCCTTCCACCCCGTCTCCGAAAAGTTCCTGCAACAAATGATCGCTCTATACGTCGCTTCACATTACAAAAACTCCCCAGATGACCTTCAGCTCATGTCCGATGCACCAGCTCACCAGCTGTTCGTCCTTGTCCCTCCTGTGTCTGAAGATAGCGCTCGTCTTCCGGAACCCCTCGTCGTCATACAAATAGCCCTTGAAGGTCAGATTTCCAAGCAATCGGTGCTGAACTCTCTTGCTCGTGGACAGCGCGCCGCAGGTGATCTCATCCCTTGGCTGGTATCTCAGCAATTCCAGGACGAAGACTTCGCTGGCCTTTCTGGAGCTCGCATTGTGAGGATTGCTACCAACCCAGACTATATTGGAATGGGCTATGGTGCGCGGGCCATTGAGCTTCTCAACGACTTCTACGAAGGAAAGTTTGCAAATCTCTCCGAGGACGCCGCTCCGCTATCAGCTGAGCAGTCTATTACCCGTGTCACAGATGAGGAGCTTGCCAATGCTACCTTACTGGACGACGATATCAAGGTTAGGGACATCCGCAAAATGCCTCCGCTATTCAGCAAGCTCACAGAGCGCCAACCCGACAACCTCGATTATATCGGCGTGTCCTATGGTCTCACACAACCCCTGCACAAGTTCTGGAAACGTTCGCAGTTTGTTCCCGTATACCTCCGCCAAACAGCGAATGATTTGACTGGCGAACATACCTGTGTTATGCTGCGTCCATTGCAGAATGGGGACGACAAGGCTTGGCTGGGAGCTTTTGCTAGAGATTATCACAAGCGCTTCCTGTCTCTACTTTCGTATCAGTTCCGAGACTTCGCCTCTATCACTGCGCTCAGCATCGACGAATCAGCTCGTGGAGGCTTCAAATTGGACCCAGAGCATGAGGCCAAGGCACTTGTTAAGACGGAACTCGACGGTCTTCTCTCTCCGTTCGACCTGAAGCGCTTGGAGTCATATGCGAACAACATGCTCGATTACCATGTTGTATTGGACTTGATCCCAACCCTCGCGGCGCTGTATTTCACTGGCCGCCTCCCTGTGCTGAAGCTTACTGGCGTCCAAGCTGCGATTCTTTTGGCTGTCGGTCTGCAACGCAAAGACTTGACTGCTGTTGAGAGCGAGCTTAACCTGCCAAGTAGCCAGCTGTTGGCCATGTTCATCAAGATCATGCGAAAGTTGTCGAGTCACTTTGGAAGCCTAGTGACTGGAGCCATTGACGCCGAGCTACCAAAGCAGGAGACGCTTGGTGTAAGCCGTGCGGATGCAAGTGCCGCACACGATGATGAGATCATTGACGAGAGATTTGTGGCTCTTGAGACAAACCTGGAAGATGAGTTGGAGGAGGGCGGTGACGAGGCTATGAAGGCACTGCGGGAAAAGCAGAGGGAGCTTATTGATGCGCTACCATTGGACCAGTAAGTCTCTTTCCACATTGACAAGTTATAACTTAAACTAACGCAATTATAGATATGAGATCGCATCTGAAGCACCGGGGTGGGCACATGCCGAGCAGGAAGTCCTTAAGGCTACAAAGAAGGGAGCGAAGCCATCGGCTATCAGCGTAAAGACCCTTAAGTCAAAGAGGAAGGCGGGCGAGAGCGCGGCAGAGATTTACGAGGAGGAGATGGGAGAAAAGAAGAAGGACCGGGGCAATAAGAAGGCTAAGACTGGGAAGAAGTACTGAGGGTGATAAAATGGGGTGTGATTAGGCGTTGGCGTGGGTAGAATGTAGATATACGATATATGAAGGGTATATTATCTTTGATACTTCAATCGGAGCCGTGAAATATTACTGCAACAACCAAACTTCGCTGCCCTGTATAGTAGATATCCGTGACTCGAGGATTTGGAAAGCGGCAATATGGGCGAAAGATATGTTGTGGCAGAATTGCGGGCTGCCAATAAAACTTTCAACGTCATTCACCTGCATCGCTGGGATAGTGCATACAAAGTAAATCATTTCAAACCTCACAGAAAACAATGAGTATTATAACAGACTCCGCATCGTCTTCCTAATATCCTTCAAAGCCGTGCAGTGCACTTAATCGCTATGTATACATGATTCTACATCAAAACGCCAACCCGAGCCCTGGCTTTGAGCTAAAACAAAACGTAGAAAGCAGTGATTCCGGTTTCACGTCATCCAGCCGTTTACCTTCCCACCGTCTACCTTGTCTTCGCCGCAACTCCAGCCCCAATGACACCCGGCAACTTCTCGGACCCAATGCTGAACATCATCCCAATGGCGTAGCTTACAATCCCAATCAGGAGAGCGCTGAAGCCGGCGATGATCCAGAACTGCGCACTAATGTCCTGTTTCTGACACGCAGCCCCTCCCCAGTGGCCCTTCCTCGTTTTGTCGGTTGGGTCTGGGCCATAGCATTTGCAGGCAAAGCAGCTGGCGCCTGACGCTCCTTTGGCGGGGCCGAACTTACGGAAGCACTTCCCGTGCCCTGAACAGTTTTGTGTCGATGTGGTGCAAGACTCCAGTGTGTTGTAGCAGAGCGGCGGGAGACGACCGATGGGGGTAGAAGTAGGTTGAGGGCCAGAAAGAGTGGAGGAGGACGAGGAAGAGACGACGTCCGACATTGGCTGTTCTTGTTCTCGTTTCCGAAGATCGGAGTCAGAACCCGGAAGCGAATACGATCCCCAAGGCTGCTTCTTGAAGCGGTTGGTCTGTCCTGGTGTCATCAGAAGGAAAGTGGCTTCGAGGTCTCCTTTTTCGATTGCACTGAAAAGAGAGTCTTGGCTCCTGACGAAAGTGTCGAAGTCGGACTGGAAGTTGTTAGTGGTGATTGTGAGAGGTAGACAGAATTTACTTACACTATCCTCGGTGAACTTGTGCATGATGTGGCTATTCTTGTTGTGCCAGCATTCGGAGGCAGACACATCGATGGCCTTGGTAAGAGTGCATTGCTCATTAGGAAGCTCTCGCGGGGAAATCTGCTGTTGGATGTCTCGAACGAGAGTGCCAACGGACTCACGGCCTGGACTTCCTACCATCACAAATGATGGCTCCGTCCGACCCTTTTCACTCCATTTGGCCTTGAGGGCCTTGCTTCCCTCAAGAGAGACGTCCAAGAACACCACCAGGTGCCTAGGGGAGGTTGTCCCCGCAACATCCTCATCGAAGAGTTTAGGGTGCTGCCCGCCAAACGTGTTGATGAGTTTCAGCTCCTTTTCACTCCTGTCTCCGGCACCTAAGCTATGGTATTGTGTGACATCGAGTTGTTGCGCCAGGACAACCCTGACTTGCTCTGGAGTAAGGGAAACGGATCCGGCATCCAGTTCCTTCGATGCTGTGAATACAAAGCCGTCGATGCGTGAGGAAGTAGCATGCGCTACTCCAGCAATTGCCGGCAGTAGCAAGCCAAATGAGAGCCTCATAATTGCTGTATGAGGCCTTTCGTACGGATGGAGGCACTTAACTGTCGTCTACCTTGCGAGTCGCGATAGCGTCGACGAGCTGTAGCTCATTGGGCGCGGTTGCGCTAAACCGAATACAGAAATATTGCCATAATTTACCGCCCTCCGGGGCTCAACTTTGTAGGCGTCCTCGGCCACGGCGCCGATCAGAATCACCAAGACGATATGCGCCTGGCGTTATTGCAACTGAAAGATTGCATATGTCAAGACGATTAGATTTCGGATGAGACTTGCAGCTTCCAACGCCTAAAACAACACCTCGTTATAAGATAAACGCCCTACAAGGCTTGCTAGCCCCCCGAAGGGGCCCCTGATGGCCCAAATGTTCAGGGCATTTCGTGCCACATCAAGCCTTTTCAGGCTGAACCGCCTGCCTTTATCGGTTCACGCGCGAGTACGACGGGATGGTGGCAATGCATTAGTTCAAGGGGTGCGCCTCAAGAAAGCGCCTAAGAGCAGGAGGTAATTGCCGGCCCCGCCACAATCTGTCGTTCGTAAACTGATCGCCTGTAGATATATCCTCGGTTCAGCAATAGGAATACTTATGATGTATAATATCTTCACCAAAGTAGCTTTTGCACCGCTCGATAAACTGGCAGATGAATTCGAGAAGGAAGGGACCATATCGGACAGCGAAACGCCGGAAGAGCTGGAAGATGCGCTTTTCATACCATTCCCAGGCACAATCAAGCAAATTCCTCAAAGCCCGTATCGAGGCAGCGACCCGGAATGGCAAGAGTATATAAAGTTCAGTAAAGATCTTGAGCTTATTAAGAAAGTTAGAAGTAAGGATTATCATCTGTTTAATGAAGGCTTGCTAACTGACTGTGAACAGTTGAACTTGCTGAGATCACTAGACGATCGGTTGAAAACGCAAAAGGGGGCAAAGGTGCTCGAATACTGAAACACTGGCTGGACGTCATCTACCCTTCCGGCCCTCCACCAGCTTTCGTGCATTCAGGGTACGTTATACAACCCCTCCTCTGCCTCTCCACACATTACTGACATTTATCTGGCTTGCAGCATTGAAATTACGGACGATTTCGTTTCCTGGACCACCGTTCCCATCGATCAAGAAACTGTTTTGCGACTCCACCAAGCTTTATTCCCTGTTGCTGTAGCAAAAGCTAGTTGGAAGTTTGTGCAAGTTCTCTTCAGCCAAGATCCAGAAGAGAAAACACGCAGCATAATGCGTGCCCATTATAGGCTTCCTGATCCTGCCGAGGTTAAGAAGACATATCCTGCTCTAGCCTCAAGCGACAAAAAGGTAACCGAAGAAAAGGTTCGACAAGCCAGAGTTACAGGCGGGGTCGGCGTTACGACACAGGCCGGCAATTTTAACAATTCCACGGCACAACAGACCCAGGAGTCAGCTAACAAGCAACCGGGCGACATTGGCGAAAAGGCCCTACAAACCCAATCGAATGCCGCATCAGCAGCTAAAAACGGGAACCAGAACGCCAGTGACCCACCAGAGCACAGGACAATCAGAGATAGTCATATGTATAAGATGATGACCAAACGCTGTAGTCACGCCCTTTTTACTTTCAGATTCACCAATACCGCCAATTGGAAGCAAGTGAAAGTTATACCTAGGGGCAGCATCGTAGTTACCGGGTGGGTAGAGATAGAAACGCAACTTGACTTTGTTACTTTGGAAGTTATTGGAGTATGGGACCCCAAGACGAAGACATATGATGCTAGGAACTGCCAGTTGGGAGTGCGTAGGACAAGAAGAAAGAAACAGAGTCCGCGACCTTTTTAAGATAGGATAGTCTTGGCAAAGAGGGATGAATATGGAGGAGCGAGGGGTTCGAATTTGCGAATGGGAAGGCATGGGATGGGCATTCGAGGCGTTCAGCGGCATTTGCACGGCGCTTTGATAATGGGCGATTGTTCAGGAGTCGGCAATTAATATATATTGCCGGCGGGCTACCGAAGGGAGGGAGACCACTACTGATGGGCGATTACTCGACAAGGTAGACAAATAGACCATTGTATTATAAAATATCATTATAAAAATATGGAAGTCCAATAATTGCTTTGTTGCTGTAGTATTCTCTCATAATGCTGGAGTTCCCCATCGATAAATACAAGGGGTTGGACCCGTACATTTCCTATCTTCCCGATAAGCTCCCTAACTCCACCCCACATTGCGTCATGGATGATGGTTACATGATGCAACACGACGTTCAAAGTCGCAATCCAGCGTTGCAATCCACGTCCTCCAAGATTACACAGAGAGACTTCAACACAATATTTCTGTTTGCCAGAACTACTCAGCAGCATATTTCAAAAACATGGCGCTCGCACCGAAGTTCTATGGGCAGCTTTTTACCTCGCTTTCACATGCACCGAAGGTCCACACGTTGGAAGTTTACTTAGACTATGTCTGTCCGGTAAGATATCCACAACTTCACGTAACCTCGCAGGACTACCGGGCAGCTATCTAACTAAATTCCAGTTTTCCAAGAAGCAATTTGAAACCCTCTATGAGAAGGTCTTTCCCATCATAAAGACGAAGTACACAGGTAGGATCAACGTTGTCTTCCGCCAGCAAGTCCAGCCATGGCATCCCTCCTCAACCCTGGTCCATGAAGCAGGCGTTGCAGCACTGCGCCTGGACCCCAAGACATTCTGGGCCTACTCAGCGGTGTTGTTCAAGCATCAGACCGAGTTCTTCGATGTCAACGTCGTAAACGAAACGCGCAACCAGACATACAGACGCCTTGCCAAACTCTACGGTGCCTTGGGGGCTTCTGGCCCCGGGACCCACCAAGCTGACGAGGATAAGCTCTATGAGTTGTTGGTTGTGGGAGAGAAGGCTGGCGAGGGAGGGGCGTTGAATATTGGGAATAAGGTCACAGATGATCTGAAGTTGCTCATCAAGCTGGGACGACAGACAGGGATCCATGTTTCCCCTACTGTGCTGTGGGATGGTCTTGTGGACAATAGCATTAGTAGCTCGTGGACGGTGGAGCAGTGGGATAAGTATTTTGAAGAAAAGGTGCACAAATGATTGAGGGGAAGGCTGTAAGAGAGTAACTTTATGACAGCAAGACCAAATGTATGAAATGGGGCTGTACATAATGACAGAAATCACAGCAACTATAACATGGCGTGTAATCACTTAGAGCGGCAACCAGTAAGCAAGCCACTGATAAATGGAAGTGAAGAGATAAGTTCCAGGAGATTAAACTGCTGACATTAACCCTGTTATATGCAATCCATCGGACTTTGAGCGACACGAGTAGGCAGCATTAGAACTTCCTCTTCTTTTTCGCAGGCGCTTTGGCTTTCTCCTCCAACTGTCGCTTCAACTCTTCTCGTTTTCGCTGTGCTCTCTCTTCCGACGTTTCTCGTGGCTTCTCTTCCTCCTTCACCTCCGTCCGTCCTCTTGACTCCTCATCAGCGCCAGGTTCTTCTTTGGGAGGTTTGTGTCCTATCCGGCCAAGTCTGGACTTCGTGGCTTTTGGTGGGGCTTCTGATTTTTGAGCGTCTGGTGCATCCTCCTTTGGTGGAGACGCAGGAACTGGCGGGGGATCAGACTTCTTCCCTCCGATCTTCCCAAGACCTCCTTTCTTCGCGGCTTTGGCGGCCGGTTTTGGAGGTGATTTCTTTTGAGGCGTAGTGGGCTTGGATGGAGCTTTCGGACCCTCATCCTCTGTTTCAGTTTCATCGTCATCGGCACCATCCTGTTTGTGGCTCCTTGTGGCTCTTGCGACAGGTTCGGGCTCTGGATCTGGCTCTGGCTCTGCTTCCGGCTTCATCTTGGTGGCTGTTTTTGCGGCCTTTCCCCCCCCCCCGATCGCCCCGATCTTCTTTGTTTCTGGGCGCACTGCCTCTTTTGGTGCGGGAAAGCTGTCGCGGATAGTGACATGCTGCGACTGAGATGCACCGAGGTCATCTGAATCGTCTGTACCGTCATCTGACAATTCTTGCTTCCGGGTCGGTTTCCGTGATGATGAAGGTTTGGCTCTTGACGATAGTATTTGTTGGCGAGGTGGCGTTGCCGCAACTTGAAAACCGTCCGCGTGCCCATCTGTTCCTTCATCCTCAGTTGTATCCATATCCGCGTCTGCCGGTTCAGCCTTCACATCCTCCGCAGCAGCATCATCGACATTCCCTCCATCTTTTGGCGTCGACAAAGGTATCGCCCCATCTTTCAACTGATCCCACCATTTCTCAAATCTGCCTAAGAGTTCTGCACCATGGGCATGTGACCCAACAGGAGAATTCTTAGTGAAAGCACCTTGGATGATAGTTTTCACACCATCATGTTCGTCTTCAGCCTCGGCCTTCCGCATGGCAGTGCGCCACTGCTCTTGTGCAAATACTTCCAACCCCTTCACTTTCTCCTCAACCACCCTTCGCGGGGTTTTCCTGCCGCCTTTACCCGCAACCGCAGGGAAAAGATGCCCCAGCTCTGCCCCCGTAGCCTCCAATTTGTCCACCAACTTCTGGATGACGTTATCTTTATCGCGCAGCAAGCCAACCAGGCTATCAAGCTCTTTGAGCCTGGCATTCTGAGCACACAGAAGGGGTATGGTGAAATGCATAGCAAAGTCACTTTGCGGGCAGGAAGAAAGCCTTATTGTCCAGTTCAAAGGCTGCAGCGGCTTGGGCAGAGCAATGCTCATATTTATTTCCAGATTTCTCGCCCCCGTTGAACTTTCCTTGCCCGCATGAGTGTCAAGGCCGAGGAGGAGGTCAACATCCTTCCCTCCCTCAAGACCCAGCGAGATTTTCTCGAGGAAGAGCTTAAGTTGACCAGCATCCTCGCTCGGATCGATGCTAGTGTCCTCGGCGAGGCTTCGGCGCAGAATAGCGCGCCGGTCGAGATCTTCGCACCAAAGATGGGCAAGATCTGTAAGGTATATCTTATATGAATCCGTGGTGAAGGTAGTTGAAATTAATAGAGGGGGCATGCGGGAGTCTATCGCTGATATCATGAACGGGCGCCATGATACAGCCATTGCAAGCACCTTGTATAGACTTCAAATCGGTAAATACTTCGGTAGCCGTATAACCCCGTAATCTGGATAGTGAAGCACTGAGATGAGAGTGCTCTAAAATGACGTTGGGTTCATATATCATCTGATACCAAGCGGCTCTATGGCTGATATTGGAAATTGTACAGTCGAACCAGGCAACCAAAAATATATAACGTCGTATGGTATCAGGCACCAACGAAAGTTCGAGGTAATAGAATCGGTATTATTAGTCTCAAGCTGAGGCATCGACAGTGAAATATATATTAGAGCTTTGACGTTCACTTTATATGCTAGCACGTGACGAAGGCTATTTTGTCAGCCTTGCATATCTGCCTAGAAACCGAAGCTACCAGCTCCTCCCCTGTCTCACAACAAAGCTCGACTTCACGGCCAGAGACAAGAAAATAAAACGTCAACTACATGGGACGAGAACTACTTCATAATGGCAGTACCTCCTGCAAGCTCGCCGGTTGGTACTGTGCCATTAGTTTCCACGGTATGTACAGCTATCATGTGTCGATGGAGCCTCTTGCTAACAGCCGTATCAGGTTGAACTGGCCGACTTCTACACGAAGCACTTTTCGGGACATTCTAAGGACCACTTCGCCACCACTTTCCTAGCTGAGGGAGTCACCGAGGAGGAAGATGACAACTTAGGATACTACGATGACGGCGTTAAGAGGACCTTAACAGACGAACAGATCGCCATGTTCCGTCATACTGAGATTGAAACACTGTTGAGAGAGAAGAGAAAATCCGATGAGGCCAAAGCGGACAAGGCAGAAAGAGCATCCGACTTGGAACGAAAAGCTGGAGAATATCCTGGATCTCAGGGTGCATCTTTGCTTAGCACCCAAGCTTCAAAGGCGCCACTCACTCAGTCAGAAGCTGGACAATTATCACAAACGAAACCCACAGAGGACAATAAGAAGAAGAAAAGCCACTTCAAGAGGAATATCAAACCTGACTTGAGAAAGAGAACTTGGGACCAGGTCGACCATGGCTTGGAAACGTTAGACTACGAAGAAGATGTTGCTCGGCCTTCACCAAAACGAAATGCAGGACCTCAGCGAAGAACAATTTCGTATGACGACGTGTGAAGCCGGTACTATAACTGTCGGACTTTATAAATAAGATACTATCTGCGACGATGCTGAAATTACGGCACGCATAACCCCTCGAGTTGCCAGTCCCCGTGGTGCCATAAGATCTTGGCATACATGAGACTCCCCATCTATTGTAAGTCTCACAAACCCTCTTCTCTCAAGATATTACCATGATGAAATCCATTGTATCGTCATCCTTAGTCGGACTCGTGCGGAGTTGGCATGACGTTTGCTTGAGTTAAGCAGTCTCCCCAAATTGGGGGTGGGTGGCTGTCGAGCTGGAGCAGATGGATTGCTGGTTTACGACGCGATCATGTCGAAACACAATCTTCTCTCTGAATCACATATCTCACTGTTACGCTCTCCATAAATATATTATCGAGCCTCTGCTGACACTAAGAAACAGGAAAATTATGGTCATGTTAAGTTCAAAAGATCATTGCTGGGGGCTATGAAGGAGGGACTTTTATCCAAGTCTCTTACCAAGCTAGAATTGCGACATCAGTCAAGAACAGCTTGAGCATAACCATGTGCACTTTTCCATGACTTCAGGTTTACTGTTGGGCCCCTTGGATAGTATTGGGCATATGGCATTAGGGGTTTTCTATCCTCCGCCAGGCCACCCTCCGTTAGGGTACTCAAGGTACAACTTTCCAGCAACCTCCAAGGACCAAGTTGCAGGTGCCTCGGCGACCCAATTGGTTTGGTGCTAGATCGCTAGCTGAGCTCTAGCTTCTCCAACCACACACTCTGAAATGCAATGTGTGGTTCTAGAAGACTATAATTTGTTCTATGCTGTCTCAGGATTACATCCGTGTTATCACACCAAGACTGATGCGGGGATCTAATACGCCAAAGTCAACATCTATCCAGAACCCAACATCAGTGGCGTCCGCGCAACATACAGTACACCATCCCAAACAGGGCTTTTCTGTGCAGATTACTTTCTAAGCCAAGATATGGAATGGAGACCGGTGGGATATGGCTGGCTGAGACATTATCGTCCATTTCGCCACCAAGACTAGAGTGGCAATGTGAGGAGGCGTCAATGAATCCTGAATCTGATATGTGATATTGTTGATACAGTGCGTTGACCGTTGTGGTGATACTTGACCTGCGTCGGCGGAACCTACCTCAATGTGGCTGACACCCAGTCCCAGCCTCGCCGGGGACGGTTTTGGAGGCCCGCGAGTGGCACAGAACCACGGCGGCCGCTTCCAAACCGGGTAAGCGTACACAGTCAAACGCACCTTCGAAAGGTCGTTGGATGTCTTCTAGAACGGCACGGACCGTGGGGGGGGCGCTTACTGTGTGCGTATCATAGAACCCTATGAAGATGTGATAGAGTGATAGAGTGATAGGTGAAGTCTGAGACAGGAGCTGAAGTGACCTGTCAACTCATTAGTGAACAATGGACGTATGTGGGATGGAGTTCTTGTCTTGTGGCTTACGGAACCTGGCACTAGCCAGCTGCATGTTCTACCGACATAGGCATGGGCATTCACTTCTCACCCCTTGCATGCAGATGGTCAGGGATGAGAACCCTTCTAGAAAACTAGTTTCGAAGGAATGTTATTTGGACTGCATGATAGACAACCATATTTACCTATTTACTCATAGTACAGCATGCAATGGAGTTTGGATTCCAGCTAAGGCAGGCAATATTGACAAAACCCGGGTAGGAAGAGTATCCTGGGGCACTCGTCAACAATTCATGAGAAGGAGGCGCTTGAGATCTGCCAATACCGTACCAAATCGTTGAGCAGAAGTAATATCATAGCCATCCATGCACTGTAAACCAACCGTACTATGTACTGTAGGAGTGCTCGCAATGTTCATTCGTTAAAGGCTCGCAACGAGATACCACTTTTATGGTCTGCCGCCGCAAGGAACTGACAGTTGGGCCCGGCATCTATCCCCGCATGCATCTACACGCGCAATCTCCTCCCTCATCTGATAATGCGGACGTGAGGGGGCGCTTCGCTATCTACTAGCCGCGGTCTGCTGCAGCTAAATCTACTTGTAAGAGACGTGGGGGGTCATCCCCATACCCAGGTGTGGTAACTCTCGAGTTACTACTCAAGGCTTTGTAAAGGCTTAGAAGGCTTGCACACCACCAGCTCCACAATACCCCAAATCTTAGAATGCAACTACTGCAATGGGGTCACACAATACACCCTGAATATAACTAGATCTTCGTACGAGGCCGGTCCAATCGCATCCTGTCTCATCCTAGCCCATACCCTACTGTACTGTGGCTGCCGCGACGGCGTTCGTTTGCACCCTCTCACTGGCCATCTCGCCTGTACCATATCTAGGATACGCGCCTCGTCGCCAAATGCCCGACCGAGAGAGGTCTCGGAGACTATCATGCGCCGAGACAGCGATGGGGTGTCATCCTGCATCATTAGAGGGTCTTGGATGCATCGAGGACACGCACTAGTACTCGTATATCTTGGGGGGTGAAAAGTGACACATGAGGTGAAGTGATGGCCGCCTGTGAGATGCGCGGCTTTCCCGCTTTTAGTGATGCACCGAGAAGGCCTCCTTTCACGATGGCGGAACGATCTAAGATCTGCACTCGGACAGGGGCAGGGGAGGTGGACATATGCACGCTACGTGAAGGTTGTTGGTTGTTGGGTGCCGGTGATGGGGGGCTGGCCAGATGCACGCACGACGTGTGAACTCGGTTGCAGGTAAGACGCAAGATTTATCACTGTGGAAAACGCCAGTAAGCTGGATGGATAATGCCGTTTGTGCTGCTACAAAGTGCGTCAAGCACACCCTAAAGTTACGATCTATTGAATTCCAAAATGCCCAGCCCAGGACCATTATCAACACTGACCCTTCGACCCGCGGAGGTCCCGCCCCGGTAGTCGTGGGGGCTGCCACTATCCAAGACAATCCAAGCCACCAGAATCCCCAAAAAGCAGCGACCAACATCCAAAATCCTAGACATCCTCCGTAGATCTTATCACGCGATTACATCACAGCCTCTCCCACACATCACCAGTTGTTTCCGACACCTTACTTCACTAGTGCCCATGCATCCCCGGCCATAACCCCTCACCGTCAAAGCTGGGTAACCCATTGTGAGTAAACACTGGCCCATCATCCCCTGTATACACACCCTGTACATGGCCCATATCATACACCGCCACATCCATGCCCTCAAACGACGAATCCTTGAAGTAGTACGGATTGGCGACGTTCATCCCAGCTGCGGCTGTTGGTGTCGTTGGCGAGAACGGACGCTGTTCCGAATCCTCCTGCGGTGGCGTTGCCATGGTGCGTAACTGGTGATATCTCCTCCTCTCCCTGCGCGCCTCTCTGTCCCTCTCAGCATCCCTCGCTCGCAAGGCCTGCCCATCAAAGCCTAGGCTGCGACCTTGGGTCATTCTCAGGGTCTTCGTTCGTCCGGCCATGCTTCCCCCTTTCTTGCCGGCGTTCTGACGTGATGCGTTCATGGCGCCGTGCGAGTCTGGCCGTGCTGACTTTTTTGAGGTGGTCTTGCGGTAACGAGTCGTGGGAGTGACACCGTCTGCGATGGCCCAATCTGCAAGGACCCATTCCGACGTCTTCTTTGCGGGTGCATCGGATGGCGAGGCGATTGTGCGGTCTGTTTTACAGAAAGCCTGGATAATATGTGAGTACAGTGAAGAGGTTGCACTATGAAAAAATGATAACTTACTGCGTTCATTGAGAGATTGTGCCGTATGCTGTTGCGCCAGCCAGAGCCAGCTGAAGACCCCTTCTCCGTGTTATCAATGAACCACTGGTAAATTTCCTGTAGAGCCATGGAGTGGCTTGGAGCGCCCATCAAGGCACGGTGGATGAGCTTTGCGTAAGGTTCTCCGATTTTGCTTTCTTCTGTGTTCGAGGCAACATCATCTTCAGCGTCGTCTTCAGCCTTGCAAGACGCAGCATCTGGCAAAGAAGGTGTCCGAGACATCGAGACTTGTCTCCTGTAATAGCCACCCGAGTTTCCGGTTCTGAGGTTCTGATCTGTATCACGCAGCTGGCATTGCAAGGACGGATCTGAAAGGCCAAGACCCTGTATCATCTTTGGGCTGTATGATTGCTGGTGGTTTCTTGGACAAGCTGTTGTGCCGCTTGTGCCAGTGTAGAAGACATCCGCGTTCTGGTTGTTGGTATAACCAGAGTAATAGCCTCCATGAGAAGTATTGGAGTAATTTGGACCGCCGAGCCCAAAGGAATTCATGTCTGGCGACAACGGCGAGTCTTGACGAAGTAGCCCGTGGAATGATGAGCCTTGCTCGCTCATATAGTAGTGATCTTGCTGAGATTGTTGAAGATTATCCAGAAGAAAAGAACAAGAGCCCCGCGTATAAAAGGGAGATTCTGAGGCACGAATCTCTTGATCATGAAGAGGGGAGTCACCGAAACGTTGCCTGGCGTTTTGAAAGTTGTTTGTGGCCATGATGATGGTGATAGCTCTTCTAGAGTTACACTCGGGAATCTTGTAGTAATAACTGAAACGTGTGTCCAAAACGAATATATCAGACATGGAGATCAAGACATTGAGATCTCGGATAAACTAGAAAGAAGTATTCTGGAAGAGGAACAAGGAGACTAAAGCAGCCCATAGATATGGAACGGAGCAGGAGTGGCTTGTGGCGGGGCCAAGAAGCCGACAGATAGGAAACGGGGATGCCATTCTGCATGCGACGTATTGCCAACTCACAGGGCGGTCCTGGTGTGTGTGACTGGGAGAGGCAAACGGGGCAGGGCGCAATATGCAGCAGCCAGGCCCTGGACGGAGGAGGTAGAGAGGTAAACAGGAGAGTGCCCTACTTACCGATACAAGATGGTCATGGAAAACAATCAGAGGATTGCACGGCGGGACGGAAATAGGCTTGCAAGTTGCATCTGGGCGACCAACCAGCTTGGTCAACTCACATGGTGGTAGGACAGTGATTTGCGAAGCGGGATGAAGGAAGCTACATGTCCGCACATGCAGCAACCCATAAGTTGCAGGTAGCCACAGGAAATAGTGTCAGAAACAACGTACCGGAGGCGTTTTAGGTGGGTGCCGTCGCCATTCACGGATTGGCTCCGTAGGGTCTCTGCATTCGACACAATTGGACGACCCTGGAGGTCTTAGAGTTACCATCTTCTAGAACAGCGCTAGAAGTATCAGCGTTCCATTGAGGGGGCGGTTGGATGGCGTCGGGTTGGAGATCGGCGGCGGATTCTCATTGACTCCACCGACGGAGAACGAGCATCATAATTTTATGCTCGTGGGCGCCTCCAGTATGCAAGCGGATGCAGCAGCGGAGCAACGACGCAGCAACGACGCAGCACACTCACACGATTTAAAAAGCAAGCAGCGATGAAAAGGCTACTAACAGAGCAAATATTGCATCACGAATTGTTTGATATACAAATGTCGCGTAGTAGTCATTGCAGGCTTATGTAACCTACCCACTTCACCGGCAAACCCCTGCGATCATCCATATCATCGCTGCCATATAATAATTTCAAGACCAGAGCCACCTTGTTTGTCCTAGAGTCGCCTCAGAAAGCAACTACTTCTGCCCCTAGGCCCGTCCTGGGTGCAGCTGCCAGTATGTAATGTACAAAGCACACGTTTCCGCTACTTCCTGTAATAAATCTTTTTGAACTGGAAATGAAGTGAGAGAATGCCCTGTATCAATGTCAGCGATTGGTCTTCAGCAAGTAAGGTTCCGGGTGACAGCTCCGATGTCTCGGATACTGGAATAACATACCTTGTCAAAACTGCTTTTAAACCCTCGGTCTCTTTTAGCAGAATAGTCCCATTCTTTGTCGACGATGCGGAAAGCGATGTCTTCATATGGAGGGCCAGCAATAAAGCGGATCAAACACGTATCCTCCTCGCCTGCGGGGGCAAATGATTCTCCTCGTTTGCGGCCATGCTCTCGAATGATCTTGTACGTTGGCGCCTTCACTTTGTCGATGAGATCTGGATAGAAAATATTGAACTTGTAGCCTTGGACCACTTTCGGGGGAGGATTATCATGATCGTAATGGGTCTGGTTGTACTTGTTCCATTCGTAGCCCATCTGCACCCGATTAAAATACTTTGGCTTTCTTGGGCGATACTTGTCCGCCCATTGAGGCACCAATGCCGTCGCAACACTCTCTTCTGCGGTGAAGATCTCCTCATTCTCGTCGATTCCTCGGGCAACCTCTCTTTCATATAAGTGTTTCGTAGCCTGAGAGAAATCTTCATTGACCAACGTGGAAAACCTTTGCGTGCCTGGCGGGTGTATGCCAACTGTCGTGCTACCGCTGGGCTTTTCCGTGTGACTTTTGCCTTTCTCGGCCGTAGCCTGCGGCATTGGCACATATCCCAGCTTGAGAATCCTAACCCGCTCCGCAGATACCTTGCGTAAAAAGTCGGACTCATCCAGGATCTCGGTTTTATGTTCAGTGCCAAGCTTCAGGAAAGGCTCGGGGTCATAAACTTGAGAGTATGGTATCGCAGCGACGGCAGGCACCCCAGGTTCTACTGCAGCAATAATAGACTGCAGCTTGTTGCAAACACCTTCGGCATCCTCCTGTTGCTGCTTTCGTAGGGCTTCGAGGCGACTATCCAACACTGACTGGTAGACTTTCTTTAGCTTCGCTTTTGCCTTCCATATAAGCAAACTCTTCAACAGTTGTTCCCAATAATCCACATCGATATCTTCGTTCGACCGTAGCTTTGATCGGATCTGCTTCTCGAGAGCTTCTAGCTGCTCATATGTCTTCGGCCCAAGCAGCTTATCAACGTCGGCTGCCACCGAACTAACTGCTCGTTCCTCCGGGCCTCTAGGCTTCAGCTTCTGGCGTCTATCATTGCATATGATCTGCATCGTTTTCCAATACTCCTGGTTCCTCATGTTTGTTTCGAGCGTAATATATGACGTGATGTCTTGCTCAAGCTCAGCCAGCTGAGCATCATCTAACCCTTCAAATACGCCCTCTGGGTCCACGACATCGGCTTGTACCTCCTCTTCATCATCGTCCAGGAGATCTCGATCAGGATCAATCACTCGTAGTATGACTGCCAACCAATCGACCGGTTTCGCCCTGCCTTCTCTCACACGAATATCCGCTTTCTTTTTCGCCTGCTTCAGCACAAATTTGTCCTCCTCCGAGACCCACTTGCGTGTTTGTTCATCCTCTGTTGTTTGGTTGCGTCGTGGTCGTGCCTCTTGGAAACTACGACTTGGCTCTGCGCGTGATGGTTTCGATATGCGATTGTTTGTGTCTCGTCGTGGTGCGGTGATATCGTGACGTGGCGACTTTTCTCGTCTGTAGCCGTAGCCACCTCTCTTGCCGTCCATATTCGGGGTAATATTTCCTGTTTGCCCGAAGCTGCTGCAAAGTTTGGGAGGAATGATGTGGTTTGAAGCCTTAAAGTTTTCAGCCTCGACGACAGCAAGGTTGAACAATGGCTAACTTGGTCTGTGCAGGGTGCGCTAGACCGTCGGTGTGGGGACCTTGTCAGTTCCGATACCTCAGCCTTGTCGTACCAGCTCCAGCATCGTCAACAAGGCCAAGTTGGCAACATGTCTGCGGCGTTATAGGAATGGCGACAGAAGGCTCGCGGCCTTTATTGGCGCCTCAAACTCGTCGGTTGCGGCATCTACAAGGCATATACCTGCGCAACCTCACCTTAGCCCGACCGCGCGGCCATACAATTGACGATGCGACGCTGAATAAGACTCCAGAGAAGCTTGAATCTCTGAGGAGATCTCTACATGAACCCTCGTTACATCACTCGGCGTCTTCAGATGATTTGAATGCCAACATCCGGCCAAGTGGGAGGCGGAGGAGAAGCACAATATGGGCTGGGCAGAGCCCGGATTACAGGCAAAGGAAGCTGGAAGACGTCATTGACAATGGGATGGTCGATGCCTTCTTTTCGTTGCATTGTGCAGGAGAAGATGAGCCAATATACATATCTGAGGTTACGGAAAAGGCTATGGTTTGTGCTATTTTTTCTTACTTCAGTCTGGTGGATGTTGCCAAAATATACCCGGCCTCCCGCCGTTAACTGCCATAAGACCACGGAAATGCTAATGGTATATAGAATCCAAATTTTCGATTCTTTGATCTCACTAATTATGGGCCTTCTATAACACGGTTATCGAGATTCACAATTAAATTGTGGGTGAAGCGGAAAGAGTACTCGTTGTTCCTCGAACAGGAAATTGAGCTTAGCTCCCTTCATTTCCTCGGATCGGTATGTGATATCCTCCTTGTTCGAAGATGGTATCTGACCAATGCAGTTGAATAATCGCCAACTTCCCCCTAACTGTGTCATCTTTCACCTTATCGATGGTATCTATGCTTTAGACCTACCATCGGTGACCCTCCCTCCAAAACACCTCCCGCCTGTCTCCACATCTTCATACAGTGCATTGATGCGTTTATCTAGCCTGGATGACTCTATACAAGATGCTTTGGCTACACGCGAGCGACTTGCGGCTCAAATAAATACTATTCTACAAGAGCAACCTGTGGACGAAACGCCGCTGGCAGAAGAAGAGGCAGCATTGGCTGCGAAGTACCTGAAATCCGAGCAAAGGCTTGTGAAACTCGCCATCAAACAGCGTGACGAGCTTCAAGCTTCAATTGCCGCAAGACGGAAAGCAATAGAGGAAGGCACCAAGTCACAAGCCCAGGCAGAGATTGAACTGGTATCTATCCTGGAGCAAGTGGAAGAAATGATGGTTGCGCAACAAGCGAACACAGAGCAGATACATGGCCAGCGCCGGCGAATATGCGAGGAATTGCTGCATATATTCCCAATTGAACCGACTGCACGATCTCTGACCTTCACAATCTGCGGCTTACTCCTTCCAAACACCTCATTCGATGATTCCGACGAAGACGTCGTTGCTGCTGCACTTGGGCACGTTGCCCGATTAGTCGACATGCTCCAATATTATCTATCAGTACCTATCCCCTACCCAGTCATGCCGTACGGCTCTCGCTCCATCGTGCGCGACGAGATCTCCACGCTAGTGGATACACAGCGTACATTCCCGCTGTATGGCAAAGGCACCATCCGTTTCAGATTCGAGTACGCCGTCTTCCTCCTCAACAAAGACATTGAATGCCTCGCTGAGAGCCAGGGTCTCAAACTCATCGACATCAGACACACGCTACCCAATCTCAAATACCTGCTGTACGTCTGCTCTGCCGGCACAGCGGAGCTCCCCGTCCGGAAATCCGGTGGCATTCGCGGACTCCTAGCTGGGAAAGTAACGCCCCTACCGAGCAGGAGGGGCAGCGAAGAGGGGTTAGCAGACGCGGCAAGGAAGGCCCTGGAGCACGGCAGCAGCGCGAACGGTGGGACGAAGGGGAATTTGAGTTTACAGCTCCCCTTTGATGCAGAGACGCCGACGAGCTTAAGGACGCGAGGGCTGCGGGAGAACCGGGCGCGCTGAAGGTGGTACGGTGCCTGGTCTGGTGTAGCGTATGCGCATGTGCCGCTCGTGGATTTTGGGATGGTGTGTTCTATTCTTATCCACCACGAGGTCGTGCGATCAGGGATGGCGGGGGGAGCATGCAGATTACCGGGATGGGATGATGCGTTTGACTGTATGAAGCTTAATTGAACATCTCTTAAAACATGTGGTGATGGAGAAACGTGAGGCATGACACAACAGCTCCATGCTGCGAGCCGGGGCGGGGGTAACGGTCCGATTGAGGAGGTTCTTTTCCCTTCCTTCCGTGTCCTCGGATTCACAGGGAGGGGTTTGACGATGGTGATCGTTGTGTTTTGGATGGGGGGAACAGCACGTGGGAGTTAGTCTGTTTCGACGTCGGGAATAGAAACGGGAAACGCTACAGGGTCTCATGTGAAGAGCCGCAGAAGGGTAGGATATTTACATCTGGGACAGGGTGCACAGGGCTGAAACATGGGGTTGTGGCAGCGGGTGGGGCAGAATGTGGTGAGCTCGACTTTGTGGTTTCGTGAGGTTGGAGATGCATACACTTCCAACACTCCAACAACAGCAGATGTGCCGGGGAGCCGGAAGAGGCTGCGGGCGTGTGGAGTGTTCATCAACCGGTCAACGATAGAGGGATTGAAGGTAAGAAAGTCACCACTGTAATTGACAGAGCTGGTGGGTGGGCTATGCACCTGGCCGAAGGAGTCCAACACGAAAGCTGGGCAGCCAGCCTCTCCTGGGCACCGCGTCCAGAGGCACCAATCAGCCTGACAGCGTTACACCCGCGGTTACAGGCGTCTGCGCCTCCTCGTTTACACTCATACTGTTCGTTCGTCGTCCATATGTGCACTCTACTGCAGGCAACGAGCGAGCGGGATAGGAGGCGGCCTAGTTGAGGAGATGCTCTGGGCTACTTGCGTGCGTGCAAGTTCTGTGTTGGTTTTGCTGGTCGCTCGTGTATGCGGCCAGGGCGTGTGATGGGCTGCTTCGGCTGTTTCACGGTGACAGGGCTTGGGAAAGCCGGGAGGGACGGTGAAGCTCGTATACGGCAGAGAGAGAGCCAAGCCATTGTGAGGGGAGAGGTCAGAGCCGGATTTGTGCAGTATGATATGTACGGCAAAGCTGATACTGTAATACTGTACTATACTGCTCCTGGTGTTGACGTCGATGAGAGAATGACGTCTGAATGAAGTTCATCTCTTATGGGATCACAGAGACGGCTACGTATCCAACATCCAACTCCGTTCTTCCAAGTGCCGGTTCTAGAATTCGTGGTAGTTGTTCTGTGGCAGAGCTGTACTATCCCAAACGGCTATCTATTTATAGACGCTTGGTGCAGCATAGCACATAGTTGGTCCATGCACGCTCCTCCTCTCCACCAATTGTGGAGGGGCTACCGAGTACGTACCTGGGTCTTTTTGCCATTTAGGTCGAACAGGTCCTCCGTATCGACCGATTGGCCGCAGCGGCGCTTAACAGGGACAGCACTAAGACCATGTACCCTTGTATTTCTTAGTCTGCGACTACCAAGGGACCACTCACACACTCTCTCACACTACTCTCACACACTTTATAACTAGCGGTACTTCTTCTCATTACCAATTTACTATGTGTTGGACATGTCACTCATATCTACGGTCACCCACTCACCCCCACAACGCACCCCCCAAGAAACCCTTCCACTGCACGAGAACACGCCGCCTCCCTCCGCCGCAAGAACCCTTCTCTATTATTAGCATCAACATCATCGCTCAGCCCAAAAAGTGCCGACTGTGCGCCAAAAGTATATCACAACCTCATAGACTCGACCCATCGTCGCGGCGACAATACCCCGCCATCGACTCTCGTTGGTAATTATCGAGACTCTGTGTCTCTAGAGAGGGCCTGCGACCGGCTCAATTCTCTACTCGACCCGCCTGAGGAGCTTGGGAAACCAACCTCTCAGTCCAAAGCGTCGAGGATATACCGAGTCTGCGAAATACCCACACGAGCTCGGGACCGAAGGAATAGGATTGTAGGATATAATTTCCGGTCGCGCGAAGGATCGATAGAGATTGAGGGAGTTAAATTAGACGCGTCGCTAGGCTCCAGCACCACTGCGATACCCGTTTATCGACACCTTCAGTACGACTAGCCGGGGACTCGGCGCGCATTCATCATGGGTCGTCGCAAGATCGAAATCAAGGCTATCAAGGATGATAGAAATCGCTCAGTGTACGTCGTGGTGATGATTTTCTATCTGCTGGCGCTGTTGACTGACATGTTCCCCTTGCAGAACGTTTCTGAAGCGTAAAGGAGGGCTGTTCAAGAAGGCGCATGAGCTTTCCGTCCTCTGTTCTGTCGATGTCGCAGTCATAATATTTGGCAACAACAAGAAGTTATACGAATATTCGTCCTCGGATATTGGAGAGATCCTCCAACGGCACAACTTTGTGAGTAGCGTACACGGCGCGATCAGTAATACGAGCGTGGCTAACATTATCAATCAGTATGGCGGCGCAAACGAGCACAAGGGTCCATCGGACTTCAACGGCAAACGAGACGACGATGATGAGGATGACGAGGGCTCTGTCATGGACGAAGGCCACCCACAAGAAGGAGGACCCATGATGCGACCGCATTTCCAATCCCAAGCGGCGTTTCAGCACATGCGACAAGCTCCCTCGGCTTCACCACCCATACAGAACGGCGCGCATTTCCAGAATATACAGCGCCAGCACACGCCTCAACCGCCACCGCAGATGGGATCCCGGCCAGCGTCACGGAATGCTCCTCATCGCGTAAACTCGAATATGGCGCAACAGCATATGCAGCAGGGCCCTCAGCCTTCGCCGCCTATGAATGGTTACTCGTATATGCCACAGCCGGGGATGTACAACCCACAGCAGCAGCATGGGCAGAACATGCCTCCGCATGGACAGAATATGCCGCCGCATAGCCAACCGCCGCCGCAGCAGCAGCAGCCCTCATATCAGTACCAGCAAGGTCCGCCGCCACCGTCTCACCAGCTTCAGCAGGTGTATATGGAAGAGCAGCGGCGCTCATCAATGCCTCCTGTGTTTCCAAAGCAAGAACGTCAAGAATCGGGGCCTATGAATACTCCTCCGCAACCGCAACAACGACAAATACCTCCGCAGCAGCAGCAGCACCAACAGCAACAACAACAGCAGCAGCAGCAGCAGCCACAACATCAACTAGCACCTCCACCGCCCCAGCAACACCATCCATCACCCCAACAACACCACCAACCGCCGCCGCAACCCCAACAGTCACACAACACGGGGCAGATGCTCGAGCCAAAACGACCATCCGTTAAATCCCGCAGCATCTTCACCCCCATCGACGAATCCCGCTCCATCCTCTCCCAGCACTGGATCTCATCCACCTCCGCCCCCGAACCCTCCCGCAGCGAACCCGCACTCACCAACCGCACCTCCACCTCCTCCCTCGACTCCCGCAACGGCACCATCAAATCCCCTCCCCTGCACCCAACAAACTCCATCAAACCCCCGCCCTCCTCAGACAAATTCACACCCCCCACCGGTCCACCCTCCCGCACCAACTCTGTGCAACTAAGCGGCAAGCGACCCCGTCTCACTGTCCAGATCCCCGATGAACCGTCGGATGGAGGTGAAGCAACAGGCGCCTCCACCAACTCCCCCCGCGAATCAAACGACACCGGTTCCCACCCCTCCCGCCGCGGCGGGCCAGGCACAGACGCAAGTCACAGCTCCGGCGTCGTCCTCCCCCCCCCCTCCCCCTCCGCCTCCGCCCTCCTCAGCGCCGGCGCCTCCGGTCCACCAAACCCCTTCGCGCGACCCCATCCACCTAACCAAGGCGGCGGCGGCGGCGGTGGTCCCGGCGGCGGTGGTCGCGGTGGTGGGAATGAAATCGAGACACCTGTGTCCGCACTCCCTAGTCGATTCATGAACAATGAACTCCTACCGAGCCCGAGTAGTTTCTACCCCGAGTGGAATTTTAGGGGCGGAGACGGGAATACACTCCCTAGTCCGCTGAATTTCGCGACGCCGGTGGTGGGGAGTGGACCGAGTTTTTTGCATGAGCCGGCGGGGATGGGGGGGAAGAGGAAGAGTCCTGATGCCGAGGATGGGGGGGGAGGAGGGGAGGCGAAGAGGGTTAAGCATGAGCCGTGAGTAAGGGTTTGATTGCTTGCGAAGAGAGAGGAGAGGAGAGGGAGAGGAGGGATATAATACGCCGGACTTATAGTTATCACGGCTGCTGAGATCGATGAGGATACCCCCCATTCCGTTCGGCAATGGGAAATCACGGCGTTCAAATTTTCGCACTTCGTTTTCCCCCCCGAATCGCCGATCTATACGTTGTTCTTTTTTGGCTGGCAATACTCAACTTTTTACTATATAGGGCAAAGGATTAGCTTTTATTTCTTTGCATGGAAAATCTACGATGCGATATGTCGGCTCCTGATGCTTTCTTCGGGTTTCGGGCGGGACATATTTGGCTTTGGCTTTTGGCTTTTTTTTTCTGGCTTTGCGGACATGTGTGTGGGAATTATGGATCATGGGATGGCGTTTTTGTCTTTTTTTTTATTGCTTGTTTTTTTGGTATTTGATAGGACTGGCTGGGCTTGGTGGGGATGGGGATGGGGGATAGGGGTAGGGAGGAGGCGTGTGTTGAGGGGAAATCAAGTTTTTATATCTTACCTTGCCGATCTATTGTGAGTGAGGCTCCGTGATTGTCTGATTTTATCTGAGTGATGGGGTGTGTGATCTACGAGGCTCTGATAATTAGTCGTGGTTAAATGCATAAAATATCGATCGAGTTCTTTCGGGGCCTTCTTCCTGCAGCTGTTCGTGCTTGGAAAAGAAATTGTCATGGTATGAGCGGCAACTAAGGCATGATCCACTGTCACACCTGTGTCTTTTACCGGGGGAATGGGGTGTGCAACAGCAGCATCAGGAGAAATTCACGCCGAGCACGCTGCTGGGCCTTATCCGGATTGAGTGCATCGCCCAGAAACGGAAAGTGATCATCGCTTGTATGGATATGTAAATGACGCGGGGGGCAGAGAAGTAGCCCCTTATGTGGGATTTCGTATTCATTTTGGAGGGTGGCTTTGACAAAACGAAGAGAATGAAGACTAGATTTTGAATACTGCACAACGCGATAACGAACACCCCTCAGAGAAGAATCACAGGATCTAATATAGATTATGGGCCAGGCATCTATCTTTTCGAGGAGTACGACATACACTCCTCACTATAATCCCCCCCTTAAATCAATTTTCACTTGCCACTACCTCTTTATCATTCTGTGCCAGCCTTAACGAGCCCATCCAAGGGGCCATACCACCTCCAAGATACTTTTTTCAGGGCCTTCCTGCGGCGGCTGTCGGGTAACGGGACTTGATTACGGTTGTGGCGGCGGTGTATCTTAGCCAGGTAGGGAGGGGGGGGGGGGGGTTTCTTGTCGCTGGGGCTGCTGCTGTCGTGGCGCTGTTGTCGTCGCTGCAGTCTTGCCACCGCTCTGGAATTTACATGAGCAGGAGAAGCAGGAGTAGTAATTCACGCCGGTCACGGTGCCTCAAGTTTCGTGGCGAGAGTCTGAAGTTTACAGGAACGACGTCCCGTAGGGGGCTGTGACTGCATAGTCCGCCGTACACAAAGGAATTTCGAGGTCACGGACAGGAGGAACCCATGACATATATAATCGGCATTCTCAAGGCCGTCACAGGAGAAAGAGACAGCCTTGGTCGCCACTCCGTCTTCTCCTTCTGCTTCTGCGACGGCCTCTTCGAGGCCTTTTAAGGAGTTGTGATGCGCCTCCAACTGTCTAATTCCCCACGAGCACTTTCTGCAGCGTCTATTGACCAATGGGGAATATACGTCATCCTCCATGAGAAGGAAGGGTCCAGGTCCCTCATTTAGGTGGGAGATCCGGTACCTCTTCTCTACATGGCGTCCGTCGTCGACTGGGGCAATACTCTAAATCCGGGCCGTTTCTTCGTTACGTTAAAACTACAATAGAAAATGGGTATAAAGTCTGGCATAGAGGGTTACTCGTCTGGTATCTAATTCTGATTCCGACTGCGATTCCGATTCCGATTCCAGTGCACATACCATGATTCACGTCGCTGAAGCTGTTGCTGTCGTGCCGTTCCTGTCACCGGCCGCACTCCTACCACCCCGGCCTTTATTGCGGCCATTACACGATCAGCAACGGCGGCACCAGCAGCGGCACCAACAATCCATGCCGACTGCGCCGGCGGAACTTGGATGAGGGAGCAGAGCTTTGCTGGTGCTTTTCAGCGTGGTAGGAGACCATCTTCGCCTTGACATCTACAGCGGCCTTTTTGAGCTGCTCGGGCGAAAGCAACCCAAAGTCTCTAGGAATCAAGTCTCCTATAGGAATATGGGGGTATATGACTTGGAATATCTGCTGAAGGCGGGATCAGAAGTCAGGGGAGCAGCCCTTTTCGGGCGATGATATAACCTGCCGCGAGCACAATGCACTGACGGCTCACAGTGCAACAAATTACCACTGGAAGAAAAAAATCAAGACCGCTGGTACTGTCGAGGTCGAGATGCTTCGCCGTAGTCCCTGTGATTACTCCACGTTCGTTTACGGTATAGAGGGGGATATCTTACCGGGGGCTTTCTTGCCGCTGAACTGCTGTCGCCGTTGCCGCTGCTGTCACCGCTACGCTCCTACCACCGCAGCCTTTACACGAGAAGCAGCAGCAATCCAGGCAGACCCTTCATGTGTTTGAGATTATACCGCATGAATAATGCCCCAGCGGCTCACAATGGGCAGCTTCACCCAGGGATAGGACACCACATCAGAAGTCCTTTGTGGGTGATTGTGGCCATCGTCCAATGCTCTCTTCACATAGGTAGGAAAATTGCGAACCCGGATACCAGCTGTTGCACTTGTGACCGAATCAATGTATATGTAAGGAGTAGCTTATATGTTCTCCAAGGCAAGTACGTGCACGCCTCATCTATGGGAGCAGTCAGGAGTAAGGTTCACAAAGAAGGTCAGGAGCAGTAGGTTGGATTCTTGGAAGTATAATTTCATATTAAGGTCTATTTACTCTATTCAAACCCCAAAAAGTCCTTTTCTCCTTTCCTCCCGCTCTACGGAAAGGGGTATGCTCGTCACCACATTCCCGATCTTAGCTTTGATCACGGAAGCCACGATTGGCATGGACGCGGAATTCAGTTTCTCGATTTCAGAGGCACTGGGGTATTTCGGGGTATCTGATGTCTTTGACGGGGCGGTGAGGGCCCATGCTATGCTGATGTGGAAGGAGGATGAGAGGTCTTTTTGCGGGGAAGGTGAGTTTGATGGTGGTCGTGGTGGAAGTTTGTTTTGCGCCGGGGTATCAGGGTCAGGAGGCCGGGCGGAAGCATAGAGGGGAGACTGGCCATGTGACTGGACTGTGTCGTTGCATACTCGTAGTAGCTTATTTAGATTATCTTCTAGCGGTTTTGCAACTCGTAGAGCCAGAAACCAGCGCGTTCCCTCGTAATTAGAGGCCCAATCGCAGCCATTGAATGTGATAGGGAAGCTGCAGGTAGTCAGTCATGTGATCAAGTGGTGCACAAAAGCAGGGGGGAGCTCACGGATGGATATCACTATTTGAGATAGCTGTTTGGATAGAAGTGAGAAACGCGTCTTTTGTGGCTGTGCTAAACCCAATAGGTCGGGATAAACTGATATGCAGCGGGAGAGGGGAGCCGAGACCACTAGTGAGAAGGGACTGGACGTCCAGATCCCGCTCGTATTCAGGCCCATACCGTGACTGATCGCGGAACGAATCAACGAGCGATGTGAGAAGTTCGTGCTCGGTAGGATTCGGATACCCTGTGCATGTCAGAACTCGGGTTTCTCATAGCGGGAATGGGAGGGGTGGTTTACACTCGATATAGAGGTGGGTTGGCCAGTTGCCTTGGATATGCGGCGTAGTGCGTTTGCGCCCGCCGTGGAGGGAGGGGTCGTCGCGGGCGCTGGCGCGGGAGTTGGAGGCGTAGAGGTCGAGGAAGCGGGAGGGTAAGGGGGGGAGGGGGGAGGGCGGCGCAGCTTCGTGTTTCCGTTTTAGGGTATTTCGTGGAGGATTGAGGGTGCCTGGAGTGTTTGTCGAGGGGGCTGCTGCTGTTGGGTTTCCCTCCTTTTTAGCTGCGGAACTATCTTCTCCATCTTGAAGCTCTTCATCGTCGCTGGAGGAGTTATAGTCGACGAGAGCCATTTAGTGATGGTTCATTCTGATATCCCTACTTATTTGGCGAATGTCTCGGCCTTTGGGAGCTGTCCAAAAACAGTAAGCTTCATCGCGATAAGGATCCGTTAGGGGCAGTGACGTCTGCGATAAGAACCCTTTGATGATTAGTCATCAATTACGTCCTCAGGTTTTTGGTGGGGGTGTGTACGTTAGGCACTGCGGCCGTTGGTGGGGGTGTGGATATAAATAGCAGGAAAGAATCAACTGGGTGCCGGACGCGTGTCTTGCCAACATCTTGGCCAAGGCCCGGAAACTGAGATATGACATCAGGAGTGACTTCATATTGTTAGAAGTGGAAAGTACCATCCTGCAATGCCCAACACCAAACATATACCTGTCTAGCTTAGATAGTGTAAGTACATCTACATGGCTGGGAAATCGGATCGGTGACAGTGTCCAGCCAGGGCCGGATACATCTTTTTTACCTCCTCTCCCAACTAAATACTTCGTCACACCCCCCCGCCGTTCCATCCCATTCTCACCCATATATCATATTGTATAGACACTCCTAAAAAGTCTAATTTCTACTCCATAATCTCTCTGACTCCGCCATCTCGATTCAACTAGAATATCCATTCACTGTCTCTACAAAAGAGCTGTTACCAACCCAATAAACCCGTGTGAGAGACGCCATCAGGCATCGGATATTGGGCATTGAAATAGGCAGCTCTACTCAAATCGTCTACGACATCACATATTGAATTCAGCACTCCGGCTAGCTTCTACTCTCAAGAGAGCTACAGACATGGGTAGCACATCTGAAGATAAAGACTGGGTAAGCTTCCCCTTCGGTGCGTGCATATGGTAGTTTTGCTTGCAATGATCGCTGACAGTGACTGTTCCAGGCGTCGAAGTATCTCCTTGACCCTCTCACGGCTCCAGAGCCCAGCCAGCTCACAGGCCCGGGGACTCACTTTGGGTCCACGTTGGACAAGAAACTCACGCCAACCCCTCCGGCCTCGACGAGGTCATCTCAGTCCAAGTTATCATCGAGAAACCCATTCCGTGATCCCCAACCTCAGCAACCCCTAATCGACGTCGGCCAGCAAGCCCAGGGAGGTCAGGCTCTCAACGACAAACCACTCCCGAGGGGACCTCCAAGACAACGCCATGGTTCTCTGAGCCAGAGGTACCCTGGAGATGTGTCCCACCGACCTCTTGATGTGATTAGGAAACAGAATAAGTTGGCCAGCCAAGCGCCACATCTGAAGAAAAAGCATCTCCCTCGAGCAGACCTTATCGATAGCTTGGATGCTTCCATGGACCAGCTCTATCATCACGAAGGACCTTACGATGCCACTCTCCTCGCAAGGAATACGAGCAAGTATCAGAGTCCTATCGATGCAGTTCGTTCATCAAATGCAGAGGCATTGAAAGCTACTCCCCAGGAGAACATCGAAGATGCGCTTCGCAGGCATGTTCCGTTGTATGGGGTCGGCATTGTGCCTCCTGGGGGACGACTCGAATCTGGGCAGGTCATGGACTACACCGAGGGTGATGACTTAATGAGGGACTCTGACGCGCCTGGTGGGGCCTATAAAAGATGGGATGGAGTAGTAAGTCCACTTAACTTTTAATGTGCATGCCAGATAGGATCACTAACGATGAAATTAGAAATACCTACCAGAAGATTATAAAGGAAAGGGCGAGCCGTCGTTTTCTGCCGACGCAGCAAGGGGCAAGGGGCCTAGTCATAGGAGGATTGCCTCGGAGAACAACTTTGTCTACGAAATGCAACCAACACCAAGGTCAAGGCCGTCGTCTCATCAGCGAAGTACCAGCAGCATTGGACCTGAGCAACGGGGCTCGCCATCGGATGCTGCGAGGTATCCGGAGTTTGAGAGAAACGGGAGACCAAGCTCTATAGGGCGCAAATTCGGTGATGGTATCAAACGCCGATTTGGGAGCTTAAGAAAGAACAAAAAGCCAACTGAAGAGTGAAGTGCTCAAAAAGCATTGCATCTATATCAGCTCCTATGACTGTTCACTCTTCAGTCAGCTTCTATGTCACGAGATGTGCTTTATAGTTGCCCCTAGAGTTGATCTCACTGCCAAGCACCAGCGAGGTCATGGCTCCAGTACCGTCATTAGGGGGCGGGGAAGAGCGCGGGGTAGGCAAGTGAAGTACTTATTGGGATATGGGGTCGGAATATTCTTTCCTACGTGGCACTCACTCATATTGGCACTACCCGTCGCGATGTACGATTAGTGATGGGCTGTGGCACGAGTGATACAATATGAGAAGAAGCCACGTTGCTTTTAGAGCTTGTCAGCTGGAATTATTTGAGCATTCTTGAAGTCCGCGGGCAATTGTATTAATATTAGTACGGGCATTGATTAAATAAATTTGAAAATAGCCATTGGCGGCAATAAACAATAAGTTCCATATAAGTTAACTGGTTACACTTGTGAATTCAGGCACGGGGGTGGTGGCTGGATCATCTGTGTTGAGTGATTGGTCGGTTGGTGATCGCCACTTGGTGGCGGGACCTTTAATCCGTCGTCCGACCCTCCCGCCGGGCCTTGAATCAGATTATCAGACGGTAGGAATGGACACGTTGAAGCGAAAGGTACAGGACTAAATTACCCTGGCTTTGTAAACACAACATTTCCGATTTGAAATCACTCTTTTGTATTTATATTTTCCCCATTTTCAATACCATGCCGGCCATTTATGATTGAAGAGTTTGGTTCTGTACTTTTTAAGTTTAAGTGACTTTCTCGAAAGTTATACCGCTTTGAGCCACGCCCCAAATTCCTGGACCTTAATTGGATTGGAAGCACTTTCTTTGAGATCTTTCGACAGGTCTAAATTGAGGGATCAATAGATATATACACTGCCAGTCCGCTGGAAACTTTACAATCTGGAAACAGCCATCTGCGTCATTTCCAGAGACTCCGGGCGCTTCACGAGTTCCCAATTGTAAAGGTGCTGGCCTTGCGTCGCCAGAAAAAATCCCCATCGCCACCATGAGGACAGCAGCACAACTCTTCTACCTCGCTGTGTTTGCGCTCTTGCATACGTCAGATGCAAACAGCGAAGCAGTCGCGAGAAACATCCTCCCCGAAGCCGCCGACGAATGCGCCGTAAGTCCAGCCCATCCCTTACCGTCCATCCTTGCGTTGCCACTCTGACCACCTACAGATCCACCCAAAGGCAATTGTCTCCGATGCATGCGCCTCCTACTCTACAATCGACAATCTAAACAAGGCGATCAGCCCCGCGGTCGAGGATCTCACCAAGCACACCGACTTTTTTGCATACTACCGCCTCAACCTATTTAATAAGCAATGTCCCTTCTGGAACGACGAAAGCAGCATGTGCGGCAACATTGCCTGCGCCGTAAACACACTCGATAACGAGGAGGATATACCACTTGTCTGGCGCGCGGAGGAGTTATCAAAGCTGCAAGGACCAAAAGCCGTTCACCCCGGACGAAAGCAACAAGCCGAGCGCGGTCCCGAGAGGCCGCTACAGGGCATGCTGGGAGAGGACACAGCGGAGAGTTGCGTGATGGAATACGACGACGAGTGCGATAGCAGGGACTACTGTGTACCAGAAGACGAGTCCGCCACAGCCAAGGGCGACTACGTGAGTCTAGTCGACAACCCAGAGCGCTTCACCGGATACGGCGGCGCGAGCGCAAACCAAGTCTGGGACGCCATATACCGCGAGAACTGCTTCAGCCGCTCGTCCTTCCCCAAGTCCGCGTCTCTCGGCAAGCCGAAGACCGCCAGCATGCAGTTCCCCGCCGCCAACGAGCTTAAGTTCGTGATGCAGGGCGGTGCGAAGCATGCTCCGCTACTGGGAAATGCACCGAGCGCTGAGACGGGCTTCGAGAATGAGGATGAGTGCTTGGAGAAGCGCGTGTTCTACCGCGTGGTGTCGGGTATGCACGCGAGTATCAGCGCACATATCTGCCAGGACTCGCTCAACCAGCTTACTGGCCAATGGGGTCCGAATCTGACTTGCTACCGTGAGAGGCTGCACGAGCACCCGGAGCGCATCTCGAACCTGTACTTCAACTACGCCCTCGTCGTACGCGCCGTGGCTAAGCTGGGACCGTATTTGAACGATTACACGTACTGCTCAGGTGACCCCACGCAGGATGCGGAAACGAAGAGCAAAGTCCTCGCCATCTCAGCTCAGGCGGCCCGTGAGCCGAATATCTTCGATGAGAGCTTGATGTTTGTTAATGGCGAGGGACCGAGCTTGAAAGAGGACTTCCGTAACCGTTTCCGCAATATTAGCCGTTTGATGGACTGTGTTGGGTGCGATAAGTGCCGTCTGTGGGGAAAGCTGCAGACAAACGGCTACGGTACGGCGCTGAAGGTTCTGTTTGAGTTTGACAACCCGCACGCGCTGGAGGGTGATCTGCAAGTTGCGCCGCAACTGAAGCGGACGGAGCTGGTGGCTCTGTTCAACACACTCGCTAGGATCAGCAGCTCTCTGAACGCGGTTAGCAAGTTCAGAGACCTGGTTGATGCCGAAGATAGCGCAGCGGAGAAAGGAAAGGGGGAGAAGTATCATGTGATTACGGATCGGGAGAGGCTGGGGAGACAGCAGGTGCCGGGGAAGAGCTTCAAGGATACGAGTGAGATGACGGAGAAGGAACGCCGAGAGATGGCTGAGGATGATGAGGATGAGGATGAGGATGAGGATATCCAGAAGGTCATTGGTGATCATCGTAGGCTCCGGGATACCACGGAGGAGACGGTGTGGGAGGCGATTTGCAATGAGACGTGGCTCATTTACCGAATCGTGATATATATCTTTAAGCAGTGGATTGGGTTTCCCAAGGTTGCGTAAGTTTGCTCCCCTTTCTATCTTCACGGATATCACTATAGATAAGAGTAACTAACACCAAAACAGATGGCACATCTTCACAAATGAGCTCAATCGCCTATGGCACAACTACATCGGTCTCCCCATTCCGATGCGCACCTGGGGTTGGAAACGCGTCCCAGCCCCAGAGGAGTTCTATTAGGGCGGCTCGCCCTTTCTACTTTTATTACGCCAAAAGAGGGGGGATTTTCTGGGAAATGGGAAATATTTTGGGTTCGGTTTGCATCAGCGATGGCGTTTTTTTGGGTGGGTGGGATAGAGATACATAGTATGTTGAAAGAAACTCATAAACTATCAACGGGGGGGAAGATGGGGGGTGGGAGATAAAGTATATATGCGGTTCTTGGGAGAACCAGTCGTCTGTTCGGAATTTTGGAAATGAAAGATAGATATCCGCTCTTACCATTCCATCTCATGGGTTATAATATTATACTCTGCTACCACTGTGTCCATGCCTTGGGATATCTGACAGCTATTTTTCTTGCCTTCCTATATTACAAGGGGAAGCTATTTTTCTTTCAAAATACTTTCCTACAAGTTCTTGACCAGGCTCGCGAAGTAATATAAATTGCTGCAGTCTTCCACAGACTGACTTTTGCCTAACCGCAACTTCCACCAAGATCTTGGAGGTCCCTTTGAGTTTCTACAACACGGACACAAACATATATAGACAGCTACACCTTTCTTCACATCTTCCATTCTTTATTCCCAGGTTCTCAGGCCGTCTCGAAGAAGTTGAAGCAGTTGAAGCCTAAACCAAGCAAGTCTGAGGCCAATATAAATTCAAGTCTCCAGTCTTCCACAACACGGACACAGACAGATAGAAACAGCTCCGGCTTTCTTCACCTCTTCTCCTCTTTACTTCTTTGTCTCAGATCGTTTCGAAAGGTCCAGGCAGTGGGTGCCTACATTAACCAGCCGAGTCCGAGACGAGTATAAATTCAGGTCCTCGATCCTCCTCAGCTTCTATCATCCTACATACCATACCAACCTCCACAACTCAAGCCATTATACCAACAACACATCCACCAAAACCTCACTTCAACCCCAACACTTCCACCACAATGGCCGTCCTCTCCGCCCCCTCCAGCCGCAGCAGGAGCAACTCACCCACCGACCCCCTCGCCATCATCCAAGCCGCCCTCGCCAACGGCCAAGGCCCCCAACTCATCGAGCTCCTCGCCACCCAACTCAAAGCCAACCAATTCATCGGCCAACCCATCGCGATCCCCCACGACTTCGACCTCTCCCACGGCAGCCAAGAGGCCATGTACGTGACATTCCGCCATGGACCGCGCAAGGAGCTGGTGTTCAAGATTGGGCCGGACACGATCATGAAACATGCGATTGATTGGTGTTTGGAGACTTGGAGAAACGATTGGGGGGGGAGGTTCATGGCTTGGGATCTGTTCTTCTACTTGCCGGATAATATGAGGATTGATTACTATAAGCCTTTGACGGCGAGGCAGGTGAGTTTGTTTTGGGCTTTTTTTTATGTTGGAGGGGGGGTGGGGGGTGAGAGTGGGATGTGTGGCTAACTGAGTGGCAGCTGGGGATTGAGAACCATGACTTGATTGATGTGTTCAGTGCGTCGCACGGTGGATAGATGGGTCTCGGCATTGCACGGCGGATTGATGGGCATGGGCGTTATATGGTGAATTGATGGACATGGGAATTATGCGGCAGATGGATATTATACGGCCAAAGACATAGGCACCGGCGAATCTTTACCACTCTGGGAACGGTTGCGAAAAGGGCCAGGAATAATTCGGGAGCAATGGGCAGCGAGTTATTTGGTTTATTGATTTATGGATGCATTTGCGATGATTTTTGAAGATGGTGCGCGGGTGTCGCCAGTCTCAACAGGAGCAGACTTGAGGAAGGACCCAGGAATTATGATGCCAGGGTTGGAGGGGTAATGCAGGCATATATACCAGCAGGAAATGCGATGAGATTCACCTCCTGAAATGAGAAGTGCCATGCAAGTGAAATTGTGTCTTGTTGTATATACTCCTATGCTTTTCAGGCAAAGAAAGAAAGTGAAGAGATAATGAGAGGGTGGAGTGGTGGAGTGGTCAATGAGGATGATGGTAGAGGGTTTTAAGATATAGTGCTTTGGATCTGGTGAGCTGTTGCCGGGGCAGGGGAAGGAAAGGTAAAGGGAGCAGTCTTATCCGAGGGGTCGTAGCCAGGGTCCAGGCAGAGGCAATAAAAGTCGGATATTTCCAAGGCCACGGGAGATTCACATAGACATCAGTCCAACAAATCCAGATGCAAAGCACTGGAGATTCACCGAAGGCACTTTAAGCATAGTTCCATCATTGAATTCAGAAATATCTGTCATAAAAACCCGTCTTAACGCACTGGTTTGATACACAAGACAATACTTATTCGAAGAATAACCCAGTATGTGTCAGCTGGAAGTCCATTTTCGAGATGACGAGGGACATGATGTCAGGCGTCGAAAACTCGTCGACGCACACGCATGCAAAAAATATGCTGATTGTGAATTCCGAACTCCGCTTCGTGCTGAAATCTAGAGCCGCCGCGAGCGGCACCGCTGTTGATGAACGCCGTAGTGTCTATTTAAAGAGGAGGGTGGGCTCATTGTGCCGGGGGCACGTAGTTGATCGGGCGTCTGGGGATTGTTAGGATGCTTCCTTTTTTTTTCGGTTTCAGAACGGTGGGAAGCTTACTTGAACAAGAGGATATGTGGTTCCGGTTCGTGCACCTCGTAATGCTCCCATCCTAGACTCTGTAATTAAAGTATTAGCAACGGTTATATAACTGTGGGGGTGGGGGGGTATATCTCCGTACCTGGGTAATACCTATCGCTCTCCATTCTTCTTCCCAGAGCAATTTCAAGGTCCCTTTTGACGGATCATGATATTCTTTTGGGATGGCCTTCAGCATAGCCTTTGGTAGTTGAACATGTCTGTATTCGTAGTCATCGTCGGAATAACTGGATTGGGTATTAGTGCCTGTTTACACACCAACGTGCTCCCACATGTTTTTGAATCTGCCCCGCGTCTATAGTGCGGGGTTGTGGGCGACAGAACGTACCGAGGAGAGTAGTGAATTGAGTCGATATATTCCTCCAGGCGCTCCTTTTCGGCCTCCGACAGAGGTCGTGGTGCCTTGTTCCGTCTGTTGTAATCCGTGTCCGCCATGTTTGTTTACCAAGGTGGGGTATTTGACGGCTGGTGAACTACCCAACGCGATGAGGTCGCAGGTAGACGCAGGTTCAGTCGAACTGGACAATGTCGAGTTGAGTAACTGCTATAGCGATGAGGCAGGCAGTAGACAGATTCTTGAGTGCTCGGCGGGAGCGTTGAGGTCGTGCCCGTGAGGAGTGAGGGATCCCTGGTGAGTGGGAGAAGTTTGGTGGGCTTGGGACGTTGTATGTATGCGCTTTCCTAGCCAACAGGAACAGTGGGGGTGGGGGAATGGAACCTCCAACCGGTTTACCGGATGAACTACGTCTCAGGGCGTCTATGAGGCGCGAATCAAAGGGCGTAATGTTGAAAAAGTCGTGATCACAGTTAAAAAGGCCAGAATACAACAAAACGGTGAAACACAAAAATAAACGTTGGGATTCTCTATATATCGAATTCCTTTTCGGGGTTCTTTTGTTTACTTCGGTGCCTGCTTATCAGATGTGTGCCTGAGGCCTGATTGGCGTTGGGGCAATTGATAGCGAAGTCACATGACCATACTGTCTATGCTCTACCCACACAAAACAGCCTGGCGAGAGCTTCAGACAGGTGTCGTATATACGATATATATAAATATATATTTGGAAATTGAGGCTATTCGGAGTCTATCATCGGATTTCTCGTACTCTATAAACATTAACGGTTCTTCAAACGCAAAGTGAGAACACATCTGTTGTGCACAGACATTCTCTTGTCTTGAACGGGACGATTCTGGAGCTCTGTCGCCTTCGCCTTGCCGTGCGCGCGTCGAAACCTCTCCAATTCCGATCATCCCTACCACAATAATCGCGTCAAACCCCATCTTTGCGCGGTTCACCCCGTTGACGCCAGTTACAATTCGACTCATTGACTGGCGCAACATACTCGAAAAGCTCCGATACCGTGCGTGTCGTAATCGCCAACTTTACGCGACACCGATTGCACGGCGCAACAATGGATTCGAAGCGCAAGGCCAACGGTGCTGCATCTACGGCAGATGAATTGGACGATCGCGGCGCAAAGAGGCGTAAAGTATCAGTAAGCCTACTGTTCCTTGTTGTTGCTGGCCCCGTTGCGATGTAAATTTGTTGTTGAATTGGAGGGACGGATGGGTTGCGACAGGGGAAATACTTGCCAATGACGCATGGCTGCTTGCTCCCACTCCACCTTGGGCCTTATCAAACGGAGGTCGATGGGCTCCTCGAGTTAAACGCACTCTACCGAAGCTCTCCACAGATACCCGTACGGGACAGAAGTAATTAAGCCAGCTGCTAATATGGTTTTCTCTTCTAGGATTCGGTTTCCAGTTATGGCGAGACGTCAGAATCAACGTCCCAAGTTGGCTTGGAATTGCTGGAACAGATTAAGAATACCAGAGACAAAAGGTAAGAAAAGCTCCGATACAACATATCCATGAGGAGGGTGTCTTATCGACAATGATAACCCACATTGTCCATCTCTGAACATAACGCATTACTATCAAGACGACATTCCTTGAGGGGTCCATGCTAATTGTCAACAGAGGACGACCTGCAGTTAATGACTTCCTCACTCTACCCAGTAGAGATGCCATTCCCGATTACTTCAAAAGGACAAAAATGCCCATCGCCATCGATATGATTGAGGCCAAGCTGAACAACCGCGAGTTCCCTACGCTTACATCGTTGGAGAGTTACTGGAAACGTCTGGTCCAAAATGCCAAAGACTACAACGAAAGAGAGTCCCTGATACACAAAGATGCTGAGCGGATCCGCAAAATTGTTACGGCTTTCATGCAAAAGAAGAACCCAGCATATAAGGACCCTAAATACCAGTCTTTCCCGACACCGATTCCTGACGACGGTACTACTGCGATTGCAGTGGAAGATATTGACGCAGAAGGCGAAAGTGACCATGAGGTGACGGGCACGGAAATAGAAGCTTCCATGACACCTACCTCAGAGGTTGCTGTCCCTGGTTCCGCCAAACGAAGGCCAGGGCGTCCACCGAAGAACCCCGCAGCGTTCGAGCTAGAGAGACAGCGACGAGCCACTTCCACTCCTGGTGGGCAGGATGGAGTCGTCAAAGTCGGCGGTTCGTTCAATGGTCTTAACTTCCAGCAAGCACAAGAGAAAATCGTGGAAGAGCTGACTCACTACAAGGAGGATGAAGAGTACGTCTTCTAGATTTCGTTTGAGAATCAGCACTAACTTGCGATGTAGTGATGAGTATCCAACCTTCGAGCCGTTTATCAAACTTCCAGATCGCAAGCTCAAAGATTACTATCAAGTAATCCCGCATCCTGTCAGCTTCAATACGCTGAGAAAACACATACGCGGTAGCCACACCAGAAGTGAAACTATTGGCACGTCGGATTTCAAAAGCTGGGATGCCTTCGAAGAGGAGGTTTCATCTATTTGGAAGAATGCCAAGCATTACAATGAAGATGGAAGCGCCATCTCCGCACTTGCTGACAATCTCGAGGTAAGCTAAACCGCAGGTCTATTCATATCTGATACTAATTTACAACCAAAGATTTTCTTCAACAAACGCCTTGCCGCAGCGAAGAAGGTCGTCCAAGAGCCACCCCAGCAAAAGCTCAAGTTGAAGGTTTCGGCTCCAGAAGCTGGGACCAAGATAATGCTACGTATGGGTGCCAAAGGAAGCCCTGCTGAGTCACCCAGGGAAACGCCCCCAACTCCCCTCGCAAATGGTGCTTCGTCGAGGGAAGCTGCACCTGGCGGCTCGGTCCGCCCAGCTTCGGCAGTTGCCCATATCGATAGAGGAAGAAGCATATCTGGATCTGTAAACTCGCCCACGCTGTCGGTATCTGCGCCAGTAAAAAGCGAGGATCGGCCATCCCCTGCGATGCAACCCTCCTCAGTGGCCGGCGTCCAGGGGTTACCAGCTACGCAAATCAATGGCGTCTCTATGGCGCCTCCTACTGGACTTGGTCCTGCAGTGGCGGTGAATGGACATCATCTGAACGGCACAACCCCAGGTTACGGGCACATACAGCCTTCTCCATATCAACCCCCGCCAGTTCCAACATTCGACTCCAAGTGGCGTCTTCCAGGAAAAGGTAAGCCTATTTCGTCCTACATAAACAATCCGAAACTGACTATATTAGATGCATCTGATTCTATGATAACCAACCTGCATCTATCCACCCACCCCGGACTCCACTTAACCCGCCATTTCCACATGGACCTCCCGCCGTCGCCGACGATGACACAGCAAAGCATCACGATTAATCTGCCGCATACACACTACTACCTACAGATAAAGCCGACGATTGCCAATTCGTTGATGGAGCGCCAACACAAGCTCTTTGTGACCTCGGGCACACAACGCCTAGTCGCAATGCCGCAGGTGCCAGGGCAGCCAATCGATCACAAGAACCCTCTGTTTGAAGCACGCCTTCTGCCAGGAGTGAACAGGATCGAGGTGGAACTTATTGCTGCACTTCCCAAGGGAGCGTCGAGGGCGGCCATTGGTCAGGAAGTCGAGCTTGAGAAGGTCACTATATTTGCGAATCTATTGAGATAGAAGGGTACATGGCCACCGCCGTTGCGGTATGCTGGCGGCTTGTTTGAACTTGTACAACCAGCATACAGATGAAGTCTTGGGCAGGTACTGGGCTAGTTATTGGGAGTTTAATGGGGGATTGGGTATCTGGATTTGTTTCTTAACTTGATGGCATGGGCGGAGTTGGTTTTAATGAAGATCCAAAACGAGGCCTTCAGTCATAGTGTACAGAATAGATGGCCCTGCTGCTCTAAGTGGCAAGAATGAAAACAGTTCAATGAGATTATTTAGCTCGAAAATAAAATTCCGTGCAGGACCAATACATGAAATGGTGGCAAAAATGATAACCGATTAATGAAATGATTTAACTAATTAAATTCTATGTGGCGTTTAACAGAAGAAACAAATATTTAAATTCTATACTCCTAATTTCTAGAAGTCTGAAGACGGACGGCCTTACCAGAGGATTCATACCAGTTATTTATGCTGATAGAAATTATTCTTTTATCTCTGCGTATGAGTGACTGGCCCATTGATTGCAGCTCTGAGACTGAATGCCATTATTTTAACTATGGCTACTATAATCGCCGCCGCATTGCACAGTTTCTCTACATACTTCGGGCGACACGAGTAGTTCTGATAGATATTAATCGTTATTTTGATTTATTTTTCCATTGAACGCCGTCTGATTGGCCGAACCGATTAAATATCGTCTGAAAAAGTGAAGCCGCTATGGGTTAGTTTTAAGAAAAATCCATAAGTGGGGCAACCAGCCGCTAGGCGAAGATTAGCTCTAGCGGCTCCCACTCAAAAAAGTTCAGAGGTCGGATATTTGACCAACCGTTCCCGAAATATTCGATTTCTTCTCTTCCCTCAACATCCACAACCCATCCTCCTCCAATTCACCACCACCTCACTACACTCCAACATGGCTGACGAAGTTTACGATGGTGCCGTCGGCATCGATCTGGGCACCACCTACTCTTGCGTGGCTGTCTACGAGGGCGCCACCGTTGAGATCATTGCCAACGAGCAGGGTAGCTTCACCACCCCATCTTTCGTTTCTTTCACCGACAAGGAGCGTTTGATCGGTGAGTCGGCCAAGAACCAGGCTGCCATGAACCCAACGAACACTGTCTTTGATATCAAGTAAGTTGCAAAATCCAACCAAGAACATATGAAGAACGTTTTCTAACGACCTATAGGCGTCTCATTGGCCGCCCCTTCGATGATCCTCATGTTAAGACCGACTCCGAGTCCTGGCCTTTCAAGATCGTGGACGTCGATGGATCGCCCAGTGTTCAGGTCGAGTATCTCGGAGAGATCAAGACCTTCTCCCCCCAGGAAATCTCCTCCATGGTTCTCACCAAGGTTCGTAATTGAATCACACCCAACAACAGTCTCCAAGATCTAACCAAGCCGTTCTACAGATGAAGGAGGTTGCTGAGGTCAAGTTGGGCAAGAAGGTCTCCAAGGCCGTCATCACTGTCCCAGCCTACTTCAACGACAACCAGCGTCAGGCTACCAAGGACGCCGGTGCCATTGCTGGCCTCAACGTTCTCCGTATCATCAACGAGCCTACCGCCGCCGCCATTGCTTACGGTCTCGGTGCCGGAAAGTCCGCCAAGGAGCGTAACGTTCTCATCTACGATCTCGGTGGTGGAACTTTCGATGTCTCCCTCCTGAACATCCAGGGTGGTGTCTTCACCGTCAAGGCTACTGCTGGTGACACCCACTTGGGTGGACAGGATTTCGATACCAACCTCCTTGAGCACTTCAAGAAGGAGTTCTTCAGGAAGACGAAGAAGGGTTAGTGCTTCTTTTGCTTTTATTCTATTCCTAGTTGCTGCGAATACCCACAGCGGCGACAGGGAGTGCAATTTTTTTTGCCCCTGGGTAACTAGTGTTACCAAAAGTGGCAATGGCGTTTGCAAACCGCTCCTTCCCTCTGGGTAACTGGCAATACCCAAACTGGTGACGGGGTTTTCAAACTACTCTTTGCTTCTGGGTAACTGATACCCAAAGTGGCGATGGAGTTTGTAAACTATTCCTTGTCCCAGGGTTACTGGTAATACCCAAGGTGTCGATGGGGTTTACGAACTGTCTATTGCCTCTGGGTAACTGTGATACACAGTCCCTGCCTGAGAGACTGACTCCATATTTTATACTTGCTAAGTTTTATTCTGAATTTTATACTAACAAAATAAATAGATATGTCCGGTGACCCACGTGCTCTCCGTCGTCTCCGCACTGCTTGCGAGCGTGCCAAGCGCACTCTCTCCAACGGTGCCCAGACCACTGTTGAGATCGACTCCCTTTTCGACGGCGAGGACTTCAACGCCCAGATCACCCGTGCTCGTTTCGAGGACATCAACTCCAAGGCTTTCAACGGCACTTTGGACCCAGTTGCCCAGGTCCTCAAGGACTCTGGCATCGAGAAGAGCAAGGTTGACGAGATCGTCCTTGTTGGTGGCTCCACCCGTATCCCAAGGATACAGAAGCTCCTCAGCGACTTCTTCGGCGGCAAGAAGCTCGAGAAGTCCATCAACCCCGATGAGGCTGTTGCCTACGGTGCCGCCGTCCAGGCTGGTATCCTCTCCGGAAAGGCCACCTCTGCCGAGACCGCCGACCTCCTCCTTTTGGATGTCGTCCCTCTCTCCCTTGGTGTTGCCATGGAGGGTAACATCTTCGCCCCAGTCGTTGCCCGTGGCCAGACTGTCCCTACCCTTAAGAAGAGGACCTTCACCACCGTCGCTGATAACCAGCAGACCGTTCAGTTCCCTGTCTTCCAGGGTGAGCGTGTGAACTGCGAGGACAACACCTCCCTCGGAGAGTTCACCCTTGCTCCTATCCCACCGATGAAGGCTGGCGAGGCCGTCCTTGAGGTCGTCTTCGAGGTCGATGTCAACGGTATCCTTAAGGTCACCGCCACTGAGAAGACCTCCGGCCGCAGCGCCAACATCACCATCTCCAACTCTGTTGGTAAGCTCTCTTCCGCTGAGATCGACAACATGATCAGCGAGGCCGAGAAGTTCAAGTCCACCGACGAGGCTTTCTCCAAGAAGTTCGAGTCCAAGCAGCAGCTTGAGTCTTACATCTCGAGGGTTGAGGAGATCATCTCTGACCCAACGATGTCCCTCAAGATCAAGCGCGGACAAAAGGAGAAGATTGAGTCTGCTCTCAGCGAGGCCATGGCCCAGCTCGAGATCGAGGACTCGTCCGCTGATGACCTTAAGAAGAAGGAGTTGGCTCTCAAGCGCGCCGTCACCAAGGCTCTGTCCACCCGCTAAATATGGTTTTGATTGTATTGTACCCGGGCCGCAACCAGGCGTAGGAAAACGATTTCGACGCATGAATTTCACGACATGGCTGGCATATCTGGATTGGCTCGAGTTCTCTGGGTTCCAAAAGTTCCGACTGAGATGTGGTTCAAGGATGTTTCCCACTATTTCATCACGTCCTTTCCGCGCATTGTAGAATTACGAAATGCGCAAGTAATTGAAAACTTAAAAAATATACCTTGCGGTGCCTCTCTGATGTGAACGTGACTAGTTTAATTGTGATTTCATGCTTCATCGTTTCTAATAAACTACACTGTTATATTTCCTACTTAATATAAAGATATCTTACTTCAATTTATCTTCGAATAACCAGACGAGTCCTCGATCTCGAGCTGGGCCATGGCCTCGCTGAGAGCAGACTCAATCTTCTCCTTTTGTCCGCGCTTGATCTTGAGGGACATCGTTGGGTCAGAGATGATCTCCTCAACCCTCGAGATGTAAGACTCAAGCTGCTGCTTGGACTCGAACTAGATGCGCTGACGTATATGACCTTGCTATTGCTAAGTCTATGCCTGCTCCATCCCCTTCCTGGCCGCATCTACGGTCTTCTTCACGTCCGCCACAGCCCCCTGGACAATCTTCTCCATCTCCTTATGCGCCTTCTTCAACTCATCCGGCAGCGCCGTTTTCTTAATCTCCATCTGCCTCAGCTTCTTCTGCATCACCCCTCTCGCCGCCGTAATTGCCGCCTTAGCCGTCTCCCCAACATCATGCGCCGCCGCCAGCGCCGCATCCCTACTCTCCTTAGTTGGTGCCGGCAGCGGCACATTCAGCTGGCTGGAATTATGAGGGTCAGGCACGGGTTGCAGATTCAGCTCCTTGGCATTTTGAATCGCGCTTATGATAGGCTTGATGTGGTCCTTCTCGCCGACGAGGAGCATGACGCTGCGCCCGCCCTTGGGGATCACCTGCGCCAGCTCGCCCACGCGGTGCGTCTTCTTAGAGTCTTTGTCTAGGTGCACGCGCACGTTCTCGAGGAGCTCGGGGTTGAAGCGCCCGCCAGTGCGTAGCTTGGCGAGGTCGGCGCTCAGCTTGTCGTTTGCTTTGACGATGCCGGCGCGCAGGGCGCTGAAGTCCTCAGGGTCCCATTCTTCGGGGGCTTCTTTGGTGCCGGTCTTTTGAGAGTCGCGGGGGGCTGTGTTTTTGCCTTTCTTGTAGAGGGCCGGGGTGGTGGTGAGGGTGCGGAGGGAGAGGGTGGGCAGGATGGCGGTGGTGGAGGGTGTGGGAGCCCTGGGTCTTCTGGGGGAGTTAGTACATGTGGAGTTCTGGTGGGCAATTGAGGGGTACTTACAGTGTGTGGAGTCTGAGGGGGCTTCTTGAGCTTGTGAGTATCTGCGCCAGCGCATTTCTGCGCAATTGGATCCTGGGAGGCATGTTCGCTGTGAATTGGTTGTAGTGATGTGGTTGTGGAGAGCTTGAAGCATGGTTTTGGACAGGGTCTCGGAGTATTAATTATGCGGGGAGCAGAAGCCTGGGCAGGGTCCGAACCAGACTTTCGAACGAATTGATTACTTTACTCACGAATAATTAGTTAACTCTTAATGTGTAGCACGGTTATGGGCTATTATATTCTGTGTGTAGTATTATGTTTTATATATATGTTCGTAGAGTTATTTTGGGTTTTTAGAGTCACAGTTGATATGATACCATTTTACTATTTAGTCCAAAATTACTAGTTATAGTTATTAACTTTATATCAATATTATCGATTATTCACATTCGAAAGGTCAATTAATAAACCAGCTAAGTATCAACATAGTGGTAATCTCACTTCTCGGCCCCTTGATATATCTCACGAGACCTACTTATGATCTACTGCGAATGTTTTGACTGCCAACGACGAGTGATCTTTGTAAATGTGACATACAGCAGACGAGAAAACTACAATAAATATTTTACATATGCTCCGAACTTCTATATATAATACAACCCTGAGCCCAGTTTCAAGCCTTAGCACCCGCCTTTGCCGGCGCGCTCTTCCTTGGTTTTAAAACCGGCAGAAGTTGCTGTACCTTTCCCTTCAGCGACGCAGTATTTGCAGGCAAGTATGTAGGATTCATGTTCCCCTTGATCTCCACTCCCCCTAGTATGTCGTCCGCCTTAGGTGAGGACACACTTGGATATTGGCCTCCAACCAATGCCTTCATAATAGCCTCCCTCTCCTCCTTGCTAATGGTCTTATACTCCTTCGGGGTGCCTTCAGCGTAGTTCGGGCCCAGAATACTGTTTTTCTCTGCCTCATCAAGGAACAGAGTGCCCCGTCCGTAGTTGTACTGGTTCGCATGAGCACGCGCATCCAGCAGCTCATTCCCATGCTGCCCTGTCAACTTTCTTATATGATCCCGTACCGTCTCCACCAACCCCAGAGGCGCCGAGCCTGTTGCCAGACTAGGAATATTATATTCCAGGTCCGCATGTGTTGTTGTACCCGAAAGCGCAGCTCTCTGGACCCCCATGTCCCGTGCAGCCGCATATGCCAATTCCTCAGGGGACAACGGCACATCCTCATAATCCTCAGCCTCTCGTTTTGGTCCTTGGGACTTCTTGCCCCTGCTGCCTCTCGCACCTCCTCTTCCACGTCCGCGGGCATTAGCACCACCACGACCACGGGACATAGCACCGCCGCGTCCACCGGCGCCAAATCCGCCGCGGCCCCTGGGAACGAAGCCGCCTCGTCCACGATCGCCAGATCCGCCGCGGCCTCTAGGGACAAAACCGCCTCGTCCGCGGGGTTGAAAGCCTCCCCCTCCTCGTTGTGGTGTATCGTTAAAAGTGCGAGTGATGTTGAGGGTTCGTGGCGGAGCTGCAGCGAGGGAGCGGGCGTCGACGCCGCGGGGCTTGGAGGGCTTGAGGGACGAGAGCTCGGCCGTCGCGGTTGCGGTGCGGGTTATGCGAAGAGTGCGAACGGGAGGGTTAGGTTTTTCTGGTCAAGTTAGCCACGGGTCAATTGGTCGATTATACTATGCGATGAAGCAATTGGTAGGACCAGGGGAGTTCGAACGCACCACCCTCTGCCCGAGACACCGAGGCGTGAAATTGCCGTAAAGAGGCTGCGATGCCATCTGAAACGACTTTCAAGTCATTGGCAACCGGCCTGCTGCGGCTCACAGCCGATTGTATGTGCCACTTGAACATGGCGCGGATGTGGTGCTATGGTTGTCACCTTGAGATATTTCTGAGGTCGGCTCAAAGATTTGGATGTCGCAAACCTTAATTATGAGGATCACAAGGCTACGAGGCTGGGCTCTACCATCCGACGTGACAACCACAATCACCTTCCCCACCAACATACGACACAACATATACAACATAGTTCATATCACTTGGGATATCCTCAAAGTATACATCTGGCTGCATCATAACTGGCTTCTTGTTACGATTTCCGCGCCTCTGAATAACTACCGCGAAGATGCTCCGCCGAAAGCCAACCGCCATATCAATTACCAACGAGGACGTCGCGTCCTATGAAGACCGACAGAACGCAGCAGCAGAAGAAGCTTTGCGAGCAGAGATGCTGCGAGCAGCACAAATGCAGGCTCAGAAGGGCCAGAACGTGAATCCCAACGATGGACATAAGATGCAGGGCCACGGTAGACCACAACCCAAGACGAGAGAAGAGAGGCTTGGGCTTGCATCGCGCAGCTAAGTCATCGTACGCAAACAAACCTGATCTGCTGTTACCAGCGCGCTCCTGATGCTCATCTTCATGTCACATGAACGAGTTTATTCAGAAATTATTATATTTTGGTCGAGATCCATCAACCTATGGCATCCTCCATTTCCTACAATCAAACGCCGCCATGCCATGCAACCAAATCCATGCATGATCCCTAACTACCAAACGACTCGCCCATCAAGTCTCGCCTCCGGACGCCATATTCTATGTGTAAAAAACAACGCCTAGCCTACAATTCCACCTCTGGACTGTGCCCAGCACGCCATGAGAGCTGCTCCGGCGCTCCAGCCAAAGGCATATTTCCTATCGTACTATGAAAACAAAATTTCTCGGACTCTCGTCCTTATAACACTACTTCGGCTCCGTCTTTGGCTCCGTCTTCGGCTCCGCCTTCTTCGACCCAAAGCTTAGCCTGATCTTGAGACTAGGTTTCTTGACCGGTGCCTGTGGAGGCGGCGTTGGTCCGCTGGGGAGAGGCACACGGGCGCCGCTAGGGAGTGGAACGCGGATTTTCTGGCCTGTGGAACTGGGTGTTCCGGGGGTGGTGTTGCGAGGTCCGGGTGAGGCTGATGACCATGACGGTGTTGGGGACTCGCGTGGGGGTTTTGAAAGAGAGGGAGAAGGCGAAGGTCTAGAAAGAGAGGGTGATTGGGAGGGTCGTGATGATGGTAGAGGAGATCGTGCAGGGCCGCCGCGGGGAAATCGTTTAAGTTTTTCGTGCGACATGCGGAGCTTCACGATTTTTGAAGGACGGGATTTGTCGCTGAAGCTGGGTGGTGCAGGTCGTTTGGGCGGCTTCATACTGGGCGGCTTCATACTGGGCGGCTTCGTACTGGGCGGCTTCATACTGCCATGCTCGGTCTTGATAGTATCCCCCCGGGCCACAGAAGGTGATGGTGTAGGCCTCTGTGGTGCCAGGATAATGGGCGGAGCAGTTTTCTTCACAGGGGCCGCCACAGGGACCGCCACAGGACGCGGCTTAGTGCGGATTTTATTAGTCTGCCGGAAGCGTATTTTGCCCTTGTAATTGTTAGTGTCGGACTGGAAGACAAATTCTAATATGTAACTCACCTTTCCAAGATACTTCGCTTTCCAATACCGTGGATATTTCATGCGCACAACCATAGACTCTACCGCGTCGTAGAGGACGGTGCATATATCAAGGTAATCGGATTGCTCAGACACCGCAATCTGCCTCGACCTCACGGCATCCCACAACCCCTGCTTAAGAGTGGCATTCTTCTCGAGCTCCTCCTTAAGCGCATTCATCGCACCTTCTATGCTTGTTGTTCGCGCAACAAGCGCTTTCTTAGCCTCCATCGATGTCTCGTTCTCAACAATCAGGGTATCCATGTCTTCTTCTTGCTTTGGTTCGGCTTCGGCTTTGCTGTGTTCACCAAGCGCAACTGCTCCCAGGCCGGAGAACAAAATCTGGCAAAGACGATCTCGAACGAAAGGCGAGGCATCAGTGCTCATCACATTCAAGAAATATCTTAAAAGATGTTCGCTAGAGAGATATCCGAGGTCGGTCAATGCATCGAAGGCTTGTATGCGAACGAGGTCCATAGTTCCGTCGTGCGTGTATGCAAACAACTCTCTAGGATCCGAAGGCGTAATTTTGTTCTTCATCAGGCGACGCTTGCACTCCAAGGCGGTTTTTGTGTAGATGTTTTGGTAAGATAATATCCACTCATCCATCCTGCGATATCTCTCGATCTCCTCGAGCGCAACCTGCTGGAATTTCTGTAGTTCCTCTTCATCCTCGTCTGCAAAGCTGAAGCTCATACCGCCCGGAGTCTCATTTTTGACGGGTATCAAAGAGTCTGTGAGGGCTTTCATCAACGTACAGATATAGTAGTAATCGGAGTATTCGTTGTTGCCGTTGTCGTTGAATCTGAGTAAGTCAAGAAGGAATTGGCGTGCCTCAAGAGGACATTTGCCTTCGTTGTTGCGAACTCTGGCCATAGACTTTGGGATCGCCAGTTTCATGCGGTAGTCCGTCTTGTCAGAGAAGTCATTTGACTTTGGCATGCTCGAGCCGGGGTAGCAAAACATCCTCTGGAACGCCTTTTCGAGGTGGACTCTCCCGATCCAGTTATGAGCTTCAACACCATGCGTTGCGAGGTATCTGCAGGCCATTTCCCGGATCCCCCAGAAATACCGGCGGTCCATCAGCGTCCTAATTAGAATCGTCGACACCAGAGGATGCGGTGGGCTCTTAGCTAAGAAAAGCATGGAATCTTGTTGAGCAACAACATCTCGGTCTTGCTGTAGCTGGGAAAGATACATGTATGACGGCATGTTCAGACTCAGCTCGCAGATCCATTCGAAATCAGCGTCCATGCGAATCCATTCGTACGACTCTTGATCCATCTTCATCTCCATCTCTGAATCCCAATCCACCAGACCCCACTCCTGCACGTCATCCTTCGACTGCAAAACGTCGCCTAAGCAGTATAGAAGCACATCGTCGTGATTCTCCGAAGTTATGTCTACGCCGGGGCCAGCTGTAGCTCGTTCTTTCTCTCGCCGACTCCTTTTCAGGCGCTTGTATTTGGTGTGGTAAGGGATCTCAATTTTCTGTATCCCTTCTCTGATCTCCACGATATGTTCGTAAGGTGTCCCATCAGATTCGTGAATCCTGATCGTCATGGGTCCTGTGAAGACGGGCTGAACATCCCCTGCATAAACTCCGTAAGCTTCCTCCTTAAATTCTCTCTGAAACTGGTCCTTTTCGAGCTTTCGCTGTGTCGGTTGAGTATCTTGCTTCTGGCTGATGGTCATCTCCACCGCTAGTTTCTTCTTGTTGAACTTCTGGGTGACTTGAAATCTTGGGCACCCGGCTCCCATGATCCATTGGTTGAAGAAAGCATCGAGCTTATAATGTCCAATCTTCTCGCATAACCTTCGAAACCCCTCCGTCGTAACCGCCCTGTCTGAGACCTCACCAATACTGGCATTGTAGAGTAACCTAGAAATGACACGAACAATCCCCGTGGACCCAGACAATTTCGTTAACCGCCGGTCAAGAATAAAAAGCACCAACGGTGCCTTCAAGATCATAAAGTCCATTTCGAACTGTCCCAGATGAAGGATTTCTCCCAAGGCGTGTATCGACGGCCGTTGAAAGTCCAGGTCCACAAGTTTATCCGCATTGGCCTTTTGTCGGAACCGATAGTCGTTATTCCCGCAAAGCTTCTGCATGCATAGATCTGTGATGTAGTACGATACCCCAACCACAACCCACATGTCCCTCCGCTGGTTTGGAATGATGCTCACTCCGATCCACTGGCTAGCAAGAGCGTGAATGAGTTTCCGTGTCGTCTCAACCTCGGGGTCGATAATGTCTTCCGGGATTATTAGCCGCGAGCTGCACAATGACAGAGCTGCCACCGATATAGTATCTGAGATCTGGTCGTCCACAAAGCAGACTTTGTAGTCGGGAAAGGGGTAGGAGCCGAAATTGAGAGAAAACCAGTCGACAGCGAATGCCATCGTCTCGCACGTGTTCTTGAGCTCGTCCGCACGACCTGGTAAACAGTAGCCATAGACTTTGACGGCCTTCTGGCCAAGCTTATCATTCCCTTCATCCTCGCGGAATTCGGAGAGATCCACTTGCTCAAACGGGCCCACGGAGAAGCCGATATGTTCTGGTCCAACTTGGGTGCTGCAGTGGTAGGTAACGATCTTCTTGGCGATGTCCTTTGGGTCTTGCACTTCGTGAATGAGCTCCCCTGCACAGACTGCATTCATCTCCAGAAGACTGTCCTCATTGCTGAGATCTATAACAAATTCCGAAGGCTCAGAGTGCCCGTGAACCCCATGAACCCCGTTGGCCCTGTGGTTTTCTAGTCCCTTTTTATTCGAGTGTATCCCATTTGCTTTCAGGGGTGTTGTCCGCCTCATGGCATCTCCCAAGGTCCTCCCGCACTTGATCACTATCTCCCAAGTGCACCTCATCGCCGGGTTGTCGATGCAAGGGAATATGCAACTCGCAACACCGCCAAACAGCGAATGCCTCGTATACACATGTGGGTATTTCGTATCTCCATCCTGCACGCCCACCCAGTGCAGCCCATCCCTAAAGCTCTTCACCGAGAACGGTATCGACACCGTCAGCGGCGCAAAACGTATTGACTGATCTTCGCTCGATTTCGGAGTCAGAATAGGTGTAGAGGCAGTAATCGAAGTCCCATTCGCAGTCACCGACGACGCCCTCGCATTCACCAGCGCCCTGTCCTTCACCGCGCTCGGCGCCTGCTCCGAAAACGGATTGATGTCTTCGATTTTCACCGACTTGGGCATATAGATGGTCAACTCGCCCGGTACGATCCGCGAGTCGCGCAACGACTTCACCCTATCCTTCTGCACCTCATGCTGATGTGCGTTCTGGATGATATAGTCCGGGATATCCACCCTCTCATAGGGGTCCTCATATTGTATCTCCGCCGCGCGCCCATTAACCAGCACACCCCTCTCCTTTATCTCGCACTGTCTCGCATTGAACCTCAGTTCCCTCAGGTCGCGGCGCTGGGGCAGGATCGTGATTTCAGTTCGGCCTCTGATGCAGCGTCCCACAAAGTCGATCTCGATCTCGAGCTTCTGGTGCGATACGACGAAGCCGGGTGAGTACTCCTCGACGGGCGCAGTGGCGGCGCGTGGCGCGGCGCCGTCCATCGTCGTGGCGGTGATGGTGGTGGGTGGCTATCGCGGTTGCTCCTCGGTGGTTGAGTGGTGGCCGTCTTCACGACTCGCGCCCGGGCCTGCGTGCAGCCTCATTCATATGCGCGCTGCTTCACGTGGGCCGAGATGTCATGGAGTGGTTGCGGTGTTTGCGATCGGGTTGTTGGGGTGGTCTTGCGCGTCGCGGGGCGTGGTGGTGAGGTTTGTGTAGATGGAGAGAGTTCAGGATGGGTCGCCGAGCTTGCGCCAAAACCTGAGGATCGCAGGGTGGTCAGGCCAGAGGGAGTGTGGTCTTGCGCTGAGGTTGAGATGAAAGCTACTAAGGTGGGTGAGGTCAAAGTGCGATTTTGTTTATTGTACTTTATTATGGGAATGTTTATCTACTGCAGGGCGCTGTGATTGTCTAAGGCGCCCACTTCGTGATAGTGGAAGCTCTGGGAAGCGCGACATTTATTTGCTCTGGACGCAAGCTGTGAACCATGCACTCCACCGACCAGTTTGCTTGGCAAGGCTCCAAATCATCTAGATCACGTGCCACAACCACAGTGAATATCAACTCAAATATTTGCTTTTGGTAAAAACGATTGTTCTTATTCTTTATGTGCAGGGTATCGGATTATTGGATATTCTGTACTTCCTAAAAGCAATCCAACCAGCAATAGTAATGCATACCTCATACAAAGACCCCCAAGTCTTGCCAACTCCAACGCCCGCGCCTCCCAAAACCAAACTCATACAAACCACCCAGCACTTCCGTTTCACGTCAGTAGCTAAATGAAGCACTTTCGATTCGCCCCGACATCACGGTTCATTCTCTGCTCAGGCTCTCCCGCCTAACCCGCCTTACTCAAACTCTCCCTCCTAACCCTCCTTTTCCTCCTGGCCGTGGTATCCTTCGCCGCCTCCTCCTTCAGCTCCTCTGGCAGATCAAAATCCACCTCCGACACCTCAGGAATAGGATGACCCCACGCCGACACACTCCTCCCACTCTTCCTTTGCTTCCCCAACGCAGCCTGTCTCAAATGCGGTTTTTTGTAAAACGACTTGAACTCCTTCTCCACCCTATCCATAGGCAATTCCTCAAACTCGACTTTCGCCCGCTTTTCCGCCTTACGTTTAGTAGAGGTGTGCGGTGCGGAGCGAGCAATGGCTTCCTCATGAAGCTGCATCGCGGCTGCGTGATCGACATCACTGTAATCGGGAGGATCGCCATCGCTTTCCTCGCTCTCGTCTTCTCCCTCCTGAGCAGCCTCCGCCAAAGCTTTGTCCTTCTCGAGCTTGCGGCGTTTCTCCTCGTCTTTCCATGACCGGAACTTGTCGAGAATACCTTGGCACCCCTTGATGAAGTGTTCTCGAGCCGGCTCAAACTCTTTCTTCTTGCTCTCAGTTATCCCACTGACGCCCATCACTTTTAACCAGTCATGGCCTTGCAGCCCTTCGAGCAATCGGGCCACTTGATCTTTCTCATGTTGTGCCCGCCCCTTCTCGGAGTTACGGATGGACATCTCCAGCCGCTTTCCCCGTCGGTGGGGAATGTCATAGTATGAATCCGGCAGAGGGTCTGACTGTGGGTTGGTTTTTGTATGCCTATCCAAAAATGTAAAGTCCACCTTCTGTGCCTGATACAGATCATAGAACAGCGAATCACTGAAATCCTTATACGCCATTTTCCCCGCCCCATTCTCCAACTGTTTCTTTTTCGGACTAGAATTGCTCGGCAGCTTCTGTTGTGTCGGAGGGTTGCTATCAGAAATTATAATCGACGTCCCAGCATCAATCGAGTCTGTACAAAAGTTAGAAACCGACCTCAAAACAGCAATAAATAGTCCAGCCGTAGCCATTAAAAACTTACGCGTCTCTTCAGCAGCCTCATTCCCAATCACAACATCGTAATCGGGAAAGTACGACGCCAATTCACTCTTAAACCTCGTCCCCTCCTGCGACCTCAGCTTCCGCGTCTCGCTGCTCTTTGTATCCTTCCCACCAGGCTGCAGCCTCTCCAGCTCATGCTTAATCCCATTACTCGCCTTCTCCGCATACCTCGGCAGCACCCTCTCTTCCGTAGTATCCTCCTCCTTATTCCGTGTCTGCCGCTGCGCCGTCTCCGGTTTCGCTGCGGTCGGGGTATTGGTAGGTTTAGCAACAGCTAACTTCCTAGGCTGCTGCGCCCTTGGCCTCGCATCCTCAATCGTCGCGAACCGCGATTTCTTCAACCCAAAATGGTCATGTTGTTGTTGTTGCTGTTCCGCCTCACTCAACCTCCTCGGCCTCTTCAGCGTCTTCTTCACCGGCTTCGTATCGACGGTGATGTGGTCGCGCGGGGGGTAAACATTGAGCTCGCTCTCCGACGGAGCGACGCCTCTAGGCCTTCGACTCGGCCGCGACGGTGCGGGGTGGGTGGCCATGAATTGAGGTCTGCCGTCTGTGGTGCATGTTTCGATAATCATTCGGGGGAAATGGAGGTGGGTGGTGGTGTGTTTTTCGATTGAATTCGATTCGTGAGATGGGCGCACTCTCTCTATTCGTGGTGGTGCATTTTTGGCGGTTTGGGGGGTACTTGCTTGCTAACCCGATGCCGTAGAGTTGGTTGTTGAACAGGGCAGGGAAGGAAGCGTGGTGCGGCGGCGGGTCGAGACGAGGGCAATTTACTGGGTCTGTGACGAGTTTGGGTACGTGGAAGGAGCGAGGGATTAATTCACTTTCTTTTCATATGGTACAATTGGGAATTGTTTGGAGAGTTGTTGGTCGCCTTGTCATTCGTGTTTTGCTTGTTGGTAGAGTTGTCGCGATATCCCAGTGAGGTCTGAGCACTGAGAGAGTACTTATGCTGCCCTGGAATCATCGTACGTGTTTATAGCAACTGTGAATACAATAATGAAAATTAATCACCTAGGACTGTATGTATTGTGCTAGAGCTTTTTAATAAGCTGGTTACTCAAAAATTAAACAAAGAGAAGAAGCTCTATTATGTAGCTTTGCAGTTATAAACTCTCATTCATCGAGTCCTCTCAAGACTACTAGGAGGTATATATAGGGATACTCGAAAAACCATAATATTTGGTGTATTTATTTGCATTTTATGATATAAGCACTAAAATACAAATGGGTATCATCATTTCTAGCTGCTCTATGCCTACGGTATGCCTAAGTATGCCCACAGTATGCCTTCATTTTGCCCTCCTTATAGCCATACATATCCACACCCCCCTACACCCCCCACCTCACCCACTCCCCTCCTCCCTCCTCTCCCTCGGCGAACCCCCAATCCGCAACCTCCTCAACAACCCCCCCTCCCCCTCCTCCCTCTGCAGCTCCAACACCCTCCTCTCCCTCTCCGCACTCTCACTCTTATCCCTCTCCTCCTCCTCCCTCCTCCTCACCTCCTCCGGACTAAGTATCTTATCCCGTCCATGCAACAACTTCCCCACCACCTTCTTCCCCCTCTTCCTCGTCTTGACATATGCTTCGAGCCCCACCAGCACCGCGTAGGAGCGCGAGATGGAGACGTGTGACATATCCACCCCGCCTTCTCGGAGGGCGTGGACGAAGGCGCGGAAGGAGGAGACGGGTGGGCGGTAGTGCCCTGATAGGGGGGAAAGTTCATCCAAGCGGCCGTCTTTGATCTTGATCAATCCCGCGGCTGATATCCTCGAGCCATGCAGGAAAGAAGAGTGCTGAAAAGCTCCAGACTGCTTGATGCCCACGTAGAGCCGGAAATTGGTATCCGCGACGAAGATCCAGGTATTCTTCTTGACGGAGCTCCGGAGGAGCTTGTTGAAGATTGTAGAGGGGGAGACGTGCTTGACTTTCTTCATTCCGCGAGCTTTGTCGAAACTGTCAGTTGCGTAGTGTTGCGCCTCGGCTTCTTTTTCGGAGTCTGAGTCGGACGAGGAGGTGGTGCCGATATGTGATGGTACTATGGTGTGATCGCCATCTTCAGGTTTGAACATCGGGGCATCGCTCTCAACCGGTACAATACCATGGAGACTATCCCTATACTTCGTAGTCGTATCAATCCTCCTCCCATCCTTCGCCCAACACAACCTCCCCACCCCATCAATCCTAACCAAATAATCCAGCCTCTCCTCCTTGCTAAGATACCTAATCCTCTCCCTCTCCAATCTGTCCCTCGAACACCCCGCACACTCAATCCTCCTCCCCTCCCCATAATCCAACCAGTAGAAGAAATTCTCTTTCGTCTCCGCCCTCTGCCACTCCTGGTGGTACGTTCGCAGATTACTCCCATACCGATGCCTGACATCCACCATCTCAAGCCAGTACTGAATATCCATCATCTTCGCAGACCTCATCCTCTCCTCCTTCTTCTCCGCTCGCAATCGCCGGATCTCACCGGCCGTCTCATCCTCCCCGCTACTCTCGCTGCTTGAATCCTCGTCGTTCGCTGCACGCTTCACTATCGTGCCGACTTTCGTCCAGTTCGCCCGAGCAGCACCACTTAATCGCTTCCCAGACGCTGACACTGGGCTATCCTCGCCCCCCGCCGTCCCAGGTCTAGACCCGGTCTCATCAACACTCCCCCTCGGCCTCGGCGTCGTCAAATTCCTATATCTCGCCTCCTTAAACGCCTCAACCCACCTACTCCCCGGATCCAGTCCCCACCCCCTCATCTGTCTGCGCTCCCTATACCCCCTATAATTCCTCTGTATCAGCTCAGCAGCCGCATTCCTCCCTCTCCCCTCCTCACTGTGCCGATGCTCCGGGGTATCCGCACTGAGGCTCTGGCGGTGCGCCTTCTTCTCGTCTTCTTCTTTCTGGATCTGCACGTACTCGATGCGTGCGAGTTCTGAGGGGGGAGGGACGGGGAGGGAGTCGATATATTCTTGGTGAGAGGAGTGGCGGGAGTTGATGGAGGGGTGGTGGCTGTGTCGGCGGGTTTCGGGGGGGAGGGAGGTGGAGGAGGAGGAGGAGGCTGCATCGTGTGGTGGTTGATGGCCTGGGGAGGATGGGGAGTTGGATGCCATGGTGATGTGCTGGGAACTCGTATTTCCACCCTGCGTAATAATTTCTATCGACGGTGGGGTGACTGAGTCCCTGCCAAGTAAAAAAGTATGGTATGAAAGAAAAGTGATATCTCGTTATCGATCAAAGAAGCATACTCGATCTCACTGACATTCCAACTATGAACAAAGCTTCAAATATCGTAACCGCCGTAACATATACTCTTTCAAACCCTCCAAGCTCCAAGAAGTCGCCGAGTAGAAGCAAAAGACGATAGCCACGGGACTTACGTATCATCCCACCAAACATCAGCCTTGCTTCGTGATGGGCGCTCCACATGCATGTGTTAATCCCCGATGGCGTTGGTGGCGCTGCGGGGATTGCGTGGCTGTTGGGTGGGCTATTTTTACGAGACCCAAGGCTGCCCAGCCTTGCGATGACGCGGACTGTTGGGTTTTGGGTTCTCGGCCTTTTGACATCGCGATGAACGTCGATCGATCATGGAGGTAGACGGCTTTCACTGTGCCAACCTCTTATTCACTTTAAATCTATATCGGTCTCAGGACTTCAACTGTTATAATAGTTGGCGCCAAGAATGGAATCCCCCAACTTGTCAGATATTCGCAAACGTACATACTGAAGCAGGAACCACCCGACAGAGCCTCAAAAGATAATAGATCTAGATCTAGATCCAAGACTATGTTTCAGACGGCAGCTAATCATTTAGTCGTGTGCTTCTGTACATATACTCGAAACAAAACTTCGAGCTAACGCTATCAAGTCACCCACACGGGCGGGTATATACAAAACAAAAAAGCCGCGAATATGTCTCGCAAGCCCGTACCCAATGACCCCCAACACCATGTGCAACCCAAATTATGTAAATAGAAAGTCTTTCATGACTGGCGAGCTCGAAAACTCGGGGTTAAGAAGTATGCAACTGCAAAAAAACACGGAGTCAGCATGGTGTATCGTTGGTGGTTCGGTAGGGCAGTTCTGGGATTTCGGAGGCATACTTCAAAAAATACTGCAGGCCAATTCTTCGCTGCTCCAAGAACTTGGGCCGGAATTTAGAGACGACGCCCTTGGGAGGTAGGGGCGGCATGGAAGCTTCGGAGAGCGGGAAGGTCATCAGGAGGTTGCGCCGCAACGTGTCGAACTCCGAGTACCGCTTTCGTAAATTTATTTTGCTTCCCTGGAGAGATCATCAGTAAAGGGGGCTGTGTATCAGGGATCCATCATCGCATACACTCAATGTCTCTATCGTTATGTTCCACACGACAAACGCGCCTATGCCGGTCCTGTTGCCATTGACCACCGCATGCTCGTCAATGGTGACACTCCTCGCCCAGCACGCGTCGTTGCTGTCCGAGTATCCGGTGGTATTATCGTGCAGCGTGATGCCGCCATGTAAAACCGAGTCTACCGAGACCTGAGACGCGCTCCGCTTATGCGACTGGACCCAGTAAGGGGGCGAGGTGGTGGGGGAGGATGTCTCGGTCAGAGGCGGGAGGGGCGTCGCGGAGGCTGGGAACGTCCTGCTTTCGTCGTCGTCGTCGTCGCCATGGTCGACGCTTTTGAGTCCGTGGATGAGGAGTCGGCGATCGCCTGCTACGTCCATCGACAGTTGCTCGGGATGGCGCACTGGTTGATGGCTCCGAGAGGCCTTGTTGGTGTGTGTGTGTCGTGGCCTTTGTTGACCAGATGCCCGGTGAGACTATAGCAATGTGAGACTCGATAGTCGATGGCGCGCTGGACCCCTGTCGCCACCACGTCAGCGGGTGTAGTGGGAGAATTGGCTGGCTTTGAGGGAGGTCGGAGGGCACAACAGCCGTCGCAGAGCAAAAGCCGTGTTATCGACTTGAAGTCTCGCGATTGGAGTTTGGTAGCGACCAAGATCGAAGAGATTGAATATACATGTGGATGGTTGGGGAAGTTGGCTATCGGCGACTCAGGAATCTGGGGAAAGCACGCCCCCAAAATTGCGACGCCATACCTGACACAGACTAGCGGGTAGGCGTGGTAGCAGGGGTAATATTTAGTGTATTAGTGTTAAATGCCGAGGAAAACGAGGCTCTGCCAGCCTCGCCAGTGACCGGGGTTATTATTGGCGGGCTATTGTTGACAAGGATGCTCTCCCAAGTAATACGACAGTAGTGGATAATAGTACGACTCTTTTTCTTTCCAACAAGTCAGTGCTCAGTCAATGCTCAGGGGCACCAGCATCCGGACAAAGCGGACTCCTATTTCCCACAATAGTCTCAGCGCCGTTGTTTATGCGTCTTCGTCTTGGGTGTCTTCTTGTTCACGGCACGGCATCTATTATTATCGTATTTTGCCACATATCCGAGTCAACTCTACTCCGTATATGTCATGCATCAGGTAGAACTTCTATCAACCCCAACCCCGCACGTTTCTATACGAAGCCCGCCTCCAATCAAACTAGGATTTTATGGCTTGCTGGAGATAGAGTAACCAACCCTGTCTGCAGCTGCACGGAGCTTGTTAAAACACAGTATCTCCATTGGGCAATACAGCGGAAACTACCCAAATCTATCAAAATCTACCCATCTCCACTCACACATCCCACACATCCCTGACTTCTTGATTGGCACATCTACCACATCTCCTCAATATTTCCTACCCGACAAACCAGACTATATGAGACTATTTTGTCTCTAGATCTCCTGCCTCCGTCCTCCTGCGTCCAACTGCGTCCTGATTAGAGTGTTTATACGAAGTCTCCTCTTCGTCATTCCCGTCTTTCCCGCCACTTCTGTTTATTTATATGTTTTTTTTACGCCATGTGCCATGTACCAAGGGTGCGAGGACTCACTCATCTCACTCATCTCACACACAAATCTCTACTTCCAGCAGCCAGGATGATGTAAGGATGTAAACAATATGGATCATTAGTTGGGATCTACACACTGTATCTGTGCTTGAGTAACTGCAAACGTACGAAGGATGACTATCTATCTCTGGTGGCTTCATATTTACTCGTATCACAGTCCGTACTACTGTACACTTTATACACTGTTTATACTGTATATCCTGTATAACTATTGACGCTCGGGCTGCTCTGCGGCTTGGTACAGCATCAATCACCGCAAGACCTGTCCCACTTGTTGTATCTCCTACCTTACCTTAGTGAGCTTCTTCTATCCCTTCTCCGCCCACTCCCTCATCTCTCCTTCTCCCTCCTCTTCTTCTTTTCCCACGATAAGCCTTCAATAACCTCTAATTCCCAGTCACTCGCTTTCCCATTCGTTCGCATTGCGCCTCTTTCTTCTCTAATACCTTCGTTTTAGTTTTCGTGCTCTTGAGATTTGGTTTTCCCGCATCGACAGAAGTTACCTCCCACATCGTACGTCCTTCCTTCCACTGACTCCACCGCGACGACGCCGAGTGTGTCCGTTCGCCGCGATATTGTGTGGAAAGGGACGTGTCATAGGCATATGGATAGCTAACATTGATGTCGATAGATTTACTACCTCCCTCTATACACATATACCTACGCTTTACACCTTCACACGAAAGACTACTCGAGATGTTCTGGTCCAAGGTCTTCGGCGTTGCCGCCCTCGCTGTGGCAGTTGCTGCTCAAGAGCAGTACTATATCGCGCCATCGAGCGTGCTTCTCACAACAAGAGGTCCGCATACCCAACACCTAGACACCCTATACCTATACTAACTGCAACAGAGGTCTGGTGTAATGACCAAACTAGCACCTGCCCGCTGTTGTGCACACAATACCCAGGTGGCTCCATGACCACCGCCGCGAACGACTGCGACCCTGTAGGTCCCCCATCACCCATTAATAACCATCCGACCCCATCTAACACCCCCCCAGGAAACCCTCACATACAACTGCACCTGCGGCAACGGCATCTCCCCCAACATGACCGAGTACAGCCTCACCATCCCCTTCCACATCTGCATCGAATGGGGCCAGCAGTGCGTCGCCGGCTGCGGCGGCGTCAACACCTGCCAGGCCGCCTGCACCGAGGACCACCCCTGCGGCGCCCAGGACCCTTCGCGCGGCAACGCCACGGCCACCACCACCAGCGGCGCACCAGCAGCTACCAGCTCCGCCCCAGTCGTCCACGACGGTTTCGGTGACAGCAGCACTACTGGGTCGTCGACTGTGGCTAAGCCCAATGCTGCTCGCGCTGCTCTCGATCTCGGGAGAAGCTATGGCCTGGCTATCGTGTTTGCGGGTATCTTCGCGGCTTTTGGATTTGTCATGTAACGCGCTTATTTGGCGGGTTAATGGACGTGACGACGATGGGATTCTTCTTTTCATCACCTCTCGTCCGAACTACACTACATCTCTCTCTCAATCACTCGTTCTTCTTTTTTGAGTCGCGCTTGAGCATTACTCTCTCACTTTAGCGCTGCATATAATTCAGTCCTTTCCGCGAATTGATCAAGTTGGGGGGTTCCGGGGAGTACGTAATTGCCATTATTGAGGTGGGGAATGTTGAGGGCAAAGGTGGAAAAATGGTTGCTGGGACGGACGACGGCGGTTAATGCAGGTTGTGTGTGGAGTGGAATTGTGATCTTTCTTGAGAGCTTTTTTGGGCGTTATTATACTTTGCTTTTTGGATTACTTGGATTTCTGATTTTCAGTTTTGCGAGGTGTTTTGGGTTTTTCGTGCGCACAAATAGCTTTTTGTTCAGACCCCAGATCAGATCATGTAAAAGTTGTTCTTCGCGTTAATTGTCAGCAAGATCAAGTTAGTTCATCAGTCCATCCATCCATCATCTCGGCATCTTCATCCTTCAACATCACGTGTGATCCTTCCCCAGTAACCATTCAGGTTCCAATCGTAGAACTTCCATCCTTCCCTTGCCGTGATAGATTCAGTGGAGCCAGATTGTATTTCCTATTTCGTAGAAGGGATCCATTGTTTTTCCCGCCGAACATAACCAGTAATAGAGTAGGTGGTCTGGTCACATGCCAAACCTCAACAAATACTGCTCGTGACGACTGATGTGGTTAGTGGCGGGGGTGTGATCAAATCTCAGGGTCGTCCCTGGCTTGCCATCGGGAGCGAACACCACCAAAAATTTAAGCTGCGCACTGATTTTAACTGCTGTGTGCGATTTAGTTGCTGTTGTGTTATAACCAACAACACCACCACCCACCAAACCTCTCTGGCCTGGCGTCGTACTCGTTATATATATCCTTTGCTCCCGCTTTTCCCTATGACCTATAATTTGCTTTGAAAAATAGAATGCCTCTGCTTCTATAACCCCCTATTTGCTCTCTATAAACTCTTTGCTTCTCCATACGCCAACCCTACAATTTTCTAAAGACACAGACGCACAACGAACACACCCCTGTGCGCCCAGCGTCCCACCTAAATCCCACCTCGGCGGACACGGACAAGAATACAGACGAAAAATCACAGCTCGCGCCGTGCCCATAGCAGAACGGGGGGGTGTGCGCAAATCTCCAATAATTCCACTCACTCTCTCTCAACCCGCCCTCTCTCCCCCAACCCGGCCGCCGGACCGGAACGAAAAGAAGACGACCCTACAAAGCGGGCTGGCGACGATGTCTTCGAGCAGCAGCAAAAGTAAAGCCCACCTGCGGCTGCGTTCAGACTCCAACCGGACGACCTTCACTAACATGCTGGCGAGTGTAGAGGCAGCTGCGGCCGAGTCGCTGAGTGAGGATGCGCTGGTCCACCTCAAGTCGTACAAGTACTCTAGCGTCGATGAGAGCTATATCTCGAATTATATCTTAAAACACTACGTACGTCCACGACGCGCTCCAGAGCTCCGATATACATACTGGGAATACAGGTTGACTAACGAAATGGGATACAGTGGAATGCATGTGTGGAATTCCTACCCCTGTGGCTGGCGCCGAACATGGTGACGCTGCTGGGCTTCTTCTGCATTATCAGCAATGTGATTTTCCTAGTCATATGGCAACCCGAGATGAATGGCCAGGTACGCAAACACCCCTCCCCCCTATGCCCCAGCGCGAGCTACAGCTTATGTTCAAACCCAGGATCCGTCATGGATCTACTACAGCTTCGCCTTCGGCCTCTGGGCCTACTCAACCATGGACAACATCGACGGCAAGCAAGCGCGCCGCACCGGCACCTCCAGCCCCCTCGGCGAGCTCTTCGACCACGGCATCGACTCCCTAAACTGCACCCTCGCCTCCCTCCTCGAGACCGCAGCAATGGGGCTAGGAAACTCTAAAGCTGCGATGTTCACGGCTCTCGTGCCTTGCATACCTATGTTCTTCTCGACGTGGGAGACATACCATACTCACACCCTGTACCTGGGGGTCATCAACGGCCCGACTGAGGGTCTCATCATTGCCTGCTTGATAATGATGCTCGCGGGCCACTTCGGACCCGTCATCTGGACGCAACCACTCACCGATTTCTTCGGCACAGCCTGGTTCCCCTCCTCCCTCTCCGCGCTCACCTTCCGCGACGTCTGGGTCGGAATCATCATTCTCACCCTCTTCGGGACCCAAATCCCCTTCTGCGTCCTCAACGTCGTGCGCGCGCGCCGCCGCGACAACCTCCCCGTCGCCCCCGTCTTCCTAGAGTGGACGCCAATGATCACCTTCTCCGTCGCCGTCGGCACCTGGCTTCTCTCCCCGCATTCCACGCTAATGGCAGAAAACCACCTTGTCCTCTTCTGCCTAACCATGGCCTTCGTCTTCGGCCGCATGACCACGAAAATCATCCTCGCCCACCTCACGCGCCAACCCTTCCCCTACTGGACTGTGATGCTCTGGCCTCTCGTAGGCGGGGCATTGATCTTCCACCTCCTCCCGTCGATGGGCTTCTCGCCGCTCACTGCGGATATGGAGTTGTTGTATCTGCGCGCGTACTTTGTGTTCGCGGCGGTGGTGTATTTTAGGTGGGCGTGGCTGGTGGTTAATTCCATTTGTGGGTATTTGGGGATTAATTGCTTAACGATCCCGGAGGTTAAGGCGAGGGATTTGGAGAGGGAACGGAAGTTGGCGGAGACGGGGAGGAGGGGGGGGAGTGCGAGTGCGAGGGGGGGGTATGTGGGTGATGTGGCGGATGCGAGGGGGAAGGTGCATTGAGTGTGGAGATGTTGGTGAGGAATTGAGGAGGTGAGGGGGGTGGTGGATGTATATAGCCCATGCATGAATGGAGAGGAAGGATGAGTGGTATAAAATGGAGACATGAAGGGCCCAGAAGGGGTCAGAACGCAATACAGAGAGTCGAGTTTGCATAGCGAGCGAGCGAGCGGTGCTGCATTACATCAGTTCAGACTCTTGGCGGAGGGGGTTCTCTTGATAGAGAGAGATGGCAGATTGGGTGGTTGAAAGAAAAATGGTGACTGGAGACGGTTTACGTTTAATGAGCAAATATTGAATTATACAATCCTGGTTAATACTATAATAAAACAGTTACGTTTAATGAAGAAATATTTGAATTATACAAACAAATCCTGGTTTAAACATATCAATGACCCTGCAATTTTTGATCGTGGGTAGGTACAACCCCCCCCCACCCCATTGAATGATTATAGCAACCCCCTTATTTTGAAGTTCATCAAAGCCCACTTCCAGCGCCCGATATATAGGTAAAAAAAAAGGCTCCTTCCCTAACCTTAGGCTTACTAGTTAGAAGAGAAGGAACGACCGACTCCAGAAGGAAAGAGCGACCGATTCTAGAGGGAAGTAGCGTTCCTTCCTATTTTTTGGGCTTTAGAGTTCTACAAGGGAAGGAACGACTGACCCTAGAAGGAAAGAGCGACCGACTACATAGGGAAGGAACGGCCTTTCCTACCTTGGGGAACTTTATAGTTATAAGGGAAGGAACGATCGTGGGTAGCTATATTTTTTAATTTTCGTTCCTTCCTTGTAGGGACGGAAGGCCTAGGTTTTTATATGATATAGTTGGTAAGAGCTATAGTATTAGGTGGAGGGGAGGGGGTTCACTCCTTCGGCATTATATATAGTACGTATAAACATACCACCAGGCTAGGTAGGTATCATCTCATAGCACATAAGAGTTAAGGCAAATTCGGATGTAGATGTCTTTTGGACAAAAGAGTGGATCGTTACAATCATTCATTCAGGGGGGTGTAGTAGATGGGATAGGAATTCGCTTGGCTACCGTGAGTGTCCGTCTGGTACACTCACTATTCACAAGACGAGGAACTTTGTCACTAAAACACATAGAGTACATCATAACAGGTGTTTACCATGATCATATGCTCAAGACGCTATGTACAAACCTTTCCCCCCCAACCTTCCCCACGCCAACAGTCGTCAACGCTCACACACTGAAGCAGTTAGGTATGCATGCTTCCAAACGACACAACACAAACAAAACACCCCGCTCTCCCGCGCCTATCCACTCCCTCCCCCCCACCTGTATCGCATATCCCCCCTCATCACATCGTTCAACGCGCCTTATGCATGCTTTCATGAAAAAAATACTTGCCAAGTCGTCAGCAGTTTCCACGCCTGCTACCTGCCCGGGTTATATGTATAGCCGGGCTAGGTGAGACGACTTGGATAGGGGTTATAGTTGGTCGGGCCCGCGCCGACGGTGTAGGCGCTTTTGAGAGGCCGTACTTATTTGAAGTGTGTGGATTTATGATTTAGTTGGTGCCTCGAGCGCGGCTGCTTCGGCGGCGCGGACGGGCGCGAAGTAGGGGTGTGCCATTGCTTCCTTGGCTGTCAGGCGTTCCTGTTGTGGTGTTAGGGATGGGTTTATTGGGGTTGGGTTAGAGGATATGGATATGGATATGGATATGGATGAGACGTGGATGAGACGCACCTGATGATCGTATCTGAGTAACTTATCCAAGAAGTCAATCGCCTCATTCGTGACATACTTCTGGTTCTCAGCATTGACGAAGCTGTTCCAGTTCTTCTTCTGGAAGCGACCCAGGATATCATCGTACTGCGCATCCAGCTCGATCTCGTACTTGTCGAGGTAGTCGAACAGGTCCTCCGTGCCGAGCACCTTGGCGATCTTAACAAGCTGGTCCGAATTGCTGTTGCCGTGGAAGAAGGGCTCTTTGATGAAGATCATGGACGCGAACATGGCGCCTAATGACCACATGTCCAGCGAGTAATCGTATTCCTGGAAGTCGACCAACAGCTCGGGTCCTTTGAAGTAGCGCGATGCGACGCGGACGTTGTACTCGGTGCCTTGGTGGTAGAACTCTGCGAGACCCCAATCAATGAGGCGGAGCTGCTAGATGTTAGAAATCCTATGTGGTATAATATGTCACGTCGTCATCTAGCGGGGTAACGCACCTTGCGGTTCTCGTGGTCAATCATGACGTTGTGGGGCTTGACATCCCTGTGCATGATACCCTTGCTGTGGCAGTAGTCGAGTGCCTATCGGGCATTTTGTTAGAATACACTTCCCCACTCATCGCGGCGATTTATCATACCTTTAACAGCTCGAAGATGTAGTATCGGACATCGTAGTCGACGAATTTGCGGTACAGGGTGCGGAAATCGGTGTTGTTAACGTACTCGAAGACCAAGCTGGGCGTTTTGCTCTGCATTAAGAATGAGCCGTCATTCTCATTGTCTGACATGACAAGGCCAGTGGACGCACTACGACCAGAGCCCCCTGAAAGGAAAGAATCGAAAACGCCAACACGGAAGGAGTGATTTACTTGGCTGTCCCTGACAACATCCAGCAGTCCAACGATGTTTGGCCCGCCTGACAGATTTTGCAGGATCTTGATCTCTCTCTTTATCTTCTTCTTCTTCACCGGCTTGAGCACCTTGATAACACACTTTTGGTAGTTGGCGACATTGATGCCCTCAAAAACCTCAGAGTACTTTCCGCGTCCTGGGGATGTGGGTTAGCTTTTATTCGAAACCAGAATGGCGATATATGGCTGTACGTACCGATCTTCCTCACAACCTCGTAGTTCTCGAGCACACCCCATGTGATGTTGACGCTGTCGTAGTCCCAGTATGCCCTCGGCATGTGCTGGTTCACATCTGCATATACGCGCGCCATCTTGCAGACGTTATCTCACGCACTGCGCGAAGCGGGTAGGAGCAGTGGTATGGGCTTCGGAGTAGGTAGGAAGGCCTGACGTCGACGGCGGACAGCCTTGCGACAGGGTCGTGTGGGGTTGTGTGCGGGGTCGGTTTCTGCGCCGAGGGGTATTTGCGTCGCTGAGATGGAGATGCGGTGATAAATGAAGTGTCCGTCGTAGAAGAACGAACCCCCAGTATGAGCGAGGAGGATGAAGAGAGGTGGGGGATAGATCGGGAGGTATAAAGAAGTCTATAACTGGGAAGTGAAGAACCCCTCGATGTTGATTCACGCTTTAGCGAGGAGGCTCCGCGATCCGAGCCTCAGGCTCTCACCCTTGGATCTCGAACTGCAAGCACCAACTTAAACAACTGTACTTTGTCTACAAATTAAAGAAATAAATCTAATATATGCATTTCGCTCTATCGGATCTAGTACATTCTGGATTAATTATAATATTTCTTTATTGTCAAGTGAGTTGTGAATTCCTGATCTGCAACCGTACAGTACAATACTCTTCCTGGACCACATAGGGCCATTTAGTCGCATCTGGAAACACCTTGAATTTTGCCCGCAGATGGTTTTGGAGTTGGTATAGAATGTGCAATGCTTATAGCTACATATGCCTGATATATTATTTAATATGCTTTGGTACCAAGGCTGTTGATCTCGTGCCTATTTACTTGATCGAAAGCTTATTGTTACCCCCCCCATAGATCAACATATCAGATCTAATCTAATCTTATCACTAGTGTTCAAGCTCTCTAATCGCCCGCCCTAGGAAAAACAAGAGGCCGAGCAGCTATAATTAATTTACCTCTGTTTCCAAAGTTCTCCAGTCCATTTATCAAGTTTGTTTGCAAAGTACGCAGGCTCATAAGCCGTGGGATCCGTCACAGTTTTCAAGATGTTGTACGACCTCTGCATCCCATGGACCAACGATACCCAATCCCTCCAGCGCGTCCTCTCTTTTCTCTCTGAGCGTATGTGAATCACCCTCCCAGCCTCAAGACTCCCACTGACAGCCCCGCCAGTCAATTACTCCGTCATAGCCCTGGACCACAGCATTACCGGCGCGATCCCTTCAAAGATTGTCTCGCCAATCCCTTCTCCCCTCCCGTTCCCCACGCCTCCGAACCTCAAAATCCTCACCCGCTGCACAATCACCCTCTCCGACCCTTCGCACAACCACCGCCTCCCCTCCCTCGCCCAAGCCTACGACATCCTCGCCGTGCGCCCCACAACCGAGAAAGCCTTTCTCGCCGCCTGCCTGACCCTTACCGATGCCGCGCTCATCAGCCTCGACCTTACGCAGCGCTTCCCCTTCCACTTCCGCCCGAAGCCGCTGATGACCGCTGTGAAGCGCGGCGTGAGGATCGAATTATGCTATAGCCAGGCGCTGCAGGGAGGGAGTGTCGATAGGAGGAATGTTATTATGAATGTCCAGAGCATTGTGCGCGCGACGTCAGGGCGGGGGTTGGTCGTGAGCAGCGAAGCAAAAAGCGTGCTGGGCGTGCGTGCGCCAGCTGATGTGGGGAATTTGTTGGCGGTGTGGGGGTTGAGCGGAGAACGAGCGGTGGAGGCGCAGACGATAAACCCGAGATCTGTTGTGGTAAATGAGACGATTAAGAGGACGGGGTTTCGAGGCGTGGTTGATGTCGTGGATGGAGGGCGCAAGCCAGAGAGCGAGAAGGCAATCAGCAAGGAAGCAGCGAATGGTCAAGCTAATGGGAAGAGGAAGAATGAGCAAGCGGAGGAGGCTGTGCCGGCTATGAGCAAGAGGAAGGCAAAGAAGTTGAAGCTTGAAGTCTTGAAAGCAAGCAAGGAGGCGACCCCTGGATCAGCAACACCGCCGTCAAAGGACAGCGTTACCTCGTGAGCAGGGAATTTATACAGGCAGCACGAATTATATGACAAGACGCCACCTCTCACAATTATAACCAACATCACGAGTCACAGGGCTTCCAAGAACCGAGTTCTACATGGACCACGACGTATCTCGAAAGAAACAAGGTGGTATCAATTCAATCTACTCTACAGCTAGAACCTCAAGTGGGAAAATACTCAAACACTCAAACACTAAAACGCCACGCCACCAAGAAAATCTATCTCCTCCTGAGGTGTCCCAGCGCTATCGCGCTCGCGAGCGTATACGTGTTGATGTCGATGGGCCCTGGTGGCCCGCCGCCATTATCGACCGCTAGAGCACCGGGAACAGGTGGTGCGATGGTGACGGCAGAGTCAGTGCTTGTTGAGGTGGTTGACTCTGCACTCGCATCCGTCGTTGCCGTTGGTGACTGCGCGCTTTCTGCTAACACAGCCGCCGCGCTCTCTGTGATAGAAGGTTGGGCCGCTGTCGTGGCTGCGGCGTCTTGAGTTGCTGTGTCCACAACTGCTGTATCTGTTGACTGGCTCGCAACGTCTGTAGTAGTCGGGGTATCGAGGAGAATCGATGCAGCTCCTTGGGCTACCTGGGACGGAGCAGTATCCGATTGAGCTGCAGCCACTGCAGCATCGGTGGAAGGTTGTGCCTCCACAGCCGCCACAGAAGTACTCGCCGCATCGGCTCCCGGCTGGAACGCGATTCCGGCGTCAGCTTGTGCTACGGCGCCCGTTGAAGCAGCCTGCGATGCGAAAGTAACTACCGTCTGTAGCGTCGTCACCGGGCTCGCCACTGCGCCGGCATTTACGACTGGCGCTGCGATTTGTATACTTGCCTTTGGGAAATCCTGGGCGTTACAGAGACAGTGGCAGCTGCCGCACTTGCCGTTGGCATCGATGATTCCCATGCCGTTGCCGGCACCGGTCGAGACGGGAGATGGAGCTACTTCGGCGGCAACTATTGCTGCGGAGGGTTGAGCAACGACGACTGGAGATGCTGCGGCGAGACCATCCTATGAGAAGGTTAGAATGTATAATAGTGAATGAAGATGATAACTTACGGTTGTCGTGCAAACACCTGGCTCAGTGACAGTGACTGTGCTCGGGGGAAGAACAGCGGCGGCCGCTGCGTGTTGGGTAATTGTGACGGGGTGAGCTTGCATTGTGACGGTGACGGCCTCTGCTGCCCCTCCCTTTTCAGTGATAGTGACGTGCTGTGTGACTATCTCCGCAATTGGGGTAATTGTGACAGTCGGCGCATTGCCGGCACCAAAAACAGTCTCGGTGACGAAGGAGAGTTGTACCCTAATCGTCTGTCAGTTATGATAGAAGCTCAAAACGAGGTATACGTACGCCTGGCTTTGGTTCTCGTTAGCCTTGCCATTACCGATCGCCTGTGTCTCAGTGACAGTGACAATTTTCTCATTGCCCTGGGCATGGACTATGACGGTTTTTTCATTTCCCTGGGCCTGGACAGTGACAATTTTCTCAATGGCCTGGGCATGGATAGTAACGGTCTTCTCATTGGCCTGGGCATGGACAGTGACGGTTTTCTCAGCGCCCTGGGCATGGACAGTGACGGTTTTCTCAGCGCCCTGGGCATGGACAGTGACGGTTTTCTCAGCGCCCTGGGCATGGACAGTGACAGTTTTCTCATTGCCCTGAGCATGTGGGTTGTTGTTCCCGTTGTTTCCGCTGATGTCAACTGTCAAGATTTGCACCACATTTCCTTGATCCTTCTCTTGATCATTCTGAGATGCCTTGTTCTTGTTCACCGCCCTCCCATTTTCACCCTGGTCTTGATTCTTGTTATTGTTCTTGGTATCCCCGACAGTTTTATTTCGACCACTGCCAGAATCGAGACCTGTCACCACTGCTGCGGCCGCGCCTGCTGGAGTCTCGGTGACGATGACGGTTGTTCGGTGGTCACATGGTTCGCCGGTATCTATGGATGATGTGGCCGCCAACACTTGAGCGTCGACTTTAGGTTTGCTCGCCTTCCCATTTTTGTTCCCGTCCTCGTTTTGGTTCTGGTTCGCATTCCTCGGGAGTACACTTTGTATCTTCCCTACATCTAGACGGACGTGAGAGTCGAGATTGTCGGCTTGGGCAACAGCCGCGAGGCCGAGGATAATCGAGAGGACCACTGAATTGCGCATATTGAGGACGAATTAACTTGCAACTTAAATAAAATAATGAGTGAGTGTGAAGTCGACAGACCAGCCGCGATTAGAAAAAGAGCGTAGTATGCGTGTCCGGCACTTCGCGACAAGCAAAATTGAAGATTAATGGCGAGAAAGAAGAGACCGAAGAAACAAGAAGGAAAAGAAGGAGAGCAGCAATGTAAGAGATGTACTCCGGCAGACATAAGATTAAGAAACACACAGGAGCCGTGCAGGTGGCTCTGATCCTGGGCTGTGGGGCGGAATATCCCCGACAGCGTCAACAGTTCGCTCACCTGTTTATGGAAGGGTATGAGGGCAAATGAGAAGGCTGATTGAGTAAGTAGTGGGATCTAGTACGTTAGACTTCGCGCTCTGGCGAGGCCTGTCCGCGTGGCAGCGCATATTTTCGAGCTTCTTGGGAACGGGATCCACCAGTAGCATCGTACGACATTTGCAAATTTCCGGGATATTGGTCTCAAGGTGGTGAGAGGCTGGGCATCTGCGACATGGCTTTGCTGCTGGTGATGGCGAGGCTCGGCGACCTGAAGCATGCCGAGCTGCCATGACCCCGGCGCTCAGACATGTCAAGTTTCATACGAGAACTTCGAAACCCCCCTGGTATGAGAGGCCTGTTCGCCACGAATTTTGTATAATTGAGTCTGCATTGTACGTGAGTGAAGCTTCGAAGGAATATTCATTGCACTAACGCTCTTATTTAAGGATAGTTCATCTCAAGGTTACTCAGGAGGAGTGAGGTTTGAAATGGTCGAAGTCCACATTGAGCGAACAAGGCTGTAGTTTTGTTTCTTGAGAAAGTGTCAGCCTTGCGTATTCTTATCTGATCGTGTGCCACATGCAGCTTCTTTCACAATCAGTGGGGAATATAAAAGTAACAAAGAATATACAATACGATAAAACCTCGGGGTATTTGGAAGGCTTTTTATTCGGAGTAATGCTTGGTCTCGACGATTATAGCGCTGATGGTCCAAGGGATGCTCGTGCCGCCCAAATGCGTGAACAAGAACACAGCAAGCGTTTACGTCAACTGTGGTTAAAATGAAGACGCTCAATAACTTGTGCTTACTACTCATAAAAAGAGATTGATTTGAGAGTAAACTGACCTCGGAATGAATTTCTGCGCTTGGACGAGTTGATCTTATCACGAGCGTGGGCCTAGATCTAAGAGTATACTTCAGTATGTACGTACCCAATAAGCGATAAGCGCAATCGGCGCTAGTCCAGGTCCATCATCTGGCGACAGATGTCAATGAGGCCATTCCGGATGCAGCAACTATATTTATTTCATCAGCCTCGCCACAACGTCGTCGTCGCCGCAAGCAACTCCACTTCCCACAGCTTCTATCTTGCGCCCCTGGGGTCTCAGTTACTGGTGACCTGAGTACATACTACTGTTTTCCAGCTTTTCACTGGTGTTGGCAGGCGCAGAGCCACAAGGAAAGATCGGGTGAATCTACTGTGCTAGCTCGCGCAGAGTTCGATTTTGTCAAGATGCAGAGAAAAGACATCGAGGAGCAGCTAGATTTGCTGAAGACAGCGATCAATGAGAAGCAGCCTGCCGACAATGTCATCAACATCTTAACAAAGCTCAAGGCTGAGGTTGTGCCAACGGAAGACATTCTCAGGGTAAGTTCCCCCACTCCGCGCGGTGACGGCCTTACACAAGTGCATCCCGATACGTTAGCCCCGCGACAGGGCCGATATTGTCTCATACCAGAGCTGATACTATTATAGAGCACCAAAGCTGGTATGATCGTGGCCAAGCAACGCGCGAATCCGGACAAAGCTGTCGCACGCCTCGCCTCCGAAATCGTCTCGAAATGGAAGACCATAGTCGAAGCCGAAAAGAGGAGGAAGGTGGGAGGAGCAAAACCTGGGACTGCCTCACCAAGTAAAAACGTCGATGCATCGTCGCCAGCCCCACCACAGCCAGCCACAGAGTCCGACGAGTGGAAGGGTGCCGACCCATCGAAGCGCAAGTGGCAGGATGATGGGGTGGATATTAAGCGCACCGGCATGCCGACCCGAGACAACTGTGTCGGTCTGTTATACAACGGCCTCGCATTTATGTCAAAGGCATCCCCTACCAAAGTTATACTCAAAGCCATGGAAGTTGAGAAAGCAGCATTCACCAAATATAAAGGTGACACTCCAGAGTATCGTGCCAAGATGCGCTCTCTCTTCCAGAACCTCAAGAACAAGCAAAACAAGGAATTAGGTCCAAGAGTCTTGAGCGGCGAAATCCCAGCTGAAAAATTCGTGGTCATGACCCATGACGAGCTGAAGTCTGCTGAGCGCAAGAAGGAAGATGACGAGCTCCAGAAAGACAACATGAAGAGAGCACAAGTACCGATGGCGGAGAGGAGCATCAGTGATGCGCTTAAGTGCGGAAGATGCGGACAGAAGAAAGTCAGCTACAGTCAGGCACAGACGAGGTCTGCTGATGAACCTATGACGACGTTTTGCGAGTGCACAGTCTGCGGAAATCGCTGGAAGGTATGTTTAGCTGTTTTGCACTTGTGCACGCAGTTAATTATGAACTATTTGAAGCTGACCTTACATTCTAGTTCTCATGAGCTCGTTCTATCTATGCCCTTCAAATGCGCTGTAGTCCCTCTTTGACACCGCGTCTCCTTTGACCCGCCGCGTGGACAGTAATCACGTTAATTCACATGTCCGTGGCAGGCAAGATATCTTGGCTATTTAGCCACCCAGCTGTATTTTGATATAAACACAAAGGGCATTCTGGCGCAAGGAGTTCAGGTTTTCACCCGCCCCCCCTGGAGTCTGTGGCATGCCAGGTCATGGATGTGGCTGACTGGCGAAGGTTTGCAATACGGATGCATACCATAGAGGTGGCCTACACAGTAGAGCCACATCCAGAATTATATACTTACCAATTCTCACGGCCCTGAACTCTGTGATTCCTTCATGATTCGAGCTCAAGAAGTTCAAGAAGTCCCAGGTTTCCATGCTCCTCTTCCAGACCTTGACTCGCAATCTCTTTCCAGAATTTGCTGAGGTGTCTATTCCCGCTGTCACAGAGTACTGTGACTACCCTTCCTCCCTTGCCCTCTTTCTTTAATCTCAGCGCAGTAGACACTGCTGCCACGCAGTTGACAGCACTGCTGCTTCCAATGAAGATTCCATCCTTCTCCACCAGCCATCTGGCCATTCTCATGGCTTGTGTATCCGTCACTTTGATGGCGTCATCGATCAACTCCATGCCCTTCTCAAAATTGTTCGTAAGACGATTAATTCCGATGCCCTCAACCATCGTATCGACTTGCTGGCGCCTTCTAGTACCCTCTCGCTCATGGCTGGAGTACATCACGCCGAACTTGACTTTGTTATACAATCCACTTCCCTGGGGATCAGCGAGCACGATTGAAACATCCTTCAATCCAACCTCCTGCTTCAAATAGCATGCAACACCGCTGATCGTCCCTCCCGTCCCTGCACCAGAGACAAATGCCGCAATATCTCCTTGTGTCTGCTCAAACACTTCTGGGCCGGTAGTCTCGAAATGGGCCGTCCAATTCGCCTTACTCTCGAATTGGTTGGCAAAGAAACCCTTGCTCCCATCCATCCATTTATCTGCATGCTCTTCGGCCCGGCGCCGAGCTAGATTCACGAAGTGGTCTTGGCTCGTGATAGGTGCGGGGGAGACGCGCTCGACTGTTGCGCCGAGGTGGTGCAACAGCTCGACTTTCTCCATTGACATGTCTGACGGCATGCAGATGTGGCATTTATAGCCTTTAGCCCTTGCCAGGACCGCAAGAGATATGCCAGTGGAACCGACTGTGCCTTCGTATATAGTATCCCCGTTGTATGGCGTCAATAGCCCCTCCTTCTCGGCGACCTCGATCATATGTAGGGCCACCCTATCTTTCGGGCTGTTTCCGGCGCCATTCAGCAGCTCTGCTTTGGCGACAATTTCACAGCCTGTTGCTTCGGATAGAGACTTGATCCTCACGAGCTTGGTTTGCCCGATTAGACCTTCGACGCCAATTTGGATTGTGGGTGGCGTGGGGCTGTCGGGCCCTGGGGTTTGGGGTTTTGTGTGGTCTTCGAGCTCGACAGGTGGCAGGAAGGAGGATTCGCGATGTCCGTAGAGGGCGGCATTCTTTGAGCGCTTTCGTTGCTCGAAACGTCTTTGAAGGTCGGGATATAGGTCTTTGAAGCCCAATGTGAGACAGATGCCGGCAGTGAAGGCGACAACGAGCGCGGCCGATGTGTAGGCCTTTGGGTGGTTAGAAACTGACATTGCAGATTCAATATAGTCGTAACATCATAAATATTATAGAAGAAAAAGATTGACTGTTTACGTCCTAAGCTTGGGCGCGAAACAATGACGACAGGCGCAAGTGAGAAGGCGCTTGAGGTAGATATAAAAGTTGCGGTTGACGAAAGCGGGTAGAAGCTCGGACCAATGTCCACGACCCCGAAATGCGTCCCGCGCAAACCGTTGAGCTTCACACAGAAATCGGAAAGTTCACGCCCCCATGGACTCCCCAGTTGTAACGCAGCTGTTTCGGCAGCTCTTCAGGCACAGAGCCTGCGAAGCTGTGCGCCGGCATTCGACTCTACCATTGAGGCTGGGGCACCACGCCCGCGGCGGCCAGGGGAAAACATGGACAGCGGGAAGGAGAGCAGTGTCAAGCAGCGAGGGCTCAAATAGCGAGAGCAACTGGCAGCAGAGGACTGATCTGTTGCCTCAGAACATGTCACACGAGTTCAGCAAGTATCCTATGGTTACGTCGGAGCAATTGAAGACCAGGAGGGAGCGGCCGACGCGGGTGAAGATGCTCACGCGAGACTTCATAGAAGGTTCGTAGGTTCACATCCGCGCCGAAACTATATCTAATCATGAATACAGACAGTCTATATAATCCATCCTATGGCTACTTCTCGAAACAGGTTGTCATCTTCACCCCCGATGAGCCCTTCGATTTCCTCAATATCCAAGACGAGCCGGAGTTCCATCGCTTGCTGGGCCAAAAATACACCGATTTTGAGGATAAGCTAGATCGTGTCCAGTACAATGAGACGCGGCAGCTGTGGCATACACCGACCGAACTGTTTGCCCCATACTACGGAGAAGCCATTGCGCGGTACTTGGTTGCAAACTACAAGATCTCTCAGTTCCCCTACCACGACCTAATCATCTACGAGATGGGCGCTGGTAACGGAACACTCATGCTCAATATCCTCGACCATATCCGCGAAACCGAGCCAGACGTATACAACCGCACGAAATACAAGATTATTGAGATTTCGTCCAACCTTGCGTCGCTGCAGGCAAAGCAGTTGGTCAAAACTGCGGATTCGAGGGGTCACCACTCCAAGGTGGAGATTATCAACAAGTCGATCTTTGAGTGGAACCAGACGGTCCCTTCGCCATGCTATTTCGTCGCTATGGAAGTATTCGATAACTTTGCACACGATGCTATTCGCTACGACCCAGTGACCGAGGACCCGATGCAGGGGACTGTGCTCATTGACGGCCAAGGAGACTTCCATGAGTTTTACTCGCCGTCAATAGATCCAGTCGCCGCGCGCTTCCTTCGCGTAAGGCATGCTGCCACTGGGGGACGCTATCCGCATCCTTTATCATCGAGCCGTTTCATCCGTGGGTTGAAGACGAAGCTCCCCTTCATGCCTAACCTGTCGGATCCAGAATATATCCCGACAAGATTGATGCAGATGTTCGATATCCTAGCCAAGTATTTCCCCCAGCACAAGCTGGTGACGAGCGATTTCCACTCCCTGCCGGACACAATCAAGGGGGTTAATGCTCCGGTCGTGCAAACGAGATATCAAAGGACGACTGTGCCTGTTACAACACCCCTCGTAAGTTCCTATCCAATGCGTGGCATTATGATAGATCTCTGACATGAAATAGGTTCACCAAGGCTACTTCGATATCCTCTTCCCCACAGACTTCACAGTCATGGAAAACGTGTACCAAGCACTGACCGGCAAGCTCACCCGCGTCCTCTCGCACGAGGAGTTCCTACAGAGATGGGCGGATGTGGAAGGGACGGAAACGAAGAGCGGCGAGAACCCGTTGTTGACTTGGTATAAGAATGCTAGTGTCATGACTACTGTGTAAGATGTATTATTTATGTATATATAGGGGGTCAGTTGGAATAGTATGATGATACCCATGGCAAACACCACCGCATTTTCATCACTTAAACTGCATACGTTGGTGACATGCAATGCTGTAGGATCACTATCCGTATATGATGGCTTGGTGGGTGCCGAATGGCCGTATTTATAACACTGTGCTTGCGTAGAAAGATTTGGCGCCAAGTGCCCAAACAAAATATACCAACCACTGGAGCTGGCTGTCGCATTTTCGAATTCAATACCCAAGTTCACTGATAGCCATCTTTAATTACGAAGATCTACTGATTTAGGAAAGGCATGTGAGTGACTTTATTTGATATCATACCAAGAATTCCGGACAGAACCGTCGACAGCGCCTTTCCCTTCTGTATGAGTCAACGACGTCCAAGACCATCGATCACAGACTGAAACCTGCAGCATTTAGACCGCAAGATGCGTGTGACCATTTTGCCATACGACGAGTCCTGGGTGACGGAATTTTCAACAATTCGAGCTGCCCTCTCCGCCGCGTTGACAACCGTCAAGGTCATCAGTATTGAGCATGTTGGGAGTACATCCGTGCTAGGAATGGCTGCAAAACCCGTCATAGACATAGACATCGTTGTTGCAGAAGAAGATATCACGGCCGCTACAACTGCACTCGAGCTCAATGGGTACACTTATCACGAGGAGACAGCGTCCCTTGACCGATATTCGTTCCGATACAATAACCACCAGGGCCACGTCAAAGGCACTGAAGAGCAAATGACCGGGGAGATTCGGCGGAATGTGTACATTTGTGGGCCAGGTTCCCTATCATTAAAGAATCATCTTGCTGTGAGAGAGGCGCTGAGAAACGATCGCGAGCTCAGAGAGGAGTATTCGAGGGTGAAAATGGAGCTGGCGAAAGACGATCATGCAACACTTTCAGACTATGTGGATGGGAAAGACGCGGTTCTTCGAAAGGTTTTAAGTAGGGGAGGCTTATCAAAAGAAGAAATCGATGACGTTGAAAAGGCAAATATAAGGACAGAACGGATGACACCGAACTCTTAATTATGCCCATAGTCGAGACTGGCGGCTGGTTCAACTACAGGCAGAGGGAGTAATTGGCGGAGCGTTATTTGGGAAAAGTCTATTTGATGGTATCACAAAGCCAGCACGAAATTGCACCACAGTATCCTCTGCAATTACAACAGACAGTATATTTCTATCTTCGTTGTGATAATTTACACCATGATTGGTCCGTTGAATTCACCCCACATATATGAGTATGAACGACGCTTAGATCTTCAACTTGCTTTCAAGCCACTTGGTAGCAGCATCGACAGCCTCGTCAATCTTCTCGGGCTTCTCACCCTGTCCTTGGCGCGTTGGCTGCTTGCCGCCAGACTTGCCGCCAAGAATATCAACTACGGCCCCTGACCAATCTTCAGCGAGAACATCCGTAGCATGGGCCTGTGTAGTGAAGTGGTTAGCATGCATAGATAAGAAGATCGTGGACAATTTTGCTTACAGTTCCAACATAGACACCGTGAATAACGGCTCCATGCTCCTCGCCTCCAGCAAAGACGTAAACCGTCTTATCCTTCGCCTCCTTCTTGCAGTAGTTGATAACATCGCTGATAGCCTTGCTGTTGGCAGAAATGGGTAACCTCGCAACGTAGAAAGTCTTATCCTTGTTCTCCGGGTCCTTGAAGTAGGCCTTCACTGCATCGGTAGCAGTGCTAGACTCAGCCTTCTGGCGCTTCTTTTGCTCGTCAACAACCTTCTTCGACTCCTTGCTGAAGCGTTCACGGAGTTGCTCCTTGGTGAGAGTGGAGATCCTGAGACCATTGAGGTCGGAAGAGATGGCCTTGATTTCGCGCTCCTTCTCAGGTCCGTATGGCAGTGCCTCGAGGGCGTCGAGCCTCTGTGAAAAGTCCTTTGCAGCGAGCTGGACTTGGCGGGCGGCCTGTCCAGTGTACGCAATAATACGGCGGATACCCTTTGCGATACCGCTCTCCTCAACAATGATGAGGTCCTTGATCTCTCCGGTCTGGTCCACGTGTGTGCCACCGCAGAACTCGACGCTGACCTTGCGCCACTCCTCATTCTTTGGGTCAGCAAGCAAGGTGTCAACATCAACACCGACAGAGACTACGCGGACGGGGTTGGGGTAGGTCTCGCCAAACACAGCGCGGAGACCGACAATACCCTGCGCCTCCTCAAGCTGGACATCCTTGGAGTAAATCTTGCAGTTTTGCCTGATGTACGAGTTTGAGAAATCCTCAATCTTTTGCAGCTCTGGCAAAGTAAGCTGAACCTTGTTAGAGAAATCGAAGCGGAGCTTTTCCGCATCGACCAAGGATCCCTTCTGGTGCACCTCATCGCCGAGAACTTCTCTCAGGGAGTGGTTCAAGATATGGGTTCCGGTATGGTTGTTGCGAATGGGTTGCCTCCTGATTTCGTCATATTCAAGTGTGACCTCGTCACCAGCCGAAAGCTCTCCCTGCTCTAGGAATCCGTTGTGAAGAATGTAGCCACCGTATGCCTGGACATCAACAACCTTGAACTCAGCCCCGCCATCAATACCAATTCTACCGACGTCGGCAACTTGGCCACCAGACTCAGCGTAGAAATTGGTACGATCTAACATCAACCCAAAGTTTTGACCAGCTACCAACTCCTTGGTGGATTTCAGGAAGTCCTTGCCATCATAGATGAACTTGACTTTACCGGTAGTAACGTTGCCAGTGTACTTTGCGTCGTCGATAGTTGGTGGTACCTCGGACTTGTTTAGCTCAGCGATCTGATGGACATCCAGCTTGGCGAATGCAATGACACCCTCCTTTGTAGACTTGCTTGCTTCGCGAGCCTTCAGCCTTGCAATTTCGATCTCTTCGTCATTGTAGCCAATGCTACGCTCATCGGCCATAATCTTGGTCAAATCTTCGGGGAAACCGTAAGTGTCATACAGGCGCCAGACCTCGTCTCCGGTGAGGCGGTTAGTGCCAGACTTGATTGCTCTTGTAGCAAATCTCTCAAACATCTTTTCGCCGTTATCCAAGGTCCTGGCAAATTGAGCTTCCTCCTCGTCCAGAATTTCAGCAACCTCAGACTGCATCCTGACAATTTCGGGGAATTGTTCGCCCATCTGCTCGACCAAAGCTGGCAGAATCCGGGAGAAAAAGTTTCCAATATCGGCATTGAAGTATTTCCTGGCATAGCGCGATCCTCTGCGGAGAACGCGGCGGACAACGTAACCACGGCCCTCGTTGTTTGGAACTGCTCCATCAGAGATAGCAAATGTGAGGAGACGCACATGATCCGCAATCACGCGGTATGCGGTGTCGATTCCGTCGGTATCATCCTTGCCATACTTATCAGTGTATGGTCGAGCTTGGGTAACCTCATGGATTTTGGCGAATAACGGGGTGAAAACGTCAGTGGCGTAGTTGGAAGTCTTGTCCTGGAGAATAGACACGAGGCGCTCAAAGCCCATGCCGGTATCAATATGCCTGGCGGGAAGAACCTTCAAGGACCTGTCCTTTTGCCTGTCGAATTGCATGAAGACGTTGTTCCAAATCTCAAGCACATTTGGGTCATCCTGGTTGACTAGACTGGCGGCGTTTCGGCCACCAATTCTATCAAAGTGGATTTCACTGCAGGGTCCACATGGTCCGGTCTCTCCCATCTCCCAGAAGTTATCTTTAATGTCTCCTGGCAAAATGTGGTCTTCGGCAACACCAACTGCCATCCAGAGCTCCTTGGCCTCCAAATCAGCCTCGAGGCCAAGGTCTTTGTCGCCCTCGAAATAAGTCACATAGAGACGGTCCGGATCTAACTTAAAGACCTTGGTCAACAGTTCCCAAGAGAACTCGATGGTCTCCTTCTTGAAGTAGTCCCCAAAAGACCAGTTGCCCAACATCTCGAAAAATGTCTACTCGTATGTTAGTACGGCTGGCAGAGAGCAATCTGTGTCTCACTTACGTGATGGTAGGAGTCTTTTCCAACATCGTCGAGATCCTGTAGTGAATTCTATAAGTAATTTGCCTTTCGCAAGTAGCCAGTATGCCTTACATTGTGTTTTCCACCTGCTCTAATACACTAAAAAGATAATCAGCTTGAATTCACGTGATTATGCCAGTCGCTGGGGGGGTGGTGTAGCTCACCTTCTGGGTATCAACAGCACGCTTCATGCTGGCAAATGCTTCGGTGGCTCCAACTGTACCCAGGAAGATAGGCTTGAACTGGTTCATACCAGCATTCGCAAACAGGAGGGTAGCATCATTGTGTGGCACCACCGAGGCGGAAGAAACTGCGCGGCAGGTATTAGCAGATTATCTCGAACAAACAACGTCCTGAAGCATAAATAAAGCAATCATAGCATATAGACATAGTAATTTCAAACAATTTGGGCCCAGATATATAAAAATTCGTGGTTGTGAACCCCAAATCCTCATTCTTTATGTGCATGGTGGGGTATGTTTCCCCGCGGCGCGGCTCAGTCAAAAGCTTAGGGCAGCTCGAATGACGACAAAGGAACCTTAAATTTGACTGTCCAACTTCGATGCGGCGATATTCGGTTTTGTAATCCTCCATATAATCACTGAAATCGCGGCGCAGAGAAGAAAACGGCTCTTTACATACCAATCTCGTGCTGTCTGTCGGCAAAATACTGCAGGAACGTCTTCCTCACCAGTGGCGCGGGCCACTCTTGGGCCGTCTCGCTGGCCATATTGCCCGAAAATCGTCTTCCTCCGGCGATTAAGTGTATCGGTGATCGTCTCGAAGATCTTGGCGCAGTGAGTCTCTGGGTATAACGAGGGAGGATACGTGTGGATTCGACGGTGCAGAAGATAGGCGAGTGAGTCAAGAAAGACGTCGACCTCCACAAGCCGCCGACAACCATCCAGCGCTATCGTCTGCGAGACGAGCCGCCCAATCGAACAGCAGCTACAAACAAAGAATCAATCGAGCTCGACGTCGCGACGAGAACACAAAGCTCGTTCGCTGTAGATAATACAATCTTATTGACGAGCGGTTGATAAAAGAAAAAGTTGGCTGGAGCTCGGGCTACGAAATAATGTGATGGAGCGCCGTCGCGCGATGGACGGCAGGGTCAAGAAGAGAAAGGCTGAGACACTGGATGTCAACAACGACAGACTGTCGAAGAAGCTTAGCACTCTCAATTTAGGTTCTTATTCACTCCGTATTCATTTCATTCGGACTCGGGCTAATTTCAGCTGATGTAGACCACAATGCCGATCACCTCCATGCCTGCGTCGAGCAACGACCCAACACGCTCCCAGTCCTCAAGACACCAGAAAGACAACCAGTTGACGAAGATACGATGCGATTAGACGATACGAAACATAAAGTTTACATATACGATTTGGATAAAGAGCTCGAGGAGATCGAATCATCGGAGGACGAAAATAAACTGGTCTTTTTACCAGATATCGAGAAGCGCCTCTTGAACAGGCGCATACCCTCATCTGTCCTCGCGAATAAGGATGGAGAACTAGCGGGAATGAACAAAAGCCAGGCCATGGTATTATACGATATCCCACACTCACTGACTTTAACAGACGAGAAAGACAGTGTGAGGAAAGCAATCCTTGAGTCCAGGCGCAGGGCACAGGAGAAGCTGGGGGTAGGCCAACCAGGAGACCATAAAGAAACATCGGAAATACCAGCGAATCAGTCGGCTTCTAAGCCTCTAGTTTCAGCCCGTCCTCTCACTAACAATAACGTTGTTATTGACCCAGCTGTAGAGCCTATGGCTGTAGAAGAGGGCGAGGCTGATGGCATGGACCTCGATTGATACGGTGCAGTAACATTCAAATTAAGTCGTTATATACCATTATACAGCAGTCATCACAAGCCAATATCATTCGTTCTGTGTTGCAGTGAAGACGCGAACGTGACGTTCCAAGTCCGTATCAGGAAATAACTATTTGAGCTATATACAGCTATCCATCTATTGGACATCTAAACTCCCTCCCATCATGTGCAGGCTCTCTCCAAGTCCCTTCCGCCTTCTTTGCCAGTGCAGCTTCGAGACATTGCCGATGGTACAAATGCCTGCACGCAAACACAACAAGCGGCCCCAGGTCCGGCACTTTGCTTGTAGCCATGCCATTAAACCCATCCCCGCGATCTTCGTCATCCTCATGTCCGTCAAAAGCCTTGGCCTTGCCTTTACCATCCATATTACCCCCATCCTGCGATTTCGCCCTCTCCTTCCCGCGACCCGCCGCCCCGGATTTCAGTAACCATCGCTCTTCCCGCTTGATGGCATCAGCAGCCTGCTTCCCCTCCCATCGCCCTAGGACATCGCCAGCTACGCCGGGTCCCCACGTTCGGCGATGGCATCCTTCGCACACCGATCCACGAGGCCTCCACCCCCGCTTGCGCAGATGAGATGCGGAGTCGACGTTGACGAAAAGATCTTTGTCGAGCAGCCTGTTAGCAAGACCAAGGATGCTCTCTTCATATGCGTATGCCGAAAATATGGACGTCAATACAGCTCGGAGATCCGTGATGGTGGGGGATGAGACGGATGCTCTTGTGAGGAAGGCGCGAAGGATTCGGAGGAATGATATATTACCTCCAGAGGGCCCAGACGTAGCCGTAAGAAGAGCTGTAAAGGTGGTTTGCACCAGGGAACGTAGGCTGAAGAGAAGCTTCCCGCCATCGAGATTTGTTGCTTGAAATCCGTCTAGATTTAACAGGGAAGAAGAGATATTCTTGGTGATTTGCACTACTGCATCGATTAATTCGAGCCAGAGTGATTCTTGAGGGTTCAGCCCAGTATTCATAGCCGATTTTCTCCTTTGAGTTCCGTTTACTGCCTTGCCAGATGTAGATTTGCTGTTCTTTTTGCAAAGCCAGATCCCCACACCTGTATATTTCTGGAGCGATTCAAGAAGAACTTCTGCGGCCTCTTCAAGATTGTCTGGATGCATATCTTGGTCGTTGGATTGTAGTAAGCCCGTAAGTGCGCCTTCAAGTTTACCAAGATGCTCAGTCAGTCTCTTCATTGCGTCTCCAATGAGGCCCTCTCGGGCCATTAATATTACTGCAGCATCGACAACGCCGCCATCTTCCATGGCTGGGAGGACTTTATCAAGACGAAGATCCGACGCTTGGATACCCTCTACAAACTCCGCCACATGTAGGGCATCAAAGCTACACATTAGCAGGACATATCTTTCGATGAATAATTTCTCGTGAACTGGCTTAGCCTCAGGGTTTCCGACCTTTTCTGGCTCGAGAATGGCCTGGAGATACCGGTACTCGTGTTCGGGATCTTCAGAAAGCGCGTCCAAGATGTCCTGGTGCAGCTCTAGGCAATATTCCGCCACTGTTTGTGCTGATTTCACGGCATCGATAGCTACGAGGTCTCTCGCATGGCTTCGAATAACACCGTGTATATCTTCGATTTGCTTCGGGCTGGGGCCACCTTGAGCCCTCAGACAGTCGCCAATAACATCAAATACCGATTCTTGATCTTCTGGGTCTTCGAAATATGTTTGCAGGAGTTGCCCATATTGCTTGGCGGATTTGTATACGTTCTTCAGCGCCCTGAAGAATTTGGCTTTCCGGAATAGGGGTATTAGGGATTGGATATCTGTTGGGTGATAAATAGACAACAAGTACTCCGCACTCAGCTGAGCATCGTCAGCTATATCATCGCCGGGATAGTTGCAAAGTCCAGTGAGGATTTTGTGGAGTGATGACCCTGAGAGCAGCAGGTACTGAGGGAATTTTGGAAGGTTCCTTGCAATAAACATATCCAGGTATATCGTATCCTCCGGAGCAAAGTCTGCTCGATTCATCACCTCAAGCAATATGCTGATAATGTATTGGCGATTGACGGATTGTCCAAAGAGTTGCTCTTCGCGCATATCGGGGTCAGCCTCTGCTGGATCAGCCTCATCATGAGTATCATTAAGAAATGGGTCCTCAAATGCTTCATTCAGCGAACTCAACAGGCTGGGCGCGTCGTATTTTAAGATCATGCGAAGGTAGGGGAACGATGGCTCGTCATCCGCATGTGGCATCGTGAGGAAAGGCTTGGAACTCCCAACTGGCCAGGTGATAGTATTTCCCGAGAACAAAAACCAGTAGATCTCAGACTTTGCTTTCTTGGCCTGCTCGTCTGTGAGAGGCTGGCCCGTGGGATACACACGCCCTGTGAGGGTATATGACATGTATGGGAACATTTTCAACGCATTGACGCCGTATAGGGGATCGTCCATCAGCTCGCCGTTCGCCAGATGGCCACCCTCTTGGACCATTGGTACTAGCAATTTTAATAGGTAGACCAACGGCGCGATATAGTCATCAAGAGCCTGGGTCCAGATATATATTAGGGCATCGTAGAGGTTGTTCTGTTTGCACAGTGCCGTAATCTGGTCTATATCAAACGTCGCAGTCTCCATACGGCAGAGTATTTCTTCTAATCGGCTTTCTAGTCCCTCCGAGACGAAATGCGAGACCAGAGACTTTACGACAATCGGCGGAACTGTAGTTATCTCCTCTTCCAATATGTAGGGCTCGAGAGTCTCCAGAAATACACCAAGGAAGTCGCCATGTTCGTACCATTCATACACATCGTCGAAAAGATAGTCCGTATCATCAATGGCAAGCGAAGCCGCAAAACAAGCCTGTGCGAGTTCTTTTAATTCCGTCTCTCTCTCACTTCTCCTAGCCGACGTCTTGCTGCTTCCAAAAGCGAATTTCAGAGAAGCGGTCATAATCTCCAAGAGCTTATCTCGTACAATGGAATGCCTTAACCCGCTGTCCTCAGGTAAGCCAATGGTAAGCTTATCCGCATCACCCGTGAAGTAAGATGTTGCCAAGTTGATCGCGCCGATGTAGTCGCCGTTTTCCATAAGGGCGATCAGCCGATCGGCCCAGTTTGATACTGCTCCTATTGAGATGTCATTGAACCCAAGAAGGAACATCCGGCCTTTGTAAGCTCGGAAGCTCATATAGAAAGCATCTGCCACCACACCATGCATCGATGAATCTTCCTCGTCTAATTGTTCAACTAGACTGTGCAGCTGGTCTGAAAATAGATCCTTGTGATAAATATGTTTGTAAAGGAGGTCAAATGCTTCCGTCATCCTCATTGTGTGGTCTTCGAGGATAATGAGTCTCTGGGTTATCGTCAAAACAGCCAAAACCGATCGACTAAGCCATTGAACGGCAACAATTGCTTCATCAGACTTCCAGCGACTTCGCGCCTTGAAATTCAAACTGGGCTGTTTGTCGCCCTCCGCTTCAAACTCTTCAACATCCATGATGGTGAGGACATTCGACCAGCAATACACCAGTTTAACCTTCGACACTGTGTCTCCAGTTTCCGGGTCTTTCACTTTCAGCTTCACGGCTGGGAACCATGCTAAGCAACCACTCATGGCTCCGTGGGCTGCGACTTCTTTCGGACGAGCAGCTTTATGTTGTGTTTCCGCAACTGGTGTTGTCGAAACGATAACCAGTAAATATGGCGTTAACATGGCTGTCAGCCCCAGTGTATCCGTCCCGCGCTCCACATTACCCAGTGGCAGAGATGCAAACGCCAGAACAGTGCTGGGTTTCCGCGGTTTCCCAGTAATGGCAGAGTCGTTGGGATACCTGCCAAGTATCCGTGTCGTTTTCACGCGGCGGCCCACAGAACCAGTCCCTCGAGTTGCAAGATGCGAAAATGCCATCCCACGATCATCAGCAGAGACAATAGCAGTGTGTCTTGTGCCCAAAAACCCCAAGTGAGTGATGGCAACGTTCGGTACGTGGCCGTCGAGACTCCGAGCTTGCAATGTCGACACTTCTACCGCCGGTATATGTAGAAATGGCCGAGAAGCTTTAGCTATCTCCCAAGTGAAGATGTCTCCACTAACATGCCCCCCAGCAACGGTGGAATGGTCAGCCGAAATGGCTATGGAGCTGATAGCGCCAGACTCCACAGCTTTAGTGCCTTGTCCGATGATAGACTTCAAATTTTGGTGATAGTCGAAGACCAGAATTATTCCTTTCGAAGTCCCCACGACAATAGACGCTGACACAGCTATGCAAGTAGGCGTACCAAAATTCCTCTTCCCAACCTCCGAGAAGGTTTGCCCATTCATTTTCTTGAGCTTCGTCCAACGCACGACCTCCCAAGGGGGCGAGGGAGTATCGACTTCTTCTCCATCCAGAGGCACCTGGCTATTGAGCGAGACCTGCCGCGAATGCGAGGGGTAAAATGCCGGTGATAGCGCTCTCGGTGAATAGACACCAGATGGCGGAGCAAGACGAGATGAGAATCGGCGATCGAATGGCCTGAAGGACGGCGTGGGGCTGCCGAGCATTTGTCGAGAGGCCATCGATGGTAAGACACTGCTTCCTGGCGAGGACATAACGGAGCCCTGTATGGAAGGCGTATCGTCTGGGATCGACATCATTGAATCAGCCGGGCTGCCATTCCTTATAGGAGTGTGCGCCGGGGAGAGATCTCCAAAGTCGCTCCCAGCCTCATCCATATGCTCGTATCCGTCGCCATGGACGCCGTTCCCGGTGCGTGCCGGAGCTGCGCTCGCAGCAATTTCCTCCTCCAGCATATTTGATATCCTGCCTTCTCCTCCATCGCTATGTTGTTCCTCCCACTCCTCATCTCCTCTATCCCCCGGCCTCCCATTATCTCCCGCCCCCACTACCGACCCATCCGTCTCCGACGAAGAGGAGCTCATCGGAGTGTCCTATACTGGCGCATGGCACCGATGTCGTATTTCAGCGGCGCAGTCAATGGCGCAGATCTACGCGGTATCTTAAAGTGCTAATCGGATTGGCTCTGGAGTGCGTGGGAATCGTCAATGGGTAGCTCGTTGACATCTAGGGTGCGAATTGGGGTCTGTAGATAAGCTTCGTAAGAGCTTGCGATACGTGCGCGGCCCCCTGGTGTAGTTTCCTTACTCAGGCACTGGAAACAGAATCAGATTCGAAGGTGATTTACGTCGAAGAAATAACCTCCAAGGCGATGAAGAGGTAGCTCTTCTCGTTCTTAGCAACCCAAACTGGTAGCCTGTTGTGACCAGGGAGGTCTGCCGCTGCGGAAATTGCCGCGAACCTGGGGAGGTACGACGACGCCATGGACTAGGCTATCAATTTCTCCAACCTCAGCCTTTCCACCTCTGCTACTCCTCAACTTCCCACCTCAACAACAACTCATCACCATGTCAGGAATAGGCCCCCAACTACCTCCTCACCTCGCGAAGCGCAAGCGCTCAACAGACGATACCACAACCCTCAATCCTCCCTCTCCCCCCACCAAAATCCGCGCAACAAGCCGCGATACAGATACTCAGCCTCGTCGCGTCCTCGGCCCCTCCATGCCACCCACCCACAACGAAGAAGAAATCGGCCTCGACTCCAGCTCCGACGATGAGCCCGGCCCTTCCCTACCCCCCGGCGTAATGCCAGCTACAGAGTCTAAACCGCGCCGTGTAGTGGGCCCGGCAATGCCACCACCACAGAATACCGACGAAATCCCACTCGACGACAGTTCCGACGACGACGCCGGGCCCTCTCTCCCCCCTTCCACCGCAACCACTGCCGCCCCAGCACCCCACCGTGTCTTGGGCCCGGCCCCCCCTCCAGCCTCCCTCTCCGAACGTCCTACAGAAGATCCGGACTCCTCCTCAGACGACGACTACGGACCCTCCCTCCCCCCCGCCCCCGGTTCCGCAGCAGCAGTAGCCGCCGCCGCATCTGCCACCCGTGCCCGCGAAACGGCTCGCGCATCCGCCGCCACCGCCGCTGCAGCATCCAGCGCGCCCAAGCGCGCAGACTGGATGCTAGTCCCCCCAGGTGCGGATGACTGGACCGCGCGCGTCGATCCTACGAAGCTGAAGACCCGAAAATTCGCATCAGGGAAGGGAGCGAAGGCGCCGGGTGAGAAGAGCGGGATTAGTGCAATATGGACCGAGACGCCCCAGGAAAAACGGCAGCGGCTTGAGGACGAGGTGTTAGGACGAAAGGAGGTAGCTACGAATTCCGGCAAGAACGAGACGAGAGGTGCCAGAGGAGCGGGAGGGGAGGATGAAGCAGAGCAAGCGGCGATAGCGAAGAGGATTCGTGAGTATAATGAGAGAATGAGGGGGAAGAGTATGGTGGAGGAGCATACGGGGAGGCAGGCGGGGAAGGAGGAGGAGGATGATCCGAGTAAGCGGGGGTTTGATAAGGAGAAGGATATGGGACTGGGGGGAAGGATTGGGCATGTGCAGAAGCAGGAGATGTTGAGGAAGGCAGGGGATTTTGGGTCGAGGTTTGAGAGGGGGAAGTTTTTGTGAGGGGGTGTGGTGTGTGGCTGTAATAGGTGTTATATACGAATAGAATTCTAGAACCGGAGCAATCAACGCACCTTGGGATTTATGAGATAATATACATTAGGCTCTCCTGGAAGTCCATTAAAGCTGGGCTTATACACCAGAGTTAAGTGCTCCCGGTAATGTTTCTGGAACCCTCTAGCTTCACAATGGCTAGCCCACATTTGCACCCCAGCCTGCTTTTTTGCCGCCGCGTATTCTCACCGCCACCACCAACTATTGTCACCGCGGCCTCTTCTCGCCGGCGCCTATTCTCACCCAAGCATCAACCTGACACCACCCAACTCCGCAATCAGATCCCGTAAAGTCCTATATATCAACTACAAGCGCATCAACTAGTCCAGCCACTGCTGCAGCAGTGTTTCTCCATGGGATGAAGCTGCCTAAATCACAACCATAGCACTCCTACAATACGAGAGCAAACCTATACCCCCAGAACAGCCATACAGGCACAAAAAATAGCATGCAATCATCACATTTCGCTAATCAGCAACGAGTAGTTATGTAGAATACAAACGCCCTTTGCCCCTATCCATCCAATCTCCTATTCCAATCTTCATATCCATCATCCCCACCACTAGCTACCAACAAACCTTTGGCTTGGCTACGTCAGAACTCAACCCACTTACCTTCCCATACGGATAACACCCGCATAAGTGAGCTTAGTGATCTTCGCGCGGATCGCCGGGTTCTTCATGTGCTCCTGCAGCGCCGAGGGGTCGTTCTGGGCCTGCTGGAGAATGCTGTTCATGACCGGGTCGGACATGATTGCCATGATCTATAGCACCATCATTAGCATTGTCAAGTTTCCAGGCATGGAGTGGGTTTATCTTACCTCAGGATCCTTCTGAATCCTCTCCTTAGTCTGCTGCTCCGTCTCCCCATCCCTCGTGGCATACATAGCCTGCAGCGCCTTCTGCTGCTGCTGATCAATCTCCCTCTTATTCGCGCCCGACTCATCCACGCCCGTAGCCAACTCACACATATCAAGACACTTGCTATAATCCCTCATACCAAAGTAGGCCTGCGCCTTCCTCAGGTACGCACGGATGAACTTCGGATCACGCTTGATAGCCTGATCGCAGTCATCCAGCGCCGACGGGAACTCAAGCAACTTCATAAACGCCGCCGCGCGATTCGAGTAACCCCTCGGGTCCTCAGGGGCACGCTTCGTCATCTCCGTATACGCCGCGACAGCAGCAGGCCAGTCGCTCTCCTTGAACTTTGCGTTTCCGAGCTCGCGCGCCTCCTCGGCCTTGGCGGGGTCGATGTACGCCTTCTTCGCGGTGTCGATCTTAGTCTTCTCGGCGGCGCGGAGCTTGTTCACGACATCCGGGGTGCGGTGTTCGGTGAGGGACTTCTGGAAGTTGGCGATGGCCTGGACGTAGTCGCCCTGCTTCTCGTACGAGGAGCCGATGCGCGCGTACGACTTGGCGATCATCTTGAAGTCGGCGTAGACCTCGCGGCCGTACTCGACGGCCTCCTTGCACGCCGCGATGGCGCCCTCGTAGTCGCCCTTCTCAAACTTGGCCGCGCCGACGTTGTTGAGGTACGTGATGTCCTTGTGTAGCTCCCACGCCTTGGTGTAGTGGGCTACGGCGTCGTCGAAGTTGCGCTTCTTGTACTCGGCGGTCCCGAGGGCCTTCTCCTTGTCGGCTTCCTCCTTGGCTGCCTTCTTGGCGATGGCTTCCTCGTCCTCCTCCACAACTGGCTCGGGCTCGGGGGCTGGGGCGGGCGCGGACTTGGTTGGGCGGGCGTCGGTCATGGGGACGTCCTCCTCGGCCTCTCTGGCGCCAGGGCCGGCTTGGCCGGCGGCGCCGCCACCTCCCATCATGTCCATGTCAACACCCATGAGGACACCGAGGACTTGGATCATCCTTGGGTCGCTGAACAGGTCTTGCGACATGCTGGGCTGGGACTTGATCTGGTTGAGCTTGTACATGAACGCTGGGTCCGCGAGGAACGGCGCAGTCTTTGGGTTCGCAGAAAGCTTCTGGAGGAGCTGGGGATCGTTGAACATGTTGCCCAGTCCACCAGTTGGGTCGCCTGTAACACCATCTACACTCGTCAGTACACATATTCTCGTCTAGATCGCATTTCTTCACATACCCTCCTTAGCCTCAGCATCAATGGCCTTGTTTACCGACGCCAACCCATTCTTGTTCTGTGCATTAGCCGGATCCAACTTCAGCCCCTCCTCGTACGCATCGTGCGCCCCCAAGAGGTCTCCAAGACCGTGCATAGCAGCACCCTTGCGTCCCCATCCCTTTGCCCAGTCTGGCTTGATCTCTGTGACTTTGGTGGCATCCTCGAGGGCGTGCTCGTAATCCTTCTTTGAGGCGTACGCGGCCGAGCGGTTTGAGTAGAGAATGTGGTTGGTTGGCTCGATGGCGATGGCTTCGGTGAATTTCTCACTGTTTGGCAAGTCAGCTAGCTGGGTCTTGAGGAATCCTACGCGTGCGGAGAAACTGGCAACGGGGGGAGTCTGGGTCCCGTGAAGTCATGGGGCCAGGCTCAGGAAGAAGTAAAACTTACACAGCCTCGTCGAAATTCTTCTCCGCAATTGCCTTGTTCCCCAAAGCCTTGAGCTCGTCTGCGCTCATGATGAATTTGACGTTTATGGTATAATTAATGGGTTGGGATTAGAATAATATTAGGTGGTCAAGAAGCTGTTCGTTCTTGCGGAATCGTTTCGGAGGTATAAAGAAGTGATGATGGAGGTGCAAGATATCAATATTATCACCATGCAGCCCATGTACTTCTAGAGCTTTCGGTGGTCCGCGAATGCACGGACCCTCAACCCCACGAGTTAGTCGCCACAAGGCAGGGCCTGGTCGTCACATGACTAGTTCGGCCGTTTATGACAGAGCTGAAATTATGAGGTACTGTTGAAGCATCTACTCTAAAATTGTGGTGAAGATTGAAGAGAGTGATAAATATGTGAATATATATTCTAGATTATAAGAACGAGCGCAACAATCATGATTGATTCGGTCTAATAGCATCCGCATAGGTAGTTATTGATACCTATTCCAATATTTACAGCGACCATAGTCGAGTCCCATAAACGCCATAAAAAGCACAGCAGCCCGCTATTCTGATAAAAAGCCCCCTAATCGAGGGCCTTCGATGCATATAAGGTTGCCGCAAGTCTGTCCAAACCGCCTAGCCAAACGGATAATCGCATAAGTCGTCGCTTAGAATACAAGGGTAGAATGTTCCCAACTCATATTAACAGGTCAAGATATAGACCCAAGGGTATTTAAGCCAGGAAGACTGCGGAGCCGACCGCAGCCGCCATGATCCAATAGACGCCGGACTGCATCATGCCGTGCGTGAGACTGAATGCACCGTCGGTGACAGTAGTGCTGCTGCCAGAAGAGGAATCGGTAGAGCCATCAGCCTCCTCAGTGCCTCCAGCAGCGGTTGTGCCGTTGGGAAGGGTGCCATTCAGGATAATGGTGCTCTTTCCCGAGACATCGGCGACGGAGACCACACTCTTGTTGAGGGCTGCATAGCTGCCGTTGCCCAGGATATCCTTCTGGTACTGGGCGTCGTTGTTGTCGTCGCAGCCGCACTCAGAGTACTCTTCGCAAAGGCACTGGACCGGCTTCGTCTGGTTGGCGTCGACGGTGATGTTGTAGAAGGTCCAGGAGTTCTTGTATGGGTACGAGTAGACGGGGTGGTGCCACGAGCCAGCGAGACCATAGAGGAGTACTCCGGCTCCAAGACCGACACCAACACCAAGGAGGACAGGGGAAATGCCACTCCTCGTCGCCGCTCCAGTTCTATATGGCACCGCAGCGCCGCCGCCGTAGAATCCGCCACCACCGTAGGCTGGACTTGGTCCTGATCCAGTCCTGGTTTGTCCGCCTGCTGAAGACGAAGATGAGCCTAAGCCTATTGGAAGTTAGTGATTGTCCGTAAGAGAAACCAAGGCCGCCAAGGATCGCCAAAGTGCTAGTTTCATGTCCTCCACTCATGGAGTAAGGACTGCCACAGAAACATAAAGAAAAACGATATAGGAATGCCATAGAAACAACTCATGAACTCGCACGCGACGCTGTCAAACGGGTGTTTGGGGCCTCATACGAGGACGCGGTTTGGATCCAGGGCGTTTGGAGTCTGGGCGTGATTTGGAATCGGGACGTGAACCGGTCTTCGGACGGGGTTTGGACTTCGGGCGTGGCTTTGATCCTGACTTGGGTCTAGATGAAGATGGTGAAAACCTACCTCCTCGTCCTGCACTACTGGTTCCTCCACTGCTTGTTCCGCCGCTGCTGGTTCCGGTACCCCCAGTTCTTCCTCCACTTGTTCCTCCGCTGCTGCCTCCGCTGCTCCCTCCACTGCTGCCTCCACTGCTGCCTCCACTGCTGCCTCCACTGCTTCCACCACCACGACCACCGCCGCCGCCGCCTCCCTTGCGCTTCCACAGCTCCTCGGGCGCATCGAAGGTGCCCTCGGCCTCACGGACCTCTAATTGCTGGACTGTCGCCTCGCTATCCCTGACCACCAGCTCCGCGCGCAGAACCAGCGCATTTGCCGTCGACGAAAGCGCGATCGATAATATGAGTGCTGCGGAGAACTTCATCTTGACGTCGCTGAATAAAATAAGAACCGTACGACTAAAACAACAGTCTTCTTATGCGCAATAAGATGATCTCCTTTCTTGGCGCAGTAGGGTAGCGCGACTTTTTGTAGGGGATGTACTGTATATCTATGTGTATGACAGTTTTCGTTGTGTGTAGTTGTTTGTTTTACTTTCAGATGAGTCGGGTTTTCCGGCACAGGCACCCTTTTAGTACGGGATACGATGGAAGCCGTCGGAGGCGAAGTAAAGCAAGGTTCGGTCGGGGGTAATGTGTCATTCCTGCCGCGATCAAATCTTGGTGCATGACGCTATACCTAATTGAGTCTAGTTCACACAGCCACAGAGAGTTGGCATATGCGCTAGTGACCAATACGGGTATAGCGGATATTCTCAACTGTTGTAGTACTGTTTCTTACTGTTTCTTACTCCGCCGTAGGATCCTTATTACCATCTTCGGCCAGGGATATTCATATGATCTTACCGGATATAATGCCCGATTGTGCCTGGCTACAAGGCTGGAATTAACTAACTTCACGCACAGCCTGACTGCTCCTTCAACTATTACTGTACTGGAATGATGGGATGCCAAGTTTCCGTTCCCAGAGGGTCCACAGTACGACCATTCCACGCACGAAAGCAGCGCAAACAAAGACCGAGCCAGGAACAGTACAACAACAAGAGTACGACAAACCTCCTACCACATGGAGAAACATGTGGTCCAGCAGCACTATAGCGATTGATATTACTGGGCTCTAACAACCGCCACAACCAACCGGCCAAATCCCAACACCACCCACCCTCATTTCCCCTGGCCGGCCATTAGCCTTCGACCCCACCTTCAGCCCGCATCACTCGCCCATACGAAAGCCCGAGCCCATCTCCACAATCACCAGCCACTGATCCGCAGCCAGCCAGGACTGGTTAGACACCTGTTATGCCTTGTCAGCCTGACGTCGCGCTGGCAATAAGCTTCGGTGACAGGTGCTGGAGGGGCTGAACGTGTTGCGCTGGGTGGTGAGGGTTAGTGGAGAGGGCGGCGGCGGTAGCTACTCAGTTGGGAGGGATCCTGCGAGGAGGATTGTTGTGAGAATTGGTGCCGTTTGTGATGTATGTACGGTAAGCAACATTGGGATTGAGACCATAGGCCCGAGGAGATGGCATGGCGCATTGGACTACAGGTCGGAGGAGGTGATCCAGTAGGTTGGTTGTGTTACATTCATGGCGTTGGAAGCACTGACATGCAGCTTCCCAAGTAAGTCGACCTGTTGTTTATGACTTCCACACCGCTCCCTTCACCCATCAGCGATCAAGGTCGAGCAGTTCGCTTCGAACAGTTGAGACCGGTCTACAAATAGTTCGTAGTCCGCTGTTGAGACTCCCAGAAACAAGCGGGCGCATTTGCAAACTCTCACGATGATCTCCTGGCATCCCAATCCCAGCTGGAATAGAGGAGTCACCACGCTTGTGTCTCAATTCCATATGGTCTCAGGGAGTGAATATCCTATTATCCGAGTATTGCCGAATAGTCGGATATGTGGGACGTTTATACTCTCCGAACTGTGTGATGTTACAGCACCGACAGGGCAGATGTCTCTATCTCAGCTGGGGTTGGTTTGAGCTCTGTTCTTTGAGGCTGGCTGTACAGTGAAGAGGTGGGTTTTGTGCAAACCGCTCTCTTTACTATACAAGTCGCCCGAGTGAGGATATACCCCCGAGATATGGGCAGTTGGACGTGTTCGCCAGGAATAGTATATCTTTGAGCATGCTGTTGGTATGCTTCATCCCCCTCCACCATATCATCCACATGCTTCGTACTAACAGACCCAGGAATATATCAAACCCACACACCCTCAACTGCTCCATACCAACGGAGAATCGCAGCATCCCCTCAACAGCCCTCCCCCCTCCTCCCTCCACGATTACATCAAAGCCCTTCCCTACAGTCTTGGCCTAGAAGGCGCCTGCCGACGCACACACACACCCTCCCATCTCTCCAACCCAGCATCTGTCCCACTCATTGGACGCAGCGGTGGTTGCCCCCCCCAGGCTATGATCTCGCATCATCGTCTCGGGGTGCAAACACCACGGCGCAACGAAGGGTTTCGGACACATACCAGCTTGATGAGCAGAGGGATGCGTGGTCGCATCGTTGGTACCGTCCTCGCTAAGACGATAATAGTACGGATTTTTTGATATTCTGGTCGTGCGGCGGGGGGGGGGATCGACTTTGGTCGCGTGCGCGGTGGTTATGGGGATTTTTGTTCCGGGGGGGGGGGGGGGTTGTTTTTTGTATTCTAGCTTGTTGTTATTTAAATCGAGATATACCCAATATATGATATATGATATATACCAAGAATAGACCCTCTTTTTCGATCCATCCATAGTAAAACCTATAAAAATGCTAAAGTTTAATTGCAATTCTAGCTATGAGTGAGATAACCCAGTGCCCCAGCGCCCCCAGTAACGACGAACAGGCAGACACTTTGAACACTCCCGCATATCGTATACCCCCCCCCTCTCTCGACTGTGTGGATTGGGCGTATATGTATGTCTAGAGAAACTGTGCAAAACAGCGGCGATTACAGTAGCCATAATTAAAATAAAAGGTATTCAGTCACTCGGAGCTGCAATCGATAGGCCAGTCACTCCGAGTTGGAATAGAAGTTCATGGTTATTCACAGGAATCAAGTGCGACTAAGTGAGGAGAACAAATAACATATTTCTACTGCTTTTCTCTAGCCCAGACATAACTACAGGCAAAGCCTCACTCTGACGCCTAAACTGACTATTCCCTTTTACACTCCCCACCAAGACTCCCCTCCTCGCAGCCCCTCCCTACTCCAACTCCTTCTCCAACACCGCCGGCGCCACAATCTCCGTCCCCTTCAACTTCTCCAGCCCCTCTCCCCCATAACTCACCAACGGCGAAATCTCAACCCCCTTCTTCTCCCCCTCTGACACCACCACCCCCCCCGCCTCCCTCACCCACCTCTCTCCCTGCGCCATCACATCCCTCCTGCTAGTATCCGGATCATCCTCCCCCGTTCCCCTCGCATTCTTAAGCGGACTAAACTCATCCTCCCTCCTCACCTCCATACACGCGAACTTCTCCAAGTCGAGGAGGGGGAACACGTCAAAGATGAACATCTCGAGTTTAATCCCATTCGGTTTCTCCGGCTTGGTGGTCTCGCCGCTGGTAGGGTCGACGAAGGGGATCTTCTTGCGCGCGACGTGGTGAGGGAGCTGCGCCGACCAGGCGGGGATGGTTTCGAGGAAGGCGAAGGAGTAGTAGTGGTTTACGATGTTTGCGGCGCGGAATTTCAGCACGTCGGGTTGCTTGGGGTCCTTTGCCTCGGCGGTCGCGGTGTCGATCTCGGAGTACTCGACTACGTCTGGCTTGCCGTTCTTGAGGAGGATGAGGCCGACGGACTCGGTGGCGTTGCGTTTACGCACGACCTTCGTGGCGATGGAAACGTTCTTTGAGGCCGAAAAACCGATGAATACTGGGTCTGCGACCTTGGCGAGGCAGTTATCAACACAATACGCGTGGATATGTTCAATCCCCCTCTCCCTCATATCAGCCGTGATATTAGACGTCACAAGCGCCTCGTAAATCCCACCATTCCCATTCGGCGCAACCGCAACACGGCCCTTAGATTCTAACAGGATCTTCCCCTCGTTAGAGATGCACGGCAGCACGCCCTGCTCGAAGATATGCACATTCTCCTTCTTCAACCCAAAGTACTCGTGCTCCTGGAAATACGCCTCTGTTGGCCCCCGCGTCGGGCCGGAGGTCATCACGTACCAGGGCACGGTGACGGAGCCGATCGCGGCGCCGGATTTCTTCTCGGCCAGGCGCTGGATCTTGCGGATGCGCTCACCTTGGATCTGGAAGAGGGATTTCTTAGAAGGGAGTCCAATGTCGTAACATCCCTTTGGCGCGGAGCTGCCGAGTCTTGTCCCCTGCCCCCCAGCGAGGAGGAGCACAGCCACTTTCCCGGCAGCGATCAGGTCCAGCCCGGCGTCATTCCAGGACTGCAGATCTTCGGGTGCGGAGTCGAGAATGCTGGCTGTAGCGCTTTCGGGGAGCGGCTCGAGACCCGCGTGTGGTGCATCTTCAGCTACCTTCGGCGGGTTGAGGGCGCGGTCGGTGATCTCGTTGATGCGCGCGGGGTCGAATTGCGAGAGCTGGGCGTAGAGGGTCGCTTGCTCGGTGGGGGTGAGGGTGTCGTAGAAGGCGAAGACGTGGGATTGCGAGGCGCGCTCGTAGGTGTCGCGGAGCTGCTGGAGCTCGGTGGCGGTGGGTTGGGGGGGGGAGGAGGGGGAGGAGCTGGTGAGCTTGTGGAGGAGGGTTTGGGCGGCTTCCATGGTGGGTGGTGGTGGTTTTGTTGTTGGGGGGGTTGTGGAAGGTGGGAGGGTGGGAGAGGTTGGTTGGTAGCTTTGAAGCTTTGAAGCTTGAGGTGTACAATGGGATATGGAGAGGGAATGAATGGGATAAAGAAAGTTGGTGGTGGTCAATGGGTGTTTATAAAGCTTGGAAAGAGAGTCGTCATGGCCTCCTGTTCAATTCATTTGAGTCCACCGCCCCCCTTGCCCCCCCTCACCCGTTCCCTCTCTTCGTGTTCCAGTTGAGGCGGTGGGGCTTGGCTGGCGGGGTGACGCTCTTACACGAACGAAGATCCATGCCGGACAAGGGCGGAGTGTGAACCACTTTATTGGAGAATCGGGAGTGGGATATGTGGGATAGGTGGGATAGAGGCAAGGAAAGTGCCAGTGCGGGACAACACGGGAGGATCTGATTCGATGAAGCCGCCCACATTGAGGATCTCTATAGTATCTTATTACTGTGTGCTAAAAATAAAAATCAGCAGCCAAGTTTGTGGTTGTGGTTTGTGTTTATTGTTTATTTTATGGAGTGGTTGGACCATTTTTATGTAGGGGGTACGTAGTTGGAGGGGCAATTATGCTCGTATTAGACGCATCTGCCGTGTACCGACCGCAGCAAATAACACGAAAATCTCTACAGGGGATGTTAGGGGGTTACAGGGGCAGTTCCGGGCAGTATTGGGGGGATATTTTAGGGCAGTCGAGGCACTTGCATCCTGGATTTTTAGTGGGTTGTGCACGGTTCTAGTGGGTGGCTCTAGTGGACTCTTGGCTTGCGATGGGCTTCTCCTTTATTCTGCCGATTCAAATCTCTAGGCGGTGAGAGACCATCTCCTGACAAGGCTGCAAGGCTACCATGGTATGATTCGGACTAATACAGTTGCATATGAGTAGTCGAGTTCCACTGTGGCTTGTAATATTGAGGCATTGTCTGCCTGTGGTCCTTTTCAACCTCATCAACGGTGTCAGGCGGCTTGTGTTCATATATATCTAAAGTTTAACAGCCCATTATCATGTCTCAAGCCATTTAACCAGTCCCTGGTATCATTTTCAGCGCCAGCGACGATAGTAACACCACTGACTCGAGTCTTAAACTTCAATCCTCAAATCTTCAGCCTCGGGATTCTCAACCCCCCCACACCCATCACCATGGCAGCAACCAAAATCCTCACTCTCAAAACAGAGGATACCACTCTCGAGGCAATCCCCGTCTCCTCACCAAGCTTCAAAGGCCGTCTCAACCTCTCCTCCTTCGCTTTCGAGGCTCCTGCGACTCAAACCCTCCGCCGCAGTCCTCGGAGTCTCACTCCCAAAGTCGAGGCATCCAATTCCCTCTCTCAGACCTCAGTTGTCAAAATCGAGCCCTCCGCTTCCCCCTCCCCTCCCCGAAAGCGAGGAACAAACACTCCCTCCCTCTCCTCCTCTCCAAGCAAAAAATCCCGTTCCCGCACCCCCGCCGGCTATGCCCACCCTTCCAAATACGCCCACCTCAACGAACTAGTCGACATCCTCGAGCCAAATCTCATATGCGCCTTCGTCGGTCTCAACCCCGGCCTCCGCACCGCTACCGATGGGCACGCGTACTCACACCCCTCCAACCGGTTCTGGAAACTGCTTTACTCCTCAGGACTCACTACGCGGTTGATGAAGCCGGTTGAGGATAGGAGTTTACCTGCGCTTTACAGTTTGGGGAATACGAATATCGTTGCTCGCCCAACACGCAATGGTGCGGAGTTGAGTAAGCAGGAGATGGACGACAGTGTAGCGGTGCTTGAAGAGAAGATGCGGATGTTCAAACCGGAAGCGGTGTGTATTGTCGGGAAAAGTATTTGGGAGAGCATTTGGAGGGTGAGGCATGGGAGGGCGATTAAGAAAGAGGAGTTTAGGTATGGATGGCAGGATGATAGTGAGGCGATTGGGAAGCCTGATGGTTTGAAGGAGGAGGGGGAGGAGGGGGAGGTGTGGAAGGGTGCGAGGGTCTTTGTGGCGACGACTACGAGCGGGCTTGCGGCGAACCCGACGCAGGCGGAGAAGGAGAAGATTTGGAGGGAGTTGGGGGTTTGGGCTGAAAAGAGGAGGAGGGAGAAAGCTGGGGAGGTGGTGGAGGTGGTGGAGGTGGTGGAGGTGGTTGCTGGGGGTGTGGTTGGGGAAGTGTTGTTGAACTGAGGGTTTGGGGGGTATATATGATGGGTGGGAGTTTTAATTGCTGGTGTTGCTGGTGTTGCTGGGGCGCTAGGTTATGAGGATTATAGCTGGAATGCATGGCTGAGGTTCTGCTTTTGGAGGGATGGAAATAGCTCTATATCATAGCTATATCGGTATCTTCGTTCGAAATAGGCTAGAATATAAATAAACCGTAGAACATAGTTATTTATTTGCATTTCGCCATAAGATAAAAACATACAACAGTAGGTATTTGCTAGTAGTCACCTACCTACCTACCTACTAGGAAAGGGAGGATGTGATCTGTTAGACCGAACTGTCTTCAGTCCGAGTAAGAGACTGGTTCTTGTGAACCCGTTCCTATACTTCGGTAGTATTGACACCCGACGGCTCTAGCAATTGGATTATATACCATTAATATCTTCCATATATCAACCCCTCTACCTAGCATAGCTATACACCCTCCTCAACTTCGCCTTCTCCCTACTCAACCCCACAAACCCCGTCTCCATCTCCCCAGCCCTCATATCCCCAATCATCCCCGGAATCTCGCCCAAAGCCGCCGCGCCCGGTCCACCCAGCTCCCTCGACCGCAAACTATGCACGCTATCTCGCCACTCAGCACCAAACCTAAACATCGTAAAGCCATCCAGTTTTTCGCCCCAGCGGCGCTCAACCAGTAACCCCGGCAGCAGCAGCTGCGGAAGAACAGTGACGACAGCCCACAGAAGGAGGAGCACGAGCACCACCCTATACGGCACACGGCCCTGCTCGATGTCGTGTGCGGGCTCGAGGCCGACAAGGCCTAGATCCGACGTCGCGTTGGGGGTGGACGTCCAGTTGCCAGGGCCGGTGGACATGACGCCCATGGAGAGCTCGCCGAAGAGCTTGTACATTGCTAGGTTCATGCGCTCGGGCGAGATGGAGGGGTACTGCATCAGCCCGCCGGTGTATTCGCTTTCGGAGCCGGGGGGGGATTTTTGGATTGGTGCGAAAGAGGGGATTCCGTTGGTGGCTAGGTTGGCGCCGATGGGGCCGGTGCAGAAGACGGAGAAGGAGGAGCATTTGGGGAAGCCTTGGTAGCCGAGGAGGACTGATGTGAATGCGGAGAAGACCAGGGATTGTAGTCCCATTACTCCTGAGGTTGTGGTGATTTGCGCTCCAACACGAGTAGCCTTCAGACTAGCTACTTGGGTCTTGAAGTCTGTAAAGGTATTTGTCACTGCTGAGATAGTGGCTGCGCCGACTGTTGAGTTCACAGAGCAGCGAACACCGTAGCCTAGGTATGTCTTGTTATCTCGGCTTGAGAAGGAAGACTCAACTAGGGGGTGAGATGACATGTTTTTGAATGTCTCGTCGGGTATATAGCCAACTATCGTGTCGAATGCCTGCCACATAACCAATTCTATCGCACCTAGAACGGGCAGGCGGGTCTCGTTGTCATACCTGGCGAGGCCGGCAAATATGCCCAGATTGCTCGCCATCAGATATTGGTACTTCAAGCCTAGACCTGTCCCCTCCGCAAAATGCACGGGTTCGAATCCGCTCGCGGCGTAAGGCCCAGAAGTTCCATTAACATAGTCCTTGGATGTCGTAGTCCAAACAGGACTACTCCATTTATTAATAGCCGTGACACTGAGAAGCTCGAGGTCCCTATAGGGATGGACAGGCATACAGGAAATACTTGTCAGCATTCCCCATGCCCTGCCATGCGCTCGTTCACTAACTTCGGGACCGGAGAAGAAAGTGATCGTACTGTTGAGACTGCCAGAGTTATCCAGCAGGCGACTCTGATAGTCCGACTGGATCATATCTTCGTAAAATGTACTGCTGACATCTGGGGTACCATCGGGAGCGTAAAGAATAGTAGCTCCTTCCGGGGTTGTCGGACGACCTTGTCGCCAGCTATAACTGGCCAAATCAGCGACAGCATTCGACGGCTGCATTTGGAACGTAGTCTGGTTGGTGCCCGAGATCGCAATGGCACGTTTGGCCAGTTGCAGGGCCTCCGTAGGCTCCATGGATAGCCCAGAGAGTGGCACAACCGCGTAGAACAAAAAGCTGCAAAAAGCCAGGTAGAACCAGAGTAGCCCGGGCCCTTCCCACTCCACCGGTTCCTTGCCAGCACGCATCTTCTTGTAGACATATCGAAACGTGAGGAGCAAAACCTGCCACCAACTGCTTAAAGAGCCCCAGCCGCGGTCGATATGCCACATGAACTTGCGACCGTCTAACGGTGCATATTCTGGTTTCATAAGAGCCGCCGCCTCAAACCCGGCGAGGCCAGACTTTGCCCAGTCGAGGACGAAAATACTGAGAATGAGCCAGGCAAAGAAAACGCCCCTAGAATTCACAGGGCGAGAGGGGATGATACCATTCTCAGCGGGCTCCCACAGATAATACCTTAGAATAAGAAAGTAGAACAGCGTAACGATGATGGGGCCAAGAGCGTTGAGAACAGCCCGAAATATATATCGCTCAAAGCGATAGCTGGTTGCACTCGAATCTAACGAAGGTAGCGCTCCCCCATCTAACGGAACATGAAGCGGAGGGCGGTGAATCCACTGGTCATCGTTCTCTTCGACTGATAAAAGATGAGGTTTTGTGTCGTAAACCGTGGCATCTTTTTCGCTTCTAGACAGCTCCATGCTAATCACGGAGATTGAGTGCTAGAGTTCTCGAGCTAAGTCAAGACAAAAATTTACAGTCGTAGGCACCCGGTGCCACTGCCCTTTAAAAGGGTAAGTAGGCTGCTTCATAATCATTGTCTAGCAGGCATTGGGAGCTCATTTCCTATAATAGACTCCTTGCAGCAACCTCAGCCGCACGCAGGGGCCAAGAGCGACTTTATTAACTATGGTGGCATAAGTATGTTGAAGGGGGAAAGACGTAGGCGCCAGGATCGCTGGGCTATTGGCCCTGAAACCGGAGGATTTCTCCGGCGTAAAGTCCGACTCCCTGGTTGGTTCGGAAGCTCCGTGGGTGTAGGCCTTATGCAAGCCACGAAATCCTTCGCAGCTAAAGCTGAATAGCCCTTATCATGTCAGGGTTTCGCGGCTTCCCGTATAAGTAGAATACGTAGGCGTATAACATAGAGTAGAAATTCAATTAATCTATTTACTTTACATACTGCATTTACTACGAAGCTTCTGTTCTAGTGCACTAAGAGACTAATTGTAGTAATTAGGGATTTACATACAATTTAAGCTATGTACATAATCTCCTATCTATTAAACGGTTTACTTAGCAGACCATTCGAGGACCGTGAGTTAGAGGCTTTAGACTGTAACTCACGCTAGACTACGGTCCGGTCCTAAATTTTGAGACTAGGCCAGACCATGGTCTGGTCTGGGGTCGGTCAACTGATAGGGTCAGTCCCCCGTGACGCAGCCTAGGGAGCAAGATAAATTCCGCAGAGTAACGTTCATATCACACCACCCATTTAATTACACCTATTGAAAACTATAAACCCCACACATCCATCGCATCCATCAGCAGTCTCACCGCGCGTTACCACCCTTTACCCCACCAAAAACCCCGCCAGCTATCAACAACAACATCACCACCACCACCACCACAATGAGTAACGACCCCGCCTTCAAACCAGCTCTCATAATAGTAGAGCTGCGTCGACGACGTCCATAATGACGCTACCCTGCAACATACGGGCCGGGCTGGTCTTTACGGTGAAGGAGTCGGTGGTGGAGCCATTAGCGCCTTTGTTGGCAGTGGCGCCGAGAACGGGGAGTTCAGTTGCCATTGTTTTGTGTGTGTGTATGTACAGAGGATTCCACGAGGGGGGAGTTCCTTTGAAGGGAAGGTGTGAGGGGGTTTTGTAGGAGGTGAATTGCGGAATGTGACACTTTTTTAGAGGAGGGAGGTGGATGACGCAACGGCTTCGTCATAAAAGCAGACCCTTAGCAAATCAGGCGCAAGGGCAACAATGAAACATCATTTTCTTAAAGGAGCACTCTGGAGTATTTAGGAGTAGCTCTTTCGTCCCAAGCCCTCTTTATACCTAGCTAAACACCGGTCCCTACTCTCCTTGTGATCCACTATCCGCTCCGGGTACCCGCACTTTTTCGCCTCAGCTCCCTTTCCCCTATCATACGGATCATGAATTGCCTTGCCCGCGATACCCCTTAGCTCGGGAACCCATCTCTTGATATATTCTCCTTCGGGGTCGAATTTTTCGCTCTGCAAGAGGGGGTTGAAGATTCTAAAATATGGCTGAGGATCAACTCCTGTCGAGGCACTAAATCCCCAGCCCCCGTTGTTCGAGGCAAAATCTCCATCGATTAAGTGCTCCATGAAATACCTCTCACCTATGCGCCAGTCGAGAAGGAGATGCTTTGCTAGGAAGGATGCCGCGATCATCCGGCCGCGATTGTGCATCCAACCACAGCTGTTCAGTTGGCGCATTGCTGCGTCAACTACTGGGTATCCTGTCCGACCTTTGGACCAGGCTTCAAATTGATCTTGATTGTATTCCCATTCTATGTTAGTGTACTCCAGTTTAAATGGCTTATTCATACTAAGAACCGTTAGACACATGCCTTAAAAACGTAAGAATCACATACCAGATATATGGCCAGTGGGCTAAGACATGCTTGTAGAAGTCTCGCCATGCAATCTCGCTGATCCAGGTCAGAATACCTTCAACCCCACCATCTAGCCTCTTGATACGGTTGTGATCTCGCGCCATTCTAACTGCTGTTCTCGCACTCAGGGTGCCGCTAGCCAAGTGGACGCTAAGCGACGAAGTTGATTGTTCTGAAAGATTGTTCCTGTGTGCTTTGTACCCTCCAATTCGTTCGTCTATAAATTTTATAAGGCGCCTGTGTGCGTCATGCTCTCCTGCTGGCCACATAGAGCAAAACCTCTCTGTTTCTTCGTCACTTAGCTTTTTATGCTCGACTTCGTTGGGTATGGTGCTCTCGAATAGCTTGAGGTATTTTTGCCTTGCGCCATTGAGATTCTTGTTAGGTGCTTCAGAAAGATCGAGCAACAGAGGATTCTCATGGATATATGCAACCCAAGCACGATACCATGGAGTGTACACAGAATACTGTGTTCCGGACTTACTCACTAGGTCCCCAGGCTTCACAACACAGGTATCCGACAGAACGTCCATTGCAACCCCGATCTCTAGACATTCTCTGACTAGGCTTGCATCTCTTCTCAATTCATCGACTTCATACTCCGCATTAGTAAATAAATGATCTGATCCCCATTCCTTTACAAGCTCCAATATCCTCCCGGGAATCTTCTTTCTCTTCTCTAGAGTCTCTACATAAAGTGGAATATCAAGCTTTGCTAGATCTTCCCTTAAGACCCTTAGCGTCCGCAATATGAAATCCACTCTAGCAGGCGACACCAGATGTGCCTCGAAATCCTGCTGACTAACGATGTACATGGTGATTAAGGGAACGCCGTTCTCCCTCGCCTTCTTACTCGCAGCATAGAGAGACCTGTTATCTCGCATCCGCAAATCACACCTGAACCAATGGACCACTGCGTTGCTAACTTCGATCTGCTCCCGCTTCGGCTTGGTTTCGAAAAGTGCAGAATTTAGAACTTCGATTGGTCTAGCAATTTGGCCATTCTTGTACGCGAGAGCATGCGTATTGGACATCTCGGGCCCATAAAATGCTCGAAGTGTGATGCCATTTCTTTCCGCTTCTTGTGCTTTGGGATGGGATGCTGAGAGAGGATTTATGGAGTCATCGTTGACTTTTGGCTTTTTGTGAGATTCGTTACTATGAGCTGATTCTGCTGAAGGTGGGCCTTTGCGTTTACCGTTAATAGCAGGTGATTTTTTCGGCGGCATTTTCAAGATATATGAGAGGGTGCATGTAGAAAGGGCCTTTGATGTAAACGGGATAATCTTAGGCCTTGTAATTAAGTTTAGTTTCGTTGCTAAACTTATAAGCATGAATTTAGAAGGGTGATGAAGAAAATAGAATTGGCGACATTAGGTTAACAAAGGTCGAGATGGAAGAAATCTCTCTAATAATCATACTGTGGCCTTTGCTTAGTAAATATGATATGTCAATTTTCTACGTCACTTTGCTACGTCACCGTGTGAGTCCATCTCCCAGCTACTCTACTGTACGAAACTACACCCAATACGTCAGAATATGTGCCTTAGTCTGCATGATTCTTGGGGCCAGAATCACAGCTGTACGGCGTTTATTGCCAATAATAAATGAGAATGACCTGAGCTATCTTTGACTGGATCGAGTTTCTCAAAGCGCTCCAATTTTGAGTGGGCGTGAAGAACAGTTGTCCACGTATATTAGGTGGATCCGTGGATACGCGGCCCCTCAATTTAGTGAGGGCGCGAGACTTTATTTACGGAAATTAACGCGAACTTGACGTGAAACTGTTACGTCGCCTCTCCTCGCTCACCCTGCTCACCCCGCTCACCTTGCTCTCCCCTCAGCTCACCCTGCTCACCCTCGCTTCACCCCTTAAGGCGGCAAGGGGCACATATTCCACGCTATGCCTATCAGCATGATTGAGAGCATCAATTCACTGAATTACAAGCTTGTGTATGGCAGAGCGGACGGGATGCCCAATTCTCGTGAGTCTATGGTTGTATGTGATAGTGATTCGGTTATTGGACTATAAGTGCAAGCATGCACACTAATGGATATTCAAACTCAAAACTGTTAATTAGTATTTAGCTATGATACTCCGAAAAGGCTAAAAAAAAATGGCAAAAACATACAACAGTGGGTATTCGCTAGTGGTTACCCACCCAACTACTAATCTACCGATCTCAAGCTTGAAGTGGATTAATACTCAGGACGGTGCCATTTAGACTAGTGGGTAAGCGTTACCGCCCTTAAGTTTTTGATGCCTTACGATAATCTAGTTGTCCCCCTTAGCTACCTAATGGCAGCCACGTTAACACGCACGAAGTGGATCTCGTATTAAGACGTAATGAACATAATGCACTATGCCTTTAGATGGCTACGGATAATCTAGTACCTAGGTGAGCGAAGGTGAGCGAAGGTGAGCGAGGGTGAGCTAGAAAATTGTATAAAAGATACGCTCCCCTAATGTCTACATTTTGCAGTCTACCATCTATAACATTCTTCATTCACTTTTAAGGACTTTCTTAGTACTATAGGACAGAAAACACTCTCTAAAGAAGGACAAGCTGTTCTAGTACAGTCGCGAGGCTACTTTAAGCAGAAAACATCCAAAGAACAGAATGCATTAAGTTAAGTTAAACAACGTTCTCTCTCTAGTGCCACTAAAGTCAAGCACATGGACGTGGGGGAGGTATTCCAAAAGTACGCGAGACTTAACACTGTGCATAGTGCTGCTAACGGAGATATTAGTTTTCTTGCTGCAAAGGGTACACAGACAAGTTACTCTTACTGAGACGGTGGGAAGCCGCGCACCAACCGTACCAACCTTGGATATTTCAACCGAGACCGCAAATCCATCACCTAACCGACTGGCTGTATCCACCTACTCCTTTCAATATTGGCTACAATTCTCCATTCTACGCCTATTGGCAGCCTTGAAGTGGAAACATTTTGAGAGTTATTATAGGATGGTATAATAGAGACACATCGCACTAAGCTTGAGGACCGGCTCAATATGTGTGTCTAAAATGGACATCCTCCTGGAGGACAAATCCCTCTTCATCAGCCTTCTTGTTCACACGTTTGAAGTGCAGAGTCATCACTCCAACCAAAATCGCGAGGAGAAACTGGGTGGCTACGGCGCACCATATTCCGGTAGGGTATGAAGGAGCTATATCAGGTCAGATCCAAGTTTTACATCATATCAGATAGTGAATTCATACCTTCCTTCTGTATGAACGTGCATGAAGCGTAGATCCCCCCGATGGCGGCGAATGCGAATTGAATACCGGAACCAACTGAGCGGCGGCTGTCAGATCGAACGTTATTGCTCTGAAACGCGATGATTGTGGGGAGATTTCCGTTGCAGCCTGATACTCCAAGGAAGATGCCAAAGTAGCGAACGCCGTTGTTCTGTTCTGTTAGTCGATGCAAAGCAAATCGGAATGGGGACTCACCTTGCAATATGCTGTCAACAGCAGCCCCACGAGCGTGATGACCGCGTTCAGGACCATGTACGGCATCCGAAGCTTCGTCTTGTCCGCTGCCCACGCAACAGCAACAGTCCAAATCGCACTGAACAGATAGGGCGGCGCGCACAACAGTAACACGACTGCAGTCGAATACCCCATCGTCTTCAAAATCGTCTGAATAAAATACGCAAAAGCATAAATCGGAGCCGAGCAGCAAAGAAACATGAAGCCATAGACCCAAAGCTGCCACGAGGAGATATGCCTGAAGAACTTCTCCTTCGTCAACTTATCGGGTAAACTGTCGCCTCGGTCACGCTCTACGCGATCCATGACAACCTCCAGCTCGGCTTGGGTGAAGTATCCATTCTTGCCTGAGGCGAGGATGCTGTCGGGGAAGTTGAGGACGATGAAGTATCCGATGATCGCAACGCCGATTGTTAGAGCTCCCTCAATGATGAAGATCCATCTCCAGCCCGCAATTCCGTGCGCGCCATCTAGTTTCACAATTCCATAGGCAAGGATATTGCCAAAGGCCGACACGAACAAGTTGACGACATACCACATCGCCATGCGTTTTTGCACCTCATAGCGCATATACCAGCACGAGAGGAGGTACATGCAACAAGGCAAAAACCCTGCCTCAAACATTCCAATCAGCATCCGACAAACCACAATAACACGCCAATCATTCGCAAACCCCATCCCAAGCATGACGGCGCCGAAGCTCATAGCGAGAGCAGACAGCTGCACCCGCGGGCCGATGTAGCGCATGATGAGCGTGGACGGCATCTCGAAGAGCAGGTAGGTGATGAAGAAGACCAGGAGCGCGATGCTGTAGCGGTTGCCGATATTAAAATGGAGGTCTTTGTCCATGCCGGCCACGCGGGCGTTGGAGATCTGTGGGTTGTTAGTGATGTGGGCTGAGTGGGAGGGGTTGGGAGGTTAGGGAGAGAGAGAGAGAGGGAAAGTACATTGACGCGGTCGAGACCTGATACTGAGTAGAGGATGCCGAGGATGGGGATTAGACGCCAGTCAACCTTGCGCCTGCGTGAACTTTAGCGGTGCTCTTGATATCTGAGAGTGAAGAAAGTAAGGACTCACATGATTCTCGCCTCCATCTGTCTCTGCTCAAGAGAGACATCCTCCTCCGCAACCCTATACCCATCCTTCTTCTCGCCATCGTCATTTTTGAAAATTTCCTCCCCGGCTTTATCTTCCACAGCATTTAAGGCCGACATATCTGCAAAAAGTCCACCAAGCTTCACCCAGTAACCTGTAACAAAAGAAGCGATCTAAATTCTGATAACGAGGCTAGAATCATCATAGTGGGATGTCGCTCTTTATATACTCGAGTATTAGGCTCTACAGGAAATGGTTATCCCACTTCGAAGTGGGATAACCATTTCCATTCCCCAACCCTTGCTGGCGGGCTGAAGTTGTGGGGTAGATGCGGGGTAGATGCCGCACCTCCTGAGACCTGTTAAGCTCAATGCCAAGCATGATCTGGAGAAGTGGTCTTGTCGTGCAGGAGGAATCGGTAGACAAAGTGTTGGACTTATTCGGGTAAGTGACTAGTTGGGGATACCGATGGATATCCGTTATGAGCCTCGGGCCTTAGATATAGAACGTAGGCGACCCGAGCATCCCCCTAACCTGAGCTGACCCATTGACAACTATCCACACAAGCAACAAAAAAATAAATAATGAGGCAAAAGAAACATACAACAGTGGGTATTCGCTGGTGGTCACCCACCCAACTACTAATCCACCGATCTCAAGCTTGTGTATGGCAGAGCGGACGGGATGCCCAATTCTCTTGAGTCTATGGTCGTATGTGGTAAATACACCTCATATGTAGAACATATCCTGTAGTAGACTACTTGCAACTATAAAATGCTAGTAGGGCCTTCTCGGAATCTCCTTGTATTTAACTGATGCTGCGTACATTACATCGGCCTCCCTTTCTCCGCACTCAACTAACAGCGGTCACGGTATAAGTAGGCGCGTAGAAGCCCAAGACGCCTTGTTCGCCGAGACTATACGGGTCGAGGTACACCCTCCACTGCGGTTTATGAGTCGCACCATCTTCTAGAGCGTCTAGACCTGAGATGCGAACTATTACATATATCTGCGTCGGTCGAGTGGACGTTACCTGTAAGCGCTTTGCCTAGCGTGAGTGTAAGCAATTAATTCCATGTTATCCTCGTTTGTAAAGTAAGGCGAGCGTTTATATTAGACATACCAAAGCGTGCTGATGTCCACTCATAAAGAAGCGAGTCGTGGGGTTTCGAGATGGCGTACTTTTCACTTCGAGGAGATACGTTGGCTTGTTGCCGTCGCTGAGGACTGTGTCAAGCCAAGTTGGTTTCGTGTATGGAAACAGCATTTGTTGGAGGTAACGGGTAAGAGCTCCCTCCGTGTCTGGGTAGGTAAAGTCGGAGGGGCCGTCGCGGCAGGTGCTGAATCCGGCACGAGACCGCAATGAGCTCGTCCAATGGACCTGGCCACTGAAATTGGGCAGCCTGAGCTGGTCACGTAGAACCGTGAACACCTAGATGCCAAGTCAGTCAATCCACCCGTCCGATCGGAGAGGTTACAGGATCACTTACATAGTGCTCTCCTAGGAAACCGATTTCAAAATCCCGAGCCCTATCTTCTTGATTGCGATCTGGGATAAGCCTTGCTTGTGGGCGCCTAGCACTCCAAACGGACACCAGGGTGGCGGGAACTACCGAAGCCCGAGAATCCTCGAGAGCTGATCCTAATTCTGTCATATCGAATGCTGCCGCAATTGGGGTGTTGACGGCGCTGCTGGTTCCACTTCTTGAAGCATTTAGGCCGGTGCGCGAATGTTGAGCGAATTGCCGGAGTCTATCTGTATTTCGACTACGATTGCTTGTGCTATATATACCTGCAGTGGTAACTGGCTCCGTAGGTGGCGCTTCTTCTGGTCTCTCGGGAGGTATTAGGAAGCCACTCCGTGAGAAGGGATTGCGGAACGAAGTTTCAACTGCTAATATCCTGGAAATAAACTCCGGATTCCGAGGCGATTGTGTAGATGGGACAGATTGCCCAGTTACCACTGCTGAGGGTCTCGACAACTCAGTCAATGGTGTTGCAAAAGGCGTCACACCGGAGCGTCGCTCAGGGGTTGCCAAAGGGGCAACCAGTCCACGCCACTGCAATTGATCCTCATCATCACTCATCTCATCACTCTCAGAAGTGTCTGAGCTAGCAGATGAAGACAGGATTTCTCCTATGATGCCTTTCCTAACCAGCAGCATATTCAGCGACTCCAATGGGACCTCTAGATATTGATGAAGCTCTGTTGCAGCATTAAAAGGTCGAACCTTAAGCGCTTCTAGGAGCTGTTTCGGAAAGTCGGTCACTAATGCACAATCGCGCTTCTTTTGTTCCGAAGAGAGATAGATCTCTAGAACAGGCTTCGCGTCATCGCTTGTGTCGTTGACTCGTACGGAAGAGCCTCCCTCGACCCTCGTTACAGTAAATATCTGCGGAGACAATCCGCGTGCTAGGTGGTAATGAGTTTCGATGTTCGGACTTATCCACACCTTCACGGTCTCCAACAAGGGCTTTAGGAAATACTTAGAACGGCACTTGTAGTGCTCGAAGTACCTGTGCTACCGTTAATCGATCTTCAGTTGATAGTAATCTGATTCCACCACTAGGTTGAAATAGGGTAACATACCTATTTAGAGCATCAGCACGTCTTTGGTAGTTTTGTGACATCTCATGGTCACTCTGAAGCGGCAGATGAGCTTCTGTATTCACTTTGACTTGCTCCGAAAGAAACGAAACGCAACCCAGCTTATGAAGTAGGTCTGTAACCCTTCGAGAATCATCAAAATCGAGATCTAAGAAAGTTTGAGAGTCTTTGAAAATTTCAAAGAGGTTTTGCCGGTCGTTAACGAAGAAATCTCCAACTGCACAGAACGCTGGTTCGCCAGTTGGCAAACGACAGGGCCAGCACTTCACCCCTTGCAATAGCCTTAATTCATTATTTGTCTCTCTTTTGCGACTTATGTCAAGTAGCAAGTCTTTGCTATATTCCCAAGGTGTATCACTGGTGCTGATGAACCCCTGAACCAACATCTTCAGTGTCACGTTCGGCACATCTAAAGTATCTCGGAATAGACTCCGATATTGGTTAAGTGTGCTCATTAAGGCATACTTAGTGCGAAGAATCGTCCGGCTCCAGACACAATCCTCGAGCTTTAGCCAGCGGCCACGATTACCATTATACCCCCGAAGAAACACTAGGGGCTTAGTTTGAAAAGCGTCTCTGCAATTATGTTAGTGAAAACCTTTCAGAGTCAGTCTTATGGAACGCACTTAATCTTTTCTACCGAGCTGCGACGATACACCTCGATTCTCTCGTACAGCCGGAATACAGTTGCCGAATCGTCACTTCCATCTTGCTGCAGTAATCTGAGATCACTAAGTAGCTCATCGATTCCCGCGTTTGGGAGCTTGATAATCGCAGTGAAGAATGATGCAGCAGCGGGAGCATGTTGCTTAATAATCTGTTCCATCGCAATTTTGCTTCGAAGTTGTAGCTCGTTTTGAGAGAATTCCGAGTCATCCCACACGCACTCAGACGGCATCTTCCACTCAAGCGATCCTGTTTCAGATGGTATAGCAATAATACGATTCCTCGGATCGATTGTTCTACAGCATGTTAGTAATGTAGTAGTCTAATAGTCTAACGATTGCTCACATTGCTGGACAAAAAACTTGAAGGTATTCGTACACACTCGATACAGCTTGCATCGTTGTAGATACGTTGGACCTAATCAGATAAAGATATTCAAGAGCCTCAGTATGAGAGGCAAACTTTATGTATAGGATGTTTTGGAACAGATTAGATAGGTCGTTCCCATATATCGCCAATAGAGATGGCTTAGCTTGGAAGCCTCGAGGCGCGTAGTAAACGCAGTTCCCTGCAGAGACAAAAGTATTATCTGGTAAGGCGATGACATTTTTGCAGAATGAATTTCTATTTATATAAGTCAGTGGTCGGGAATCCAAACTGCCATATTGACATTGGTTAGTGCGAGGGGTTAACATCCTCACCTCACGCTCACTTTCTCTGCATTAGATCCTGCTCGTGACTGTATCTCAGAATAGAGCCTCTTCGCTCTCTCAACACTAGGATTCACCTTAAATCCGGGTTGCTCCAGAATCCACAGGTAAAAGTCAAGGTTATCTTCTGTCCCTACATCAAACGTTGAAAGAAATCTCCAGTCTCTTGGCAGACAACCGGATAAGACTAAGAAAGAGCAGGAATCGGAACCGCACAATTCATGACTCTTTTGCACTAAACCGGGGAGGGGTATAAAGCTCTGGCGCAAGGGAACTAGGTTTCCGGTTTGGCAGAGGAAGGTGCGGTGCGCAAACTGTCGTTGTATCTGGCTTGTGAATTTAGAACTATAGACATCCCAATGTCGGCGTATGATATCTAATACGCGATCACTTCTGTTCTCCAAAATCCAGCGGAAATCATCGTGCAGCCCATCGTACTGCGTTGTTAGGCGTGGCACTGTAGCAATGTCCGCCTCGGATTTCAGCCAATCTATGAACTGCCTCTTCTCTATAGCATGAAGGTCTTGGAAGTAATCAGGATGAAGAAACCGAGCATCCCCATACCCAGAAAATAGCTCGGAAAGTTCTGTTGAGGGCGGACTATCTGTATATAAGTCGGATCCTTTGAGGAACGAACCTTTTTCAGCGATTGCAAAATATATTTTCTTCAGGTCATTCCCTATTAACTGATCTTTAGCATGATAAAGATACTTGGCATGACCCACGATATCGGAATGGTTGGCTCTTGTAAATCTTGTATGGTAGCCAACGATTTCCTTCACAATATTGCTGGCATCGCAGTACTTCACGCCCAGCAACTCAAACAGCTTTGTCCGATGTTTACATTTGCATGCCGCCTCGTCGACCAAAAGTAGTGGCAATCCGGACGGAATCCTTGCTCCTAGACTCTGAGGGAAGTAAATTGGAGTAGACACTGTGGGAGCAACACTCCACAGACCATCTACAAGAGGTATGAGTGGTATTTTGCGCAGCTCATATTTATATGTAGGATGGCGTGCGGATTTTCCTGGTGTGAGGATCACTTTTGCAAGGTCAGAGTACCATGCTGATGATCGACTCCTGTCATGAAGAGAGCCGCTACGCTGTAAATCTTGGAGCTCCGTGGAAATCCACTCCGAGTCAGGGGTGCCGACTCCTAGAATGCCAAGGATTCCATGCACAGAGGCCGGGTACGCCGAGGAGACATAACCGTTGTTCGAACCAAATATGGGCTCTCCATCGCGGTCCTTTGCCCAGCTCAAGAACATTAACGATGGCGGGGATGCATAGCTCCCAGATCGAGTTTGGATGACCTCACGTCTCTTTAGACGTTTCACAATACCTCTGCGTATGTTCCGCCAGTACTCACTTGGCTCAGCGGAAGTAACTCCAAGGAACACTAGCCAAGTCTTTGACAGCTGTGCTGACTGCGCCGAGTCGGGGAATACCCTGTTAAAAGCAGCAACTGCATCGACAAACGCTTGCGGGATGGCTCTAGCAATATTAGTATTCCAAGGACTGTCTTCGTCTACAGATTGGCGGTTTGATGTAGTGACAAAATCTGCTTGTACAATAAACTGATATCAAATTAAGCAAGCACGTTTTGGTTCCCTACGCCGTGGGTCTTACTTGAAAGCCAAATTTTCCAAGAGGAAGATATGCATATGTGTGTAACTGCTTCGGTCTAGGTGTCCATGTATTAGAGACTAGCTCTACAGGGAAAGCCAGCACTATATCAGTCTGAGTCAAGTTTGGTCGACGTTCCTCTGTTCCATTAAAAGCGGACGTGTATTGTACCTTATAGAAATGCTCCTTTGTCCCAGTATCCTCGTTCTCGAGAGTCGTGATTCCTGGGAATAAAGCATCATTGGTGTAGCGGCGAAAACGTCTTGACATTCTGGCTTCATTTTGCAAGGAGGCAGATGGGTGTAGGGTGATTTGCAGCCTCTCTAACCGGCGGAGAAATAATATAACCATAGGGTGGATTGCCTCTATATCGAGTTCTAGAGCAGCAGCAAAATTCGTCGAAGCATCGCAGATTCGATCCAGAATGATTGTAGTCTGGTAATCCTGCGAATGGGCTGCAAAATATTCTTCGTCCCATTGAGGAGTAATCATCCCGAGCATCCTAGCCCTATCTAGCTGGAAATAGTAGGGCGGAGAGCGTACATGTGCTCTTTTAGCAATCTTAAATACCGACTTGAAGCCGATACCTTTCTCTCCTGTGTAGCCTTGGCCGGGAGGCTTGGAGCTCCGTCCTGTCCGGCACAGAGCTTGGACGTTTGCCTCGGTGAATCCTGTTTCATTACACTCGATCTTGACAAGTCGACGAGTAACATTGATACAGAGTGTTGGTGTAGATGACGCAAGATACTGATTGTCATCTGCATTTTGTATGACTTCCATGAGGAATCGAGCTCTGCTCGTGTATAAATCGGCGGATATGCTAGCAAACACGTTAGCACTACACTATGAGAAGTTCGAATCGGGCAAGGAAATTGATCTAGTACATGTTTAGCGCCTTCGAAAGATCCTCCCGGATTTCTTCAGCGCCCTGGATGGCTTGCAGCATTCCTCTGCGTCCTTGTCTTGCCTCCTCATCTGCTTGCTGTCTAAACGATTCGGTGAATGAACCTTTGCTTCTTGCAATCCCCTCAATGAATTCTCGTGGATCCTCCATGATGGCTGCATAGGTCGACGCCTAGTCAAAATGATCGCTAATCTTCTCAAATCTCGAGGCTAACTAAGGACGATTTCTGTACCGAGGGCAAACAAAACAAAACAAAACAAAATGCAAAGCAGGGTCTAGCAATATTAGTAGTGTTTGGAAGCACGAGAGGCTAGAGAGATATACACAGAGCGGCAAATTCTGCAACACACACACACACAGAGAGAGAGAGAGAGAGAGAGAGATCCATCGGGGTGATTATCTATCTCCATTACCTAGTGATTGATTTAAGCGCCGGTGGTGGCAGGTGGTGATGCCTGACACACCAAAGAGACTATGATAGACAAAAACCAACAGAGTTCCTCCAGAGGCTGACGAATCATACCACAGAGGATATGCGTGCTATGCACCGTGTCCTAAGTTTAGAGGTGTAGTGAACGAATGTACAACAGAACGATTGACCCTAGCTAGGCAAAATGCGGGTGCTCTTTGGACAGTGAGGTGCGAATCACCTTATCTAGACTATTCTCCATCCAGCAAGTAGGGAAGGTGGGATGAAACGTCAAGATGGTTGTTAAATTAGGCCAGCTACAGGAGTGGAGGTGTTGGAACAATCACGCGAATCCTCCTCCCCCTATGCTCGCCCACCCACTCACCATCCCCCTGTAGTCGCTTGTCCCTCTACATCACCACCACTGGCAAAAAAAAATGAATCCGCCCTTCTCGCCAGCACAACCAGCAAAATATTAAAAATATTGGTCACTACGAGGGTCGAACTCGCGACCTTGGCGTTACTATGCTTCAAACAGGCCCTTATTGCGCCTCATCGCCACGATTGATAATCCAAAAGCCAAAAATAATAAAAGCGTCAAACAAAAACCATACAATAGTAGGTATTTGCTAGTAGTCAAACTATAAGAAGCTAAGTTAATAGAAGAGTATAAACTAATCGTCGTAACCAACCTTGAGCGAAGCGAAAGGTTGGAACAAGCAATGTGCGTCAACTCGGGGCCCCGGGCAGGCAATATGCAGCAACTGAAAATTGCGACCGTAAGTACCTGTCCATAGTAATTTGTATGTAAAGGTACATAATTTTCCTACTCTACGAAATTATCACTTCCTCTCCCACTCTCACTCCCACCCTCACTCCCACCTTCGCCCCCACCCTCGCTCTCGCACTGGCTCTCGCACTCGCCCTCAATTTCGGGGGCTTCTAGGTCAGGAATTGGCTCCTCAAATTTCGGAGGAATTGGGAGGCCAGCCCGAAGAAGAGCTCTTACACTCTTCTTCCGGAGGCGCTCTTCCTTCGTGCCTCAATTCCTGCCCTACGAAGCTGCTTCCGCTAAAACGCCCACACTCTAGTACTGTTACGAAATTGATGCGGGACTGACACGAAATTGACACGAAAACGTTGCGTCGCCTCACCCCGCTCACCGTGGTCACCCTGGTCAGCGTGATCACCCCTCGGCAAACCCTGATTACCCTCGCTTCACCCCTTAAGGCAGCACGGGGCTGAGATCTCACGTTATGCCTATTGGCACGATTGAGAGTAATAAGCAAGTGGATTACAAGCTTGTGTATGGCAGAGCGGACGGGATGTCCAATTCTCTTGAGTCTATGGTCGTATGTAACAATTCTTCTGTGGGGGGAGCATATATACCATCCAAATCTGCTACCTGGGGTGAGAATGGGAAGCATAGGTTCCGGAGAGTGACGTTTATGTCACACCACCCATTTCATTCCACCTATTTAAAACTATAAACCCCATCCTCCTCCACCCTTCAAAAAATATAATAATACAATCTCCTATTAATCCCACCCAATCCAGCATCTAGACCACCCTGCCAACCCACACATCCATCGCATCCGTCAGCAGGCTCACGCGTTACCACCCTTTACCCCGCCAAATACCCCGCCGTCTATCAACAACAATAACAACAACACGATAATGGCGGAACCAGCATTCGAACCGGCACTCATAATAGTAGATTTCCAAGAAGACTTCTGTCCACCCGTACGCCTTTCCCCTCCCCACTTTCCCTTCTTCCCTGTGTCCCACTTCCCCACCATCCACCACCCCACTAACCCCCCACCCCCCACAGTCCGGCGCCTTAGCAGTTCCCCAAGGGCGCTCTATCCTCACCACCCTCAACACCCTCCTCGCCTACCCCTTTGTCCTCAAGATCGCTACAAAGGATTGGCATCCTGCTGGCCACATCAGTTTCGCATCTTCACACCCGGGGAAGGAGGCTTTTACCAGTTTCGCGACGATTACCAACCCCCAGAACCCGTCTGAGAAATATGAAAGTCGGTTATGGCCAGATCATTGCGTACAGGGTAGTCCAGGCGCGGAACTGGTGAAAGATCTGGATCTGTCGAAGGTGGATAGGATCGTGGAAAAAGGCCAAATGGCATCAGTCGAAATGTACTCTGCCTTCTATCCCCCTCTCTCCTCCCCACGCGTCGGGGATAGCGGGCTCTCAGCTTTATTGAAGGAGAAAGGGGTGACGGATGTATATGTAGTCGGCCTAGCAGCGGACTACTGCGTCGCTGCTACAGCGGAGGATGCGGTGAAAGAGGGGTTTAAGGTGGTGATTGTGGAGGAGGGGACGAGAGCTGTTGAGCCGGAGAAGTGGGGGGAGAAGAAGAAGGAGTTAGAGGGGAAAGGGGTGCGTGTTTTGGGAATGAAGGGGAAGGAGGTGGGGAGGGTTATGTTGAATACTAAGGCGTGAGGGGGCTTTGAATTCAATTGATTATAAATTCGTGAATATATTGAAACTTTTCATATTTTTGTGTCATGGGACAAATTAGATGTTTTATTTCGATGACACTAACTTAGAATTGTAAATTCTAATATATAAGAGCATGTTCCCCTAAATGATGCCGAAACCCAAACCAACCAATTTTATCATTAGATTTCCTTTCACGACCCCAACTTACCAGTCATTATAAAAATAATCCGGGCTCGAAGCCCTTAAAGGGGCTCTTCGATTCGCATTACGTTGTATCCTCGGCCGTATCGACGCTTGACATTTCGGGCACGCCTGCATCGTACAGCCCGGGCACTGGAGTAGATAACTCCAACTCACATAGCACTTCGGGCACGCCGTACGTCCTTGTATTTTTGGCCACCAGCCGTCGTGGAGGCAGGTTGATGTAGAAGCCCCGTAAGTGCTTCCCTCTGTTGCAAAAGAGTAGCTAGGGAGATTGACATTTGCATATCGTTCCCGGAATTCTTTAGCTTCATCATCGGCAGTCTTCTGCCACATCCTAGTCTGTTCATCTTGTCGTTTCTGCTCTGCTGCCTGTCGTTTTCTCCACGCCTCATCTGCTTCCCGCGTCTTTCTCTCCCACTCCTCCTGCTGTTGTTTCCGAATCATTGCTGCTCTCTCTCTCTCGATCCTGGCAAGCTCTTGCCTCTCCATCTGTTCTCTATGCCATATTCTATATTGAGTCGCTTGTATCCCCCTATTATCGGCTAGATCCGCAGCATCCACCTTCTCTTTCGCATTTCGTAACTGGCTTTCCTCTTTCTTCAATTCTGCCTTCCTTACCCCTAGTACCCTCTCTTTCCAATCTTTCTCAAGTTTCCTCTCCTGTCTCTCAATACCCTTGCGTTCTTTCTCATCCTCAGTGTCTTCTGCCTTCCTGTATATTGGTGATAATAACCACGTTCCCCAGCTATTCTTCCGTGCCTCTGCCGCTGCCTCAGCAGCTACAATACTATCCAAATTTTTGATTTCTTGCTCCAACCGGCGAACCTCTCTGCGTAACTCAAAGATCGAGGAGTCGAAGACATTTTTCTCGGTCCGCCATCGTGCACTACGTTCTTGCTTCGACTTTAGAAGTGCGGCGATTTGTTCGTCTTCACTAAGTGCTCCTGTCCGCGGGGTCGAAGCAGGTGTTTGTGTAGTTTGAGAAGAGGGTCCACTTCGTCTTATGGTGGGGTACTTTAAGTCGTACTCCCGGCGTTTGTTTTCATCTTTTAATGTCTCGAAGGCCTCTCCGAGCTTTCATATTTGATTTTAGCATACTGCAATTTCACCAGAAAATTATCATACCAGTTGAAAGGCCTTAGTAGCATCGTGCTTGGTATTCCGATCTGGGTGGAGCTTGAGTGCTAGTCGTTTGTATGATTTGATGACTAGCTCGAGCGAAGCCGTTTGCTCCACTTCAAGGACCATGTAATAATCCTCTATCACTAGTGCTGGTGCCATATCTGAGCAAATGTGTTCTTAGGAGTTTCTCATCCAGTGTGCGCCGTTTGCAAGAAGAGTCAAACTTGCCTTATCGCAGAGCCTCGTAGCAATAGCAATAGCAATTGCCCTTCTTGACTATGGCTAGAACCTCAAGAAAGTGTGTCACGTGGGATATATGCACTTCTGCCCAAGGATTGGCTTGAGAATAGTGCCCGAGTAAAACATAGCAAGGCTGGACGAGAATGTGGCGGTATATTTATTGTGACTATGCTAATGCACATTATTGCGTTAAAATGACAAAGACATTGCCACACACTACTCATAAAGAGCTATCCTATCCTAACGTCTATCTCTAGGTCCAGGACGCACTCTGTCACGGGACGAATCTATGCTTTAGGAGTCTCACACACAGCTATGGTTTATACACTAATTTTTCTTGCTACCAAATCCTCACAAATTCCCAGATGATTCCGTCAGATAACTTATTTCCAGTCCTCCCTAGCGTCTGCAGCCCCCCTTCTACTTTAATCACTATGGGTCGAAGCGTCGAAAAGTCTAACATCTGCATGATGTAACCACCTTGTGGCACCGGAGTGATAGAAAAGTGTCTCCATCTATCATGCTGTTCTGCCGAGCACTTCAGTCCCCCCTTCCAATCGTGACACAGAAACTTATTCGAAACGCGATTCCGGAAACCGAGCCAGCCTTCGGTTTCCACACACGCCCAGTGGATGGAGCCCCCGCCGCCTGGCGGGGTCAGCACAACCTGCCCGCCAAGCAGCGTAATTACATGCCCGGACGAGACAGAGCGGATAATGAAGGTGGAATCGTGCGAAGGGACACTGCTAGACTGGTCTTGATTTCCCGGGAGATCTGCGGTAAAGGTGTTGGAGGTTGTAGTTGGCGTGTAAATGGTAGAGTCGTCAGGGTCGGAAATGGATTCAGAGTCGAATTGGTTGGGGCTCATAGTGACGTTTTTGGCCGGCGGAGAGCTGTGCTTATTTGAAGTTGAAAGCGGGGTAGAGGTTATCCCGCCGGAATGCGGTTTATTCAGGTGTCTTCATGCAGCCCACGCCCTTTTCAGACGTTGTCAGAATGAGTTTGTTAGACGTATCACACACAGCCACAACTCAGCAACCACCGAGTGGCCAGGGATCACCTAATTTCTAAATTTAGAAGGCGACGTCGTGATACTAAATTTCAGTAGCATGAATTGTTCAGCAACGGCCACACAACGTGATTGACATAAAAATGCTAGAATTTTCAATGGATTCATAAAATTTAGAATCAATTGCATTCAAAGTACTAATATCTATCTCGCCACTGGGTGCGTCCCTCGATGGAGCGATGCACGTTATTACCATTATCCCCGAAAAAAGCAAAGAGCAAAAAACAAAAACAGACCGTTCATCCATCCGACCGACTCATCATGAGCCCCCCACTGTAAGAGCGGAGTATAACACAACCTGGTACCGTTTTTTTTGTGGTGTTTTGTTTTGTTTTCGATGTTGAACTTTTGAGAAAGACGTCCACCTCCTTCACTTGCTCAAAGGGCTTTTGTGCGACTCCACCGCCCGAGCAGCCAACTTCGAGGTTGGGATTTCGGGCCAGCTAGAAGTGGCTCCCAGAACCACTTCTCACTTCTCGAGGTCAGTGAATCCACCCTTAGTCCTCTTCCACAAAAGCGCGCTCATCGCCGCCGACAAGGCGAAAAGGATACAGAGCGCAATACTCAGACCCCAAATACTCTTCATCTCGTAGCAAGTCAAACTATCCGCCCCGGCCCAGACGAAATAATCGACCTTCCCCATATTGGCGCCGACAGATGACAAGAAGGCTTCAGCGCTCCCGCCATCCTTGGAGAGGACCTTGCAGTCGAGGTAGGAAAGGGGCTTGCCGATGGTGACGGCGACAACGATGACGGCGATGAGGAGGGCGGAGTCGAGACCGGTTGCGATGAGGAAGGGAAGGTGGCGGTCCCAGAAGAGGATGTAGGAAATTGCGCAGTAGAGGACTGCTATGCAGGTCTGGAGTTGCGTGTTAGAAAAAGCTATTATTTGAAAAGAGACGGGAAAGGGGAAGGGGACAGGGGGACTCACGACGGCGATAGTCCCGATGAGGACGTTAGGGGGATTGGTCTTGGAGGAGACCATTTGCGCGATGAAGTTCGCGGTCATCCCGATGATGGAGATGAGAGAGACACCCTGGAGACCGCGGGCGACGGTGTAGGACGCGCCGAGGGCGCCGTATTGGGGAGCAGGCATGGTTGGTTTTTTTGAGGGAGTGTGGGTTGAGAAGTTGGTGTTTATGCGCAGAGCTTTGGGGAAGACGTTGGGTCTGGATGAGGTGCGTCTGAGAAAGAGTGATGAAGGCACCGTGTTGATGTTATGTCGTTATAGTGATCGTGAGTTTAATGGCGAACTGTTTTTTTTGTTGAACTTTTGGAGAACGAGGGATATCGAATCAATCGATAGAGAGAGTGTGATGCTATCAAAGCAAATCAAGTCGTGGTGTAAATAAAGTCTGAGCGAAAACAAGACTGAGAGATAGAGACAAGAAGAGACCGTTTGTAAGGAGACCGACCCAAAAACAAGACCCGAAAAGGAAATCGTAAGAATGGACTGAAGACTGAAGAAGATTGACAATGAAAGAAGCTGCTGATCCAAAAACTTAACTTGCGGAAACTCGCCAACTCTTATACCTACCTCACCAGACCGCGATCGAGATCCAGACCTACAAATTTAGATTCTCCACCAAGACTTGATTTGCCTAGACTCACCTTCTCACGCGCCCTACCTCAAAAGCTACTTCTATTAATTCCTGACACGTCCCCCCTGTCCTAACAGCCGCCGAGCTAGCCAATCAGCGCCCCATACCACGGTGTCAGGGATGTGCTTGGGGCGGCGGCTCGCAAGCGGCCGCCATACCCTGGCAACCAGTCAGGTACCACCATTGCCGTAACCACGACTTGGAGGAAACCCGCGGCGGTTTGAGCGACGACCTCTTGGCGACTGCTAGTAATTTTATCGTGGATAGGAGTGTACTGGGTCGAGATAGGCGCGCGGGCGGGTCGCTCGTATTATGCGCCGGTAAGACAAGGCTGGCTGTGATTCGACCACAGGGGCCGCTGGCACGATGGTCTGGACCGTGGCGAGGTCTGCTGGAGGAGATCCCGGGTGGTGGTTCTGAGGAGCGGGGAGCTGTCTTGACTCAGGGTGGAGCTTCAGCTTGTGGGTAAGGTTTGGTGGAGGGGAGAGATTGGTGGCGGCTACGGGTTTCAAGATGGCGCTGGGCGAGGATGAGGCTCCTTGGTTTTGGTGCTGGCTTGTCTTGGGGATGGGCAAGGGTTGTGATTGGGGTTTGAGACGCTGCTGCGCCTCGAGAGTGGTGAGAGGTAGGATGCTTATTTTACGTTGGAGGTCGGTTTTTATTAGCTGGGTTTGAGACATCGGCGATGGATGGCTCAAGAGGCCACACTGATGGCCGAGCAGGCCTCCTCAATGCCTAGACCTTGTATTTCCGAAATGTTAACTCATGTGTTCCTGTGCCGCAAAACTCGTCCAGTTACGCAAATGCTGTATTGGAGACGATACAATATAACTTCATAGACTGGGACTATACAAGCATCTCACATTTAGTGAAGAAATTTTGGAAACACCAGGCTTATAAACGAGGCTGTCTACAGTTGCTTTGAGCCAGAACTCTCAGAGGCATTGCCAGCCGAACCATACTGGAAGCCTACCAACGCGGGAACCATTTGTATTTAGCCGGACTCGTCCTGAAAAACCTTTCGGAGGCTCAGAAATCGACAGGACAGTTGGGAATCCAGAGGTGAGAAGGGGACAGGGTGGTGAGAGATAGGAGCGGTGGCGAGAAAAGGGGGCGGTGAGAAAAGAGGAGTGATAGCAAGAAAAGAGAGCGTGGAAGCCGCTGCTGTCCCTCAAGAAACTTCGGGTTCGCCGGGGGCGAAGGCTGAAGATCGTCAAGGCAGGTGTCCGATGCTGGGAGTGGCGCTGTGACGACCGCTCACTCGCACCGTCTTTCGTGGTGGTGCAAGGTGAATGGACAGCCAATATATACCGTTAGAGAAGACGGAGAATGGAGTTGGAGGTTGGGAACCGATGTTTGACGGGTGTGAGTAAGAAAAAGGGGGTTGGATTTGGAGATAATGGCAACTTAGTTTCAAATCCAGGAAGAGAGTTAGCCATCACAACGTGTCTTACAGGCTCATCGAGAAGAGCTTCTGCTGCCTCTACTAGAGTCGGTCGAGGAGCCGGTGAAGAATTTGGAATGGTGGTTTTCAAATTCACGTTCCTGACTAACAAGTAACTCCTGTACGAGAAAACCTATACCAACCCCTCGATACTCGTAACTCTCGTATCCAACCTTTGGAATCAAAATGACACAAATGACAATAGATTTTTTGAGGGAAAGCCTAGAGAGACGAGCAAAAGATCCCTTTTACAAACTCTCCTAATCACTGGCCGACTTCTCTTCTGTCTGACTTTCTGTTGCTGTTGCAAATATCTTACTGTCGCCATCTACTTCTCACCACAGCAAATTCTCGTCACCATTTACTCCTGCAGACTGCAGGAGTGCAACTGCAGCCTACAGTTGTAAATTCTTACAGTCACAGTCGCAGGGTTCATCCCCACAGCTACTGGTCTCCCTGCCTGCAATGTGATTTTTATTTCTTGGTCCACTACTGCCCGCAGTGGATGGTTTGCTCTAGTATCCCGCCTCTTCCAGACTGTAAATAGACTCTCTGCGCACAACACACTTGCAATTTATACGGACTTTGTTGGAGTAGTCTGCGCTTTTGGGTGCAATGGCTGGTGTTGGTTGTTGAGTTGGTAGTCTACTATGTGCTATTCTTTCTTCCTATGGCTCCTCGCAATGTAGTCCAAATCAAGCTGGTGATACCGAGCCCGACTGTAACTCACGATGCCTGTACTATCCGCTTTAGTGGGCTTGCCATACTATCTGTGGGGTTCATATTTTCCCACTGCTTCTACTATTCTCACCACCGTTACCATTTCTCACCACAGGCCTTGATTTCGTCTTTTGAGGCCCAGCCTCAAATATGATCAGCGAACCTGGGGTCACAAAGTTATCGGCCAAAGTTTGCTCTTGCTCCCGAGAAATATGCAAATGCAAGTCTTTCGCGTCCGCGATATAATCAGCAAGAGGTCGGGTTCCTTGATGTAGGCTGTTGAGCTCAGCCGCTACCCGTTGTCTCTGGGATCGCTTGAAGGGCGTTATCCCGCATCTCGTAATTAACATTGTTGCAACCTGTTTGCAATTGTCTTTCACCTGAAATTATCCACTAGCGTTTGTTCCTGCTTGGAGATGTAGACCTTTTGCTTCTGCAATATAATCCTCCGGCGACCACCTTCCTTCCGTCACCACCACCAAACCCCCATTCTGCGACAGTTAACTTGGCCGCCATTATGGACTTCACGATACCTGGGCCTTGGTTGGCGTTGCTCAAAGCTGAAACAGTAGTAATCATTGCTTCGGAAACTGCACTACTGTAGACTGAAGAGCAAATGCAGTCACATCTTCAAAGTTTCAAGTAGAGCGTCAAGTTATAATATCCATACTATAGTATAGTTCGAAACAGTCCATGCTCAAGGCATAGCCACGCCAAACATTAGAACAAAAAAGGAACGAAAAGGTATCACATCCACGCCAGAAAACCACGACACCCCCATCTAAACACCCGCAACCTTGGGATCAACATCCAAACTCCAATCAATCTCCGCCTCCCTCCCATAATTCTCCCTCAACCACTCATTCGTCTTCCTAAAATGCCCACACTCAAAAAACCCCCTATGCGCACTCAATGGACTCGGATGCACCCCCACCAAAACACAATGCTTCTTCTTATCCACCTTCGCGACCCTCTTCCCCGCCGCCGCGCCCCACGCAATAAACACCGCCCCCTTCCCCCTCCTCGCCGCTACCGCATCAATCGCCTTTTGCGTCAGTCTCTCCCACCCCTTTCCCGAGTGGCTGTTGGCGTCGTGCGCACGCACCGTGAGGCAGGTGTTGAGGAGGAGGACGCCGCGGTCGGCCCAGGGGGTTAGGAGACCGCCGTTGTTGGGCGGGGGTTGGAAACCGGGGTAGTCGATTTTGAGGGCTTTGTACATGTTTTTTAGGGAGGGAGGGGCGGGGGTGGGGGGGCGGACGGAGAAGCACATCCCGTGCGCTTGGTTGTGGTTGTGGTAGGGGTCTTGGCCGATGATGACGGCTTTGACGGTGTGGAAGGGGGTGTGGCGGGACCTGGGGGAGGAGGGTTAGCTGTATTACTTGTATGGTAGGTTTGAAGTTGACAGAGGAGAGGAGAGGGAATGTGAGTGGAGAGTGCCGTACCAAGAATAAACGTCCTCTGCGGGCGGGAAGATCTGCTTCTTGGCTATATGCTCCTGCACCAGGAACCTCTTCAGTGCAAGAAACTCCTTGGTGAGCAGCTCATCCTTCAGCACAGCGAACCAGCTCTCATCCAGCGTCTCAATCTCCAGCCCCAACAGCTCCTTCTGCTCAGCCGTGAGCTTCTCAGCCCACTTCTTCTTGTCGAACTTTGGCCTCGAGGACTTGACCTCTTCTTGAACAACAGTCTCTACCACAGTCTCTGTAGTCTCTCCACCGGCCGACTTCGCAACAACCTTCGTAGTCGTCGAGATGGTCTTGGCAGCGGCTACCTTGGGAGGCCCAAAGAAAGACGTGATGCTGCCATTCGCCTTGACCTTTTTGGCGTCTGCCAGAGCGGCATCGGCGGCTTTTCGTTTGAGAGACATGGTAATTGACCGCTGAAATACTAGGAGGAAAGACACTTTGAAAAATTGGGGAGGAAATCAAATGGGCGGTGTGGCTATGGTTATGTGCATTTTACTCCTGTGTGTCAGCCGCACGCCACATTCGCGTGTGGAGATTGGGAGACGCGATCTTTTTGGTGTTCTTTCGCGTCGTCACGCGTTCAATTTAGGCACCACTACCCCCTGAGGCCCTGAACCGCTGGGCCTGTAAAGTTTCCAAGTATTATCGAGGCTGCATATTGGACGAGGCTGCATTTTTTTGTGAAAATGCATATCATCTTGCGTACCCAATTGGTCTCTCCTACCGAATTGCCGTTTCCAGCCTGCCGGATGATTTCATCAGGTAAGGACCTCCGCGGACCCATAATTCTGGAAGAGGAGCTATGGCAAAAGCTAAGTACATGAGCGTTTCATACCGTCGATAACTTTGAATATTATGTTATGTCTGATAATAATATGTCATTTCAAATTCTGAAATGATATCTTCGACAAGCCCGCCGCTCAACTGGCTTTTCAATACTCCCTGTCCTTGCATAATTTTCCCATCGCAATATTGAAGCAAACATGCGGCCAAGATGCTGCAGATATGCGCCGCTATGGCTGTGATCAGTTCACATTCTATTGCATCAGATTCTCCCAAGCCAATGGAAAGTCTGCCAGGCTGTGATGGCCATGAAATAGTGTTGGTTGTTGGGCCCCCAATATCTGCCAAACCATCGGAAATGGGAGCCTTGCATCTGCAAAGCCAACGCATTTCATCAGCTTCCCTCTCATCTCAGAGTCGGAGACGTCTCTAGATTATATATCTTAAATGCTTCAGTGGATCAAAGTGGATATACAGATTAACAAGAACGAGTAGTGAGAAGAACAACCCGTGGTTCAAGATGCCGGCCTCGTTCAAAGAGCAAGTCTCATGTCCCCAGCCTTGTCTCCGTGGAGGCAATTTGCTGCGCGCAGAAACTGTCACTGACAAATACAGACTCCTCAAATCCCCGCTCGTCCAATTCAGTATCGGACAAATCACCGATGATGGGAAAAGGACCTTGTATCTCGTCCACCAGGAAGCCGTCGCTCAGCTCTCTCAACCTCTCCATGACACGCTGAAAGGAGACCAGGCGGTTATTCATACGGTATGGCCGGATGTCACCAGAAGGACCTTTGAACGACTCATCCAATTTGCGTATACCGGCGATTATGCGATTCCCAGGCCACCGAGACGCCGTGTAGCTGTGAATGAGCAGGAGGCTGTGGAAAGTGAGCCATCATCGAGCACTTTAAATGAGATTCCGGCCGTTGAGGAAGGCGATGAGCTGCTTGCTGAGGATGTACCACCAGAAGAGGCGCCGCCTCCCCCTGTTGAAGAATACATTGAGCCGGCTGCTGTTCCTTCCACTAGTAGCTGGGGAAGGGGTTGGCATACGAGCCAGGCGGCTGCCCCTGAAGAGCCCACAGAAGAACCCGAGGCAGCGGCAGACTCTTGGTATTTTAGCGAAGCGGCGCCCAAAAAAAAGGTCAAGACAAAAAAGGTGCGTTCTTTTTACCCGGTACCAGCGCCAGAACCAGAGCCAGTTCCAGAGCCAGTTCCAGAGCCAGTTCCAGAACCAAGTAGTTTCGCCTCCCTATCCTTCGACCTCCTCGCCCCGCGCGACAACTACAAGGATGCCTGCGAGCCCTCCGAGCTATTCATTGCAGAACGAAACTATTCCAAAGTCTTCCTCTCCCACGCAAAGCTCTGGGCCATAGCAGATATCCACGGCATCGAAGCGCTCAAAGCGCTAGCACTGTACAAGCTCCACAAAACACTGTGCGTCTTCGAGATCAGCAGCGAGAATGCGGGTGACGCGATTGACCTCGTTCGCTACGTGTATTCCCCGGAATGTGGAGCACTGGGGGATGACAAGTTGAAGGCGCTGGTGGCCCAGTACATGGCCTGCAATTCGGCGATCTTGTCGCATGACAGCGGTTTCATGGAGCTTTTGAGGGAGGGGGGCCTGTTTGTCGAGGATTTCTTACGGCTTGTTATGCAGAGGATGCAATAGTCCTACGATTTACGAAATGTTTTTCTTAAGGAGGATATGAAGGCAGAGGGCCCAGTAAAGAGATTCCGGGACTGAGACTGAGAGGTTTATTATCCAAAATATAGCTTTAAATCTACTATCCCTACCCCATAACGGAGGATACACAGAGCTTTAGCTAGAGGAGGTCAATTTATCAAATATTTCCAAAGATCGTCGTGCAGAGGAGACAAATATTCTCATCTATCTCTCTCACTAGTTCATTTCCTGTGGTTATTTTACTACACAAACGGCCTGTCTGCCGACTTTACTTTATTTTTTCTCTATTACTATTGAGTTGAGGTGCGAACGATATGGTATTCTACAGATAATACAGATACATAAATCCAAAGACAACGCCAAATTGCTATGCATCGCGCAAGCACCAAAGCGGCGCCCCAAATGCTGGTGAAGAACTTCAGTCCCCCCTCGCAGCCCCTTGCCCGGCCCCATCTAATAAACGCCATTTTTCTAAATTACTTTCTCGCACTCACAACCCACCAACCCGTTTCTCCTCCGCCTTCTCATTAAACACCCTACTCATCCTCTTCCCCACCTCATAACAACTAATCATAATCGCACAAGCCGGCGCGACCTTCATCGTCCTAGCCGCCCACCCCCTCCACAGCCCCGGCACCCCCTCCTCTCTAAAAATATGCATCAAAAACCGCGGCATACTCAGCTGCTCCGGCGCCAACGCACCGCCCGTCACGCCAACTCGGTCTTTGAAAATCTGCTGCCGCGTCTTGCCCACGTCAAAGGGCATGGTGAGGATGGATGCTACGGCGCCGGAGACGGCGCCAGCGGTGAACGAGTCGGTGAAGGTGTTGGTGTGGTTTTCTCGGCTTTGGGAACGGCTGCGTTCGCGGCTGCGGGGGCCGTCGCGGTCGAATTCCCGGCCGCGTGCGCGCTCGCGGGCGTCGGTTAGTTGGCCACGGACGGTTTCGTAGCCCCACCAGTAGATACCGGAGAAGGGAACATCGCGCCATAATGTGAGAGTTAGGCCGCGCCAGAGCGAAGCGTAGCCGGAGGTCTTTGTCATCTCGCGCACGGAATTGAGGGTCTTTGCGAAATGCCCACCGCCGCCGACGACGGCGCCGTGGCTAGCTTGCATGCGCGTCTTGAACATCTCGATGGGGCTCACCACGAAGGCTGCTACGACGCGGGCGAATGCGCCGGCGACGAGGGGGGCGTAGGAGTCGTGGAAGAAGCGGTTTACGGGGCTTGCCGGGGCGAAGCGGAGCCAGTCGTAGCCGGTGAAGTAGATGATATTCGCTGGGACCGTCATGACGAGTGTAGGCGACAGTCCGCGCCAGAGGGTGGAAATCCCCTCATTCCGCGAGATCTTGCGGAAGGCGTCGAGGGTGGAGTTGAATGTCCGTCGTTGCGTCTCTTCCATGGAGCAGTCGATGGCGCCTAGCGAGTTGGCGGGGCGGATTGTGCCGATTGACGGGCCGGCGTAGCAGTATTCGATGGCGTTGCCGGCGAAGAAGACTTCGCGGCAGCAGGCGGTGACGCCGAGGTTGGCCGGGAGCGCGCCGAGCCCTTCGACGGTGGTGGCGCGGGTGAGGTTTGTGACGGCGGAGTTGAGGGAGGGGTTGGGTTGGGATTGGAGGCGGACGCGGACGACGTCGAGGGGGGTGACTGGGTGTAACTGTTAGCTATTGTCGCAAAACTCGGAGACGGAGTTAAGACGGGGGTAGCCCTTACCAATTAATGACGTGAACAAACTCCCCGATACCGCGGACAGCATCTTCTGCCCCGTAGTGATCTCGATATTCCCATTCTGATCACGACCCGGCGCAGGCCCAACAGGTGGTCCTAGATACGGCTCTTCGTCCACCCTGGCACCATGCCTGTGGTCGTGAGCGCGGGTGGCAAACTCCTCGTTTCGGCGGCGTCCATCGTGTCCAGACATGCCGGGTTTTTGGAGTCCGTCAAACAGTTCTTGAGTGAAAACTGCCTGATGGGATTTTCCTAGGACTGCCTGATCCTGCGCATTCTCCAGCGGACGCGGGCTGGGGTTCGAACGACGGTAGGTGGTGGTGGGTTTGTTGGAGATTCGGGGAGGTATGTAATTTCGACGTTGGGATGGCGGATAGCGATAGCGGCGGGGATAGCCGCGGCGGACCAGCTCCGAAGAATTTTTGGGCGAGGCTGAGGGGAAGGCTGGAGCGAGGTTAAGCGGTTTTTTTACGTGCGGTTGGTCTGGACTTCTACAACCACTCTCTCCAAAATATAATTACTAGAAATGTCGATACTATAGCACAATTACTCGCATTTTGAAGGTATCTTTGAAGTTGTATTCGTGATTTTGGTGTTCTGCTGGAAACGTTCGGGACAGTGAATATGACGGCTCGGTGATGATCCAGGCCCAGTTTAAGACTCATCATGCGCATTGCTAATTTACCACTACAGTTTTTGAAATGAGGACTGACATTGTCATTGAACAGCACGGCATATAAAAGCCGCGGAGAAAGGCAACTGACTGTATGCTCTCGGTTTTGACCTTATATCAGGACCTGATTCCTTTGAAATACCATATTGGACTCAAGAATGAGACTGTCGCAACAAACAGTGGTGAGCTCAGTAAGACTTGATGTGACGACGCTAAGGGGAAGATGCACAAATGCGGTGCCGAAAGCCGAGCAATGGTGGCTAATGAGGTGGAGTAGGAATTGGGGTTAAGATGCCTTATTAACACGGCTTTACTCTACAGTCCTCCACCAGTGGAGCACTCTTCTCAATCCTGAAGCTTCATTGATTCAGTCTTGTCTCGTCTGAACGCACAGATCAGATGGCTACGTGTAGGAGAGGGAGGCTGCATAAGCTATAATGCACGTGTGAGCCGATCAACCACGTACGGAGCCGGCGCGTACTACGCGTACCGCTCGTACTACTCTGATGATCAAATGACTCTGACGTGGAGAGGAGGACAACAAGGAAAAGCGAACAACACAGCAGCAAAAATATTCCCCGAGATCTTCGACAGCGGGACGCCGCGATGCGACGGTGACGGTACGTACGAGTCAAAACCTGGCATTGTGGCGGCTGGTACCCCTATACGCGAAAATGACGGATTGGAAGGGTTCGCGATGGCGTGGGGTGATGGGCGTGATGGGTCCGGATAACCCCTCGCTTGTCACTTGGGGCATGTCTCGTCGCGGTCTCCAGACAGCGGACGCGGCCGTTAATCCATCCGGAGCTGCAGGAGATATATAGTATCTCCCCTTCACCGACAACTCCAGCGCCAATATCCATCCCATAGTGTCTCTTGTCCCTCACAAGTCGTCGTACCAACAGCACTGTACGCCCGCAATGGGCACTGACGGTTGGTGAATAGTGACTTTGGACTGAAGCGGGACGAGGGGAGGCGTGCGCCCAACCATACACAGCATACCACGAATACTCCAGACGGACAATGGAGACCAGCCAGTTCGATAGCTCTTAGCACACGTTGGCTAGGCTGTGCTTGGCCGCATACCGCGTGCATTGCATTGCCGAACACGTCAAGAATCCTTTTTTTTTTTGCTTCCTTCTTTTCGCTGGCGGGGTGATGGGTGCACGTTCTCTGGGGTGTGTGTACAGTGTATATGCACAAAATGGAGGTGAGGTACAGTTACAGGAGTACTCCAGTTGCAGCCTGGAGAGTGTACGAGTATTATACTGTACTCTTCATCCCAATTCATTCTCGTCGTTGGGTTCAGGGCAGAGTATAGATAGGTATCCGTCCCTTGTTCGCCCTGTTGGCCCTATATTCGTTACCCCTTATGCTGCAGTTCTAGAGACTTGCATTACCTCATTGGGCCGTCCCGTGTTGCTTGGCAACAATATGCAACACCCGCCCCCCTGGCATGATCCATTCATTATACGTCTTATTCTGCCTTACTCTATCCCATTTTATCCCAATTTACATCACATTTTACATGGTAGTAAGTATGGTAAGAACTACTTTGCTCTGCTACTACTCTACTACGACTCTACTACTACCCTACCGCTGCATACTATGAACTATAGTAGACTAACTTCTTGTCTTCTTGTCTTTTTTGTAGCTCCTGGTTGTGATATTAAGAGTATTGCCGCCACTTGCAACCACCCTAACTCCCCCCTAACCCCCCCGCTAAACCCTTTAGACCCCTCCTAAACCCTCTGAACCCTCTAAAGCCAGGGGTTGTCACCTATTCCCACCCTCCACTAACTATCCACTAACCCACCACTACCACTCACCGCCTTCCCCTTCAAGCTAAAATCTAATTTCAAAGTTGGAGACCTACAAGGCCCCCCTTCAGCCTTTCACATCGGTACTGATAGACCAACACCCCTGAATCTGCCAACAACCCAGATAATCTTTGTCAATCGCAACCTCGCATTAAACTCTTGTCCCTCCGACTCCCTTTCCCTTCTGATACTTACTACTACTACCTAACCCTCACTCTTATTATCGAATTATCAACAAGCCTACACGAGGTCAAATAACAACAAGGCTGATATACCTCCGCTTATAAGTGGCTTTCTCAAATTCACCCATCCCTGATCTCCACCCTGCCGAACAACGAAGCACCCGTCAAGGCGGCCACTGCTGCCCTCGATCGAAGCTATTCGAGAATACCCCCGATCGATCGACTATGCGACTCTAGCTCCTTGTCCAATACAACACCGTCACGTAACACACAAACATAAACATAAACACAAGATCCGATCCGATCGATCGCAGAGAAGATGGCCGGTTTCTTCTCGAGGCTGAAGGGCAAGGATGGCCCGACCACTCTGACCAAGACGAAGAAGGGACAGCAGGCTGCGTCGCAGGTCCTGCCCGCGAAGCCGAAATGGTCGGATGCCTGGACGCGCACGAGTGTTGAGGCGGAGGAGGTGCAGGAGCTGTTGAAGGGGTGTACGGTCGAACTGAAATCTAGAGGTATGCCCTCAGTTCTATGCCACACAATACCACCTTGAACGCAGAGTGTACCGAGGTGTAAAGAGATATAGAAATGCTAATATGGAACCTCTCACAGCTCTCGATGTCCCGTTTTTCCTACTCCCTTTCCGACCTACCTCAGACCCGAGCGCGGCGCGCACCTTCATAAGGAATTACTTCGATGGGAAGCAGACTCTTCAGGGCGATGATCTGCTACAAGAACTGCGACTGACGGAGCCAATGGTGAGATATACTTTCTGGTCCCGGCACGACATTTAGGGGGATAGGGAACTAACAAATTCCGCAGGTTCTCTGCAGCGTGGTAAAATGGTGCTGGAGCAGATTGGCAGGAGGTGTTGTAACGTGGGATTCATACGAGATGTTCAGAATTGGAGAGCTAGGTATGTCAAACCCTTCGGCGATCATATAGTCCCCTACTGACCTCGCGACAGATTCGGAGATGGCAAGAGATTCCTTCACCGCTTTCATTCCTGTTGGCGCAGATTCAGATGCGCGCTCAAAGATTATATTCGATTTCTTCGATCTGCTGGCGGCTGTTGCGGCGCATGGAAAGAAAAATGGTCTTGGAGGCCGAAAATTGTCCAGGTTAGCAGGATGGTGGGCGTTTGATCATGGGAGTAAGGTGGAGGGCTTTGATGGGGGGTATAAGGGCTGGTCTGCGTACGTACTGATGAATTCGGGTTTATGGTTACCTACTAACATATTACAGTGCGGCTGATGCGACGAGCCATTTGTTCTTCGCATACCTTAGATCGATGTCGCCAGAGTCAGTGAAGGGCGTCAATGGCATTTCCACCCTGCCCATTTCGCTGCAGAAGTTGGTACAGGAGACCGAGTACCCGCCAATGGCACCAACCCTCATGCTGTACAGCACGCCGAAGGTCGCCATGATTGTAGAATCAGTGTCGCCAACCCCATTCGCGCTCCTCCGTCGCGCAAACAACTTTGTGTACAGAGATGAGGACCACGCTCTCCAGGAGTTCTCAAACTACGACGATCCCGTCAAAGCACTATCGGACGAGTGCAGAAGAGTTCTCCGATCTATCTCCTCCTCCAACCAAACCCAAGTCTCGAACTCGAAGAACTCCACCGGGCTCAAGGATGCTTCTTGGTCGAGGTTCGAGGACATTGGATTCTCCGGTGCCTTCGATGAGGCTGAAGAGGACCAAGAGGACCAGTTTAGCGCGAAGAGGAGAGAAAACGCGCAGAGCCTTCGATCTGCGCCTCACTCAAAGGCAATGGATATGGGCCGACCAACAACCCCCTCATGGGCCGATTTCCTCTCATCTGGATTTGTGGATGAGAAGATGAACAACCCCACGCCACTTCTCCTCCCACCCGACAAGATCCTCCCACCGATTGAAACTTCCCGCGGACGCAGCTCGCAGTCGCACAGACCACGACTTGAATCCGACCGCACGCTAGAGCCTGGAGAGCTTGCAAGCATCACCAAATTCGACCTCGATGATTCCTTCTGGTGGGTCTGGATTAGCAGTTTGGCTGGTGAAGAGACCGCCGAGCGCAAAGCGGCATTCGGACGCTGCGCGCTCGTCGAGACCGTCATTCCCCACGGCAAATGGCTCGTCATTGAGGAGCAAGTGAAGGGAGCCGCCCCGGCCCCCGAGGCAGGTGCCTATCTGGCCGAGAAGAAGAGCCGCTTCGGCTGGACGAAGAGAGGGAAGGGTGTCTCGAGATCAAAATCGAGCACCGCCAAGACCGAGGACAAGACTACCTTACACCCTCCCTTCGGCACCGCGCAGTCGACTGGTAGCAGAACCAACATTGGCCCAGATCAGTACGCGCGTATCCAAGCCACGGCCGTTCAACTCCAGCAGAAGCAGCGCCAACAGGCTGCAGAGCAGGAGATTCAAGCCCGTCGCGGCCGCGGAGAATCCGATTCAGGAAGCCACATGAAGACCAACAGCGTCCTCACCATGCAACCCGTGATCATGACCGAGCTCAGCCCCGCCATGAAATGGGCGCGCAAATACGACAAAGACGCTGTCAGGGAAGCATACCTCACCAACGACTCCACCGGCAAGGGCGCCCAGACCAACGGCAACGGCCACGTCAGCGCAGCCAACGGCGCAGCTGCTGAGCGCGACCTCCCCGCCGTCCCCCCTAAAGAGACTACCGCAGCACAGGACACCATCGCCCCCGCCGCGCTCCCTCCCACTCCTCCCAAAGTGATGAGCAACCTCGCCGCTGAGAAAGCAGCCGAGGTCGGTCTCCCCGTCGACGCCCACCCCACCGAGCGCGCACGCCCCACCACTCCGCCGCTCAAGCGCAACCCAGCATCGCAGAGCCACCTTATCACTCCCCCCAAGAAAACGCAACAGCAGAGCCTAGCGCAGTTCCTCGAGACGACAGAGCCTGATAACAGCGCAGCGACAAAGCAGAACCCGGAGTCCCCAGACCAACATAACAAGCTCAAGAAAAAGAGCGGCGGCGGAGGCTTCAAGAAGATGTTCGGCCGCAACAAGAACCGCGATTCCATCCAATCCAAGCCTCCTTCTGCGGGCCCGGCTAATGCGGCGGCGGTGGAGAAGACTCAGGGCCAACTGCAAGCCGGTGGCGCGACGCTGGGACGTAGATTCTCCGGCTTCAGGAAGAAGAGCCAGCAGGACGTGTCGACGTTTGGGAAACCGGCTGCGTCGATGACGGCGAGTCAGGCGCCGGCGAGTATTGCGGAGAGCGAGGATAGGACGCCTACGCAGTCACCGGATATGGGAGCTGCGCAGCAGGCGTTTGGACAGGAACGCTCGTATAACCCGTCTGTGCAGGAGAGTTTATCCCGTGTAGATACCGCAGACGCCCACGAAGCGCGCCAGGCTTTCTCGAGCTTCGACCAAGGGCCTCTCGAGGACGTACCCGCTTTCGCACCTGAGGCGTCTCCGGTGGCGTCGCCGAGACATAGTGTCGATGCTACTCGTTCTGCGCCTACTGGTGGGAAATCCCCGGCGGTCCTGGCGGCGATAGAGAAGCTGGAGAAGAAGAACCAGGCTGCTGCTGCTGTGCTTACGAAGGCGCCGAAGACGCCGTTGGCGGCTAGCGGAAAGGGAGAGGTGGGGGAGGAGGGGAAGACGGTGAGCCCGGTTGGGGATCGCTGGGCGCAGATTAGGAAGAATGCGGCGGAGAGGGCGGCAGCGAGGCAGAGTGAGGATCAGAAGAGTGCGGGGACGGAGGGGGATGGGGGGGAGACTAGTGGGGAGGAGAGTAAGTTTTGTCCTGTCTGAGACGTGGTGATGGGAGGGTTGTGCTAACGGGTGGTTTTTGTAGCGATTGAGAGCCGTGTCGCCAGGATCAAGGCTAGAGTCGCCGAGTTGACGGGGAATATGGAGAATGGCGCACCTGTTGCTGGTAGCCCTCGCCGTTAAAGTCTACCGCGCTAATACGGACCTTCCTACCTCCTCAATCTCTCTCTTCTCGAGAGAAGGTTTCATATATTTGGAAAAACAACCTTTCGCCTGTAACGAAAAACTCGCTTTTTTACATACCCACCACGCACCGACGGCGATAGTCACTCAGATTTCTAGTATATACGGCTGGGGAATTTTCTCACATACGTTGTCACATTTTTTTCGTTGTCGAACCGACTTGACTATACCACTATGCGCTATCTACGACGACTACTCCCTTTCACCGTGGGAACACATACATACACATCACTGATCTCTCCTTTTTTCACTCCTGCGATACCGAAACCTTACATACGCCACTCTCTCGTCTTCGTTTCATGAATTGATTGATTGATACCTAGTTTGGCCTTCTTCTACCTTTGACCAGCGATCGTTTTGACATCTCTCTCACTCTCTCTCGCGCGCTATCTATCTCTCTTTGCGTGTCCTTTTTTGTTGTTAATACCAGAGTCTCTGTTTTTTTCGTTTCGTTTTCGTTTTGTTTGGTCCGTTTTTTTGTGGGGGTGGGTGGTTTGTTGTAATGGGCGGGTGGGAAAGATGAGGTGTCTTGTGGGGGAGGAGGATGGAGGGGGGTGGGAAAGAATGGAATGGGGATGGAGTGCGGGAGGTGGAGAGAGAAGGAAGGGGAGGTGGATGGGAAGGTATGGGAAAGGGGAGAAGGGGAGTAGAGGAGGAGAATGAGGAGTACGTAGGATAAAGATGAATAATTGAAGGTGGTGTAAATTGCTTTTATTCCGTGTCTTCGCCGTGACATTGTCGGGTTTGGGTGCTTGAAGCGAACGAGGAGAGTGACTGGCGTCGGTAGAGATGGCAAAGTACTCACAAACCGACATCTCTTGAGATTGATGCCCCCGAAGCACAACCTCTTCGTCAGAACCTGGCTACCAAGAACCACTCTCCTATAACAGTTGTGGTTCCATGCTGCACTATGAGCAACTACCAAGGTAACACCAAACATCTCAAGCAGCAAATTTATTATATATACACCACCTCCATACCTATATCCATATTCTGATAAACATACATCTGACGATACAAGCCAGAATACCCCTTGGGGGGCTGTTATATCGACCACGCGCACTGGATGGATGCCAGCGATCCGGTTTGGAAGTGCGTGAGGGTGCGTGGGGAGGGAGATTGGTGGCGAGAGAGAGTAGTGACGAGAGAGAGTAGTGACGGGAGAGGTTGGTGACCAGGATAGGGGGTTGTGAGAAGAGAGGGATGGTGACGACAGCACGGGCGTTTCAGCCTTGGACTGCGATCGACGGAGACGGATATTCAGGTGGTAAGGCATATACCACGTGTTGCGAGTTTTCTGATCGCAGATCCCTAAGCAAGCAGAGAAAGCTTGAGCACCGCATCGCTGGTCATGGGAGGTCGCTTGGTCGTGTCGTGCTATAGTGCTAGTGTTGGGGATGCCAGAGATTGGGAGATCTGACATTGGGTCTCTGTGCTCTGGAACGCGTGGTTCGTACGCTCAGACTACTATAGTAACTCATCTTTGCATGTCGCCGTCGTTTCCCCTCGTCTCGCCGTCATGTTGGTTAGATGTTGAGTTGACCCTCAGGCCCGTCTGTTGGAAGTGGATTCGGTGTTATCCCTGTACCACATCTTAAACACACAGTCGATGCCCGCCTATGATTCTGCTAAAAACATAACACTGGCTGAGATTATAAATGTGCTTGCAAAGGATAGTATCGGTTTCTCGACTCGATGTATCTCTTAGTGTTCAGCACAGACAGCAGCTCGTTAAAATCATTTCTCATTCCACGTAACTCCCAGCCTCGTGGTGCGCATGCACCGGTGATCTTACGCCCTTTCTATACACCGGTCGGTCGACGAAGGATGAGGCTGAGCGAGGCACACTTGCGCGACTACAGGCATCAATAGTAGATCGCTAGGAGGTGCTATTTAATAGGATCAATGCCTAGAAAACGCCCAACTGCTTGAATCTCTCCTTGCATCGTCGATTTCCCGCCTGCGGCATCGACCACAATGTTCAAGCCACCGAAAAACATAAAATGGACCGACTGGGCGCAGGAGTACGCTGCACTCCTCGGCTCCTTCGCCTCCTTCATCGCCATGGTGGCCCTCCTGGCTGCTTTCGACGGGAAGGTCGTCGCGACATGGAACGGCGTGACACTCAACGCCGTCGTCTCCATCCTCTCCCTGATCATGAAGGCGAGCCTCGCCTACGTCCTCGCCGAGTGTCTGGCACAGTGGAAATGGGTTCTATTTGCGCGCGAGGCGCGGCCGCTCATCGAATTCGACCGTATTGATGCTGCGACCCGCGGTCCGCTCGGAAGCTTGAGGGTCCTCGCGAGGACGAAAGGCCCGTAAGTTCTAGGCCCGTGAGACGAGTTAGGAATGTCCGGAATCTAATGTGCTCCCCCGGGAAACAGGATCTCGCTCTGGCTTGGAGCTGTCGTGACACTGCTCGCCATAGGCATTGATCCCTTTACGCAGCAGTTGATACAGTTCCGGTCTGGCCTCGTCAGCGAGCCCTCGCACGCTGCCCGCATACTGACCCTAACAATACGATTGGCGGCCTCATTCTTACGAACAGCGTCACCCAGAGGAACCTATATGAGATGGTCGAGATTATTGTTGTCGTTACGAGCGAATTCACGCTACGAGATGGAGATGACAGAATCATACTGAAAGATGAGGTGTCGGTGACAGGAAAGTAGTAAAACGGGGGCTATGATGGTGAGAATTTAGTTTAGCAGCGACAACATACTTTAAGGGGTTGGTTTTGGGACTCGGTCTTTCTCGATTTCTCCTTTATCTGCATCATCCTCGTTCTAACAAGCCCCGTCCTCTAAATTCCATTCTGATATGCATGGTTCTTCATGATCATCTCAGAAAGGTTGGTATCTGGTTGAAAGAGATACTCGAAGGAGGAGTTATAACATAATCTGACAAGAGACCTTTCAACTTGGTTTCTCTTAAGAAAAATATCTAACGCCTTTTGATCCAACATGCACGTCACAGCAGTCGTATATTTGTGGGGCATCCCGCCGATGTTTGCTAGGGATATCATAGTGGGCAGGCCTTGGAGAGGAGTGGGAATACTGGAGCAAATAGGCGTTGGAAAAATATGATAAAAGGCTATGGATATCGTGGAAAATGGCGTTAGATCGGTTCAATACACATATACAGAACATGATACGGAAGAGGCGGGGGGTGTGAACCAACAATACTGTGTCTGGAGGCCGTTGATGTTCTTGAGAGTGTTGGTGCGAGGTGATGTGGTGATGGAGGAAACGACGACAAGAACTACTTGACAAGAAGAGAGGTTGTGACAAGAAAACAGGGTGGTGAGAAAAGGACCCCATCTACCACAGCCGCAAAACCAACTCGCACACCCCACACCCCACAGAGATTATTCCGCAACGCGATATCGAACAACGAGTCTGTGGTTCTAAAGTGAAGCCATTGCTGAAGTATTTTGAGTTGCCGCTATGAGAGGTTGAAAATCGATTTGTTTTGAGTTGATGCAAAAATTATTATGCGGGAAAAATAGGGGCTGACTCTCAATATCTTCATTTCGCGGGGTTTTCTGGACGACGGCTGGAGATAGGGATTTATTGCAAATCTTCGTTTTTAGTAACTATATGGCTGTTTCAGATATTTCACATCTCTACAGAACTCTTTCCGGCACAGTCTCCATTCCCAGCACGCCAAACCCCAGCATCCCTCCCATCGCCAAACAAACTTAGCAGCGCCAAGATATCTATCTCACCCCCTCCCCAACCCCCGACTTCCCACAAAGAGGATAATATAATCCCACAACCACCATTCCCCAAAGATTCACAGTTCCCGACCCCCCCGGCCCCCTTTCAACACGTCAATCTTCACCCCCCACAGTTGCAGAAACTATAATAACCCATGACATGACACGATAGTACCAAGCGAAATCACAAACGCAAACCTATACGACATGGTAGAGATTATTACGCGTTTGGCGAGTTAGCTCTCATGGCATATCATTGCCGGCCACGGCTCCCTCTCGTTGAGCGCCTGCGGGTGTTGTCAAGCGCGACGCCGCTGCTGTCGGGCCTGTTCTTGCCGTCGATACGGTACTGTCGTCACATCACCACCACCGTCACCACCGTCACCACCGTCACCACCATCACCCTCCCCCTCCCCCTCCCAATTCACATCCCCAATCACAGCACCCACTAATATTTGCCTCATGATTCGCATCAGAGCCCAAAGCGCTGCATGAATTGTATCGTGGACCAGTAGCCGTTGGGAAGCGTTTATACCATCCCCCCCTTCCCCAACCGCAACCAATCTACGACGAATCTATAGCCAGCTCTCTCTCTTCATACCATCCCTTACCATTCTCGCGCACAGTTATTATGAGGAATCACGCCGGAGAAGACAGGATATAGATCAAAAAATCCTACATTTCCATATATACCCCCCCCACCTCCTTTATCTACAACCCCCTTTCAAACCCCCCTCAAACAACCCCTCATCAAACAACCCCCCCCTCCTCCAACGTACTCAACGGCACATAACCCCCCTCCTCCTTCCTCCCCCCCCTCCCCCCAATAGCCCCAACCCACTCCCTCACCCTCCCCACCACCCCCCAACTCCCCTTCTTCACAATCCCCCCCTTCCCCTCCACCTCCATATCATCCATCCACCCCGGCCTCCTCCAAAACTTCAACAAAAGACTACTACACACCACACTAACACTACTACACGCCATCGCCGCCCCCGCCGCCATGGGATGAAGATGCATCCCCCACGGCAAGAACACCCCCATCGCAAACGGCAACCCAACAAGGTTATACCCACAAGCCCAAGCAAGATTGAGTTTAATCCTCCCAAAGATCCCCTTCGCCAACGCAATCGCCCCAGGAACATCCATCAAATCATTCGGTCGCATGAGCACAATATCCGCCGCCTCCATAGCCACATCCGTCCCAGACGCCATCGCGATACCGATATCAGCCGTAGCCAAGGCGGGGGAGTCATTGATCCCGTCGCCGACCATGGCGACTACTTCGCCGGCGGCTTGGAATTTCTTGATCAGTTCTTGTTTTTGGTCCGGTGAGACACCGGCGTAGACGTGCTCGGCGGGGATGCCGACGGCGCGCGCGACGGCGAGGGCGGTGGAGCGCTGGTCACCGGTTACGATGGCGGTTTTGATGCGCATGCGGTGTAGAGCTGCGACGGCCGCGGCGGCGGAGGGTTTGAGCGTGTCGGCGAGGCAGATGTGGCCGGTGTAGATGCCGTCGATGGCGGTGAAGATATTTGTTGTTCCTGACGACCCAGTGGGTTTAGAAGATGTGGTGGCGAGGGCGTTGATATCTTCCGAAGCTGTGATTGCTGATTTCGGCACGTCGACGGAGTGAGAGCGGAGGAAGCGGACGGAGCCGATGAGCACCCTGTAGCGCGTGCGGGAGGCGGAGGCGGGCTCGACGAGGGCGTTGATCCCGAGACCGACGACGGGTTGGAAATCACCGATGGAGCCGTCGACGGCGTCGGAGGGGCCGAGTTGGAGGGATGTCCTGGCGGCGGCCACGATGGCTTTCCCGATGGGGTGTTCGCTGCCCATTTCCGCCAGCCCAATAGCGGACCACCATAGTTTCTTTTTTGCGTCGCTGTTCTCCCACTCAGGTTCGAGTTTAGCTTCCGCAACGCTCATCTTGCCCATCGTGAGGGTGCCGGTCTTATCGAGTACGACCTGCGTGATGGTAGTAGCAGTCTCGAGAGCCGCGCCGCCTTTAACGAGGATCCCGCGCTCGGCGCCGACGCCGGTGCCAACCATGACGGCGGTGGGTGTCGCGAGGCCGAGGGCGCAGGGGCAGGCGAAGACGATGACGGAGATGCAGAGTTTGACGCAGACCATGAGTCTGCCGCCGCTGGCTTCGTCGACGAAGACCTTGGGCGGGTCGTGCATGACGTGGCTTAGGATCATCCAGACGGAGAAGGTCGATATGCCGAGGACTAAGATACAAGGCACGAAGTAGCCGGCGATGGTATCTGCCAGGCGCTGGATGGGGGCGCGGCTAGTTTGTGCGCTCTGGACTAACTTCACGATTTGACTTAGTTGGGTGTCTCGTCCGGCCTTGGTGACTCTGAAGTCTACTCTTCCAGCACCATTGACGGTTCCGGCGCTCAGCATGCTGCCCTTTGATTTTTGAATCGGCATAGCCTCGCCAGTAACCATACTCTCATCGACGTAAGTCTCGCCGTTGGTGACGACCCCATCAGCTGGGATCTTGTCTCCAGGGCGAAGAATGACAACATCGCCCATTTCAAGCAACTCAGTGGGAATGACTTTCTCTTCTGACGCAGTACTATCCGATGCAGACTCTTCATTCTTATCTTTGTTCCAGTTCTCGGCCGCCTTCTCTGCTGCGATCGGGTCGGCGTAAATAGTTGCCATTGATGGCGCAAGAGACATGAGCGTGGACAGCGCTTTCGAAGTCTGGCCCTTGGCCCTGTTTTCCAAGAATCGACCGAGAGAAACAAAGGTGAAAAGCATAGTACTGGTATCAAACAGAATACTCGGTCGTGTGTGAGGAGGACACAAGATCGACACGAGCATCGAAGCAACGCTGAAGAAGAATGCCGCGGAAGTACCCATCACCACCAACAAATCCATAGTCGGAGCCCTATGCTTCAAACCCTTGTAGGCCGAGATGTAGAAGCGTTTCCCGACACCGAATTGCACCGGGACCGTGAGAATCAAGCAGACAACATCGCCAAGGTACAGCCCTGGGAAGTACAACAGGATTTTGCCGAAGTCGATCGGCTTGAGGAACATAGGGATGATCATGCTGATCAGGAATACTGGGATCGCAAAGCATAACGAGGTCCTGAAGGCGCTGCGCCATTCAGCGATTTCCTTCGTCTTGGCGAGGGACTCTAGTTGTGCGTTGTTGTCATCGTTGTCGGCTATGAGCGCGTTGAAACCGAGAGACTCGATTTTCTCAACCAGTGCTCGCAAACCTACAATGCGTGGCTTGTGGTTGACAATAAGCCGCGAGGTGGATATGCTAACTGACGCAGACGTGACTCCAGGTATCGCACGTAGCGCAGATTCGAGCCCGTTTGCCGCAGCTGCATCTCTCAGCCCAAAGACCTTAAATTGACTCGATATGCCGTTCGATTGCTCTGAGGTTCCAATAGTTGTTGACAATATCCTAGCATCAAAGCCACGGTCTTCAATAATTTCTGCAATCTTCTCCGGCGATAACTTTGCCGGGTCGTGGACAATAACAGCACGTTCAGCCAGTAAACTGATATTGAACTGAACGAGCCCCTCAAGGTCCTGGAACCCGCCTTCAACTGCCGACGTACACGCGCCGCAGGTCATTCCTTGAACCTCCACCGTAGTCGTCGCGACCTGGGTCTCGTTGGCACTATGCGCTACCGCATGCTTCGGTGTCGACAATTGGCTGTCAATGATGGTAGCCCCAAAGCCCCTATCCTCGATAGTTTCTGCAATTTGTGCTGCGCTTAATATCGTCGCATCGTGCTCGATAACAGCGCGTTCCGCTAATAATGATATACTGAAGTGCTTCACTCCTGGAACATCCGTGAAGCCCCCCTCGACAGCTGACGTACACGCACCGCAGGTCATGCCCTCAACCGCAATTGTGGTCGTTGTAGTTTGCGCTCCGACTTCGCTCTCCTCTATCGAGTCGTATGGGGGAGCCTTGTCGTATGTGGGCGTCCTTACATCGGTCGTCAAGACCTCCGCATCGAACCCACGGTCCTCAATAGCCTCTGCGATTTTCTCCGCTGATGTTTTCGACGGGTCGTGGTTCACAACAACTCTCTCCATGATCAAGCTGACAGAGACGCTCTGGACGCCGGGTAGACCCTCTACTCCGGCTTCGACTGCTGATGTGCATGCGCCGCATGTCATTCCCCCGCACCGGAGCGTGGTGACGGCGAGCTGTGGGGGAGCGGCCAAGAGGGTCTCGACGGTGTCGTCGGATGCGACGGGAGTGTATGTAGGAGCCATGGTGGCAGGATATTCGGTGTATGTTCGCTTGCAATGTGTTGTGTGTCCGTGGACGGTGTATTATTACTTTTTGTTAATTACTAGAAGAAAAGTCAGAGAGGTCATTCTTGCAGTGCGTGCCACGGTGCGCATCGTGATTCAGTTCAGCTCGCAATCGGAGGTGGGATGTCTCACAATTTCTATAGCGACCGGTGGTCTAGACAGAAGGCCAGCTCCTGCAGTGATCCCAATAGTCTGTACAGGTCCCTTTGAAGAGCCTGGTATGTTTTATTTATTTTCCTCGCGGTCAGAGAGCCGGTCGAGGATCGTGGGGTGCCGTGAGTGTTCGGTCGTTGAAGATATGCGCCTTTGTGTCCTGACAAAGGATCTCCCCCACTGCGATTCTTATACTCGGAATGGGCGGATTGCGACGACCTCAGGTAGTGTCTCCAGAAGAAAACAAAGGAGATTTGAGACCGGGGATCATTCCAGATCTATACCATCACATCATCGGAGTGGCTAAGACAAGAGGGAGATTGATGGGCGAGAAGAGGAGGTCGAGTGGACGCTTGGGTGCTTGGAGATGCTTGGGGCGCACTTTTTTGGTGCTTGCGTGCTTTGAGGTTTCGACAGGGAATTGGATTACGGAAGAGGGCAGTCGAGGGACCTTTTAGCACTGGGATCTTCAGTACGGAGTAAGTAAAGTTAGTTGAAGTTAGTTGAAGTTAGTTTTGGTACACGGGTCGGGGGTACTAACAGTGGTAAATTAGCGTGGGGTGGTACTTTAAATGAGGTAGCAGGGTTAGAGAAAGTTAGAGGGTGTGCACGGGTAACAATCAACCATTGCGTGGCGTGCGTTTGACAAGGGTCCGCCTGTTTCGATAGTGGGAGGGAATAGTTAGGTGCATGGGATAATGGGAATAATGGGGATAATGGGGATAATGGGGATGATGGGGGATAATTAAGATAGCGTAGTAGTAATGTGGTAGCAATGTAGTAGTAATGTGAGGTTAGTAGAGTATAATCAGCATAACGGGGTAGTAATGCAATAGTTATTGCGAGGTTAGTAGAGAGTGTAAAGTAGGGATCTGGCTTAGCAGCGTCGAGTTATAGGAATTATGAAGACTATTTAGGTGGTTAGGGTAGTACTCTAGAGGCATATGTGGCTGCTCATCCTATACTCTTTTTGAAAGGCATCTCCGGAACTGACGATGTCGACATCAATATCGTCGCTGTCCAGTGTGACCCAGTACGTATACGACCGACTACGACTCAGTGTGACGACTCGTGCCCTTCTTTCCTTTCTCTATAGTGTTGTTGTATGTATAGTATACCTGCCGTTTAAATGATAAATCAGACTTTGCAGTTGTGGCAAGTACGGCCGTGGACTCCGAAAGTTGTTAGCAGTTGCTCCTCTAGAGCCAGTGCTGTACAAAGCATGTACTCACAATAAAGTTTTCTTATAGGCTGAAAGTGATTACTGTGCATTGATTACTCTGCACCAAAGTATTACAATCAGCAAATGAGAGACGCAAAAGGCCACGGGACGAACTCGCGGCCACTAACGTACTCTATCCACTCTAATCACTCTAACCACTCTAACCACTAACTTCCTCTACTGGTTCTCTCTTAATGCACTGTGGTATCGCCTAGCGCGGCAGTTATTCATCTGGACAGATTGTGGTCACGGGGTCACGGTTAATCGTTAATCTAACAATTAACGCCGGGTTATCGGCCCTCACTGCTAACTTCGGGTGTATTATATAGATGAGATCGATACACATGAGTACAGTAACAGAGAGTAACTTAACTTGGTAGAAGCAGACATGTAGTTAGAGTAACACATCAAAGAGAATCTATTAACATTTATTTACAGCTCTATATCCTTCTACCCATTTTATGAAAAACCTAACCTTACCAAAAAACCACAATGTTTCAACCCTCTAGCCTGCGTCATCTTCCCTGCCCTCACAAAACATGCGGCAGCCTCGCCGACCTGCAACACCACCCCAGACAACCCCAAACACCACCTCCTCCGCCCTGAGCCTTGCCAACCACCACCAACCACCAACCAACCCTCAAACACCACACCACAAACGCCAAACACCGAACCACCACCACCACAACCTTGTTTCGACTTCGTTTCTCATTGTTTCAACTTGCCAAGACGGGTACATGAGGCAACGGCGGCAGTCGTCACAGGATTATTCCCGTTATTGAGTTGGCCAGGGCGGTACGAGCGACGGCAGACTTTCATCTGAACTTCACAGACTTGGCTGGAGCTACCTACCTGGAGCTACCCCCTCCGTCACCACCACCACCACTGAATCTATCCACGACCACACACCCACCACCACCACCATGGAGCAAACCAAAGCCCTAAACGCTCTCGAGGTACATCAACCCACCCCCAAAACCTCCCCATCTCCCCACCTCGCCACCTCCCATGACCCCAGCTAACGACCCCCCCCCCCAGCCCTTCCTCGCCCTCTCCAAATCCGCCACCTCCCCCACCGCCTCCATCGACCTCATCCAGCGCGCCACCTCCGCCCCAAACACCTTCATCTTCTCTCCCCTCCTCCTCACCCCCCCCATCCAAGCCCTCCGCTCCTCCCCCGCCACCGCCCCGCACTTCCAGCTCCTCACCCACTTCTGCTACGGGACCTACAACGACTACACTTCCTCCCCCGATGCGCTGCCGCCGTTGACGCCGGTCCAGGCCCAGAAGTTGCGCCAGCTGAGTTTGCTTACGCACGCAAAGGATCCGAAGAATTTGGCGTATGCGAGGCTGATTGAGCTGCTGGGGTTGGGTGATAAGAGGGAGTTGGAGACGCTGGTTACGACTGCGGTGTATGCGGGACTGTTGACCGCGACGCTGAATCCGCATGATGGGCTCGTGGCGGTGTCATCTGTAGCGCCCCTGCGGGATGTTGAGCCAGCGCAGATACCGGTTCTGATCGACACGCTGGAGGAGTGGGCAGGGCGATGCAGCGCCACTCTTGAGGGTCTAGAGAAACAAGTTGCGAGCATCAAGGCGGAGGCGTTGAAGAGGCATAAAGAGGAGGTAGAGTGGGAGGGATACGTGGGGGAGATGGTAGAGAAGGGCGATGAGGCTGGTGAGGGGAAGACAGAGAGGCCGCATGGGAGGAGGGTTGGGAGGGGCGGGAAGGCACCAGGTGCGAAGAGGGGGTTTATGGGGTTTGGGGAGGGGTTTGGGAGGGCGACGGGGGATGGGGATGTTGATATGCAGGATGAGGATGGGGAGGTGAGAGAGGGGGCTGGGACGAGGTCACAGAAGAAGAGGGGACGGGGGAGGGGGGGGATGCTTGGTCGTTAGTGATGGGGAAGGGGAGGGGGCGTTTGGGGGGGGAGGTTGATACGAAAATTATGAGGGCGGGAAGGGATTAAGAGTCACAGGAAAAAGAATCCGATGAGAAATATAAATATTTTATGACTATACTGTATGCTACTATACGTCATTGACATCGGAACCCAGCGCCCTAGTCCATACATGATCCTCTGAATTCCAGAGGTGAAGGCGGTGAGTGATTCTGCCGCCTGCTTTTCCTAAAAACTATCCAGGTACCCGCGGGAGCGAACGGGAGCGATCGGATCTGCCATGAAAGTACCTATATGTATGACAGATGCGGGGATCAACAGCGACAAAGAGAGGGAAAGAATGAAGATATCTGGATAGTTATTGTTCGCAAATATATTGTTCGCAAAGCACAGGTTGTCGGGGGGCAAATAGATGCCTCTCACACTGTCGTCATCGGCGGCCAGGCAGTCTCTCTCTAGCATGTTGGATTAAGGCAGACGCTGTGGAATGTGGAATGTCTACCTGGGGATAGGGAACTCAGCCATACAACAAACATCATCATACAGCATCGTACGAGTATTCTACGGGTGAATAAGTTGGATTTATTGGATTATTAACAGGTATAAGCAGGTATACTCTCAGTATTACAAGACTCAGCACCAGGCAGTGCACATACTGTCATCAGGCAGGTGACATCCACCACCACCACCACCACCAACCAACCGCCACAACCACTTCCCATCCCACGTCCACTCACCGCCTGAGACATCCCTCGAATCCAAGCTGAGCCAAAGCTGATCTGATCCACAACTCACATGTCAGCGCTTCGCAGCTGTATTGGGCGCCAACAAGAACTGACTGACCTGAACCGACGACCTGACGAGTATCGTTAGGTTAGGTTAGGTGTTTACCTGCCTGGTCCTGTCCTGATCGTTGTCCTGGGCGCATCGCATGGCTATCTGCGAACTCCCCGACGACTCGACGGCGTCTACATATCTACCTCTACCTCTACCTTCTACTTGACTGCATCTTGCATGAGTTGGCGTTATTCCCGTCCTACTCACACACTACCTACCACCCCTCCTCCTGCATCTGTATTCCTCCTCTCACTCACCACCACACACACACACACACACGTCGATGCCTATGCACCAAACCGCGCCCTCGCTGTCGTGCCCTGCTCAGTCCGACCATGGCGCAACCACAAGACGCTGCCGCTGCTGCGGCGTACTACGGCGATCTCCTTGACAGCGACAAGAAGCCCTCGAGGGTCATGGTCGCGCTGCTCACGGGAATCGCAAAATATATTGTATGTAGCAAACACCTGGGGAGGCACCATAGGGCTGCCGCTGCCTGTGCGCCATTCTGATAGTGTGAATAAAGGTCAAGAATCTCGGGGACAAGGACACAAAGTGTCTTACCCCGCCAAAGCTGGCGGCGTTCTACAAAGCCGTCGGGGGGAACTATGACTGTAAGTGAGAGAGTGAGAGAGCGCATCTGCCTTGAAACCTCCCTCATATATGACTTGAGCTGACACACATGCCCTACAGCTGTCTTCATCGACCTCCCCAACCCCCAAATATCATTCATCTACCAATCCATCGGCTGCCAACACACCCTCCAACCCACCCCCGACGACTTCCACCCCCCCACCATCCCCGCCCTCACAACCCGCGGCTTCGTCCGCTGGCAAACCATCGAGATCCTCCTCGACCCCTCTGGGCACGTCCCCTTCCTCCAGCGCGCCGTCCATGACTTCCCCATCCTGAACCCGGAGACAGGGGACCGCTTCCCCGCCGACCTTCCCGCCTCATGCCTCCCCCAAGAACCTGATGCCGCGATCGAGAAATGGCATAATAAGTGCGCCGAGAGGCTGAGGAGGGATTCGGCGGCGGATGAGAGGCCGAGGAGTCAGAATCAGGCGCAGGATGAGAGATTTCAGTCACCGTATGGGAAGACGTCGCATACGCCGACACCCCGCGATAGTCCGAGGGGGGGGGATTACTCCAACCCCAAACCAGAGCAGCACCCGCGCCGCCAAAAGCCCACACGGGGCGGTGCACACCCCCCCACCAAACCGCGTGACACGCCGCCACCCCCGCGCCGCCCGGCCACTCCACCACTCGAATACGAAGACGCGCGCGGTCGCCGCAGGAGCGTGCCAAAAGACTACTACCGCAACATCCCCGCCTCGAGCCGACCTTCAAAATACGCCTCTGACGTCCCGCAGCAGGAGGGGTTGAGACCGCATAGTGGTGGACCCGGGGGGAGAAGGCATAGTCATCCAAGACATAGGAGGGAGAGGAGTAGTTCGAGTAGTTCGTGGAGTTCGAGTTCTGAGAGCGTGACGACGGATCCGCCGACTAGTCCGGCGTATGGTGCGAGGAGGAAGGGGAAGGTTAAGGAACAGCCGGTGCCGCAACAGCAGCCGCAGCAGCAGCAGGGGAAATCTAGAAGGAATGCTAAACCTACCGCTGTACCCTTCGCAGGACGCTACTCCGCGTCATCAAGTCCGCACCCCGACCCCCTCGCCGCTGCTGCTTCGGCCGCCGCCGCCGCTGCCGTCGGCGGTGGTTTGGGCGGTGGGTTGCAGAACGAGAAACTCCGCCAAGACCACCGAAATCGGGGGTTGAGCATGCCTAACTTCCGACACGCTGGTAACGGTGGGGGACCACAGATCGCATCCTATAAAATCGCCGTCGACCCTCCTCCTCCAGCAGACGGGAAGTTCAACCCCGCTACTGGACCATTCGCGCCTTCTTACCCGCCTAATGCGTGGCGTAGCGAGTCGAGGGGTGGGGGGGCGAATAATGTTAGGTGGAGGGATTTGGTGGATATTGATATTCCGATTGGGGGGTGGGTTAATAAGGAACCGCCGGTTGCGCCGGATGCGCCGCCTGCTGTTGGTGGTGGTGCTGGTGGCTTCGGTGGTGGCGGGAATGGGGGGATGGGAGGGAGAGAGAAGTACCGAAGAGAGGACTTTGGGAATGGGAAGAGAGAACGCAGGAGTGTGAGTCATGAGGAGAGGGCGAGGGAGAGGGAGCGCGAGAGGAGGTGGGAGAGGGAGAGGGAGAGGGCGGATTCGGAGACGGATGCGAGGATGGAGAGGAGGTTGGGGGGGAGGCGGTGAGGTGTGGGGTGTGGAGGTGGTGAAAGTGGTACAGGCGGAGAGGAGATGAGTGAGGTATGATTGTTATGATGGTTATGATTATGATGGGAATACGGAACCTAAGGGTCTGGAACTTGGGGATTTGGCGTTTTAAGGGGTGGGGGAGGGGGAGGGGGTAGGATAGACGATGATGGTGGTGATGCGACTCAGCTCCGTTTTGTGTGCGAGGAATTCAGGATTTTTTCTCAACTCTGCTTGTTTGTGCCTTTACTAAATCACTCACTCACTCACTGACTCATATAAATATATCCCATAGATAGATATGACCGAACATTCACCCCACCCACATCACCACCCCCTCCACCTCATCCAAACATCAACAACCACATCCCCCTTCCCCTCCCCCTCCGAATCAACAATTAAATACCAATCAAACCCCGTCCCAGCAATACACGCATGGTTCGGCCACACCCTCACCCTCCCCCCTATTTCCAACCCTGTTCCCTCCCCCTCCCTCCCGGTCCACTTCAAAATCCCATGCTCCTGGCTCACACTCCCCACCACCCACCCCTCACCCCCCACCGCGCCCCAGGTGGAGACAACGCCAGAGCCGTCGTAGGATTTACACAAATCCTTCCCCAGCGCGATGGAACCGGCGGTTATCAAGGCTTCTCCGGTGCGGCGGTGGGGGTAGATGGATGCCACCTCGGCCAGGATTGTTAAGGCGATGTCATCCGTGGATAACTGGGAAAGAGGACGTGCGGAGGTGGCGAGTTGTTGCATGTCTAGCACTGGGTAGACGCCTGCGTGGAGCTCGATCGCCGCATCTGCTTTTCTCACCTCCTCTATCGTCCCCTGAAGCGTAGCTAGCGCGGTGGTCTCGGATGCAGAGGCGCTGGCGGAGGGGTGGAGGAGGTTATAAACCGCCGTGGTCGTCGGCGTCGCGCCTACCGAGAAGGTGAGCTGATCCGCTGGGGCGAGAGCGCGGAGGGCGTTTGAAGCGTCCAAAAGCGCGCGTAGCTCATCGTTCAAAAGACTAATCGCAGTCGCCGGGTCAGACCCAGCATACGAATGCCCCGCATGCGAATAAAGCCCCACGATCTTACACTTCCCCCCCTCAATCAGCGGCAGCAACGCGGCGATCAGCTCTTTGAATAATTCTGACGCAGCTAGGATGCCAGAACGCTGATACCCCATCTCAATCTTGATACTAACACCCACCGGCACCCCCGACAGTTCGTGGATTTTCCGCACCACTGATACTTGGGAGGGGTGGTCGACGAGGATGCGGAGTCCATATGCACCGAGGCTGCGGGAGAGAGAGGCGAGGCGCGGGGCGTAGGAGGGGGCGGGGGGGAGACCGTAGAGGAGCGAGCGGGAATCGGGGGGGTAGGTGAGCAGGAGGGGGAGGATGTGCTCTGCTTCTGTGAGGGTGGAGGTTATGACATGCGCGGGGCGGGGCGGGGGGCCGCCGAGTTGGAGGAGGGTGAGCTCGGTGGTCTGGTGGGGGGGGGGGTTAGTTTGGGGGTTCCGGGGGGGAAATAGGGGGCATTAGAGGGGAAATGGAAATTGGGAGTGGGAGTGGGAGTGGGGTTGAGGCACCTTGTGTGTCTTAATATGCGCTCTCCACCCGAATCCGAGGGCGTCTATGGACTCGAGCATGCGGGTGCAGTTTCGCTTTACTTTGGCTAGGTCGAGGATTGCGGAGGGGACGGGGGCGTCTTGGAGGTTTGTCCCGACGAATTGTTTTAGGAGTTGCTGGCGCTGGGATTCCAGCGCTTCGAGGGAGGTGGTTGCCATGGTTCTGGGGGGGGAGGGGTAAGTGGATAGGTGTTTTTAATAATAACGGCGCCGCAAACTGTGAGGCTTGGGTGCGTGGAGAGTAGACGTGAGGTTATAGTAGTAGAATGATAATATATCAGTGTTCGGCGGATACGTATCCGGGTAGTATCCGTGAACCCCACGGGTAGGGTATATACCCGGCGACGATCTGACGGGTAGGGTAGGTAAGTATCCGGATACATGAGGCTGAATATCGTATATAAAAATAGGAATAGCGTATATAAAAAAAAATGAAGCTTTTGATAATAG